CAAGAAGTAGATACACTTGAAAGAAATAGTAAACACTAACAAAAAATCTTCACAATGTGTATAGATTTGTACTGAAATCTTCTCAAGAAGAAAGTGTCTCGCAACTCATTAGTATTGACTTCGAAAGCAAATGAGAAGGAAAAAACCTCAGTGAAATATTAATAGATTTAAACAAATATCGAGAAAAATATTGATTCTCTGAAAGTTGGTGGGAAAGAGTATTTGTTTAGGAAATACATGACATTCAAATGGTTATACTATTTCTGTTGAAAACAATCGCGACGTTTTTATAAATGTTCGATATTGTTTCTTCTGAATTCGAAAAGCTTGCAGACAAAAGTAAAATGAATTTCTTTTCTCTTTTATCTTTCTTATCAAACAATGCATTTCAACAGTAGATTATTACGAGACAAGCTCGAGGGAAAATTCAATTGTGTTATTAGTTCAAATTTTTCGCTTTAGTTTCGGTGTATTTCGTGTGGATGAGTTTAAACAGCAAATTCACCATCTTATTATAGACGAAACAAAAGAAAAACAGACACGTTCTAGATATCAATAACAAACTGATCAAATGCAGTTGTTTTGAGATATTTCATCTCAGTCTGTTATCGCGAAATTGAAAATAATACTTGACTTGGTGAAATTCAATACGTGCAAAACAACGAAACTTTCTTTTATCTCTTTATTTCCTAAGTTTGTAATCAAATGGATGTACAGAAAATTCTCATTCAACAGTCGTTCTTGTTCGTTGTCGACGGATTTCATTGTATTTCGCAATGTCGAGACGTAGATTTTGCAAATCACGTTGAATGTCATTCAGCAAACTTTCTTTTTCTTTTTCAAACTTCTGTTTTTCACCCGCAAAACGCGCTTTCAGTTCGTCTTTCTTCTTTTGAACGGCTTCATATGCCTGTTGCTGAAGTCGCATTCGTTCCAATTCGCGATCGTCATAGTCGACTTGGGTAACAAATGGATTCTCTGGTGCGTGTTCAATGCGTAGAACACTCTTCACCCATTCATAAACATCATAATCAGCATGCATTAGCTTATTCAGTAAAAAGTTGCGAATGAGTTGAAGATTACCAACGACTTTTCGTCGACTTGCGCGCTAAAGACATTTAGAATTGTCTGCGAAATGAAGGAAAATGCAAAACTTACTCGTGGATCGATATCGCCATATTTCATGTGCATTCGGATTCGTGCAGTGAGCTTGGCGACTAAATAAAAAACACAACGAAGGACAACACATGAGAAAATAAACAGATATTTACAATCGTTCAGAAAGATAATTAATGTTGTAAAGAATCGAATTACATTTTTTTTCAGTTATTTACCGATTCGAATCGATTTACTAATTGAAGAAGAACTAGAAATGTCTTCGAGATGATTTTATCAAGTAATTAAACTGTTCGGTATGAACAGATTACACTGTAAAGTCTCATGGACAAAATTGCGACAATCATATTTATTTCTTTAACCTTGAACAGGAAATGTAAAACATAACTTTACGTTTAGTTCGTATTTTTTGTTATTCAAACACTCGATCGAACGATACACAACTTGAAATTCGATGAGAAAAGACAAACTTACTGAGAACTTCGTACGACGATTGATCAAGAGGATGGCGTTGAACAGCTTTCACTAAATAGTTTGAATAATAAGCTTCGATTTCAGCCTATTGAACGAAGCAAAACATAAAAAAAGAAGAACGACTTGTTTTCTCACATACACGAGTCGCATATTCAAGTGTAAAAACACGTTTGACAGTCTCATCCGCACTAAAACATAATTACATTTTGCTATTTTACGAAAGAAGAAGAAGAACATCTACAAACGTTTTCAATTCTTCGGATTTTTCAAAACCAGGTCGTAAAATTTTACTCAAATCAAAATTTGGATACGGATCAATGTCACCTATTGGCAAAGCAAATAAGTTTTTGGCAAAACGTCGATTTGTATCTAACCTGTCTCCCATCGTGGTCGTGGTTTATACATATGTGAAGGTAAAACTCGTTTATTTTTGCCAACAACTCCTGGCGGAATGGTTGTCGCCGTTCGAACCCATCCGATACTCGTCAAAATCGGTCGGATACATCGTACATTCAACATCTAGATAAATGAAATATGGATTTTTCTTTCTGATATTTTGGCAGCTAAAAAAAACAAGAAGAATATGTCCTTTCTTTTGTCTTACTGAATATCAAGCAGAATAGAACGAGAAACGAAAGAGAAAACACGTGCACTGATCAACAATGAAAAGTTCAAGTTTATTTTAGTCAATTTTCTTGTTCGCTTAGTCAACTTCAAGATCGAGATCAGCTTGATGTTGATGTTGTTCTCGTCCACGCGTACTATTCGATAAATTCGCTGTCAATGAATTCATGAGATTTTCAAACGGATTTGATGATGTTGACGACGGTTTTTGTTTCAAACCAAAGAATAACGTGCCGATCTTTTCCACATATTGAACTAAAGTTGAATCCCGTTCAAGTGAAGGTTTGTACGCGTTAACCAATGACGAAAAACAATGTGTGGTCTCGGTAGATGGTACAATATCTAAAGCGAATGAATAAAAAGTGATAGATTCAATGTTTTCCACTACCTAATCGTTGATTCGGTTCGCCACTGGCGTTATTGCTGTTGTTATTTGTCGGAACTTTAATCAAAGTCTTTTTCAGACATAAGAGAAGAAACCAGAGAAAATTTAACATCGGATAAACTTGATTGAATGGACCTGGTGGTGGTTGTCGAATTTTAGGATGCTGTTCAACATAAGTGATGAAAACAAGATAAGCTGTATGAAAATTGCGTAATAATAAATATTGTAAGACAGTTTGGGCAATAAAGAGATCGATTTCTGATGGGTAACCGAGTGTTTGATGTGCTTCAATTAGCATAATGGCAAATGATCGTCCATCATCTGAACGTAAATAATGATATCGACTATCTTTGTAGTTCTTTTCTTGATCCCAAAGAATTCGCGCGAATGCTTCGTGTAATTTTGGATGACCTGTTCGGTGTATGTTGACTTTCTTCGACGCTTCGCTTGTTGAATTAGATTCAGTTAATGTTGAAAGTATAGATGATGAAAACGATGAATTGGATTCCGTACGAAGAACTGGCAATTGCTCGTCTTGTTCTGGATGATAGGGAATTTGAGATGACCAACGTAAAGCATTGCAAGCGAATTCAGTTCGTTCATCATGAAAACATTTTAATGATTGAAATAAAATACAAATTTGTTGAATAAGATTATCAGTTAAGTCGGTGATTTTCGAACGGTTCAATGTCTCGATATAACATTTACATAGATCATAGCCGCTGTTCGATTGATTATGTTCAAGGAAGTAGCAAGCTGATTCGAAAAGAAATTGTAAAATACTTTCATCATTGTTTGTTGAACGAAGGCGAACATAAACCGTACGACAGATTTGATGAGCTTGGTAAAAATCTTTATTTTGTTTACATTGTTCTAATTTAGTGTAGAGACGCGTTGTAGAAGACATTTCGAATGATGTATCTACTTCGAGATGAAAATGCACGATAAATATGACTTGTTTCACTTAAATTATGCTTGGCCGATTGAGAAACGAATGTTAATGACTCATTTGCTTAATAATTTTTCTCTCTTAAATAAACATCGAAGAAAAGCGTTCTCATTAAATTTGCACGAAGAAAATGAGTAATTAGAAAGAAATTCAGAATTTAAGAATCTTCCAGTGACATCTATACGATCGGTCAAATGTAAAACGAATGAGATAGTTGAGAACGCTAAAGCTTTGTTCCACACGGAACATCGCTTTGTCTCAGTAGTGACCTGTGTACAACTCCATGTTCAATTTTTAGTTTAGTTTACTAAAGATGGGTAAACGCGGTCGTCCACCCAAGCGAAAAGTCGTTTCCGACGCACCGAAAGTAGTCGAAGAATGTTACACGATTCTGAGTAGCGATGAAGAGATAGAGAAAAAAGATCAACCGTTACGCCTACCAGAACCAACTCAACGACGAGGAGTCGGAAATGAACGCACTAGTGCAACTTCTCTAACGCCATCAGTAGCAAAAACGAATGGACAAAAGAAGAAGATTATACTTAATGGAAAGAATAAAAAGGATCAAACATCGGGAGATAGTGATGCAACTGAAGTGTATGTACAATAGTCAAAGATTTCGAATTCGAATTGTTTTCTTGTCCTTGTTTCGTAGATACTCGGTTAGTAATGATGAAGATCTCGAAGTAAAACCAACGAAAGTTTCACCAACAAAACGGAAACGTCGATCCGCACCGGCTAAAGTCAACCATGATCTTTCGGAAAATAGTGATGATGATCTCATTTATTCACGACGATCACTTGTCTTGAAGCCTAGAAAACGTCAAGCGACACCTTCCTCATCATCGATTTCAAGTGCAGAAAGTCAATCGTCAAAACGTCCTCGTCCGCCCATTCCGACATTCAAACGTGCTAAAGGTAAAAAGAAGACGAAGAACATCGAAGAAACATCTGAGGATGACCATGACGATGATGATGATGATGTTATTACGGATGAAGATTACCATACCGATGTGGAGAAAATGGATGATAATGCATTGATTAAGAAGACGGAACGTCGAATGTTAAACGATGAAGATCTAACTCAACTAACAAAGAAAGCGTTGGAAGATGAACGACAACGCGTTCAACGTGTACAGGAAAAACAATCGCAATTATCTCAAATGATATACAATAACGACGAAGAAAATGATATTATATTAGAAAATGCCAAGAAAAACGAGGAAGGCGAGCCAGAATCAAAGCTTGTTTTCGAATACGAACCGAATGCAAATAAATCGTTGATCGTTGTACATCCTGACTTAGTCAAAAAAATGAAACAACATCAATTGGATGGAACAATGTTTCTCTGGGAGAATGTTTTCGAATCCGTTGCACAAATTAAAAAGGATAACACCGGTACTGGTTGCATTTTAGCCCATCACATGGGTTTGTAAGTATACCTTCTATGATTAACATTCTCTCGAAAAGTTCGCCTTGAATTTAGAGGAAAAACGTTTCAATTGATATCATTTCTTCATACGATATTTAAACATAGTGATGTCACTCAAACGCGAACATGTTTAATTCTCTGTCCAGTCAACGTTATCTCAAATTGGGCTGCAGAATTTACTCTTTGGTTATCAGGTCTCCGTCCAACCATAAAAGTGTATCAATTTTCGTTATTCAAAAGTAAATCAGCACGATGGGAATGTTTAGAAAAATGGAACAACAAAGGTGGAGTTATGTTAATGGGTTATGAAATCTATCGTCGATTGTCAAATGATATCGATTACAATTTCTTTCTAACTGATCCTGGACCAGATATAATCGTTTGTGATGAAGGTCACATACTCAAAAATGCCAATGCAGGAATTTCCAAAGCGTTGAACAAGGTTCGAACAAAGCGAAGAATTATATTAACAGGAACGCCGTTACAAAATAATCTCAAGGAATATTATTATATGGTACATTTTGTTAAACCACATTTGTGTAAGTTTGATGGAGAAATTCAGGAGGAAAATGTAGGAATTTTGTTTTAGTGGGAACGTATCGGGAATTTAAAAATCAATTTATTGATCCGATTCGAGGTGGTCAACATAAAGATTCGAACATTTATGCGGTGCAATTGATGAAACGACGAGCATTTGCATTACATGAACGATTAAAACATTGTATACATCGGTAAAAGATTAGTTTTGCTCGAGATATCGACAGAAGTTTTTCGTTCATCTAGTTGTGATTTCAATGTTCTTCGACGTTATTTGCCAGAAAAATATGAATATGTGATTAAAATCTATATGGGTGATCTTCAAAAACAACTCTACGATCGTTATTTAAAAATTCAAAATATCGATGCTACGGGTTCGTTCTCGTATAACTCATTCGAAATATCTTTCACTTTTTTTGTTTTAGCTGGTTTCAACACAGCAAAATTGTTTGCTGATTACCAATATTTAATGAAAATTTGGACGGTAAGTTTTCTTTTCATTTGTGGAACGAAATTTCTAAAACAAAATTCTTGCAGCATCCGTGGTTATTACGACCGCATTTTATTGATCGATGGAAGAAAAAACAGAAGAAAGATGCAGATGAAGTCGATGATATCGATCCATTTTTCAACGATGTCATCGCGGGTTTATCCGACGATGATGAACAACAACAACAACAACAAGAGAAAAAATCAAAGAAACAAATACCAACAAAAAAAGTACTTTCATCATTTTTCTATTCTCTACTGATACATTCATTTGTTCTTCTCATAGAAACCCGTCGATTCCAATCATCGACATAAGCATCACGAGGATAATGAAGATGGCAATTCCAGTAGTCATTCATCTTCATCATCTACGTCGGAATTTTTAGCTTTATTCAATAATACAAATTGGAAACAATATGGAATGAAGTCACATACGTCGCGCAGCTCAGTAACAGATCCATGTCAACGTGCTATGCAAAATGAATGGTGGTTTCCAATGTTTGATGAGACAGCAGAATATGATTTAAGTTTAAGTGGAAAATTAACATTCCTAAAAGCGTTACTTGAAGAATGCGAACAAATTGGAGACAAAGTGTTGTTATTTAGTCGTTCGCTCTTTTCACTTTCGTATCTGGAACAATATCTTAAGTATTGGGATTCGATTGCTAGTGGAAAGAAAATTCAAACAGATGATTTTGATGCGAAAGTAAAAGCCAACGGTCGATGGAAATTCGGTATTGATTATTTTCGTATTGATGGTAAGTTTCTTATCATCAATAATATTATTAAATTAAAAAAACTTCTCTTTCAGGTAGTACAGACATTACAACACGAACGAATTACATCTCGAAATTTAATGATACGGCGAATATTCGATCGCGGCTCTTTATCGTCTCGACGATGGCAGGTGGAATTGGTATTAACTTAATCGGAAGTAATCGTGTGGTGATTTTTGACTGCAGTTGGAATCCCTGTGAGTGATCTGACCGAGAGTAAAGAAGTTTTATGAAAATTTTACTTTTTTTAGCTTCGGATTTACAAGCTCTCTTTCGTTCGTACCGTTTGGGCCAAAAGAAAACCACGTATGTCTATCGATTGTTGAGTAAAGGTTCAATGGAAGAGAAAATTTATTTCCGTCAAGTGAATAAACAGGCCATGGCTCAACGGTAAGATCGTTTTTCGACAATTCGATACTGAACTTCGTGTTTAGTGTCGTCGATGCTCAACAACTCGCTCGACATTTTACTGAATCGGAATTACGTGAATTATATTCATTTAAAATCGATGAACATGATCCACAAGAATATCTTAACAAACGGCTACCCGACGATATTGTTCTGAAAAATTGTATCGCAAAGCACTCGACATTAGTGCAGAGTATCCTTGAACATGATTCCTTGCTTGAAAATCATGTGGAAGAACAATTAACACGCGAAGAGAAATACTACGCACTGAAAGAGCTCGAACGAGATGAACGACAAGCGGAATATCAAGCAAACGTAGCGAAAACTTTATCAAATATCTCACAAAATCATAATGCAACAAAAATTGTACACGCATCGTCAGAAACCAAATTTAATGACGCAAAATTAATCACTTCACCACCTTTGAACACTTACAATCCTTACCAACCACCACCGCCCATGTGTGCCCAAGCCCGTGCTGGACTTTCTACTGCTCAAGAAGCACGTGGTCTCGAACGTTTAACCGAATTATTATTTCCTAAAGAAGCTCCACCACTTCCAGCTGGTAAAGGCGCCGAATTACCTCCAATGAAAGAATTAACTGATATGCCTGTTTCAAAAGATGAAATTGCTGATATCGATCTCGATGACGAAGAATTCGATGTGCGAACTAAACGTGAAAAACAAAAAGCACTTCTACAAGAACAACGCGCTTATGTTAAATTGTACAATGATAAGAAAAAATTGCTCAATCCGCCGCGTGTTCCCAAAATTTTAAAACGCGGTAAAAAAGCCACGCAAGTCAATACATCATTTGTTTCCAATCCATATCAATTCATGCCAGTCACACTCAATCCATTTGATATGCCACCAAACATGCAAAAGCGGCCAGATTAGATTTCCTCTCCGTCCATATTGTCTTCTTTTCTCTGTAGATAGATTAGTTCGTCTGTCAGATATGTGAATTTTGCCTAGTCATTGGCACCTTGTTTTCTCCGCCGGTTTTTAAAATAATGAGTACGTTTTTTGTGTTTTTTTTTGTCTTTCTAGGCGTAGGAATGTATTAGAATTTGTTGTTTTTGTTATCATTTGTCTTGGTTAAAATGAGATTACTTCAATTGACATTTGTTGTTGATAACAAATATAAATAGCAAACCGAATAAAATCCTCTCAAGACACTTGACAATGTCGATGATTTCGAAAACGATGCTTCTATTTATCTTTCTTCAATTCATTCCAAATATCCAGGGGCAAAATACTTGTCGCTTCGCAGAATTGTTTACAATCGATAATCTTGTAAACAATCGAAATGATGCGATTCATCGTTTCAAAATGCACATGTGCTTATGGGAAGGAAAATTCGGGTATGGTGTTGGCTACAATCATGGAACAGGCATTACTTTTGATGGTCATAAAATTGATTATACAACAGGTGATTTACATGACAATTTGCAGTACTGGACGGCTGCATCGAAAGAAGCTTTGCATGTGAATATACTTTCGTTGTATTTGATGGACAATGTTTATGCGAGACAGTTTTTTCGAAACGCCACGCAAGATGAGATTGTGAATATTTTAGAGAAGAAAATTGATTCGTATGATGATTTTCATCGACGTTATCCAGGCTTTGGGGGATTTTTACCTTGGTTTGCTGCGAATGGTTCGGCGATGAATCTACTCAATGGTTGGGAGAGTAAAGTTCCAGGACTTGACAATGGACAGCTGGTTTGGAGTATTAAGATTTTGATTGAAACATTAAAAAACAAAAAATTATTTGCATTAGCGGATAAATATCAACGACGAATCGATCTGATGACACAAACAGCCATTCCGGTGTTTTATGAAGCTGAAAGAGGAGGTATTCGATGCGAATCTGGTATTATTGATATGTTCAACGAAAGTCAAATTACAAATCCAAGCAATTACGTGACAAGAGGCACTTGTTTACTTGATGATCCGTATGAAGGTGAATTGATGACGTATTTTATGGATTTATATGCTCCTTGGACATTGTATAATTATACAATGGAAGAACGAAATCGTTTATGGGCATATAAACGTGCTCGTCTTATTCGCGATGAATACAACACGACGTCATCGCCAACTCAAGTCACTGTTCAACGTGGTTTTTGGTTTTCAAGTCACGAACAATGGAAATACTTCTATTTACCCTATCAAGACATCGATCTGCAACGACGTCTGTTCATCAACGGAGAAAAAGTACGTGTCTATCATTCAGCACAAAACCGTATTCCAGGTCTTTATGCAAGTGTTGCCTCAGATGCAAAACTGAACACCTATCAAGTGGATTATTTAAGTGCATGTGGTATTCAACAGATCGCATTTCAACCTATTGAACATACATCAGTAATCACACCTTATGCCAGCTTTCCGGTTATTATGGCGAATGAATCGATTGGTCTGGCTTGGTATTTGAATATGTTGCAAGGACCAGCTATGCAGAACTTGTATGGAAGTACAGAAGCAACGAATATCAATGGTGCGACAATCTCACCTGTTATTACATGGGATTCCAAGATAACAACGGTCGTTGCTATGTTAAGTGCTGATTTGATCAATGTAGCTCGTGATATTTTAAAACGGGATCAGACCTATCAGCGATTTTTCAATATCACAGAATTTGAATGGTCAAGAGTATTCGGATCAAAACCATTGTTAGGAGAAGACCTGCAATGGTCATTACCTTCAGTCCAAATTCCACGTCCAGTTGGTGGTGTTGCAGATTTTACTCAATGTAATAATATGTTAACAACAACAACGACAACAACAACGACAACAACGACAACGACGACGATGACGACGTCACCATCGCATGCATTGTCGATGTTTGACAAACCTTGTTACATCATGGGTGTCATTTTACTATTTATTCTCCCCGTTCTCGTATTGAATTAGACTGAATAAATATATCTGAGTGCAAACTAAATTTGTTTTTTCTTTTTCTCTTTTCGACGCGATGTAATGTCAATCGAAAGGAATTTAATCTAAAAGGACAAAGATTTAAAAGGACATTATTGATTTCTTACGGCTGTTGTCGTGTATAGTCATCAAGGTTGTGTACTAAACGTGCTTTTCTTCAATGAGAAAGAAAGAGGATTGGTAGAAGAAAATAAGAATTTTACGTCGAGTTTTCTCTTCTCTTCTTTCCTTCTAGAGTTCATTTTAGAATATACATGGGTTCAGAAAGTTTAAGTCATCGATTTGCAGCCAAAGATCCGACATTTCATGGGAAATTAAACGAAGATGAAAAATCTTCTTCTCATGGCTCAATGTCACACACATCTGGAACACAACCTGTGTCAGTTAGTAATGGTTCCGAATCGTCCTCGTCGATTGTCAAACATAATCACAAACCAAATTCAAAATACAGACGCTTGATCAAACTTTTCCGACAACAGTTGTCTCATACAGAAACAACCGTAAATGCCATTGAATCATTATCAAAATCAAGCGGTGATCGAAAAAATCAAATGCTTTTATCAACACGAGAACAAATTCATAAATTGTATCAGAGATTGGAAAATCTACGCAATGATTTATCAATTCGAGATCATGAACATGTTGATTCCATTAAACATGATATTGAACATTTAATTGATGATTTAAAATCCTATAAAATGAATTTCGATAATGAAGATTCAATCAACACGATCGATTATTTAGTTGGGTTTCCTGTAAACATATCTGACAATGACACTGATGACGACGAGACTTTAGTCTATTTCTAAATTCACTTCAGCTCTTTTCATGTGTGATATTCTGTACAAAATCATATGCAGTTTTTAATCATTGTGAACAATGAAGTTAATACTACCTTTTCTTATTGAATATTCTTTTGGTCAGTAGTAGTGAGAATGTTACCTGGACTTTGTACATTATCTAATAGGTATCTTTCAATACAATAAACGAGATTCTCTCCAAGTTTCTTCTATTTCATGCATTTATCAAACTCGAAAACAATCAAGATTTCAAGCATTTTCCTGAAATAATTGCAAACTAGTACAGCGGAGAATATACACTAAAAGACTTTCATTGGATGAGATTACTTTACAGTTGTTTCAATCAGTTGCATGTTTCACCAGACGATAGATAGACATCAGTGGTCGAGAAGAAAACAATAACTAAATCAACAATCTCATTGTTGTTTCAATGGATTTTTCTTATCTCTTTATCCATTCTTTTCACCAACGAATTTTATGTTGAAGTATCGTCGACTCCGTTCACCATCTGTTGTTAACAATTCGTCTGGTGGTTCGGAATGGATGAGAACCTCGATCTTTCATGAATATCTTTTGTTCTTTCGTATCGCAAAATTCGTTTCTATTAATAACATAGTTCCTGTTGACTAATTATTTTCCGCATTTTTTTAGTGCAATTGAGCCTAGAAAATACTTTCTACCTAAAACAGTATACCTCGATTCGTTCTTTACCAACAAGTTTCGTTGTTGTGCGTGTATTTTTTTTATTCTGGCGCTGAGAAGCACAAATCTGGCGAAGATTTGTATCTTATTTTGAATGTTAAGAAGCTCATCCAACGGAACATTGAAATACGAATCTTTTAGCTGATTCAGCAGAGCAGTTGTTTTGGAAAAACAGAAAATCATTTTCAAAGTCATTCAGTCGAACTATCCAATCAAAAAATATCAATGCAACTCTTCCCACCAATTACCAACTGAATTGCTTTATCCAATACTTCATTGTTTTTCGGCTCACGGAATTCTCTTTTGATCTTTAAACCTTAAATCATCGAATTGATTCGATTGTACTTTTCTATTCAACTTCTCGAAAGCACTTTAACCTTGTTTGTGAACGGAATCGACATAAACACAGGATTTCATTAATGCTCTTCGATAGAAATCATACAGTGTATCAATTGAAGATATTTCGAATGAAATAGGTGTTACTATTGTTGTATTTATCGATACAATTGATGATAACCTTGATAAAAGAGACGTCGCGATCAGTGTTTATGAGTAAAACGTTTTTCGCTAGAATAAAGATATCCATCTGTTGTGTGTACATCAATATGTTGATCAACTCACGGTTCTAATGGCTTTTCAGTCTTTTCTCTCTTGTTTTCTTCCATCGTCATATTCAATAAACGACTAAAAGAATTAACCCTAATCGAAGACTCCTATTGAATACGTTCGTTAGCTTGGTGGATGACGTTCAAATGATCCTGTAAGCTACTTGGCCACTGTAGTTGTCGATTTATGTTCTCACCTTGGATATACAGGTCTCAAGTAGTTTATTGGAGCTTACGAATGAATTTGATACCAGAGACGAATGATTTAAGCGAAGGTGCGAGCCTTAATGGTACGGATTAAACAGTTATCGAAGAGTTCGTCGAGTGTCATTGGCGATGAGTCATCAGAATGAGCTCGTCGTTTTGTGTGTTTTATATCCAAACAAGACAAATCCGAAGTACAAGTTACCCGCATGAGCAGCCATTGACAACGAAACCTCTGATGCTGATGACAAATGTGATTAATGACTGACACTTCATAAATAAAAGTTTATATATTTTAATTTCTTGCTCGTTTATTTTTCAACTGTACAATTAATTGGCAAAAAAAGAGGGCTAATTCATGAGTTCATGCAATTGACGGAGTTAGTTTCAATGGTTGAATACATGCACTCATATGTTTCACGGTCACTTCAATCATCGATTGGATTTCTTCATCATCACATTTCACTTCCTACAATCAATCAAATAAATGAAATCATGACGAATACACGAACATACATATGATTCGAGATCAACTATCGCCTTTTTCTCGTCAACCGTCACAGTTAGTTGTTGTTGATCTTCCGACACACTGACCATTGATGCCCCATACATTTCTTCTAGTGTTTCTTGGATANGAAAGTTGTGAAGTTGACTTACTTCTTCGACCATATAAGCTGAAAGAACGACCAAAGCCATGTTATAAATGAAAAGTATCGATGATGGAATATGAAATGGTTGTCGATGACGCATATAACGGGGACCAATGATGACAATTGCCAAATAGATCAAAGCTAATGTTACTGCAGGAACTGGATCACGCCATAATAAAAACCAATCTTTTGTTCGTGGATCAGCATGTTGAAGGGCAAGTTTATACGATGGAAATTGTTCTTTAAACCATTCATTTAACCAAGTCATGATTTTTATTTATCTGAAATTGAAACAATTACAAAAGAAGCAAAAACAATTTTCGATGATTTCACATTATGGATTTACATTTACAACTGCAGTTTGGACTCTTTTGACCTCCGAACTCAAATAGAATTACTTTGTTTTTAACTTTTCTAACATCATCAGTAGATAATCATTCATATCGAACGTGTAAATCCCCAATGAGAAAGAAGAATAGCCTCTTTGATGTACGTTATAGCCATAAAAATAATTTCTTTTAGGTTTGAAGATGTCACTACCGTAGAGTTGCAATTGACATTCGCAAATGTATTGTTCTTAATTATTTGATATGAATGAAAATGAAGTTTATATATAAATCATTCACTGTTTTGTTGGTAAACAAAAGTTGTATTAAAATAAAATGTGTGTAAATTTCAAATTCTAGTTTATAAAATGTTCAGAGAGATCCAAAGGTTATAATCGAAGATTCTTTTGCGTTTGTTTTGCTTCGTGTTTGAGTGCCGCTTCTTTTTCTTCCAACTCTCGTTGTTTTTTATTATATTCATCTTGCATAGATTTGATTTCCCGTCTTGTACTTTGTAAATCATCTTCTTCTGTATTTAAATCCTTCAAATATCGAACCATCAGATCCGATTTATCAATCTTTTCCAATGATTTTATATTTTGTCGAATACGTTCTTGGTTCTCAAATATCGATTTAATATGCGCTTCACGTGACTTGATCGTCAAGTCAAATTCCCGTAATTTTTCTTGAATATCGGCAATTGCCAATGCTTTGTCAAACAAAGACGTTGGAATCAGATCACGTTTGACCATCCATGTTCGAATTTGTGTACTAGTTATTTTATTATCGATCATATGTCGAAGAACTTGTTGAACATATTTATGTGTAATGATATTTTGAATAACTTGAATTGTTTTCTCGTTGATTAACTTCGCTTGAAGAAGATCCGGTACTTGTTTTTCGACGAAAGTTTCTAAACCCGATGCTTCGTAGATCTTCGTACTATTGTGTGCTTGTTCATCAACGATGAATTCAATTTCTTCTTGTGGTTCAAGTTTCAACTCGAATCGACTGAAACCGACTGTTGATTTAATACATTTCTTTTGTGTCATGACAACATAACCGCCCAACGATGAATCGGTGACGTGATCGATGTAGAATTTTGTAACCGGTCGGTTCAATGAATTGTTTTTGATTAAATAACGCGTTCGTTTGATATGCACTTCTTGAACATCAATACCAATTGGCGTTGCTTTTGTTTCGAGTTTGCTTATTTCGGAGTAGATGATATCAACACTTTGAATATGAATTTCTTGGAGTGATGAAGGATTTGAACGAAGAATTGAAACAGTTGAATCGAAACCATAACTGAAATTGTAAAGATAATGTTTTTTTTGTCTGTATAGAAAAGTTTAATGATGTTTTTTACTTGATTAGTTGATCATCATTCGGTAACATTGGTGTAAAAGCACATTGGGCAACGAAACGGCCTTGATCGAGAACTGCAATACTTCCTGGTGCTAGAACTACATCACTATTATTTCGTAAATGAACAGCTTTAATCGCATTTAAATCATTAATTTTCTGATCGTAATAAAGTACTAATTGTGCATCCATGTGCCATTTGTTCACGGTCACTAAAGTACTTTCATGTGATCGGATCGTCACAGGTGTGTTGATGGTATAAACAACATGTTCGCTAAGGCCACTCATTTGACTTGAATCAATGGATTCGTAATTTTCATCATCATTGTCATCGACGACTTGCGCTCGAGCTGGTACACCTTTACGTTTTGATGAACCCGAACTTTTCTCTTCTGGAGGACCACCACGTAATCGAAGTACCAAATGTAGAGTTGATTCTAAATACTCAATACATATTTACATCTTTAGCTTTCTTATTTTTCTAAGTTACCTTTCTGGATATTGTAATCTGCCAATGTTCGACCATCTTCTAACTGTTTACCGGCAAATATCATTCGTTGTTGATCAGGTGGAATACCTTCTTTATCTTGAATTTTCGTTTTCACTGATTCAATCGTATCGCTTGGACTCACCTAAAACACACAAGAAGAAATGTTAAGCAACAATGAATTCTTCACAAACATCGATCGTGATTGTTTTGCCGGTGAGTGTTTTAATATAGAGTTGCATTCCACCGGACGATTGATAAGTCTCAGTTATTCGATCCGAATCTCGTTCGACTGCAGCTGTAGTTGGTTTGTTATTCTTCAGAATTTCCAATTCGTTTGCAACGAGAACGAGCTCAATTTGATTCCAATCTTCTTCTGTTGGATTATTCACTGAACCAAATAGAGTCAAATCAACTTTTGATGCATTGGTATTTTCCAATGAAGAATCGATTTCACATCGATATAAACAACGCCATTCTTTTGTTGCATAACAATATGAAACATTCAACATATTTGATTGATGATCAGCATTGGCATTTGTTGTAACAGCAGTTGTTGATGGTGATGAATTACTCGTATTGAATAGGATTCGAACAGAATCAGGATTGGTATTCGTAGTTGGTTTGTGATTATTCAATGTTTTACTCAAAACCTTTTCCAATTGATCTTGCAGATACGGATCCATGAGTTTAATTCCATCGATGCTACTCACTAAATGTATCGAGAAAGAGTCAAATGAGAACGGATTTCCGGCTTTTTCATGATCTTACAATCGAAATGCCGAATGAATCCATCGTTGTTCAAAAATTGAACAATGTAACTCATTTTTGTTTGCATTGAATTTTGACCAAGTAATGTTGGAATTTCGTCAAGAAGAACAATTTTACCCGTTTGTTCTTTATTATTCCCTTGAATAGTGACTACAACTTCAGCACCAATGCATTTCTGGAGAAAACTTGCCAACGATGTCGACGAGGTAAAACTCCCAAACGAATAAAACCGTTCCACTGTATTTTCCGCTACAAAATTCTCATGTTCTTCGGTATCGTATGTAACGGCATTGGCTGTTGTGCACAGTGTATCAATAACTAATTTCTTGTGCTTTTTTGCTACATGAATAACTGATGGCGAATCCGAACGATTGATTACTCGTTCGAAATAACCTAAATCATTTTTGTATAAAGTTATACGTTTTAACGGTATTGTCGTTGACATTGTCGGACCACGTGAATGTAAAAAAAATAAGTGAAGAATATTTCATACTCGCTGTTTTTATATTCCTACGACAACTTTGAGTATGTCAAAATGTGGTGCAATACAGAAGAAAAACAACGGTGAATCATTCACGACGAGAACAAACTAGAAAAGGTAACATAACGGCCTGGATTTGGGCAATGATCATGAATGGTGAAGTAAGTATGTGTTCTTCTAATAATTCATAGTTTATCTAGATTCGAATGATTGCAATGTTTTTTATTGATTGAGAAAAAAATGAATTAGAACACGAAATTTAGTTGAGAAATAACTTAAGGAAGTGGGGCGATTTTGCCGATACCAATTGAATTCATTCGACTTGGGTGTTTTCCAGCTGGTAATCGGTAATAAATTGTTCCGACACCAAGTGTTTCCAAATCGGCATCTTCAGTCGCCGCTACTCGGACTTCACTTAAACCAGACACCGAAACTTTAGCTTTCTTTGTTTGCAAATTGACAGTATCAATTTTATTCACACCATTGCTGTGGATGTTCAAAAGTTCACGAGCTTGACCAGTAAATTGAGCACTAGCAGTTCCGGAAGCGTCGATGTCTAATTGAAAAACATCGAGTTTCATTTCAAGACTGACTGAACCGCCAATGTTAACAGAAAGAACGTCATTGCCTGAGTTAGAAATTCCAGCAGCATCTGTAACAGTTTTACCAGTGCCTGTAACGGCATAACGACGTAATGGAGATGGAAATTTAATGTAAACATTGATTTTTGAATTTGTTGTAAATTGACCATCGGTGTGAACTGATAGAGTGCTACCATCACGAATTTCGACGATTATTTTTGGTTGGACACTTGGAGGGGCTTCGATTTCGACACTGGGAGCTGGTTGTCCGTTTGTTTGAGTGAGGAACACATCGAAGTTTCCATCAATTGTGATCTTGTCGAAGTTTGTTGAGGACAGCGGACGATTTTGTCGAACTGGAGCTTCATCTGATTGAACTGCAGCGAATGTGCAGACAAAAGCGAGTAAGAGAATAGCGCGCATTATCTTCGTCGTTCAGAAAAGAATCGAATGATGAATATACTGAATTTTCTTCTTGTTAAATACATGGAGCGACGACGGTATATCGTGGAGGAGAGAGAGAGAGAGAGAGAGAGCAGACGGTTGTCTCATGAACATACAGAAACGAAAAATTCCCATCGAAAAATTATTTCCCATGTTCTCTTCAGATCGAAGGGCTCAAGTCGCAATCAACCAATAGGCTCATTAGATACGAAAAACACAAAGAAAAATAAGAAGGTGATAGATAGTTGATTTCATCTCATTGCCATTGATTCGCTAATCGTTTGAATAGGCTAGGAGAACAATGACTAAAGATGTATACTCCCGATAGACATATGTTTAGTCAGCTTGAAAAGTTATTCAGTACAAAAAAAATCACATTCTGTTTCGATGATTACAGATCTTGTTAAATATCCATTAGCCAGTGACTGTTTAGTACGAATGAACATTAAATATCTAAATAGAGACGATGTGCACTATCATGTAGACACATCACATTGACCTCAAGGTATTTCAATTAAAAGACAATCAAGACATAGATTGTGACTAATGAATGAAAAAAATAGTCGTTTATTTATTATTGACAAATATTAATGACAGAAAAGGATATTTGGACAAAAAGTTTCATTAGATGATCGTCTTATGTTAGACGAACAATTCTACCGATACCAGTTGTTATCTCTTTACTTGGAACTCTACCCGACGGTAATTGATAGAAAACATTTCCAACACCCGTTACTTCAATATCAACATCATTGGTCGCTGCTATTCGACTAACACTCATACCGGATGACAACACTTTGACAAACGGAGTGATTACTTCTAAAGTATTTACTTCTCCAACACCATTGTTAATAATAGACAATTGTGAGCGAACTTGACCAAAGAATTGTGCAGTGCCACTGCCTGTTTGATAATAATCCAGAAAATTCACATTAAATTTCATGGCGAGATTTCCTGTTCCGAGTTGTTCGATGACAAGTTTATCATTGGTTGGATTCAATAGTCCAGTCATGTGTGTCACTGTGTTACCAGTGCCTCGAAATGTATAACGTCGTAATGGAGTTTTCAGTTGAATGTGTACATTGATATTTTGAGGAACACGAATATTACCGATAGTACGAATGGATAGAATATGATTTTCAAGAACTTCAACAATAATTTGCTGTTGAACAGAGGGAATAGTTTCGACTTCCACAACGGAATTTGCTATTTCGTTGGGCTGAATAAGAAAAACATCAAACGCTCCATCGATTGTAATTTCATCGAAAATTGGGGATGTCAAAGGGCGATTCTGTCGAACAACAGATTGAATCTGTTGACTTCGAACAAATACACATGATATAACGAGAATTAATATCGAAGAAAACATCTAAAACAAACGAACGCATTTGCAAGAAAATCGACTGAAATGACGTTCACATTCGTCGAATTCTGTGTATATAAACTCGTCCATATATGTGCAGAAAAGAGAAACGATTTCATTGCCGTCGACTAGCATTGATATCAACATGTCACTCAATTCTGATTTCATAACACTTTTTTTTCTGTTTCATCTCGATCATTGATGATCGCCTGTTGAAAAGCCGCGTCTATTGAAATGTGCAATATGTTTATCTGATATTATTCTTATGCATGGTGATGAGAAAAACAAGAAAACGTTCAGTTTCCTTCCGGAAAATCAACCGTCTGGGTCATTAATCAATCGATAGAGAATATTTCCTCCAGCAAGAATCCTCTTCTTTTGCTATCTGTTAGATAGATTGACCTTTTTCTTCTTATATGTGCGTGTGGATGTGCGCATCTTTCTGTTCCATTGATTGCTGTTCACATTAACGTAAATGTTGAACTTTATTATTATTATTTAGAAGAACCGATTGAGTGTAAGGCCAAAAAAAGAGTGAAGAGAAGAATGTTGGCGTGGTTTTGTCTTTGTTTAATCGTAATTCAATCGAATGGAAATCCTGTCTTAAGCAACGAATCAAATGTTACGGAGTCTGATGTTCCATCGCAGCTTATATGTGAACAGAATATCGCTGTGACGAGCAATAATAGTTTATATGAGGTAAAGATTAGAAGTTTCAAAGAAGATAAAAGAGTGTTTGTTTAGTTGTTAAATTATAATCGATTTTGGTTTGTCTCGACACGAAGTAAATATATCTATGGTGAACGAACCTGGAGGAATGTGTTGATGGAAACATCAACTAATGGAAATGCATCGATTGGCGTGGAATTTTTCGGAGAAGAACCGTAAGTTGAAGGAGAAAAAATATTTGTACGATGAAACTTTCGTTGTTTGCAGAAACGGTACGTGTGTGAGTTCGGAAAAAGGTCAAATGACTTCGAATTCGAAATCAAATCGAGTTGGTGTTCAATGGGCGAATAGCGAAGGTAAAAATCGAAGATTTTTCTCCATCGATCTGATTATTCGATGCCTTCGTTAGGTTTTATTGATTTGATTTATATGGATGAAAGAATGATTCACTTGATTCTTTGTTATTCAACCGATTCGAATCAAACTAATCTTTGTGCTCATAATCAAAGTGAACAATTCGTTGTGGATAATAATCAAGCAAATAATGAGAATGATACGATGGATTGGCTGAAATCTCATTGTTTGAAGATTAATCCAGATGATTTCATTATTAATGATAATCCAGGTTTCGAATGAAAGAGAGTATTGTTGAGGGGAGTTTACACATTCTTCTTCTAGAAAAATGTATGTCGATGGTGACGCAACCGCAAATTGTTTTGATTAATTCAACGAAAGAATCCAATGATAATCAAAATGAGACAAGTTTTCAAACAAGTAAGACGATTGTTCGAGAAATCTCTGAAGAGAAGTGGCATTCCGTATGTTTTTCAGTTATTACTGAACATGAAAACGTCACTAATGGATTGGTAGTAGAAGAAGAGTCGACTACACGATCGAATCGAACAAATCGATTGGAAATTCTGGAAGAATATTATAATAACACAACTGAAGATCAATTTGAAGGAACAACAGCGGTAGAAATCAAACCAATTGTTTTGTTATCTGCGCTGGATGAATCGAATCGAACTAATATTACGATTATCGAAGAGAATGGTATAGTTATTTTAGAACTTTCATATAAATGAGACATAAATTTTGTTCAGAATTCATCGGAAACGATACAATCGATCAAGAAAGTCCATCAATTGTTCTGCATAAAATGGTATTCAACGAATCAACGACAGAATCGAGTTTCGAGAATGAAACCAATCTTTCGACTAGTCCGCACACTCACTCAGTGATCTCAACAACTGTTAGATCAATTCTGAACGAATCAAGAACTATTGTGGAAGTACAAAATACAACTGAAATCATCACAACAGAAAGGAAAATGCCAGCAACTACAGAACAGGAAGTTCCAACAACAACAGAAAATGAAATTCCATCAACAACAGCAGAAAAGGAGGTTCAAACAGCAGCAACAACGGAGAAAGAAGTTCCAACAACGACAGAGCGAGAAGTCCTGACGACAACGGAAATGAAAACAACAACAATTGAAGTAACCACAATCCCTGCTGATTGTCTACCTTTAAAAGATTGTCCCTTTGATCATTGTGCATTTGCTCGTAAATTTGATAATCATGGATGTCCAACATGTAATTGTCTTCAATCAAATAAGTCAAATATCACTTGTCCAGCATTAGCATGTCAGCCATGCTTATACGGACATTTCACTGATCCAAATGGCGTATGTTTTCTGATCTGTCTTCTTCTTCTTCTTTTATGATCTTTATCTGATTTCTCAGTGTTCGGTTTGTCAATGTCAAAGTCGTCCATTCCCGCCCTTAGGTGAACGATGTCCACAATTAAATTGTGAACCATGTTATTTTGGTACAGTCAAAGATGAATATAATTGCGACACATGTATTTGTATCCGACCAAATAATCAAGAATGTCCAGTACTTGATTGTCCATTTGGATTATGCAAACACGGTTCAACGAAAGATGAAGATGATTGTCCTACTTGTGATTGTCTATTACCAACAGAAAATGTGACTGAAGTCAATTGTTCGACAACGGCTCAATGTCCACCATGTCATCTTGGTAAGTTCATATGCGATTTCGGATTATTAGAGAAAGTTTTATATTTGTTTTTGATCAGGTTATGTGAAAGATGCGAATGGATGCGAAACGTGTCAATGTAAATTACGTGGTAGTGTCCCATGTGCATCAGTTGAATCCCAATGTCATTGCGATTACGGATCATACTTAAATCCGGATGGATGTGAAACATGTTCGTGTTTACCTGATCCAAAAAATGCCTCTCGGTAGAGAAAATCTTCCGTAAAAATGAAATTCTTCTTTTCGATTTTAGTCAAGCATGTTGGGAATTATCAAACCATGCAAATCTGCATAATATAACTGGACCAACATGTTCGTTGGATGGATCATTTTATGCTCGTCAATGTGATAAAACACACTGCTGGTGTGTGACACCGACAGGTCTTCATATCAATGGATTCGAATCGCGACCAGATGAAAATGTTAATTGTGGTAAGTATCTGAGAGAATCGAACGTCTATTCATTCCTTTTCTTCTCTCTCTCTCTCCCTTAGCATGTGCCGTAGAGTTGTATCAAGTGTCGAGTCTTCGTATGATTGGTCATCATTTATTATGTTTGTTGAATGGAAATTATGCGCCGATTCAATGCGATGGTCGCTATTGTTCGTGTGTGGATGAGAATGGTAAAACAATTGGACCGAGTGTATCAGTTCAAAATCGTGATCAATTACGATGTGTTGGAGTTTATCAACAACTTCATCCAGGTAAAGAAATTTTCATTAAAATTCGTAATGAAAAGCGGATTTTATTGAATAGAACGTTTTGTTTTACATCGATCAAGTGTTGAAATAAGTGATCCTTCTCATGTTTCCTACGGAATTTCATCTTCGTTATGTTTAAAACATTTGGAACAAGTTCGCAATGCCAATGTCACAGATGAACACATTCTCATTCCTGTAAGTACAACTTCTTAATAACATTAAGATTGATTACCCATGAGAATTTGATGTTTTGCGTAATATAATTGATAATATTCAATCTATATATTGCTTTGTATGTAAATAGGAATGCGATGCCAATGGTTTGTATTCGTCTGTTCAATGCGATCAAAACGAACGTTATTGCTGGTGCGTTGATAAGAAGACAGGTGTAGAAATGGATGGTACACGTCGACTCAATGCTCGACCCAATTGTAATATTACTTAATGAAGTTTCATTTCGAATCTTTTGCTTTTTTGCTTCATTTCTCAACAATATTTCTGATTTATCTTTGGTGTGTATATGAACATCTGTTCATAATCCTGCAGTGCTTGTTTTATGCGTTTTGTTTTGCATGGAAATTGTCGAATAGATCAGATCATTGAATTTCAATAGAACGATTGTCTCGTAGGAAAAAACACATACATATCAGTGTTGTTTTATAATAGTGCTCTTGTTTATAACAATAATACTCAAGAAGATTTCTCACTTAGTAAAATTTGTCCTTCGTGCATTACTAACATTGCCTACACTTATAGAAAGCTCAACAAGTGCATTTACGCTGTTCGTTTTCATGGCAATCGCAATTTGTACGTCTGAGAATCGTTACAAAGAAATAAAATAAACAATAATATGTCGAATTGACTGATTTCTTTCTCTTGAAATCACGCGCACATTCTCCTCTCGTTTTCTTCGTCGTTTCTCCTAATGAGAACTATAAATAAGTGTTGCACTCACATACCTCAGTTTATTTCAAATACAAATTATGTCGAGTGCAGGTGTAAATCAAGAAACTCAAGGCGGTACATTCAAAAATATCATCGATGATCCAGCCACAAAACCTCATTCACACGAATACGCTGAAAAAGACAAAGAGAAATGCTGTTCAACCGAAAAACCCTGTGGAAATGAGAAAAAACCGTCCGATTCGAACGAATGCGGAAATTGTCAAAAAACATAACTCGTCATTTTGAAGAAAAAAAGACTTTACTTTTGTGTATATTGTAATTAGACAGATCTGAAAATCGTTGTACTTTGTTTGATGAATAAAATTGATTGATGGAATACGAAAGATTTTGACGATGATCATCAAGTGTGTCTTAATCAACGATTATTCTCACATCAGTTCTGCACGAGTTGACTTCTCTTGATGAGAATTGCCTGTTGTCAGTTACTAATGAATATTTTCATTTTTAGTTTCATTACCAAAAAAGAAATGTCAGAAAATAATTGGATAATAACAATGATGAATGTCTTATATAATGATCTACTAGATTGTTATGCAAAAGAATCTTTCAAATAAAGTAATCAGCTGAAAAGAATCCCAAGAAAAAAAATGCAAAGTTCGCGATGATTATTCAAGTATTTCGATCTTCAGAGTCCAATTGAGCAGTGCGTCTTTTTTACTTCAAGTAGAAACGCTCCTCTTGATTCCGTTGTCTAGACTTACCGAAATAAATGCTCGTTGTTTTCTAGAGGGAGTTTATTCGTTGTAGGGATATCAATAGCTGTCATTCGACCTAGTAATGTAAGTATCATGGTCGTTTCTTTGATCAAGACTCGCTTTTGAAGGATAGGCATGACGTGTGAATTGATGTACATTAATCGTTCTATTCATGTCAAGTCTTGCAATAAGAAATCAGATTTATCTTTTACTTCGATAAATATACAATGATACGCGCCTTGAAGAGAAGGAATTTAGTCATTTTTTGCTTTTGAATTTCGATTAGGTATTATTGATGGTATACATAAGTTCATCATTTATCATCGGTTTTTGTGTTTATAAATGTTCTGACATCTTCTTGTTCAATGTAGTTCAAGCGGCAACTGTTCTTCGTTGTGCGATGCATTTTTTTTGTCGGTTAGAATCATAAAAACTGACATGTATTAACCTTGACACTTGACAGATCGAGGCGTTTTCATCGTTCTTGTTTCAATCGAATAAGATCTTCTCAGATCGATAGTTGATATAATTAAAAGATCATAAATAATTGTCAACATTTGTTTCTGATATAACCCATCTCTCTTTCTAATTATACATATCGATAAATGAAATTCACCTAGATGAGTATATGTCCTTGCTTGATCTACTTGACACATTTCGCTCATTGATACGTATATTACAGTTCAATTGTTGTTGTCATCATACATCCTCGAGTTTTTTTTTCTTTTCTCTCCCTCTCTCTTTCCTATGCAATGGTAAGATATTAATGTAAAGGTAACATGTGCATGTCCATCTATATTAGATAAATATGCGTGTGCAAACAAGTTGGTAAAAACCGATTAGTTTGTAATAACGATTACATTCACACGCACATATTCACAACAAGAAACTATGCTCGTTTTTTTCTATCAACGTTCATAATTGTAACGTTGACTGTGAGCTTCTTTTTCTTACATAATGATGCTTAGGGCAAGTAGGAAAAAACGAAGAAGCAGAATAAACGTCTTGCTTTTGTCAAAGACAATAGTGAGAAAAGAGGTGCTTCTTTCTTCAAAAAGACAAAGAATAAAAGTGTGCCCTTCTCTTTACCTTTTCTTCCACACATTTCATGTTCATTAATCTTATATGTATAAATTACTAATCAAAGTGATAATCGAGTTCAAACGCCAAGGATCATCATTCATGTTACGAAAGCAAGATAAGAGAGTAATGTTGTATGTATGTAGTTGCTGTTTAGAATTCATCCTTTTTAATTAAAAATAAAGATCAAATAATCAGTAGATCTTGGGTCACTGCTATCACCTACACTCGATATCGTTTATATAACAGTAATTAAGATACTGATATTGCTGTTTCTTCCATTCCCTTTCTGTATACACAACAGATTTTATAACAATTATTTCATTCCATCTTTAACTGTAAGGTTAACAAAGAGGAACTCAATTATGAGAATAAAGAATGTTTTAATTAACTAAGTAGAAGAGAATAAATCTTTTTAGATAGACGTATGTACCTAAGAATAAGAAATCTCTTTGCCATTGATGTTATCACACACGTACGTAATAGCACCTTATCTTCTTCTCTTTATTTTATATTACATTAGAGACGAGATATACCGAATATCTTACCTATAAATCTCTCTTGAGAAGATTATCAATTGAAGCAACATAAAGTCTTATTTCTTTCTTTACATATTTGTTTCACAAGCTAGGTCATATTCGTATCCAATGTTGAAATATAATCTATTTTTTATTCTCTTCTATTTAGTATCTCATCCGCCTCGTTTTTTTCCTTCTCTTTTTTCTTCTAAACTGCACGTCCCTGGCAGTATGTCATGTCATCACTATTACACTATATATATATATATTCTAGACATAAAAAAAATGTAAATCAGGAGTAGTATTGATTGACAAATAGTATTCTTCGACTAGTTATGCATCTGCTACGTTTTCTCTCTCTCTCTTTTCCTCTCTCTCGTTCGTTCTTTTTCTCTCGTTTGAAGAAGCCTTGAGAGGTATGTGAAAAAAGAAACACATAATAAGAGAAGATTGGTAGAGAAGTGTGTACTCCGGAATAACATCTTAAAGATGATAAAAACGCCATTATTTGTTTTCTCGTTAACAAAAGATCGATTAATACCATCGACTTAGATAATGACTGAAAAGTCGGTCCATGAGACCAGCGAATAAAAGATATTTTGTTGAGTACGTAGATATGTTTTAAGTATTGAGTATAGTGATAGATAGAACAATAAATGGAATGACAAGAGAAAGAGAGAGAAGGAGAAGATTGCTTTGCAATTATCTCGATATTTGGCGAAGGACATTGGAAACAGAACACGACACAAAACAGACAAAAGCACTAGAGATATTCGCGCGTCCTCTTGCATGCCAGAGCTTGCAGTAAAGACACTAGGCATAATAATGAATGAGAAGAGAACGGATAAAGTAACGCAACCATCCTTAGGAGCTATTTGTGATACTAAGCACATGAACGAAGTAAATATAGAAAATGACTTTTAGTTTTCCACATGAATTGATGCTGTTATTTATATTCTTCACGCCATTAGCTTTTCTTGTTTAGTATGTCCGACAATGGAGTCAACTATAATTATCATCGAACAACTAATGGTTATTCAACAGCATACACACAATTTCTTCTCGAGCTCTTTTCTTCTCGACTAGATCAGTCCTCAATAATGACAAGTTTGATTCTTCTCATTTGAAATCATATGAGAATGATTGGCAAACCAGTTGATACGATTGTTATTACATCTGATACGTTTGATCGAGTACCTAATGATAGGTAAAATGAGATGAAGAATATTTAATTGAAATCATCTGGATTGTTTATTTATTTGTCTATTAAGATGTTTTATCGTGTTTTTATCATTTCTTATTCATGGACTCGGATGTTTTTTACCATGGAATTTATTATTTCATAGTTATGAAGTAAAATTGACCGTGTTAGTTTAATGTTGTGAAAGGTTTATTGAGCTTCTTTAGTATTTCGTCTGTTGTAAATTTCTTGGTGACGATTCGGATGTCTATCGTCAGCATTTTCTCAGCTTTTGTGCATTAGCTGCTCTTCTTGCAGCTTTAGTCACCACTGGTATCGGCCTTTTCATAGGTTTTCAGTAAGTACAGCGAAATTCTCGTAAGTTTTCCAACATATTTTCATTGTAGTGGCGATACCAAACGACGGGTTATCCCATCGATCGTCGTTCTGATTATAATGTTTATTCTACAGGTGCTTTTTGCCGTTTTCGATGCTCGTGATTGTAAGAAGATGATTTGATCATTAACAATACAATTGTTCATTCATACTTTAGCGTCAGGTGTCTTCCTTTGTGTAACAATTCTGAATATTGTCGTTATCGGAGGTAACAGAAACCAATGATTAATCTCCTCCTTTTGCAGTTGGTGACTTTTAGCTTTTATCGGACTATATTTATCCAGTATTGTTGGTATTGTATCATATTTTCCTGATCGATATGTAAATGCCCTTGTCATCGGCTCGGTAAGTCGTAAAATGAATATTAAGATGACAAAATTTTTTCGAAACTTTTAGTCCTTGGGAATCTTAATCGCGATTTTTGGAAAAGTGTTCTTTGAATATTGTAAGAAGAAGATTTTCAATTCGAAAACTCCTTAAAAATCTTTCGTTTAGATTCCAACGATTCAAGAATTCTTGCTATTTATTTTCTTGTATCAGCTGTTATTATTCTTTTCATTTGCTTTGACGTCTATTTCGCTTTTCCTTATTCAGTTAGTAAAACGTTCGTTGGTTTTATTCGATTCATGAACATTTTTTGTCGTAGCGTTTGTTTCGATTTTATCATACATCGATCAAAATTGATCTTCTTCATACGACGAAAGGACGTGTTTTTCAAGTTCCGTATGGAGGTGTGATGAAACAAGTAAAATCAATTGATTTCTGTGGATGAGAAACTTGTATTCGTGTTTTCTTAGATCTGGCTTCAATGTTTCTCGATATTTATACATTATTTTACAACATTAACTCTTTTTCCAACTATTCTTAGTCAAGTGCAAAGTGCAACAGCGAATTTTTCTCCACCAAGTAAAAGGAAAAATTTCATGTCGAACACTTCGTTCATTCGTATTGATCCTTTCAGTCCGAAATCTTGATTTTTCCGATGCAATTGTTCTTATCAATTTCGGTCTCTTCAATCTTCTCGGAAATTGTCTTGCTGGTTGCATAAAAAAAGTAGTGAACAGTTTTGCCTTGTATTTCTACAGAATGTCGTTCTCTGTTTAGCCATATTCGCGCTGGATCTCTCTATTTGTGTTTCTTCGTGCGATCATATCATTTTCAACATTTCTTTTTGTTAATTTCGAACCCTACACTCGACATAACATCCCCGTCGCCATCCAAAATGATTATACTTTTATGGGATTAGTCATGGGCTTCGCATTTACGCACGGATACTTCAATTCAATCTTACACATGTTAACAACAAAGTATGGAAGAAAAACACGTCGACAATTCGTGAGAAAATCCATGAAATATTCTTTTTTTTAGGTCAGTCGAACCATATCTATCAGCAACAACCGCGGTTATCCTACAATTGTTCATTCTTATTGGTAGTTTTTGTGGAATTATCGGCTCGTTTGTGTATTATTTCATAGCAACAACGCTTTAACAATCGTTGACACTCTCCTTCACCTAATTTTGTCTCATCTGAACTTGTTTGTCTAGAATAAAAAGATTTGATTGATAAGAATATGAACAGATAGAGAAAATAATGAAGAACACAATAAAATCTAGGGTTTGATCTGTTCCCTGGTTGTTCAAGGTCTTAATGCATGTCATATTCACAGAGTAAAGGATGTAATGGTGATGTTCGCATTGCTGATGAATGACAACAGGTAACATTGGTATCGTTTAGCCATTTCAAACCTCGAGAAGTTTGAACGAATGGGTGATGAGGACCAAGTTTAAGTATTCGTTGGAGAATGTTCTCTGATGTCCGACTGTTCTTTTGTCCATGAAATATCAGATAAACTCCATCACAGTACGGTGCGCATTCTGGTTTATCAGACAAATTTTCGTAATTATTAATAGAAATCGGTCCGAAAGGATCATATCGACATAGTAAATGAGTAGTTTTCGCTTTCCACAACATAATATTCATCGCTGTTTCATCGAAATTCGCATCAAGAAATTCTCTCTTCTGCATCAACGCCAAAACCCGTCGAAGGAACGGATACGCTCGGAATGTCCATGCAAATGTTGCGTGCATATACGGAACAATTCGTTGTTTAATCTCATATCGTTCCAAGAATGTTTGGTAATTTCGCGCATCGTCTGGATGTTTTGGCGCTAATGGAACATCATACGGCCAGTGATGAAGCATATCGAATAGTAAATCGATGTTGTAATTCACAACAGAATCAACTTCGAGTTGAACGCCGTATTTGACTTCACTGGAAATCATGGCGAGAAGTTTGCAGGCGAATTGTGTTTCACCACAATCATCTTGGGAAATGCGTTCGATGAAAACACGGGGATGTCGTGTAGAATTGATAATTAAATCAAAATCAATCGGGAAAATGATAATTGGGCGTGTAGAAAATAAATGAACGGAATCGAGTAGAACATCGAGTAAATCTCGGTAAATTTTATGATGGGATATAAAAGTAACGAATGCTTCTTTTGGATAATGAGTTCGACGCACTCGAGGTCGCAGGAATTTTGGAACATAAGGTTTTAGTGAGAGATATGATTGTTTGTAGATGAAAAATGATAAGAAAAGGAAGAATAATAGTCGAAGAACAAAAGTTTTTCTATCCGAACTGCTTAACATGTGATCGAATTTGTTTGTTAAATGACTTCTCTTACTTTTTCTCTCTTTCAAGAACAAAATTCACATTTTCTTTTCGTTCTTCATTTAGTACACATTCAAAACTCGAACTTCTATAAATAACATTGAATAAAAGTTCTATTTATTAACAAAATAAATATAATCACAAAAAGCATGTATTATCATCATGGATAAATTTAACCTAATTCACAAACAGAAACATCTATCGATCGAGTTTCATCATTGGTGTTCACACAACAACGGATGAATTGGTGAACGTTTACTATCAGGATAACAACAAGTGGCAGTTGTATCATTAATATGTCTCATTCCACCTATTCCGAACAACTGAACAGTAGGTTTACCAGCATTTGCTTTAAGTCGAGTTAATAGTGCAGCGGAGATCTTCGCATCTTTACAACCGTGTAAAGTAATAAACGCTGTGTGACAAAATTCAGTACAATTCGTGATATTCGGCCATCGTTCATAGGCATCAGAATATGTAAAATAAGGATCTAAACAAATTAGTTGTATTTCTGTTTGTCATTTTGTTAAAACAAGTTCTTTTACCATATTTACACATGGTATGATTCGCTCCAGCTCTCCACAGCATGACATTCACAGCTGTTTCGTCGAAGTTTGATCCTTGGAAATGGCCTTGTCTTAAAAGTGAATGAAGAGTTTTGAGAAATGGAAGAGCACGATAGTTCCAAATGATATGTGCATGAATGTATGGTGTGGTTGCTCTTGATACATTGAATTGTCGAGCGAAGTGCCCCCAATTCCTCGGATCGGTTGGATGACGTGGAGAAATCGGTAATGGATAAGGCCAAACGTGAAGAACTTCGAAAAGAATATCAACATTGTAATTCACAACATCATCGGTTTCCATTAAAACACCGTAATCAACATTGCTGCTAACAATTGCGTGTATCTTACAAAAATAGACCGACTAAAGTATAAAAAATATTTCAAATTCAATTCGAAAGTAAAAAAAGAACGAACATTACCGGTCCACAATCTTTTTGTGAAATACGTCTTTTGATTACCCGAGGATATTGTTTCGGATCAATATCAAGATCTACATCAATACCAAAGGCAATAACCGGTCGAGTCGAAAATGCGTGAACAGAATCTAAGAATACTTTCAGTAATGCCAAATAACTTGGGTGATTATTACTAAACGTTACAAACGCTTCCTTTGGTTGCCAAGAACTATTCGTTTTGACATTATCTGGTGGTTGATTAACAATATTTCCAACAGAAGAATTGATTCCATTAATTTTATCCGTTTGAGATTTAGAAATATTCGACAGTTTGTGGCGACTGGAGTTAGAAAATGAGATCAGTATGTTTCGAGTCAGGATTATCGGAGTTTTCACATCAATTTTGTAGATAAATAAATATGAGAGAAGAAAAGCGACGGCGAATATAAGAAACACTCGAAGTAATGATGATCTATTATAGAAATTATTGAGAGAAGTCGAACTTCCATTCATCATTTGAACATAAACAGTAGGATCAATTTTATACAATACAAAAGTCAATCACAATCTAAAACGAGAAAAGAAACACTTTTATGTTAAATACAAATGTAAAATAACCTACTCGCTTTACACAAAAACACAAGAGAAAACAAAGAACAACATGCAAAATAATCAAAATGGCTTCTTAACACCTGTTCTTATTCCAAAAAATTCACGAACCTTCAACAATCATCAAATTCTCTACGCATCTCATACTAATTCAATAAAAACAAATTTATGTAATTTAACTAGATGATTATTAAATGCACTCACACATAATCCTTCGTATTTCAAATCGATTTCGCTGAAAAGTATTGCTTTTCTCTGCTATCTGACTACTCACATGAATGTGTGCGACACATGTGTATCAAAAACACATTTTGACAACAATCACACTCTTTCTAAAAACATATTTTCCTGCCCTATAATCAAAAACATAATGTTTCTTATCTTTACTTTTCTTGTAAACAAAACTCGTCTGGTTGAGACGATATTTACTAAGGAAAGTAAGATTTTTTTCTTGGTAAAAAAACCAGAAGACTTTCAAAGTCATCTACTAATGAATTTCTTTTTTAAAGAAAAAAAGAGAATAAAAAGAAAGTGTCGCTTCTTTTCTGACATCAGTCGATTCAATACGCAAGAATAAACCCACCAACCAATGACATGTACTATGATAATTTAACTGAAGACTAACTCACGATTATTTTCCATATACAAATCGACTCTCAAATACTTTCACTTCAACTGATTTTGTCTCTCAATTAACACACTGTCGAGCCTCACAGTTCCGTTGACCTTTCTTTGACGGTTGTCCTTCATATGTCAGACTTACATTCAACGAGAACGAAAAACAACGTATTACTATGTGGCTTGCTCCTACGAAAAAGAAAATGATTTGTTCTACCTCTCATGTAAATATCTACAGCAGAATAAACACATGGATATGAGCGAAAAAGGTAGAAAATAGTCCATAGTGAAATAGGAGGAAAAAAACCTGGGTATTCGATACAAAAGGACAAACGATAATGAAGAAATAACTCACCGAGATTTTTCGTTGACAGTCGGATCGAACTATCGTTTGTTTGAATAACACTTTTTCATTGTTCAAAAATCGATGTTGCACTTCTATTTGATCAAAGAACAATATCGTATTTGCCAAGATTGTAAAACATAAGAAGAGTAAATAAATATTACAAGACAAATATCATTTGGATTGTTCTTCCTCAAAATATCCGTATGATTCAGCGAAACAACGCTTATTTCGTATAGAACCTTCTACCAATGAATATGTCGTTATTTCTTCTCAATGATATGCATAAGTCTTATGACTTGCCACGGACAAAGTTTTATAAACGATCAAACGAATATTGAAGAGGAAGGAAAAGAAATTGATGTGGTATACCATTGATATTTACTTTTGTCGCTTGGAGTCAGAAGAAAAAATGAAATAAAATATGTTTGTTTGATTAGAAATGGAACTTAAAAGAACTTTTTTTTCTTTTGGAAACATTAAAAATATATTTCGATGTCGTTCATTATCAGACAGGATTTTGCAGAACTTAAGGAGAAATGTATGTTCTCATTTGAAACTTTATTCTTTTCGTTCTTCATTGAAAATCGTTACACCATATGAAATGTTTTTCTCTACTTTCGAGCAGACTGTAAACGTAATATACGAATGTAAGTGGCTCTTACATATTTAGTTTTTTATTCATTCTCCGTTAAGAACTGATGAGTAGATATGAATTGCACACGACAATGCTGGAACGGCGGGATGAGAGGCTTCTTTCAACTTATCCAACGTATTGCTAAGATCTGCAGTCATTATTGCGGTTTCCACCTTCGTGACACAGGTTTCTTTTATCTATGGCGAAGAATCTCGTTGAGAATAACACAATATGTTACAAACATTGTTGTTCAAAGATGTGTAATTGAGCAGAACTATTCTGCCTATTGGAGTATTATTGACAAGAATACAAAGAAAAAAGTGATGTTGATGATCTGTGCTGAACCAATACTTGTAGAAATGTTGAAGACCTCAATTTTTCAATAAACAGTCAGATCTTTTTTTTATTCGCAGAATAGCATGATGCCATTTAGCATCTTGGTTACACGGAAATCCTGTGTAAAAAGCACAACAACCATATGCACAACTAACTGTTTTATTCTTTTGACATAGTAATGAATGAGACAAACATTGAGCTTGATTGTTTCCTCGTGCATATTATCCGATCTCCTCGTTATCAACTGGACTTTATCGAATTTATGTTCACTGTAATATTGTCAGACATTGTCCTATTGTTATACTCTGTTAAAAATTATTAATAAATTGAAGAAAAGTGCATCTCTGTTCAAAAGTAAAAGCGAACTTTTTTTTCTCTCTTTCTTTCGGTGCATATTAATGACGAGGAGAATGTTTAAAAGGTAAAGGAATTCATTTTGAAGGTTTGTGCTTAGCGATCATTTTCAAAAATGGTGAAGTGAAGACGTCAATTTTTGAATAAACAATCAGAAAGACAGAACGATGCCAAACGCTCGACAAGAAGCAAGTCTCACACAAATTCGTCGACTACTTGCCCGTTGGGATGAAGGTGAATACGATGAAATAAAATATAAAACCTGTTTCTATGAGATTAGTAATTTCATTTAGGTTCAACGAAAGTTCGTCGGCAAATTCTAAGAGATTTTATTGATTTGCATAAAGCGATCACAGAACCGGAACTTGAAAGTGAATTTGCTCAATCAGCGAGTTTATTTTTTACACGTATAAGTATGTTTTCACTGTTTTGTCCTATCAGATATAAATACATGACCTAGTTTAGCCTCTTGGTTACGTATTACATATCTTTTTGGAACGTGTTTAAACGAACAATTACGAGCACTTCGTGTTTTTCTTCAATCATCAACAGGAAATAAATATTTAGGCGAATTTCTTGATGTTGGTGGTCTTTTCACTCTTCTCGAAGTTCTCAACGTCAATCAAATCAAAGATGAAGATAAACTACAAGCAGTAAGTTTCTCTCTACAAAAAAAAAAAGGTCGAAATATGAACAATTCTCTAGTTGGACTTATTGAAACTAATCGCCGATAACGGTCGAACATACAAAGAACTGATTTGTCAATCATATGGTATTCGAGCAATAGCTGAATGTATGGCCAAATCGAATACAAGTGAAAGAACACAAAAAGCTGCTCAAGTTCTACTTGATTCCTTAGCTTTGGGAAATCCAATCTATATTCAACAAGTTTACAAAGGTCTAATCGCTATTCTTTTATCTACATCACCAAAAGCACAAGAATTAGCTGTCGCACTTCTTTGTAAACTTCAACCACAACTTGAAAAAGTCCATGGAAGTTTACTCGAACCAGTTGTTAATCTTCTTCAATCATATCATGCTGAAGTTCAATATCAAGCCATCGAATTGATACAGATTCTTATGTCACATAAATGGAACAACGAAAATACTGCTGCGGTTCTCGCTGAACAGTTAGTTCGATGTTTGAGTGAATCGTTGAATCACGAGAAAGCAGACATTGATGATGGAGATGAAAATACTGATTTGATTGAATCGTTAAAAGGTGGTCCAATGCCGATATACATTCAACAAGCAGCGATTTGTAAATGTATTCGTTTATTAACCAATCAACGGGAAAGATTCTTACGATTGAATATTGTTCATTTACTTTTATGTGTCATGGGAAATGAATCATATCCCGAAAGTCAACGACAGGCTTCATTAACTCTACATGAATTTGTAGAAAAATATTCGATTGTGTATGACAAAGTATTGGAAGCACTTGGTGAACAATTATTCGAAATATTCTATCGTGATCCTGATGGATTTTACTCGGAGATGAATTCGATTCAAGCTGATGTTTGCCGATCGAATCGCGTTCAAATGTCATTTGAGAATTCGACATCGAATTAATGTTTTATTTATTTATTGAAATAAAAAGGATAAAAAAAAACAAAGCAACAACAGATTAATTCGAACACGATTTTGTCGAAAACTCCGTGAGAATGAGATTCTGTTTTGTGTTATTTGAAGATGAAAGAAGACGATTGATTGGAAAACAGGAAAGATTTCCATTTGATAAATTTGTGATTTCGATCCATTCGAAAGAGATTTGACCATTCATTGATTGAAATTCATAATCTAATTGAACTTTTTCAATTGAATTCACTTTTCTCGTTGTGCAAAGTTCAAATATTTCGATGGAATTATTTCGTTGAAAGGCTTGTTGATTGTCCACAGTCTTTTCCAATCGAACATCCTCAGTTTGATGTGATTTTCCGAAGATTTTTATGGACAATTTCATTGGATTCTCTCGTGTTAAGTTCGTTATCTTTGTTTTAATCTTTACAATGTAAAAATTTCGATGTTGTGTATCATCACATGGAGTATTTTGATAATTTGTCATTGAAAAATGAACTTTGTCAAATAGTTCATCAATCCACTGATGAACTGAGAAGCATTTCGTTTGATTCGACGATATTTCTCTCAATTCAACGAAATCACAGAACCAGCTAAAGAAAGAAGCACGAATGATAAACAAAATTTCCTTGCAAAAACAAAGCCAACCCGTCATTTTGTCCATCGTGATACAAACTGATACGATCAATGTCAAAAATGTTGACGTTTGATATCTGAACATGAAATTTATCCGTATGATGTTTTTGAAATGGAATTTTATGGTTTAACGAATGTTCCAGTCGAATCGCTTTCGCAATTGGTTGATTCATTTTATCATACAGATTTAAATAAACATTCACAGCATGTTCGGATTTACTTTGTAAAGGTTTTTCTGTTGTTTTCGTACGAATTTCATACTGATTCTCATTTATCATCAAAACTTTGTCCGACATGGAATCGGCTAATTGTTGACAAGGTACATTCGATTGTTGAGAAAGTATAACGTGTGTTCTGTGATCTTGTTCACCTTTGTCCAACCAACGTTGAATAGGAAAACAATACATTTCCTAATATGAAACAAATTTCAATGTTAAAACATATGTGAGAAGAGAACAGACTTGATTTTCATCGTCAGTGATAGAAATCCATTCGCCATACCAACCTTGATGTTTGTCTGCGTCGAGTGATAGTTTCACTGCTTTGATCGTGGATAAGGATTCGGATAAAGTGACTTTGAATTCGTCGATACTTCCTGGAGCGAAGTGATGACCTTCTGCATCTTTCTTTTTCAATGGAATTTCTTTGGATTTTTTATCGTTGATGTCGATTAATTGTAGATGAAGAGGTGTAGTCGAACCAGCTGATGGATGATTTCCAGTTTTTGTGTGAATCGTGTAGCTCCGAGAGAATTTATCGGATTTCAATTTTTTCGTAGTTGCTACAACAGAATATCGATGAGATTTGTCTTTACACGATGTGTTGACTAGTGGATTTTCGCAATGAATATTCATTTGTTTTAAACCAGAGTTTTGATCGAGTGTTGCATTGATTGGAAAACAGTAAGAAGTGTTAGTTTTATTATCAATAATGTTGATATAATCAACATGCCAACCATCGTTCTTATTTCCTTTATGCCATAGATCGATTTTAGCAACACCATCAAGTGTTTCTTGAGTATCAATGATGAAATGATCTGATGTTGTTCGGTTTAATGATTAGAGAAAATCGAAATATGAAGATTCGTGATTACCTGTTTGGTTTCTCTCGAATTTATTTCGATGTTTTGTTGACTGTTTCAACTGATATACATCAGATTTTCGATCATTGTTATCATAAATTCTGAGAAACACTGGAGCATCCGTTCCTGCTCCATCTAATCCTAAAAATCCCGTATGACCTGTTTTCACTTCCACTTGAAATCGTCCTTCTTTTCTCGTTTCATTCGGTTGATACTTTTCGTCATCTTTTAGCTGATTACACAATCGATTGTCTTTCTGTTTATTGAAAATCAAGTGATCGTTTTTCACTCCACCATATTTTTCATTCCTGAAATTCTCACGTAAAGCCAATTTCAAGGAAATCGATTAGAAAATATTTACAAATATTGTCCAACAAGAAAACAGCTGACTTCGTTGGTCTTTCGATCAGTTATTTGCACGTATTCTGGATACCAACTATGTTCAAACTGTGATTTTCGATTTGAGGAAGAAATCTTTCGTCACGTACCCACTACCAATTCCTTTTCCATCAGTCCATAATTCTAATTTATCAATTCCATTCAAATCTTGTTGTGTTCCAAAGTTAAATTCATCTAAAATTCTGCGATAAAAATGATTCATTGGAGTGGAAATGTCCAACCGATTTTTCCGCGAGCAAATTTGTTTTTTCGATCGAATGAATCTTTCAATTCGATTGGTTCAGATATTTGACCATTATTGTCATGAATTTGTATGAAGACATTCGCATCTGTACCTGTCGGTGCTAAACCCAACAAACCTTTCTTTGCGGTTTTAATTTGAACATGATACGAATTCCTGTATTCTTCATCCGAACTTTCATTTGTCGATCTTCGATTTGCTGTTGGAGAAAAAACAGTTGGTTGTTTCATTGTATTGGGTAATTGTTCACAAGGAATTGCCGTTGGGAGATATTTTAGATGAACTTCCGTTTTGCCGTCTAATTCGCCTTTGTCTAACCAACGTTGAATGGGAAAACAATATGTTTGATTGGTGTCATTATCAGTAATTGATATCCATTCTGCGTACCTAAGGAAAGAAAGAATTTGCATGAATGAGATCCATTGGATTTGAAATTTACCATCCTTGATATTTGTCAGCATTGTGTGAGATTTCGATCGCGGTGAGATTGTTTAGAGGTTGATCGGATGTGATGTGAAATTCATCGATTGATCCGAATTGGAAACGATGAGTATCCTTTGCTTTCTGTTTTAGACGGATTTTTTCAGATTTTTGGGATTTATCATCGAATAAACGAAGATATATCGGAGTTGTCGAAGCTGCTTCCACTTGCGATCCTATTCAATCAGAGGATTCTCTCCTTCATCAATGAATTTTCGACGTTTTCCCACCTGTTTTCGTCCGAACAGTAAAACTTCGCTTTTGCTTCTGTTTCAATTCTTCGCAAGAAACATTCAATTTAAAATCTTTCAAGATCAAATGCTCGGAATTCCTTAGCCATCTATCCACAGGAAAACAATAACTACGTCCGTTTGTATTATCAAGGATGTTGACGTATTCGACATTCCATCCGTGCGAATGATCAGTTCCATCGTGATACAATTCAAGTTTGGAAATACTTTCCATAGATGTTTTCGTACCGATGTCAAATGAATCTTAATTTGAGAAAGTTGTGAGAAGGGGTTTTTCAAGGTGTTTGTTTTTTGTTACCGATCTGACCACTTTCGAATGGTTTTGAGAGTTTTGTTGAACGACGTAAGGAAATTGGCTCGGATGTGTGACCGGATCTATCGTGAATACGAAGATAAACATCGGCAGCAGTGCCAGTTGGCGAAAGACCTAAAAATCCTCGTCGACCTGAAGAAAGAATTAGTTTATTCCAGGTATTTTTGTGTTGCAAACCTGTTTTTGTATCGACGTGATATGTTTTTCTGTATTGAACTGTCGAAACCGAGTCATTTATCGATTGAACAGCTTGGATTTGTCGTGTCTCAACCGTATCCATGTCATTTTCTTTCTCTCGACATAAAATTCCATTTGATTCTTTATTCAAAATCAGATGATCATTGGCAACACCACCGTTTTCCTTATTGAGAAAGTTTTTGATTGAAAAACATGCTTCTTTATCGGTTTTGTTATCTTTTATACGAATATAATCAGCAAACCAACCACTTCCATGGTGTTTTCCGTCAGTCCAAATCTCTAACTGTTGAATAGCGCTCAATGGTTTTGTTGAACCTATTGAGACATGATATTTCCTAAGGAAATCTCAGAGATGTTAATATACCAATATCGAACTCATCGATTTGACCACGTCCAAATTGTTTTCGATGATCAGTGGAACCTTTCAATTGAATTGACTCAGATTTGTTTCCAGCATCATCAATTATTTGAATGAAAACTCGAGGATTTGAATCTAAAGAACATCAATTATGAGAATCGATAGTTCGGACTTTGTTATTCTTACTGATTGACAAGAAATCTCGAGGATTTTCTTTTCCTGTTTTGATTTCTACATCTATTGGAAACCAAAGAAACATGGAATTCAATATTCTGGAATATTGTCGAAATCTTACGATAAGTATTTTGAAATGGGATTGAACTTTTTTCTGTTGAATATGAGACACTCTCATTAATCTTGTGAACATTCGACACGGCACGTTCATCAAATTCATTCATTGTATTTGACAATAATTTACAGGGAACATCGGAGATTGTCGTAAAAGACACATCCGTTTGTTTATCATTCTCTGCTTTGTCCAACCAACGTTGGATCGGAAAACAGTACGTTTTTCCATTGTCTTCATCGATAATCTCAATCCATTCAACGTACCTATATGAAAATCCCTATGATTTTAGTCAACCGCGAGTATTTTAAGTGAATCCGACCATCCTTGGTATTTGTCAGCATTGTGTTTGATACGAATTTTAGTTAATTGAGTAGATAAAGGTTGATGAGAGATCACTTGGAATTCGTCGATGGCCCCAGGTTCGAAATTGTGTTTATCGTGATCGTGATGTTTCAATCGAATGTCTTCCGAGCTTTGTTCTTCATCGTCGAATAATTGAATGTGAATTGGTGTTGTTGAACCCGCTTCGATATGGTTTCCTAGTAGAATATTTCCATATGGAAAACGTCCAATAGCGATTCCAAACCGGTTTTCGTTCGAATGGTAAAATGTCGTTCATCGTCATTTGTCTTTTTCTTGGAATTTGTATTGAATAAACTTCGTTGGATCAATTCGAGTTGTTCCATACAAGAAACATTAGTCAAGGGATTTTCCAGAACGATATGAGTTTGTTTTAAACCCAAATTTCGATCCAGCATTTGTTGCACAGGAAAACAATACGAAGTTTTGCTTTGATTATCGACTAGTTGAATAAACTGCACTAACCATTTGTCATGTTTCTTTCCTTCGTGCCAAAGTTCAACTTTGGAGACTCCGTTGAGCAAATCGCGTGTTCCAATATCAAATTGATCTAAATAAAAGAATTTCTTTGAATGAAAATCGATGCGTCGATCGAAACCGATTTGATTTTGTTCGAATTGATTCGAATGTCGAGTGGAATTTTGGAGTTGAATCGGTTCAGACACGCGACCTTTGGTATCGTGAATACGAAGAAAAACCGGACTAAATGCTCCTTATAACAGACGAACAAATTCGAGAATTTCAACATACGCATTCGTTCCAGTTGGACCAAGACCGAGAAAACCTGTGTGGCCGGTTTTGGTTAGAACGGAAAATGTACTTTGATACGGAGACATTTCCAAACTCTGTTCGATTGATTGTTTATCTTGATCATCTTCTCCGCATGGTTGATTATCGGTAGGTCGTTTTAATTTCAATGGATTTTCTTTGGTTCCTCCATTTTTCTCATTTAAATATTGATCAACTCGGAAGCAAATCGTTTCTCCCGTTTTATTATCAGTGACTTCGATGTAGTCAGCAAACCATTCTTTACTCAATCCTTTCCCATCAGTCCATAATTCGATCTGATCAATATTTGTTAAAGATTTGTTGGTACCAACATCGAAAATATCTATTTGACCTCGCTCGAACTTATTCTTGTGCTCTAATGAACCATCTAATCGAAGATTTTCGGATTTCTCGCCATTTCTGTCAATCAGTCGAAGAAAAACATTCGCATTCGTCCCTAAAATTCATTGCATCAATCTTTGAAATCTCATTTTAGACCTGACCTGTTGGTGAAAGACCGAGAAAACCTTTCTTTGCTGTTTTTGTCTTCACATGATATGTATTTTTCATCGGTACGATTAACGTTTGTGAAGACAATTGATATTGAGTACTCAATGTCGGAAGAGATTCACGTATGAACTGAGTCGTTGTATCCGGCAACGAGTCACACGCAACATCCGATATCGTAGTAAAATATACATCCGTTTGTTTATCATTCTCTGCTTTGTCCAACCATCGTTGAATCGGAAAGCAATATCGTTTCTTGTTGTCCTCATCGATGATTTCTATCCATTCAGCGTACCTATATGAATATTAGTACGATGTGTTAGTTAATCGAGTGTGTTGTAAAGTAGTCTAACCATCCTTGATATTTGTCTGCATTGTGTTTAACACGAATACCGAGAATTTGATCGGAAAGTGGCTGAAATGATGTAACTTCGAATTCATCAATGGCTCCAGATTCGAAATTATGTTTGTCACGATCGCGATGTTTAAGACGAATATCTTCAGATTTTCGATTTTGTTTGTCCAATAACTGAATATGAATTGGCATTGTCGAACCAGCTTCAATTTGGTTACCTAAATGAATTTGCATGAAAAATCATTCGTATTCTTTGTCGCGCTGACCAGTCTTTGTTCGGATGGTGAAATTCCGTTGAATGTTCTCATCTAACTGAGGATTTGTTGATGTGGCATAGAGAGATTTAATATCGTTCGAACACGGAACATTAACTGATGGATATTCAAGTAGAATATGCGTAGTTTTCAAACTAGAGTTTTCATCGAGTGTTCCATTGACATAAAAACAGTAGAAATCTTTTGTTTGATTATCAATGACTTTGATAAAATCGACTCTCCATCCATCGTGATGAACATCTTCACACCATAATTCAAGTTTTTTCACCCCATTCAACTTCTCACGAGTCCCAACATCGAATTGATCTAAACAGGAAAACAATTGAAGTCAATCAGTTAAATCCCGTTTACCAAAATGATTCCGCTCGAATTTCGTTTTATGACTTAACGAATGTTCAAGTTGAATTGGTTCCGACTTCTGTCCATTCTGATCGTGAAGACGAACAAAAACAGTTACATTTGATCCCGCTCCACTAAATCCAAACGTTCCCGTATGACCTACCATCATCATCATCGTCGGATGATTCTTTATATCAAATTATGTCTTTTCCTCTTACCAGTTTTCGTTTCAATTCGATACGTCTGTTTAAAATCCGATGATGAATTTTTTGTTTGAATCGTTAATTCATCAGCATCAAATCGATGTTCTCGACAAGGTCGATTCTCAACTGTTTGTTTCTGTAAGATTAAATGTTTTTCTTCAATTCCTCCATTTTCTTTATTCAAATATTTTCCGATAAAAAAACACGCTTCCTCATTTGTTTGATTATCCATCAAAGACACATAATCCACAAACCAACCATGACCAATTCCTGTGCTATTATGCCAAATTTCGAGTTTATCAATCCCATCCAGTGGTTCGATAGAACCTAAAAATATTCAGAAATGTTTCTCAAAGGTTGATCAGAAAAAAAAATCAACCAATATCAAATTCGTCGATTTGACCACGTTCGAATTTATTTCTATGCTTAAGAGATTTATCAAGTTCGATGATTTCAGAAACATGTTCATGTTTATCATGGATTCGAATGAATACATTCGCATTTGTTCCTAAATCAATCGATGTTTTGACAAACTCAATGAACAAACTTTCGTAAGTTTACCAGTTGGTAATAGACCAAGAAAACCTCGTTTGCCTGTCTTTGTTTCCACATGATATGTTCGTTTAAATTCTGAAGTACTTCTTTCGTCGGAACAAGACTCATTGATAGTGAATTCGGAAAGAATAACTTGTTTGATATTTCCATGAGAATCAAATGGTTTGTTCTTCAAGTCTTTTGTTAGAATGGTTTAAGAAATTTTGTTGAACTTACTACGGGAAAACAGTAGAGACGATGAAGATTTGTATCTTCGATTTGAATCCATTCAATAATCCATTTTTGATGTTTTTCGTTGAGATACCAGAGATGAATTTTGCGTAAATTCGATAGATTTTTCGAAGATCTTGCTTGAAATTCATCGATTGTATGTTTTCTAAAAGGAATTGTATTGTTCACTGTTTGAACAAGTTGAATATCTTCTGATTGTTGATTCTGTTCGTCATATAGTCGAATGAGAACATTAGTTTTTGTTTCTGACAACATTTCATTTCCAGTTTTGACTTTGATGTTATATTTTTTGATAAAATTCTCTTTTTTCGAAGAAATATTCTCTTGAGTCTTAATGATTTGTGTTTGATCATAAAAATTCGTTAATTCATCTTCAATTTTTTCACAAGAATGATGCGAATGCATGGTAAGAACAACTTTTGTCATTCCGGCCATTGATTTCTGAGACAAAAGTCGATTGACACCAAAACATTTCATATTTCCCGTTTTTTTATTTTTAATTTCAATCCTAAATCGATAAACTTCTCAAAAAAACCAATCTTCTCATTTTCACATCCATACCATTGACATAACCAATCGAAATCTGATTGATTATCGTGCCAAAGTTCGATTTTATCAATCGTATCATCCATTAAATGACTTGATCCCACATGAAATTGATCGATTTTTCCCGGTTGAAATGGATTTGTTTGATGCTTTGAATTACTCAACAACATATCTTCGGTATGTTTATTTTTATCATTGTAAATTTTCAGATAAATATTTGCGTGACTATCTGTACCATTCAACGGTTGATTCGGACTGGTTTTCGTTCGGATTAAGTATTCTGTTTTGTATTGATCATGTAAATGATGCTCACGATATTCATTTTCTTCACACGATTCATCGATAATAAAATTTGTTAACACGACATGAGGTTTCTTATCACTTTCGTTCAAATCGAATGAACGATGAACAGGAAAACTAAAAGAAAAACTCTTTTCACATATTCAGAATTCAACCGGAAATGAGAATGATTGATTAGACATATATCATGATTACCAGAATCGGTACTTAACCAAACGAACATTCTGTCAAATCAAAGTATCTGAACTCGATATATCCTTAGATCGAACACAAAAGTTAAACGTAATCTGCTATTTTCTCTCTTGCAAAAAATTTTATTCGAACCATTTTCGTTCTAATGTCTTCATATTCATAATTTCCACCCATTTTAAATACAATCCATCATGTTTTTTCCCATTATGAAAGATTTCGATTCGATCAGGAGATTGAATCGTATTCGGGACACTAATTTCAAAGACATCAGTATGTCCATCTTCGAACGGATCATTATGTGTCAAAGATTTGTCTAACAGAATCTCATCGGTGATATGTTCACCATCATGTAAACGAATATACATTTTTACGTTCGTTCCTCCCATTCCATGTGAAAAAAGACCTTTATGACCAACTAAAATAAAGTTGTGTCAATGATTTTCTTCTTTAGTTCATCTAACCTCGTGTTCGTATTTTGAATAAAGTTTCATTTGTACGAAATTGATTTGATAATGATGATGCGATTGAATATGCATCGTGTTTTTTATCATCTAAACATCGTCGTTGATCGTAATTGGTTAAAATTACTTTGACATTTCCATGTAAATACTCTATAAAGAAGAATATCATTCTGGAAAAGTTATTCTTCAGGGTGTTCACCTTTAATTTGAAAACAATACGTTTTTCCATTGTTCTCGTCAATAATTTGCAAGATTTCACAATGAAATTGTATTTCTTTCTCTCCATCATGCCATAATTCCACCTTTTTCAAAGTATCCAATGAATTGTTAATATTCACTTCAAATCGATCGGTTTGGTTCGATCGGAATGGTTGTTGATAAACTTTCGATTGTTTTAAATGTATCACATCCGATGATCGATCATGAATATCATATAATTTCAAGAAAACATTTGCTTTCATTGTTGATTTAATCCCTAAAAATCCCTGATGACCTGTTCGTACTCGAACATCATAAGATCCGGTCTCCTCATGACAAGCTCGACCTTGCTGCACTTGTGTTAACTCCAAAGCATCGCCTATACTTGATGGAAGATAATCATTCACTGGAAAACAAAAGATTTGCTTGGTGTTACGATCAATCAATTGAATCCATTTGAGAAAAATTCGATTATGTTTCTCAAAAGTACTACTGTGTAGTTTTAATCTCTGAATGTTCTCGGTGAGTCTTTCGTTAATTTGAATGGGAAACTCTTGGAGAGTTTTCGAGAGTTTAAGACGAATTTCTTCGCTTGATCGATGTTGATCATCGAAAATACGGAGGAAAACGAGCTTTTCATTCGGTGAAAAATCGTTCGGAGAAGTTTGCAATCGAATTAAATATTCACGAGCGGATAAAGACATCGAAAGAAAGAAAATAAATAAATTTCCCGCCATTATGAGAAAACATTCGTCATCCTGTTCTGCAATTTGCTTTGTAATCACATCTTGTGATTTCAGATAACGATGTTTTCTTTTCAGATAAGAAAAAAAACACATTTGTAATATTTCAAACGAATCTTTAAGCGTATTTTCTGTTTTCAGATGACACCGCAATCTTTACTCTACTTCGCTTGTGTTATTTCTTTGATATTTGGGGCAAATGGACAATTTAATCGAGTTCATTTGACCAAATTACAAGCTTTGGATTGTCCTGAACCAGCGATTACTCTGAATATCTTTTCTGGAACACCAAATCCATCATGGAAAATCAATAAAGAACAATTGTTAAGCATGAAAAAGATGGCGAACGACGCATTACTGAATTCGAATAATAAAACAACGTTGAATAAACTCACAACACGAGTTATGGGTTATCAAGGATTTACAATCAGTTGTTCGGCTGAACAGTCCGTTTTTATTCATGGTTTGTATCCATTAGAACAATTATTGTTACGTGGTGGTCGTCGTCATCTGTCCACATCGATTGTTGTTCATGTTAAAAACCATTTGGGTGAAGTGATGAGTGATCTTGAAGATGTCAGAGATGATAATGCAAATTGTAATCATGTTCCAATCCGAGGTCCTGACACAGTTCCTGCTTATGATCCAAGTACAGATGATAATGGATGTTTTATTACGAAACAATCGGAAAATAATTGTTATGCTTATGGTAAGATAAATGAATATGAGATTGAGTTATACAACTTCTGCGTTGCTCATAGGTACTGATATTGTTACAAATACGTTTCCACAACCTGGTAAATAAAGTTTTGTTTTTGTTCATGAAAATATATTTGATTTGTACAGGTCGAGGTAGTGGAAAGAAATGGTCATTCAATACATGTACCGACATGGGTAATGCGTCTGTTCGTGATGGATTAGTTTATAATGGTACAAAATTACCAACTGCACCACCAGAAAAAGGTCATTTCGTTGCATTATTCATATGGCCCGATACCAATTTTCACTGGATAAGAATGGTTTGATTTTAAATTTAATTTGAGAATCACTATCATTCGATATGAAATTGTGTTTTATAGGACTCAAACGGTTATTGGTCACATAAACCAGGAGGTATGTATACTTTTCTATAATGGAGATTTTATACGTTTGATGATGTGTTTTATAGGTACAGCAGTTCGTAATAAGGATAATCGAGGTTTACCAATAACTGACCCAACCAAATCGGATTTCTCACCTTGGACACAATACTGTGCATATTTTGTTGCTCAACCATCAAAACTTCAAGTGAATTAATCGTAACATTTCAGAAGTTTTGTAACTTTTCTTATATATTTAATAAACATTCTTTTGAAGTGCTGAAAACCAACCTAACAGATAGTCTTACAAACTTCTCTTACTCAAAATTAAATAAGCATAAATAGACTTATAATGAAAGCAAGTTGATTTATATAGCAAAATCAGTCGAAGTAAAATCTATATTTTAAAACTAAAAATAAATTTCTCAATATCTTTTCAACTTTCTTCTGAAACAAGTCCAAGTGATTTATCATCTTGAAAAACTCCATTATAACGATGTCCATCCGGAAAAATCTCAATTCCTCGTCCATGTTTCTTTCCTTGCCACCATTGTCCTTCATATTTATAACCATTTGGAAATGTACAAATTCCATATCCATGTCGATAATCATTTCGATATTCTCCTTGAAAATCAACAAACATAAATATCAACAAAAACTTCTCTATTCATACCGATATATTGTCGACCATCTGCCCAAGTAAACGTTCCCCGTCCGTGTCGTTTATTACCTCTGAATTGTCCTTGATATTTCGAACCATTTGGCCAAGATTCGACTCCATCTCCATCCATTTGATTTCTATACCATTGTCCAACATAAGTTCGACCATTTGACCAACGATACATTCCATATCCATGTTTTTCTCCTTCATCATTTAATTCACCTTCATATGGTGCAGATTGTTTCTTTCCTAACCGGATTTTGACATGCGTAGTACGTTGAAACGGACGGACATCATTTTCATCTAACTGAACATAAACATTCGTCTTCTTATCGAAGTAATACAACGGTAGAATTTTCGTTGTTTTCACTCGACGAACAATCGCTTGAATCAACGCTTCGTATGTCGTGACACGAATCGTAAATAAACACGACGGTTCTTCGATACAAATCTGAACCATTCTTTTCACTTCTTTTTTTCGTTTTTCAGTTGACAAAAGAAACAGAATGCAACATACAATTTAAGATATCGAGATAAGAAAGAGATAGAATGAGACCTTTTGTCTATTATTAAGCTTGAATTTCTTTTATTTGAATAACCACGAATGTGAAATAACAAATTTAGTAAAGAAGAAAAAATAATCATCTATTTGATGAGATCGAATGGAATCATTTGAGAGTATTCAATTCGACAAGACTTGAAAAAACCTCTATAGAAACTGAAAAAGAAAACCCACAAAACACACGGAGAGATGAGATTTGGAAAATAATAGACTGAGCGATTGATTCAATTTGAAAAAATTTTTGGAAAATGCGGAATGCGAATCATCTAAACAAAGAACAATTTCAAATGAGAAAACGACGAAAAATGTCAATCATTTACAGAATTATGATAAATATTATTGTTTACTTGAGAGAATACTGAATATCCACCAGAAGGATGATGTGCCATGGATAAATAAGGATAAGACTACAGAAATGTCATTCGAATCCAAATGAAAGCTCATCAACTTACTGGATAAGTTGTCGTTGTTGTTGAATAATATTGTTGCCAAATTGGTTCCGAAGATGATGCACAATAGATTGGATGGAATGGTACATTAACAGGAAAATACGGGGGGATATTTGGATTGTAATACTGTTGATATGTTGCGAACAGATTTCGATCATTTGTTTGATCTTTCCAAGAAAACAAATGGATTATTCGATATGCAGAAAAGTGAAAATTACTGGATGAGTTTGACAAATCTGAAGGTGTATCAATACTTGTTGTTGATGATAAACACCGTTCTGTTGGAATGGATTGTTGTTTTTTAATCGCGGGATTGATGGATAACTTCCGATCCATGAAATAAAGTGGGACCTTGAAGGAACAAACACAATACGAATGAGAGAAATGAACTTTTCAGCTTACTCGATATTCGAGCGCATGCACAACAGAACGTTCTTTGACGAAAGTGATGAACGCATAGCTATACGAGATCAATCGATATTTGTGAAATCAGTTATTGAAAGAAAATACCCTTTTGTCACGCCATTTTCATCTTTTACAATACGAGTTTCACGTACTGGACCAAAATTTGAAAAGAAATTTTCTAAATCCAATTCGGTGCACTGAAAATAAACGTTAATTTCGTTGACAAGAAAAACACGAAATGATTGACATACATTCGGGGGAAAACCGATAACGAAAATTTTATTCCGTAAGATTCGACCTGTTTTTGGTACTTTTTCATCGGTGGATAACTTTGACTCAAGTAAAAATTGTAATTTTCGATTGTTCGACATGACTGATCCGTGTTGTAAATTCAACATTGTTCAATTGAAAAGTTTTTCCCAACAAAATTCAAATCAGAACAAATTCCTAGATTTGGTATTACCAGCGCCTGTTTACCTCCTTCATTTTCCTCCCAAATACTTCTGCACGAAATCTTTTTTAAAATTCAACAAATTCATAAATTTCCCAAGAAAATAATTGTTTTCATACTTTTCGACATTTTTCTCAAGAATATTATAGATGTCGCTTTCACTCGCCAACAATCCAATGAAATCAGTGTAACGTATTCGAAAGATTCAAAAGGGAAAGTCAGTCATTTATTGATCATCATTAGTTAGCAATGGTAAGTCAAATTCGATTTTCTTCTGATTAATTTTCCTTTTTCTTCAGTCGGCGTTGTTCAACTTTCAAAGTTTGCTTGTTGTTATTCTTCTTTTAATCTGTACGTGTACTTATATCCACGATTTTTATCCCAAATTACTCAATCGTTACAAAACAGGGTAAGAAATGCAGTTCTCAAACGGGATAAAAGTGGTGACTTGATTGATTTTTAGATTTCGTGGAACTTTCTGGAAATTCGCTCGGATTGGCCAACGAAAAAGTCAATACGTTTCAATTTTCTGTATCGGAATGGCCTTAAGTGTTCTCTTCTGGCAATAAACATGTTTTTTTTCGCTTCTTTTTGTTTATCCACAAGAAAATCTTGACTATATACACGGTGTTTTAGATTAAAAACAAGAAATGACGTATCGACATAAACGATCAATGAATGTTGTTCATCATTTACGTAACGAATCGTTAAAATGTAATCATTGGCAGTATAATCGTTCGAAATATTTACAAGATCGCTTCGATATTTCTTCTCAATTGTATTGTCAAAATGGAAAAGGACATTCGGGCTGTGTGAATGCTCTCGATTTCTCTTCCGACGGACTTTTTCTCGCTACTGGTTAGACAATCCTTTCATAAAAATCACGTTTTCGTTTTGCATTGAATCGGATGTTTAGGTGGTGATGACAAACGTGTGTTGATATGGAATATGAGTGAAACAGTTTTCAATGAAACCAATCGAATTCCCATTGTGTTAAGTGCCACACATCTAAGCAATATTTTTTCAATTAAATTCGATAATCAAAATAAACGAATCATATCCGCTGGAAATGACGAGCAGATTTTAGTTCACGACATCGAAAAACAACGACAGTAAGTTCATAAAAAAGTTCCATTGAGAAAAATCCCATTTTATCTCTCTCCAGTGGATTTAATGGTGATCATGCAGATGAATTAGTTGATGTTTTTCTTGAATCTTCGCCTGTCAATTGTATATCTGTTCAACCAAATCAAAACGATGTGTTCATTGCTGCTACTGACGATGGTCATGTACATCTGTATGATTTACGTTCTGCGTCATCAACTGCTGAACATGATCAACCGTCACTTGTAGCTGCCGAGTCACTCGACGGATCTTTTCATTCGTGTGCATTTCATCCACAACAGACGTGCTTAGTAGGAACAGCAAATGCACGACAAGGAATCGAATTGTACGATATTCGATTATCGAAAAGGTGTGTAAAATTCATTGACAAATCGGAGTTCTATTGAATTGAATTTAGTCCGGTGCTTCGCTATGGTGTATCAACATCTTCAACAACAAAAAGTTCTACTAGTGGTCAGAATGAGAATGGAATTGAAGGTATGAGTGTGACTTTCAATCAGAATGGTAACCTGCTATATGCTCTTCGACGACGATTACCTCCGGTATTATTTAAACTTCATCAATCACAAGCATTTTGTCAATTTGATGCTGATAATTATGTAAATTTATGTACGATGAAATCAGGGTGCTTTGTTGGAGATCAAGATCAAGTGAGTTTGCGTTGAAATTTATACTCATTTCAATTTATTCTTTTGGAGTTTAGTATGTTGCATCAGGTTCAGATGATTTCAATGTTTATATTTGGCGCATACCAGATCATGATGATAATCATAGTAAGTTAAGACATAACCAAAACTTATCTGTTCTATCGAATCAAAATGAATTTTTTTAGTCAATGTTCAAAACTCTTCTAAGTCACATTTGTATTCAGGTATTTTAATCATATTTATTGAAAAGAAAAACGATTTGATTTTATAAATAAATAGATCATTTCGTCTGGAATGCTCATATGAGTCTACAAGGTCATCGATCCGTTGTAAATCAAGTTCGATACTCATCTCGTTTACACACAATTGTCTCAAGTGGCGTCGAGAAAATCATCAAAGTACGAACATTATTATCAAATACTTCCTTCAATCTTTTCTTTTAGATCTGGACACCATATCGTACTCGAAATAATCATTCAAATAGTAATCTATTAGTCGGTCGACAAGAAATGTACACTCATCGAGATTATCTACGAGCAGTTTTAGAGTCCGGTAGGAAAATCAGCGAATTTGTTATGTGAATTGTCAAAGAAATTATTTAGGTTCAGTTCATCATGATTCATCGATCGAACGATATGATGAAGATAAACGAATGTTAGCATTCTTTGATTCACTTCTCCAACGAGAACTTGGAAATAGTCATACACATTCCGATGATGATGATGATGATGATGATAGTGATAGTGATGCTCTTTCGTTGATATTTACTTCAAGTGAAGATTCATCAGATGGAATTCTTCAATCGGATCATGAAAATGAAGAACAAGTAACTTTAGAAGAAATTAACAGTCAAATAGCCGATCTGTCGTATGATTTTTAAGTGAATAAGTTTCAATTTTCTAAAGCATTTTTGTTTTAGAGATTCAGCAACACATTCAAATCATCCTTCAGTATCTGGAATGACGAACTCTCGCCATTCGACAATCGTATCTCTTGCTAAAAACTATCGTGTACAGTATCTTGAAATGCTAAAAGAAAACTTCGGAACAAAATTCCCTCAAATGGACAAACGCTCTTTGGATTCGCCAACTAATTCTTCAGTTAAACGTCAACGTTCATCTTCCAATTCCAGTAACAAATTACAAAAACGAAACACTTAATCGTTTGAATATTTTTATCTCCTAAACTTTAACAATGATGACGAATAAAAGATTAATGAATCAAATGTTAATCGACAGGCATTGAGTAATCAAATTTGAGGTTAATCCATTAGTAACTCATTTCACTTTCAATAGGACGACGAAGATTAGCAATCAACGGGAAACAAAGTTTTTCTTGGTGAAACTCAGCGTGAGTCTGATGTGATTAAATGAAAAGATTGGATTGTTTGTTAATCGAACGAATATATGGCAAATGAAGAAGAACTTTTGGTATATTAACAAATTTCGAAGTGTGATTCTTTTTTCCGATTTCAATCCGATTGAAGGAGTCAACGTTTATTCATCAAGTGTATTGAAAAGAACCGTGAGAAATATATTAGAAGGTCAATAAAATATTCAATATAAAATATCTCGATAGATTTTAACAAAAAAAAGTACATTTTTAAAAGATTTCAATCGCAAGATCACTGCTTTAGATTCTTTGATTGATCCAATGGTCATTATTGACACAACATATGATAAGAGTGTGAACGAAGTGAAAGTATTCTGTTATATGATAAAACTCACATTCTTACCCTTGTCAAACTACTTTTCTACTAGCTCTATATGTTATCCATATAGTTTTTATTCAAAACCATGGATAGAGATGTATTTTTCTTGTGAGTAAATATTAAACTGACGTGATAGTCAATAATTTATGTTACATCTTACATTATTGACTTTTTTCCTTTGCTAATATTACATGTTACTTCATAGGCATTAAAGAACGTTATGATTCATTTGTTATTGCAAAGAAAATCGTTAACTACGATAGGATTTTAACAAATACACTTTCACTTTATCTAAACAGAACAACCAGATACGTTATTTTATATTCTGTAAGTTTTTATTACGATGTCTCGAATCGGCTCTATTCGTTGCATTCATTTCTATCTTACATGATTTTTTCCCTGATGAAGTTTTCTCATCTCCGTTCGTTACCTGTGCACAAAGTAATACCAAATAATTGGAAATCAATTCAATCAATGTTAATATTAATAACTCATTTAGTTTCTTCTCGTTCGATTGATTATGAAACTCTATTGGTTGATCTTTGACCTGAAAATCACTTAGTTACTCCTTGGTTTCAAGTTACGATAATACAACTAAAAATTAGATAAGAACAGATTTAGATGAACATTTAAGAGCACACATTCAAGACGTGAATGAAGCTGCTGGATAACTGATTGCGACTCTCGATGCGAAGGTACGTAGTCAAGAGTAATGAATTCAGTATGTAGTCAAACTCTTTTGCACCTCAAAACAGATCTTATTGGTATTTTTTTCTCCAACATTGGATCTCCCATCAAATTTCTAAGTATGGATGGCATCAAAGCATTACATGACAATTGATAAACAATTAATCGATCAAGAGAAATCCATATTCTCAGAAGTTTTGAAGGTTCTGTTCCTCATATTTCATCACGGCACATAATTCTTGACATTCAAACATGGAAATTGCAATTTTCTTTTTAAGAGTATAGCGATGTAATACCTCATGTGATTCCATATGCATACTTACTCATATCTCTAAGATCTTTTCATCTAGAAGTTTTATGTACAGACAACTAAAACATTAATTCTCTCTTTCGTTTCCAAGCAGTTCTTGTGAAGAAAAAAAACACAAAAACTACTCATAAACGACAGAAATATTTGACATTCCATCATTTCTTTTTCTATTTTGTATTCTATTAAACTTTTCTTGATTATTTTATTTAAAAGAATAAGACCAACAAACCAAATCGAAAAGTTTCTTTATTAATCATCGTTCAACTTGATTCGTTTGGGATTGTATCTGATATCATTTGTTTTCTTCTTTCCAATCCATATGAAATCACAACTATTCTGTTTCCGACATATCGAATCCAAAGTATTTTCAGAAAACCAATCGACGACTTCTTTTGAAAATCTTGAACGTGATATTGCCACTTGTATGACTGAAAGATATGGACATCGTTTCATAATCATTTCGATTTGGTTTAATCGATTGATAGGTAGGCGTAAATATTTTATCTGACGTGGAAGGATTGAACATAAATCGTTCAAAAATGGATATAACTCATATTTACAATAGCGATTATAGATTATCAGCGATGAAAGATTGGTTGAATGTCCAATAATTGTAACTATTTCAAACAATAAATGTTTGTTTAGTTTACCAAAGTAAAAACTTTCTAATTTAACTTCGACTAATCGAGAAATATCGATCATTGATGTGAGAAAGTTCATCGAACTCGCATGAAGTCTACTTGACATGTTAATATGAAGTTTTGTGACACTGGAGAATAGTTGTTTGTTCTCTATAACTTCCTAAAAATTAATAAACATAGACACGATGTCGGATATAGTCTACAGAGAGAAAGTTTCTTTCTTTGTAATTAGTCATAGTGAATTAGCGATTTTGTTCTATACGAAAGCTACTCGAGTTATTTCGAAGATAAGTGTTGTTATCCCCATGTCTCAAGTATAGCAGTTCTCTGATTAAATTCAGTAAAAACTCATCTTAATGAAACCTTTTTCTCAGCACAATCTTACACTGAGAAAAAAATCAGCAGAATAATAAACCCTCAAAAAAGGGTTTATAACCGGAAAAATCGATATATCAATGTAATCTATCCATTGATCTATTCTTTTTTATTGATATACCCACGGGGTTCATTCTCTCTTGACAAACCCTGAAACGATGGGTTTCTTATGAGTGCTGAAAAACTCCATAGTTGAAGGTTCATTCGTTTGATCAGCGCAAAAAGGGTTTATCAAGAGAGAATGAACCCCGTGGGTTGATCACATTGATATATCGATTTTTTCGGTTATAAATCCTTTTTGAGGGTTTACTATTCTGCTGATTTTTTTTTCAGTGTAACGAAAATGATAAGGGACATGTTCACTATAACTATAACAAATTTAAAAAAATAGCTTCGCTCTTTTTTAAAGATTTGAATAACATACTTCGTTTTTCAGACTACCAGTCGTCGTTTCATTTAAAAGTAAACTGATCTTATCAATGTTATTTGTTATTGATAAATCATCGTACCATGATGATATTGTAGAATTTGAGGAAACCAACACCTTCTCTTTCTTAAGTGTATATTCAACAAATGATTTACAGATTGGTAACGAATAGATTTGTATTTCATAGGCGTTAGATAATTCACAAGCTACAAACCACTGTTTTTGTTCAATCCAAAATGGACTTCGGAAGGATTGAATAATCACATCAAGATCTTCATGAGTTTGTTTTTGTGTTACTGAAACATTCGAAAAGAATTCAAATTTCTCTAATTGACAAAGATTGATTTGGATAAACTGTTCCCAACGATTTCCATCCAATGTAAATCCATCTGAAATTATTTTCAGATAAGTCAATGATGATGTCAACGACAGAAATGATTCCAGTTTATCACTTATAAGCTCAAACTTTTTTAAAGTCAAAGAAGTTATTTGTGGAAACGAATCTTTTTGAGATAAACTCTTCATATTTAATAATTCTCCTTCGATAGTCAAAGTATGCAATTGAGGAGAACACAGTAGAATTTGACGTAAATTATCGAAAGGAATATCATTATTTATAGTTAAACATTGGATTCTGCAGTGGATAGGCCATGAAATTCGATCGAATCTGAAACTGATTTCAAGTTTTCGAAGAGCGGAATTTGCCACGATGGATGAAAGAAAATATGATGTTGTTTTTACTCGTCTAGCATCATATTTTCGAATTTGTATTGAAACTGATTTTAATAAAGTTAAATTGATACGTTTTAGAATGATATTCATTTGAAACTCGTCAATATCAATCAATGTTAGAGAATGAAGCCGAGTGAATCGCTGCAGACGAACTGTGGAAACAAATAAATCAATTGCATTTGGTGTATATTCACTATTACAAAGTATTAATGATCGAGCCTTTTGAGGAGTAATCAATTTACAAAGTAATCGGAAATCAGTTAAATAAATCGATTGGAAATCAAGAGTATAACGCTCATAAGTATGAACAACATTTTGAAATAATCGACATACAGATCGAATTGAGAAAATGATTGTTTGAGTATCAATATGATCGAAAATACGATGAAGTATTTCTACTGGTAATGTCTCCATCGACATGTGAAAAATAATGTTGGAAATTTATATAAAGAAAAACGACGATTGACGTGGTGACTATTTATTCACTAAAAAAGAAACAGAACGAAAAACAAAAACAACGATTGTAATCTATGCAGTAGGAAGAAAAAGAATGAAGAAATGAAAGAGAAGTGAATATCAAAAGTAGTGACAGTGACGCTGTTTAAGTAAAAAAATGTGTGAGATTGGTAGCTTTATCTGCCTGTCACATCTTAATAAGAAATAAAAGATCTTGAGAGAGAACACAGGAGAAATCTACATACATATATTCATATAACGACAGCTATATATATTGTACGCGAGTAGACAATACCAAATGACAGGATAGGAAAAGGCCATCATGACGCATAACATATGTGAATTGTTTCACTATCCCATACTGTCTGATGATGAGATGAAATACTACGCACACACATGCAAGTATATATCAAGCATTTATATAGAGTTCGTCACATGTATATGACTCAGAGATTCTTCAACTCATAGTCAAAGGTTGTGATATCCCACATCAAACAGCTGTTAAATATAGTAGGGAAAGGGAAACATAGAAACAAAAGAAAGAAAACTGAATTTTACAACTGATTATGAGAAGAGAAGCGAAATATTTATAACTATTTCATATCCGATAGATATTACGATGGATTAATTAGACACATAAGTACCTTTAGACGAAGATAAATCTAATCAAGACTATCAATAATAATCCTTGTTGATTGATTAAATCTTATTGTTAATGATGAATCTCTGGGTTTCTTATTCGACTTTCTGCAATTGTTATTTTATTTGTTGACAATTGAGCGGAGTTTTATTCAAAATATTTTCTATATGAATAGATGAAACATAATGTTCATTCAATCTGAATATGTGTTACAAAACATATGATATTATGATAAACTGTTAGACAGTTTCAATTCAAATTACTTTTGAAGATGTATTTAGTACTTATTATGTGTTTAAGTGGAGGAAATAGACAAATATTGAAAATATCTTCGACCATAAAATATCGTTTAAATATTTTATCATTATTTATACCTGAGGATGTATGTTATGAAACATTAAACTAGTGTTTATCATATTCGTTTTTTCAATATGATCGAGACGAATTTTAGAGTATTGAAGCTTTAGGAAAAACAATTTCTTCATTAACATTTCATTTTGTGTTATCATAACTCTTCTAGTATTATGTGGTCTAAAAAGAAAGGAGAAGAATCTGTTCTGTTCAGTAGACGAAAAATTCGTGAATGGTCACTGTAGTTCAACAAGAAATTTATATAATAAAAATGTATACTAATTAAATTAAAGAAAACATGAGTTTTTCCGAACAATTTTATTCATGATAATGCATTTTTTATCGAAATTTTCAATGATCAATCAATAAAAATCATAAAAACAGATTTATTAATGATGACATATTAACAATACGGTCTATGGTTTAGTGCTTACCGAATAAGAAGTCTTTGATGCATTTTATTTGAATTCATTTCATGTTTATATTTACGATCATGTTGTATACGTTTTAACATTTTGTACAAAAAAGTTTTATTTGGACTGGACATAATCGTACAAGAATAAGATCGAAAATTCCAATAACAAAAGATATTTTTATTGAAAACTATTCATTATTATCTACTATGAATTAGAAAGCTAACGAACGAATTCAATTTAGGTAATTATCATCTCTTGATTGAAATATAAAAAAACATTCTTTTTATCGAAGAGAACAACTGGTGTAGATGTAGTTGTTCAGTTTATCAAAATGAAACAATCGATTTACATTTATGAAAATTTTTCTAGATCATAAAACAATGTGACAATTAAACTATTAATCATTACTTCCGGATCTCACCACCCTTTATTGATACCAAAAAAACAATCAACGGTTGCCGAATGCACATAAAATTAGAAAAAGTATATCTTTGATAATTGCATTATTTCTATCTAAGATAAAGATCGTGTGTTAGTACGTATTATTTCAGTTGAAAATATAATAAAAACTAAGTAGATACTGAATCTCATTTGTCTTTTCTAAACAAATCTAACAGATTCATTACTAATGTCAAATTGTCTTATTCCATTCTTCATTCACTTGTCTGACTTTAGTTACTTCACATAATATCACGAATTTAAGAACGTATTCGAAGTCTTCGTCGTAGAATACCGAAGAATCGTTGTTTTAACGTTGTTAATGTAAACAAATAAATATAAAATCCGCAGCTTGATTCGAAAAACATCGTTAATTGAATAAACCTTTCGATCACATTATCATATTTCATATCTAATGGACTTCGATACTTTTCCATTATCGATAATCGATAAACAATATAAATTCCATAAGGCAATGACGACAAAATCACCACAACAATTTCTGTCACAATCATTGACGTTAATTGTACTTCGACATGACCAATTTCTAATCGATCATGCCGACTATATTGACTATACATTGGAATCGCTTCATGATGACACCGACGACGTACATACAACGATCGTTTATGCCGATAGAAGATCGTCAACGAACCAAACATGATCATAAAAATCGTTTGACCGAAATAGACTGATGATAGTTTCACTCCCCAAACAATGATATTATGTGGAATACAATGATCATGTATAATAGTAAAAGAAAACAATGTTTGAATGGAGACTAACGCCCATATGATGCAGGTTAGAGAGCAAAGAGTGTAGGCGGTGGAAAGTGTGCAAAAGAAATTAGTTATACGTTGGGATTGATTTAATCGAGTTTTACGTTTTAAACTCATGCAGAAACGATTTAACGAGGCAAAAACAAGAGTTTGTAAGGAGATATTGGTACTTAACATGTGAAAGTACACTTGAATTTTGCACATTCTCGTCGCGTGAGTTGAGGTCAAAGTGTTTTCAACAAATGTTCTATTGAAATATAATCCATGGTCAAAACCAATGAGATCCCAATTATTCGGAAATAAACTCGATAAAGGAATATTATTCAATGTCAAAAAATGGCCAATCGTTGCGACAAGGATGTAAATCGTACATGGACAAGATCTTAAAGGTTTTTGCCTAAAGAACAACACTTTAAATACATTACCGATGTTACCAACGATGAGATAAAATAAAAATATATATGTTGAAATGTGATCACAAAGATTTTCTAATCGTTTGATGTAGAAATCATATGATGTAGACTCGTTGAAAGTCATGTTAAACATAATGTGTGAGAATATCTGAAATAAATAGCATAAAGCGCATTAGAGTTTCCCATTTTCGATGTCGTCGGATGAAATTGATTCAAGATAATAAGAGACTTTGATTTCCTACAATTGCCAAAGTTTTTACGAATCTAATCTATCGATATGCGAACTACATCGAAAGAACAAAACTCTTACTCATCAATGAATATGAATGGATATGGTTAAAGTACAGAAAAAGATATCAGAACTTTTTCTAGTAGATTTGAATGTAATGGAAGAAGAAATAAAGTCTGGTTCTCGTCAGTTAGACGCAACTTAGAATTTTCTACAGAAGAAATAGCGGAAGAGAATAGTTCATTTATGTCATCTTAAGGAAAAATTAATAACGCATCAAAGAATTTGGTTTAATTGAGAAAAGAAAGATACTTTTTTCTAAAGTTACGACAGTATTCCACTGGCAAAGTTTATCTCTAAATATGACGAAGAAAATTGCCGCTTTCAGCTTCCATTAGACTTCTTCGACATGGAAAGAAGATATTATACAACCATAACCGAGATCTTTCTCATACATTCGAAATAAAAAAAGTACTTTTATATCTCTGAGTAAAAACAGATTATTCAGGATATTACCTACATTTTAAAACAAATTTTCTCTACCAAACATCAGTAATGTAGATGAAAATCTCCGCTGCAGGAAAATTTTTTACCATGTAACTTTGCTCAACTAACTGTGTAAGACTCTAATGCAATTATAAACAGGTCACCTATTTTCAAACATGTAGTACCATGAATTAGTCTATAAATTTTTTTTGTGCGTACAGTGCAAAGCAGCCATCTATCGATTATTGAGTATATAATAATGAAATTTGATTCGAGAATGACAAATCTCCAATATAAAATATCACAGATGGATATTAATTTAATGTGATTTTTATTTTGTTTCTAACAAATTGAAAATATGGCAGAATCAGTTGAGAAAACCGATGAAATCTCCGCCATTGATGCTGATGAAGAAGAAAAACATTTTCAAAAAGTGGTCAGCGCATTTCTCTATTACAAGTAAAACTTTTTCTAATACGAAAAAATCCATCATTTCGAAATTCTTTCTTGTAGAACATTAGCGCGGAATCGAATCCGTCGGGCATTTTATTCATATGGTCGATTATCTGCAACACATAAACGTTTAGTTCCAAAATACGAAGCTCATCTCGCTCAATTACTAAAATGTATCGATCGAAAGTAAATTTTCATTTTCGAAATTCCTTTCGAATCAACAAGGTTTATGTGTTATAGTGACGCACTTATCCGGCAAATTCTTAGCGGTTGTGAACATTTATTCAACAATTATTCCATGTCATCCAATGTGAATCAATCGGTAAGTAACGAGGATTTCTTTTTTCGGAAAAGAAGAAAATCTTATGTATAATTGATCCATCTGTACGATTAGTCTTCTTCCAGTCAACTGACCAAGATTCGTTGCCACCGCCATCCGGTGTGACGTCAATGGACATGGATAAAGTTAAAACAACGATTAAACAATTCGTACGTGATTGGAGTGAAGATGGACAAGAGGAACGATCGATTTGTTATGCGCCGATCATTGAAGAAGTGAAACGAAGATTTCCTTTATCATCAACAACGAATAGCGATGATTCAACGTAAATATTTTGTGTCGTTTTAACAAGAAAACATCACGAATGATTAATTTTCAGAAATAATATTTCATCTGTTCAAATTCTCGTTCCCGGTGCTGGTCTCGGACGATTAAGTTGGGAATTCGCTCGACTTGGTTATACTTGTCAAGGCAATGAAGTTAGTTTATACATGTTAATTGCATCGCATTTTATCTTGAACAAGTAAGAAAATCTTTCGTGAATATTTACTTGTTTTTCTATTGATATTTTGAACAGATGTTCACAAGTCAATGGTCATACAATTCATCCGTGGATATTAAATTTTTGTAATAATATTACGAATGACGATCAATTACGTGCTGTTCAATTTCCCGATGTTAATACTGCGTCGCTGTCGCCAAACTCACGATTCAGCATGTCAGCAGGGGACTTTCTTCAAGTTTACACTGAATCAAGTTTGTTCATTGGGATTTTAATTGTACCATTTCTTTGAATTTGTTATTAGATGATTGGGATTGTGTAGCCACGTGTTTCTTTATTGACACAGCTCATAATATCATTGAATATGTGGAACGATTATGGACAATTCTCAAACCCGGAGGCGTTTGGATTAATTTTGGTTGGTAAAAATTGAACTGAAATGAATTTGTTTAGTCTGATCTCATCTTTAGGTCCGTTACTTTATCATTTTGAAGATATTCCCAACGAAGAATCGTTTGAATTGAGTTATTCGGATTTACGATCAGTTATTCTCAGTTGTGGCTTCCAAATTGAAGTAAAACATTAGCTTCGCAAAACCGCATTCGTGATTTTGTTGTTGTTGTAGAACGAAAAATTACCTATTCGAGCAGGATATATAAAAAATCATCGATCAATGCTTCATTATGAGTACGATTGTGCTTTTTTTGTCGCTGTCAAACCTCAACAATCAATTTGATATTTCTTCTTCTATTCTTTTTTGATTAAATCAACATATTCAACTAAATAAAACTAATCGAGAAACCTTCACATTGAACAATCCTTGCATTTCCGATACTCAATGCCGAAAACATCTGTTCACACGTACAGATCAGTTTTTGACAACCAGCGCCATCTATCGAATGCATCATACCAGAGGAAAACAAGTAGTATTACTAAGCGATGAGTTAGATTCATGGTAGCAAATGAATAGTTGAGTTTGAAAGTTCATTTTGTGTTGCAAAGAATTACAAATATGGTTGAACAATTGAAATTTATTGTTGAACAATTAAAACGACCGCCATTCAATCGGAAAGATTATAATATTCTTACGTTTGATAATTTAACAAATAATCAATTGTTGCAAGTTTTAACTGATGTATTCGCAGTTATTGATCCGAAGGAACAGGCGGTAAGTGAAAACAATCTCAACGGATTTTCCTTGTATTTACTCTTCATAGCATAAAATCGATATTCGTGATGAAGAACCAGATAAAACTGCAACTCGGCACATGAATACATTGAAGATGCTCGGCTATCGGCCGAAATTAGACACTGACGTGTAAGTCACTGAGACTTTCGAAGAACAAAACCAAGATTTTCTACTTTTAGAAACACCTTTCGACAGAATTTAGTCAGTGGTGATAAAAGCGTTGTTTTTCCAATTTTACAATGGTTACTCGAAAAAGTTCCTGAGCACAAAGAACGTGCTTATCTCGGTCGATATTTATCTCGAACGGAGGTCCCGACCGAGTTTTTAAGCGATCCAGAAATCGCTGAGCAATACGAACGAGTAAGTCCTTATTTGTTTAGGCAAAAAAGAAACTCATCTGTAAATTTCACTTAGTGTGACGAATTGATGGAAGAATTCAAGGAAATTCATCACGCATATAAAGAAACCACGTCAACTCCGCATACGATCGAAGATCTTCGACGTGACATAAAACAACTTGAGGATGAAAAGGAAACGTTACAAAAACGTCTGGAAAAACAAAAACCACGTGTTCAAAAAGTTCCCGCTGCACAAATTGAACTTGCGAAAAATTATCGACAGGAAGTGGAAAAAGAAGCGAAATTAAACACGATGAAACAGGATTTACAAAATGCAATCAACCAATTAGAACAAAAGATCCAACGTCTCGAACGACAAATCGCTGATCAACGTTCGTCATCATATGATCAATCACCAGAAGGTAATTCTCATCCATAATTCGTTTTCTTCTTCTTCTCTTCATCAATTACAATTGTTTTCCTTGATAAAGCGATTATGAAACGAATGGAAGAAGAAAATCAAGTAAATAGTTATCTCGTAACCGAGAAATTTCCTAAACAACTAAGTCAAATGAAAACGAAATTGAAATATTACGAAGAAGTAACAAGCAACAAAGCATTAGGACAAACAGAACTTACAAGTTATCGAGCAAAAGTCAGATCGTCTCTTCCACCATTTTGATTCTTTTATTGAAAATTCTATGTATTTAGATTAGTGAATTAAACTCGGCGATCAATAAACTTCATGAGAAACGTGTTTTAATCAAAGATCCAACGGCAGATAACTTAGCTGTTTTCCGTCAACAAGCATTGATCGTTGCGCGACGAAAAGAACAAGCTGCTGAACGCCTCACTCAACTACGCGCAGAAAATGACGTACTCGAAAAGCAATCCGGAAGAGGTGCATCTATCAATGGTGGTGGTGGTGGTGGTGTATCATCTCTAATGAAACAAGCAGGACATATACCGCAAGGAGAAGAAGTATGTTTTTAATCTGAAAAATTGATTTTCTCATAGATTTCAATGTTTAGTTTCAACGATATGTGAATATGTTACGAAGCAAAGGTAATGCGTATAAACGAAAACGTCAGGAATTGAATGATATGACAGCGGAAATACAATTGCTGAAAAGAACGGAAGAACTTCTCAAGGAACAAGTTGAACAAATCAAAAGTCGAATGGTAAGAAAATGATTTCGTTTGATGGAATTTTGAAGAAGAAATTATTTAGTCTATGGAAGAACGTAAACAAGGTATTGAAGGATATTTTTCCACTCAAGAACGTTTGGAACAGTTATCAACAATGAAAATGGAACAAGATGAACTAAAAGGCAAATCACTCGATGAAATTACAAATTTAATCAAAACATTAAACACACGAATATCATCGAAGAAAGCAGAACTTGATCCAATTCTCAAAGAAGTTAAACCATTACGTGCAAAAGTTCAAGTAAAACAGTTTGAAATCGGATTGTTACATGAAACTATCTTCTCCATTTAGGAATTGCGTAGTGAATATGAAGCGAAGAAGACTAAATATGATGCATTGAATGCAAATTTCGAAAGTAGTCGATCAACATTAGAATCCGTATGTATCCAAATGAAATTCATCGATTTTTATATTGTGTTTTATCTGACATTTGAAGGAAGTTCGAGGTTTTTATGACGAACAATACGCGCAGGAATCTCGTTTTCATACATTACGTGCCCAAATGTTAATTCATGCTGTACAATTAAAACGAGCCAATGATGAACAAAGTTCATATATGTCCAAAGACAAAGCAACAAAATCAACAAGGTTTGTCGAGAAAAATAATGAGATGTTTTCGAAATTTCTTTTCATAACATTTTAGAGAGTTACTTAATAAACAAATTAGTGATTATGAAGTTCGTATCAAAGCTAATCGTGATCGACAAAAAGCTACGAAAGATGTACACATTGATGGTACGAAACAAATGAAATATTGGCGTGATCTTTTACGTATGATGGAATTGAAACAAAAATTAGCTACGGTAACAAGTTTTTCCTTTCATTCATCATATTTTCTCATTTGGTTTTTCTTTAGGGAGATTCATAATTTATCAATATTTCTCTTCTCTTGTTTTGTCTTTTTTTTTGTTTTCATGCGTTTAACTATATCTGAACTATTTACCTTTATGAAGATCAAGAATATGAATTTGTAATGTTTATTACAATCGATACGATTGAATTCTAACTTTGAAGAGCAAAGATTAAAGTACTTTAATATCATTTTATGGGAAATTCGATGAAGTTTCTAGTCTAACATTACTGCTGAAATAATCTTTTTTTTCTTAATGAATTAAAAGAGAAACTATTTGATTATGGTACTGTTAAAGACAGAACAAGCACAATTTCTTGTATTTCCTTGAGAAAAAAAAAGTTATTGAATGTCGCATTCAAGGTGATTCATAATCAATCAATAAATACTTGTATTGTTTATCATGCATCTAATAACATCTGAACCACTTCTTCTATCTTTACTTATACATAAGAGAAGACAAAAGGAACAGAAATGAACTGATTTTCTCTGGTCATTGTGGTTTTCTCCTCTTCTTATCGCCACTAGAATCTATATTGATGTATTTGTTCGTAATATTGGTAACACTCGTTATATATCAATGTGTATATTTAGCCGAGAAAAAAGGAAAGAAGGGGAAAAAAAAGGAAAAGAACGATAGAATAGTGTACATGCGATCCGAGAAATATCCTCAACCGAATAGTTACATACATCGACGGAACTCGTTTCTCGTGTGTTTGCTCGCGTACAAAAACATTCTCTGTTGTTGTTCGTCCAGCTCCATGCCTATACGATTGTCAGTAAAACAATGTTCTAACTGCTTCTACTTCTCTTTCTCCTCCTAATCCAACACTTGAAGATATGACGACGAGAATATTACGGAAACGAATGAATCTTTCTCATATGTAATATATCGCCTAAGAAAGAATACGTAACAATCTCATGTCTAATAAGATCATTGTTCTCATTCAATCTTCTTTACCAAAAAGACCAAATTTTTCTTGATTAATCATGGCTGATGATAATGATCTTACACGAAAACGATTACAATTATTATTCGACGATGATACACGTAAGTTTTACATAAAAATTGTTTTGTTTATGTGTGTGTAAAACTAGCGACAAACAAATTTTTGAGTATTGTCTCCACACCAATTTCGATCGTCACAATTGAAGAAATTTGAAATACAGAATTGATTTCGACATCGATAGAGATTTTCATTTTGCGAACAAGAATGAACAGCTAGAAGATCAAAATGAAGATAGTCATCTATTTTTATCTTTTTGAGAAGTTTCTTACGGAAATTAATCGCAACATTCAGCACAAAACCACTTCCAACTTTCCCGTCGTTATTCGAAATGAATTCGATTACTACAGTGTTTGTTGTATTTGTCTAAAGATAAATAATCAAAAGAAAAAGATTAACAAAATGAAATTACATTTACTCGTAAATAGTATTGTTGGATTCCACATTGAGATGAGTCGGTTGGATTCATTAATGAAACATAATCTTTTTTACCATCATAAATCAATAGTTTATCACCACCACACGCGATATCCATTTTATCAACGACAATAATAATTCGTTGATTGACTGTTGCTGCTTTGATTGTTAATAAACAATCGAGATTCTCGCGATAGAAACCCGATGAAAGACTGAAAAATGTTCCCGGAAGTGAATCACCATTGAGTTGAATTGTTTTTCCACAAATTCTCTCCATATCTAAAACGATCATTGGAGAAAAATTCAAATAATTCTATTCATTTGTCTTACTTGGAGAACTGTAGAGAGAACCCGTACCACGAGCGTATACAAACGATGGAATTAGAAGAAAAACAAGAAATATAGTTCGACTGTTGACTATGTCCATCGTTGAAAGAATGTTTTTCATTATTCATATCCAGTTTGAATGTTTATTTATATGTAGAAGATCTTTTTCTTCTTGTGTAATCGTTTGTGAAGAAACGATTGATACTTGAATGTTTTGAAAATCATTGAGGAAAGCGGATTGTATCAATGTTATCGACATTTTGTTTATATGTAAGTGTCTTATGTTGATATAAGCAGAGAAATACAATTCGAACCTGATTTGTTAACTAATAGCCAAGTAGAATCGTGTCCAAACAGAGAAGAACGACAAAAATCAGGAGTCAACTATGCAGAAACTTTGAGTTTTCACCCGTGAGTCATATGTACTGTAGGAACTGCAATAAGAAACTCAGTTGTTTTATGCTAATTCACCTGACTAAACGGTGTAAAACAAAATTTCACTCTCCTTTTGAATGTTCTTGTGTAAACGAACTCACTAATCGATACTAAAAGTGTACGAAGAATACATTTGAGTCATGAAAGAATCTATGGTATAGACGAGACAGGAAAAAAGGCGCGTCGAGTTCTGAAATCTATCGGAAAGATATTTTCTCGTGAAAGTGTTTAATCAATGACATTTCCAGCGAGAAGATATATCAGACTACAAAAATATAAAATCGACCTCGAAATAATCTTTATACTGTGTTACAAGGTCAATTTATTTTCCCATATTCAACTGTTTTTTCTCTCTCATCTCACATATCGCATTGATTTTTGGCAGAAAAACTTCGACTTACGTCAGTTGGTAAAACTTCATCAATGTTAATGATTTCTTCGTGATCGATCGGATGAGAAGAAATTGTTGTTTGTTCGTAGAACAGGCAAAGTCGATATCATTAGATATAGGCAATCATGGATTTGCTGTTCTACTAATGCTCCTGGAGAGAAACCATCCGTATTCGCTCATGTACATATCATTCCTTTTCTCTCCTCGGTTTCCTTGTTGTCCTTACAGAAATATATACAAATTTCTTCGTCATCTATCGAATAATACAAGCAGAACCGATAAAACCAAATCAATGAATATCTCTCGACAACACCAGTACGTTCCTCATCAACTACAGATAACTCGAACAAATGAGGAAGAAAACATAGAGAATCACATGGATTGTTGTCTTCATTTCTACGCATCAACAACACGATAATCAGTCTCGTTCCTTCTTTACATACGAACGTTCTTCAAACCACAAAAAAAGAGATTTCGCTCTTTTTTTTTAAACCTATTCTTTAATGGATTTCGATGAATTTTTAGCGGCTCCTGAAATTGTTCGTCGTCTTCTCTCTCAAGATGCATTCGAGAACGAGACTGTAACGTTCTCATGTACTGTACAAAATGTTGGTAATGCAAATGAAGAGGAACCATTTACCATCACTTGGTTTTTTAATGATAAACAAATTCAATCGAACACCGACAGATATATCATCGATGAAAACTCCAAAACTGGCATTTGTTTATTAACAATTAAAAACATCGGAGCAGATGACGAAGGATCATATCGATGTGTAGCCACAAACAAATTTGGATCATCAGTTACGACTGGATTTCTTGCTGTTCTAAGTAAAAACGATAAAGACATTTGTCAGAAGGAAAACGTTTGTTTGTTTTAGGAAGAAAACGATCTCAATCACCATCGCCTAGTCGTAATGCCAGTCCAAATCGTTCATTAAGTCCGTCAAGCAATCGTCTACGTGATCGAAGTGTTTCCCCATTACGATATATTAATTTACCATATTCGAAATTAGCTCGAGTTACCGAAGAACTTGAAAATCTTATCAATCCATTAGCATCGACTGTTCATGAAGAAGAAACAGAAAATGTCGTTCCCGAAGATAAAGAAGCAACACCAATTAGCTCAATAATCGAAACTGAACAAATTGCAAATATTCCGTTAAAAGAACCATCTCCGACAAAAATCATCGAACCTGAACAATCAATTGTTCTTCCCATTGTTGAAGAGACTCAAATCGATTCAAGCAAAAAAGAAGTAAGTCACACAAATCTTCCTATCTTCACCAAGGTTTGAAAGCCACTCAACGGCTTCGTTAGATAGATTAGATGATATACAAATACTCCCATTAGATCCATTTTCGCATCTATTCTTACAAGTAGGAAAAGACTTCTTCCGATTCAAATCGATTTGCCTCAATTCCCCAAACATCAATAACAACAAATGATATTCATCAAAAAGTCTTGTGAATGTCACAACACATCAGTCAGTTGTTAGTTGTAGTTTATAAAGCAAAAAATATATTTTAGTCGAAGAAATAAGTCTTACCTTAAACCTTTCCTAATTATCTCTAGAACACTTACGATTGAAGAGAATGGAATGTAAAAAAGACTATGATATGCATATCTCTCATATATATTATTGACATCTAGACGATTGAATTGACGTCTGCAGTTGTTTATTTATCATGTTTTGTGATGAGGCTGATTAACTGCAGATGGAATGTCAAAAAAAAAGAATCTGAGAAAGACTAAAATAAATAAGAGAACTGAAGATCAGCCATTCTCGATTTCTTGATTGTCACTTGTTCGCATTTATCCATTGATCTGCAATCTCCAACAAATCAATATTCTCGCTCTTAGTACAACATCGATGAAAAATCTTGATAGGACTTTCTAGACATCAATGTATTTATACAGATTTGTAGTCAATCCGACTTCTTATATGAATTCTATTGAGTAGAAACCGTTCGAATGAGAACTTTCATTACTATTTCGAAGGAAAATATTCCACTTGTGAGATCGAAGATGAAACATCGATTGGATATTTTCATTTTGTCTTTGTTAGGAACAATCAAAACCAGTGATTATCAGAAAATTACCGTTGGTGGTACGAATAACTGAAGGCGAAGATCTCGACGTTAGTTGTTCAATAGCCGGTATGATTATCTAATGAAAGAATTCACTCTTATGTGTGTTTGTTAAGGTGTACCGGAACCGACAATTCGCTGGACAAAAGATAATGCTGATATTCGTGAAGATCACCGCGTTGATATTTATTCCGATCGCGGTGCTCATCATTTAGAAATAAGTGAAGTCTTAACGTCCGATGCGGGTCAATACACAATTTATGCAGAAAATTCTTTGGGAAAGATCAGTGCTGAATGTCAAATTGAAGTTCTGGAAAATACGGATAAAGTAAAACGATTGAAAGTAGAAGGTTTATATGCATACGGAGCACGGTAAGTTAAAGAAACGAAAATTGAAGAAGAGTTGAAATAGAATTTTAGACAACAAACATATAAAGCACCGGAATTTTTGATAAAACCAGCCAATCGAACGATACATGAAGGTGAACAATTTCAAATCTTTGCAAAAGTGATTGGTAAGATGAAATTAATCGAAGAATTTTCACGATTGATCGATCTATTTTGTAGGTAATCCAGCACCGCAAGTTCTTTGGGTTCGATTAGGTAAAGCCTTAGAAGATGATGATGGTTATCATCGAATTTATGATCGTAATGGTGAAAATTACTTTGAAATTCCAAAAATTTCCATTCTGGATGCCGGAGAATATTCTTGTATTGCTACAAATATGATGGGAGCTGCTTATAGTACATTTATTATTTGTGTGGAAGGTAAATTTCATTGGTAAATGTGAAATTCAAATCGAACTTCGAGTTTTTAGCTATGACTGAACCAGAATCCACTGGTTCGGAAATCGAAGAACGTTCTGCTAATGTTTCCGATGTTGATACAAATGTTGTACGTGATTTGAAAGTTGAAATTTTTCTTTCTTGACGATGTTTTTTTGTTAGATGGAAGATTTTCCTGAATCAATTGCTTCTCAATTGATTGACAAACATGTTCGACAACATCGACAATTGAAATTATCTGATCAATCCGATGTGGTTTGTACAAACAAACTCGATTGCTTTGAATCGATTTCTAAATATCAACATTTTAGGATTATTTCTTCTCAGATTTCGTGTTGAAAGATGATTTTCGTGATGAAGCTCGAGATGTTTATATGAACAAAGGTGATATGGTTGAAATCGTTGATATTGATAAACAGGATAAATGGCTTGTTCGAAACAAGAAAAATTTGAATCAAGTTCGAAGAATTTTTCTTTCAAACATTTTTCTCTTTAATTCCTTTTTCAATAGATCTGTTATGTACCACGAGAATATCTTGAAATGGTACCTGATACTGACATCTCTCCAGCTGGATTAAATCTGACATATGTTGAGCCAATTCAACCGCGTATGTAGAATACTTTGTCGATTTCAGTTGGGAAATAGAGGAGATTTTTCAGTTGATATAATTATTATTCCCTTGCGGTTTGATCTTTCCAAATGAAAAACGCTTTTCCCAGTACATATGATATTTATCAGAGTATACATATCCATTTCTTTCATTTAACCTCTAATAAGTATTCAGAGATTAGTTTTAATCGTTGTCAGAGTCGAATTCTATTACTCGTTCAGATTAATAAATGAGAGAAATAGTTTTTCTTGTACATATATATATATCATGCTGATTAATGGAAAATAGTGGCGAAAACAAAAGTATCTTGGTAAACGTCTCTCGACATGTATACATTGACCCACCCACTCAGTGTTACCAAGAAGAAAGAAGAGGAAAAAAATGCTCAGTCTTATATCGATACATTAGGAAGCAAAAGAAACGGCGAGAAAAAAAATGTTGAGATATTAGTGCCGCTGTTTTGCTTATTCTTACTCTCATTTAACCTACGTATCCACGTCGGCAATCGATGTATCGTAGTGCCCGTTGTTGTTGTTGTTGTTGTTTCCTTCTAAATCCATTACAATCATTGATGTACATAAAGAGAAAAGGAGAAATTAGTCATTGGTCTCGCGTTTCGCTTCCTACTCTTTCCCTTTGTAGGGAATCGCATATGTATCTTTCCTCGTTTGTAACATAAGAAGGAAAAAAGAAGAAAAGAAAAGAATATAGACGAATGTACAGTAACAGAAAGGAATCTTCGTTGCTGATAACTAGCGTTTGTTTCTTTTCTATCTTCGTCTATTCATAGGTTTGTTCTTCATCAAGGCTAGAAACAATTTTCTAATCCGTAGAAATTGACGGATAACCCATTGTTGTTTTCCGCGGTTAGAACTCGTCGAATTTTCTACAGTCGACGTTGTCTTCAGTAATTGAGTACGCGTGTTATCTGCTTTATTGTCTGTTTGACGAACGACGAAGAGCATCAAGAAAAAGAAGAAAAAAAAACGGTTTCAGTACATATATATCTGTCTTTAACTGTCTATATCATCTTCTTCTTCTCGGTCGATCAACTTTTTTTTTTCTTCTTTTTTCCTCTATTCCGTTTACGGATAAGCAGATAACAAAAGGGTAAGTTTTCATCGCTTCTGTGGAAAGAATATCTTCTTTTTATTTGACTCGTTGATCATTTCAGTAGAGAATTTTGTGAAGTTCATTGAGAACGAGAATCAGCATCAAGATAAACACATTAGATGTTTCACAGAGTGACACAAAATGCGTAGTACGTGTGTTGTTGAGTATCTTCTTTCATTCGAGTATTTTTACTTCCCAGTACTGACAGAAGATATTGACAGGTAATTGGAAGGAATTTCTTTCTTCAGATGAAAAATAACATTCCGTTTTATAGAGAAAAATCAGTCGAAATACATAATGAGACAGCTGTTGTCCTTCGAGATATCCACAAAGATTAATGAGAAATGCTGAACATTTTTCGAGTTGAGAAACGATTTTCTCGAATTGATGACATCTGGTTATTTCATGGGCAGAAACGACACTTTCGTCCTCGCAAAGGTTACCTAAGTGCATAATGGACTGTTGATAGAAATCGATTGTTTATTTTACTTGATAATATGCAAGATTTTTACAATATTGAAAATAGAAAGACTTTTTTTCCGTTCGCGGAAACGTGAATATTGACAATTGTTAGATAAACAACAAAATCCGAATCGTCTCATGTAAAAAGATACATCGAACAAGTAATTTTATATGACAAACATACTTGATATGAGATTTCTTTCATAGACCCACATTGCAAGAAAAGCAATTGTCCATATCGATCACGGTGAAATGATTTCATTGACTTATTTCTCGTGCTCAATAGATTGATTAGGATAAACAACTTACGTAAAAGATTTCTATCAATCGAAAATCGTTAGGATAGTTTAGTTATTCAAGGTAAAAGTTTACAATTAATTATTTCATGTAAGGGGAGATAGCAGCAAGATCTTAAGTTTTATGTTGTGAGCGTGATAATTGTCTCGATATCTAAAATAGAGATGTTTAGGATTGTTTAGTTGTATTAATTGATTTAAGAATGATGAATGACATTTTGACTTCTTCATTTTTCTTCAACATCAATCAAAAATTCTTTTGCATGAAACAGTTTTTCGGTACATCTCGAGAGTCTATCAGTACATTCCTCCGCCCCCATCCAATCCATTTACTTAATAACTTTTGAAATGGAAGTAAAAACTTCAACGCAGTTTAATTTTCGTGAGTTGTCAGAAAAGTATCAATTCCCTCATACACCTCTCAAAGTAAATTTGAAGTTTCTACATATGAAAAACACGTATTGGATTGAGACAGAGGAATGTATCGTCAAGTTTTCCTTCGTCTGTGCCAATCCATATGATTTGATAGAGCTCAGAAGAATGCATCAATCAATGTCGATGTTATTGTCAGACAAGCACCGTTTTTGTTTCTCACATACAATTCTTATCCGTCATCTTATCCTAATCGAGTCCAAATGTATCTTCCGACAACGATCTAGCGATATCTATCGATCGTCTATAAACAGAATCTTCTTTAAAAATCTTTTGCTTCTCTTTTTAGTTGTTCCTAGCAAACGAACATATACGAAAAAGTCCGGTGTAGTGGCCAACAGTATCGACAAACGTTACAATCCGACAAATCAAGAAGATCAAGATTCATCCTCAAGTAGTGATGATTTAAAAACAATGACAGAGGTTTGTTATTCACAAAGACTTCGTTTTCATTGAGAAATATCATCCGATCGATAAACATCAACTCGCGTTGACTCGGACACAGTTAACGAGAATATTTCCTCATTCTGTCATACTAGTAGTGCTTATTTAGAATGAAAAGAAAAACTATAGAAGGAAATCAAAGATAACAACAGTTAAAAGAATATCTCTAGTTGACAATTAAGTAGGTGTTGATGGATTTGATACGAAGTCACCAAGGACAGTCTCCGCCTACATCGGGAAAAACATGCGTCAAATTTGGAACGTCGCATTTTTTGTTTTACTTCTAGGAAGCTGAAGTTTATTTTGCAAATTCGGATTATGTTCCTACACGTCCAGATGGGATTTCACTTGCCGAAAATCAACTTGTCGATGTGCTTGATTCACATGATCCCGAACAATATCTTGTTCGTACTCGAGCACGTAAAGATGAACGGCCAAAAATCGGTTGGGTGGATGCATGTTTTCTCGAGAAGAAGTCAACTAACATAGGACAAGTATGTTCATATCTTGCATTTTCCTTTTCTCTACTTACGTAGATCATTATGGACATTGTCGTTGTCGTTGCTGCTGCTGCTACTGATTTCTTCATGTTCTCGCGAAAATCGGTTATTCATCGTATGAGAAGAGTTCTTTCATTCGTCGATATTTAGCAGACAATCTATTCATATGTGTGTGTATAAGTGATATGGTACGTGCGCGTAAGAAAAATAATGGATCAATAGTCTGTTGTTGATGTGTGTTTCATCACGTATTTATCTCTTTTTTCCTCCTTCGATTCGATGATAAACAACAAGTGGAAAACGACAGAACAGAAATCGAGAAGGAAACATGACATTTTCTTCAGGCGTTTACCAAAACGAATAAAAGAAAGTTTTTCTTTTTTCCTCCCATCGGTTTTGATTGTACATGATAGATGAATACCGAACCTGATCTCAGTCTCTTTCTCTCTTGATATCGAGAAACAACGGATAAAGAAAGCTGGGAAAAGCATCATATTAGTATTAATAGGAAGCAGAGAAAAAAGAAAAACGAGCAACGAGACAAGCGATGATGTGACAAAGATGTTCGGATGAAACGATGCGCCTGCTGCTGTTGTTGTTGATGATGATGTTGTTAGTCCTATACCTGATATAGCTTTCTCTCTTGCCTTTCTTCTCTTCTCTTTCATGAATCTTCTTGTCTGAAATATATATCTGCGTTTGATTATCATCGTTTCTCGTCATTGTGAAGTTGCGCAAGACAAGAAGCATCTGTACTAGTCGACTAGAGAGGAAGAAAACGAGTGGGTTATTACTAAATATTCGCCTGTTGTCTTCGGTTTATTCTTGTCGTTGTCAACTCATCAAGATAAAGTAATTGCAATCAAGACGACAAAATAGCAAAATAGTCCAAATTTGGAATTTTTTTCATCTATATTAATATGTCTTCGCCAACGTGGTATCCGACAGACTTATCATCGTTGTTATTCGACAGTGATCGGTATCGCCGTAGTGTAAGCGAGCAGAGACATACTATAACAACGCATGAATATCATAGTTATTCGCGAACAGAATCACCGTGTGAATTACGAAATTATTGTGAATATTGTCCGTGTATAAATTGTCGCCGTTTCCGTCAACCGTTTTATCGACATCGAATGAGTCGAAGAGAGACACGCAGCTATACGCCGAGAGGTCATCAAGAGTACTATTCGAGTGCTCATTCTATTCGAGATGAATTAGCACGAAATAGTCCGACAGGTTTCGAATTGTACGTTCATCAACATTCACAAGCTCCACAATCGCCTTATCAGCAGCAACGACAACAACAACAGCCCTACCAACCTCATCATTTTCACGACACGAGTCCATATGATCAACAACGACCTACACGTTCATTACAGATTAATCGACGTAGTACACGTGAAGTTCAACCAGGCGATCAAGCCGTACCAAATACTGCAAACTCTAGTCGACAAGACGAGGCTGTCATTAAGCGAAGGTAATTGATATTTTCATTATTTATTCGATAAGACATAACAAAGTGTTGGCCTGAGCATTTAATTCAGATAGATAAGCACAGAGATGATGTAATCGAATAAGATGTTTATTTTGATTGATGGATCAAGGCTATAAATGGTGTAGTTAGTCAGAGAGGTTACCCTTACCCTTAATTATCGATCGATTTCGAATGAAATATACAACAATTGACGACCTGTTTTCGATTTTCTCTCCCTCCCCCGCACGTCATTTATCTTTCCGTTAGGAAATCTCATCTGTTATGCGAATGAATCAGACTGACAGTTAATCGTCATATTTCTATGAAAAACAAAAAACTTCTTTTACAATTAAACAAATGGTGCATGTGGAGTGTTAAAAAATATAATTAATCAGACGAATATTTGCCTTTAGATACGCCTTCGCTGACATTCTCGAAAGCGAACGTTCATATGTTGCTGATCTTCAACGTATTATTGAAATTTATCTCTATGATTTAACTCGTCAAGAATGTCCGTGGTTCGTCAAAGAAAAAAAAGATCTTCTTTTCAGCAACATTGAAGACATATTCGCATTCCATAAAGTGTACGTTGCTTTTTTTGTTTCTTCGTTTCGTTCTAATCACCACTGATTTGTCTTTATTTTTCTAAAGATTATTCTTAAATGACTTAACTAATGCTATTGAACATGATCCAAAGGAATTGGCTTATGTCTTTTTACGTCGACGAGATCAATTTTTAAATCTTTATTCTCAGTATATGTACGATCGAACACGATCTGAACATGTACTACAAAGCAATCCAAATATTCAACGTTATTTCGATGATTTAAGACAACGATTAGGTACTCAAACAAGTGACTTATCACTTAACAATCTACTTAATCGTCCCATTCAACGACTTGAAAAATATAAGACTATTTTACAAGTAAGACAAGATGCATCTTCATCTTCTCTTCACAATATTTTGATTTTTAAAGGAAATGATTAAATATACGAATCGTATGCGTGAAGATAGTTCAGCATTTCAGCAGGCTTATACAATGATAAGCAATGTTATGAACGAAGCACGTCAACGTGATGCAACAGAATTGATTGATAATCTACCGTTTAGTGCCGATGAATTAGGAGAATTGAAACGACATGATGTAGTGTTGATTAAAACAACAGATTATGATGGAGATTCGATTAATGAAACAGGAACGCGACTACGCGAAAGATTTCTTTATCTATATCGACAGAAAGTTGTGGTTTGCCGACGAAAACGTGTTGATAGTCGTTTGGAAGCAAGATCTTTAGCATTTAAACAAGCGTATAATGTAAGAGAAAGATTTGCGCTTTTCAGAGATTTGAATTTGTTTTATTTAGACGAATGAAATCACTTTTATTCAAGAGAATTTTCCTGATGATGATAAAAAATTCGAAATTACATTTAATGACCATGACCGTGTTACATTTTTCGCTCGAAATGCTTTTTCAAAAATGTCTCTAGTGCGATCATTGAGAGATAATCTCAAAGCTCTTGGTAAGAATTTCACTTCTATACGGTAGAAAGACAATTGAATCGTTTTGTCAAGGTTTTGTCGAAGAAATTGAAATGATCGAAACACCCGAACCAGAAGATGAAGCAAGACCAAAACGTCCCGCCTCGAAGAAACGCACCATGGAGGTTTCTGAATCAGCGGTAAGTAGAAATTTCGATGAAAATTCGTTTGTGACTTTTGTTTATGACAGACTATGGAACAACAGAAACGTGGTCGGTCATCAGGACACACAACAACGTCGGGTACATCGGACTTTTATTCAGTTGGAAGTGAAAGCGAATCAAGTTATCAAACCGCTGGAGAAAATGATGATTTTAAGCCGAAATTTTTGAAAAAATTAAACGATACTTTAGCCACAGGTGAGTCTCTTGAGAGAAAAAAAGAACATTCATGTAATGGTTGTTTTGGTTTTTAGAGGGCGATTTCGTGACATTAGAATGTATTGTTGTTAGTACAACACCTGTGCATGGAACTTGGTTTAAAAATAATATTCCATTGCAAGATAGTGCGGATTGTCGACAGATTCAAGAAGATAAACTTTTCAAATTAATTGTTAAAGTATGAAATGACGTTTCACAAGAGAAATTCTTGATGAAAAGTTTTATTCTAGGAAGCTTTTGCCGAAGACGGAGGAGTTTATTCAATTAAAATTTCCAATCATGCCGGAACAGTCTCTTGTAGTTGTAAATTATTCGTACGAGAAGGTAACAAACCATTCCGCAAATTTCCTTTCTTCAACACTTCTATTTAGAAATGAGCGACGAACGAACTTTACGTGAAGATTTAGTTATTCGCGAAAGTTCATCACCCGAAGCTAAACGAGGTAATACTAATCTCATTATTTTCTCGAATATTTCCCTGTTCTTCTTTCCTTGATTAGAAGCGACTGATAATGAAGAAGAATTACGTATTACCGAATTGACATATGATCAGGGTGGGGCGTATAAGGTCACACCACATGTGGGACGTGCACCCATATTTCTCCAATCACTTATGCCAGTTATTTCTAAGGCAGGTGATATTGTTACGTTGAAATGTACTGTTACAGCAACACCAATGCCAGCTGCTACATGGTCTGTTGAAAATCATGTTTTCGAGAGCTGATTTTTATTTGTTTAATCTTTTAGGTATAAAAATGGACAGGAAATTCACGCTGGTGGACGTTGTTCGATGTTTAATGATCAGAATGGAAATTTTTCATTGGTTTTATCTGATGCGTTGCCACAAGATTCAGGTTCATATGAAATAACAGTGAAAAATCAATATGGAACAGCGAATTCGAAAACGAATTTACAAATTCTCGGTTTGTTTTTGTTGAAAACCACAAATTCGAACGAAAATGTTGATTTTTAGAACGCGAAAGTGTTTTCATTCCTGTTCCTGTCACTCGTTTTTCCACTGAAGAATACGGAACAGCGAAATTAGCATGTGCAGTTAAACGTACTGATGTCAATGTCGATTGGTATCGAGGTGAACAAGCGTTATTTACTGGATCACAAGCTGAAAATCATAAATATAAACGCATTGACGATGGTTTACAACGAGAATTAATCGTCAAAAATGTTTCACCTGATGATCAAGGAGATTATGTTTGTCAAGCAGACAAATATCGAGTCACTCTTCATCTTAATGTTCAAGGTTTGTAGAATTTAATAAGGTCATTTAAATACATAGGGGTATCAATAAGTTCTCGTAGTTGTTCGTTAGTCTTTTAACCTTATCGATCTTGTTCATGAATTTCACGTGTTCTGGTACCGACATATGTCGTGCGTAAAACCGCCAATAAGAACTTTCTTGCATGCCCGTCAGAGAAAATACCCAATCGATTTTCTGAGACCACCATTTCCGAAATGGAGAAAGAGCACATTGATGTCTCAACAAGACTCGATCTTTACTGGGCTTCACGGCTACGCAGATTCACCGTGAGTTAATCATCGCTTACGGACCTGATGCTGTATCATTCAGCACCGTTGTTTACTGGATTGGTCAATTCGCGAGCGGACGAGACTCGTTTGAAGACGGCCCTCGGAGTGGTCGCTCTGTAACCGTCGTTACCTCGAAGAATATTCGTGCTGTTGAACTTCTAGTCACCGACGATCCGCACGTTACTATTGATTACACCGCATGAATACATGATATGTCACACGTATGCTTAACACAATCGGTACGGAAGCTAGGACAGAAAAGATCCTTGTCGACGACTCACGCCATCAAACTTCACCATGACAATTCTCGACTTGATGTCAACAATCACATTCTGGGCTATATTCGAAAGAAAAAACTCAAGGTTATGGCCCATCGGCCGTATTCCCCCGACCTTGCTCCATGAGATTTCTGACTTTTTGATCGATTGAAACAAAGTCTCGATACGTATCCGGACGGTAAAAGTCTCGCTCGAGCCGTAACCAAAGAGCTGAATAAGATATGTATTAATGAATATCGAAAGATATCTCAGAAATCGATTGAACTGATGAGACTTTGTGTGGAGCATGGTAGGAACTACTTCGAATATTTGCTGTGAAGAAATCGTGAAAATCGTATGTCTGTCAAAAAATAAATGAAACTACGAGAACTTATTGATACCCCTATGTATAAAGAAATCTATGGAATTTATAGGACCCGCTGCTGATTTTGTTCGTCCATTGGAGAATCTTGAAGTAACAGAAAATAACGAAGCTGTTTTCGAATGTCAATTATCGAAAGACGATAGTCATGTTGAATGGTGGTTTCGTGGCACACCCATTGTTCCATCTCATCATCATCTTATTGCCTCACGTGGTGTTATTCATCAATTAATCATCCCAAAAGTTGCCATGAATGATGAAGGAGAATATTCTGTACGTGTTGATAACAAAAATACTTCGACTGCTCAATTATTTGTTAAAGGTGAATCTTAGTTCATTTTTCTCTTCAGTTTTTCATTATTTTTTGCTTTCATAGAACAACCGATCATTTTCCGTCGTCCTCTACGTTCACAAATCGTCGAAGAAAGTTCGAGTACTATCTCAAACAGTGCAGTATTCGAATGCGAATTGAACAAACCGTTAAAACAAATGTTATGGTTTAAATCCAATGTTCAACATCTTGCACCGTCGGATAAATATCATATTGAATCGTTTGCCAATGGTCTCATTCATCGATTAACCATTCGAAATGTAACTTTACGTGACGATGGCGAATATACGGCATCGACTGGACTGAATACATCACAAGCACGATTGACTGTTGAACCGTTAATGCCAATATTCGTTGTTCCTTTAATGGATGCACGAGCAAATACAAGAGAAACTGTAAAATTGTCGTGTGAGACGAGTAATCCTTGTCAAGTTGTTTGGATGCATCGAGGAAAGAAGATTATCGAGAATAGTTATAAATATACGATAGGTAAGTGAAAAAACTGATGGAAAGGGTTGATTGGAATTCGATTGTTTGAAAATTTGTAGGAAGTTTTAATAATTCGACTTTACATACCCTTGATATTGAAAATTTGGAACTACGGGATCAAGGTGAAGTCCTTTGTTCCATCGCACAACATCCAACGATATCAACAGTTTGCCATTTACTTATTGAAGATGCTCAACAACAATGTAAATCCTATGTTGAGTGATTTGGACAATGTTTATCCTTTTTTTATTGTTTTAGCGGCTTTTCAATCGCCATTGAAACCATTTATGGAAGTTGTTCGTGGTCAAGATGCCATTCTCAATTGTGAAACATACGATTCGACATATTTTCAATGGCTTAAAGATGGTACAACATTAATGGCCACAAGTAACAAATTTCGCACACTCGGTGATGATAAACATTCAACATTAATTGTTAAACAATTCAGTGAATATGATGAAGGTGACTAAACTTTCCATTTTCGGGAAAAGAAATTCATTTGTTCATCTTTTCTCGTAGGAGTCTACACATGTGTTACTCGAGAAGGTCAATCAACTTCAACTACTCTTCGAACGATGATTTCACGTGAACGAACACCACGTAGTGAAGAACGTTTTGGTTCGTACATGAAAATCGATTCGCCACGATCGAGTCGAACTCCTGAACTAGGTGGTTATCGTTCAAGTATGAGTCCAACAACTAGTCGATATGTTCCATCATTAGCCGGTGAAAATGAACGACAACAATCGCCGCGTGTCGAAGAAACACGTCGAACAAAGAAGATAACAATACAAGAAACAAGTGAACAACGTTTACCATCCACAGCAACGAAAACGAGTACAGCGACATTTCGTCCAAGTACAAGTCCAAGTCCACAACGTGAATATATTCGTAGTGGTTATTCGTCAGGTACAAGTCCTGAACGAGAACGTCTTTCTATGCCACGTCATTTTTCTCCAACGACAACGTATAAAGCATCGAATCAATTACAAGATTTCGGTCATTATATCGATCGAAGTTCAAAATCGCCATCGCCATCGCCAACAAGAAAGACAAATATGACATTTACAAATATAACGCCAACAACGAAAATGCCGCCGGTTTATGAAGAACAGGATGAACATCATCGACATCGATCATCTGTAACATTTTCTCCAAGTCGATCACCAGCGAGACAATCTGTTGAACGACGAGTTGTTGAAATGCAAATACCAATGAGGTACACGAAAATCTTTTCTTCTTGTTTTTCATCTTTGTTTCTTCTCGATTTAGTCCGTCAGCCACACATCGCGAGTTAAAACATGCTCCATTCCGAGAAGAATCGATTCCGGAAGAACGAATTCAATTTCTCGATAGTGAACAGTACGATAAACAAACGCCAATCTTTCATCGAGAAGAACCTTATGGTCTAAACACTTCACGTATTCAAGTAACAGAAACAATCCCAATGATACACATAACTCAACCGTTGATTGATACACGTGTCGAACAAGGCAAGCCTTTACGATTGGTTGTGGAAACTTCTCAACCATCGAGTGAAGCCGTTTGGTTTAAAACCGATATTTATTCATCTGCACCAAATCAAGCGAGAAAACTCGATGAAAGTGGAAAATATCATATGATCACTCAAGGAACACGACACATTCTGATAATTCCGAATGCGACAGCAGAAGATAATGGAGAATATATTTGTCGAATTCAAAATGCTATGACACGTGCACAGGTACAAGTCACCAACGAAGATTTACAATTCATTCGACGTTTACCACAATCGATTGATGTGATCGGTGGACGAGATATTCTCATCGAGTGTGAAATGAATAAAATGGATACACAAGCAATCTGGAAAAAGGATAATGAAGTTATTCGAGTAAGAGAATCTTTTAGAAACAAAACAGAATTTCACTCAATTCGGCATTTTTAGTTTCCACAGAAATTTCTTCCAATTTCGGAAAACAAAAAACATCGATTGATAATCAAAGATGCCAGTCCGGAAGATTCGGGCCTTTACACAGTCATTGTCAATGATCTCGAATCAACGACATATGTAAATGTCACACCGGAGCCATTATTAATCTTGAAACCACTACAAGATCAACGTGTTCATTCAGGTGAAACAGTCACATTCACATGTGTTTGCTCGAAGGCACCGAAAAGTGTTCAATGGTATTTGAATGGTTATCCACTACCCACAAATGAACGTTATCAAACGAAATTAGTTGATCGAGACATTCAATTAACGATTATCAACGTTCAAGAAACGGATATTGGAACAATCACATGTTGTTTAAACAATACAATTACAACAGCAAATTTAACATTGGATGATAATGATAAAACATTGAAATTCATTAAATTATTAGAAAACGATGACACAGGAAATCTTCAAGTTGACTCGCCATTTATGTTGGAATGTCGAACAAATCGACCAACATATCAAATACGATGGTTTAAAGATAATCGAGAAATCAGTCAATATGATCAAATTATGAAGACCATATCCGATGGTTGTACACATGTTCTTCAAGTCTCACGTGCTCAACTCGAACACACGGGACAATACCGATGTGTCGTAGCAGATCGTCTCGAAACCACATGTCACATAACAATCCGTGAACCAGAATACCGTTTTGTTCAACCATTACCATCGAACATTCAATTTTCACCTTTAACTGACACTTCATTAACACTTGATGCTACATTAAATCGTAAACCAACACGCGTTCAATGGTATAAGAACGGTATAGAGATTTATCCATCGCGAAAGTATGAATTAGCAAATGAACATCACGTCGTTGCGTTAATCATTCATGATTTATCATCGGATGATCAAGGTTTATATCGATGCAATATCGGCAATAATCAGACAACAAGTGAATGCCAAGTATCGATGAATTTGATGAGTGAAAATGATCAACGACTGATTAAACCATTAGAAGATCAAAATATTTACGTTCATGACACATGTACATTGACTGTACAGTTCCAAGGTGATGCACCAGATGTGAAATGGTATAAAAATGGACAGGAAATCCAAGCGAGTAAGAAATATCGTTTGATGCATCATGGAAATGGACAAACATTAGTCATTGATGATTGTCAATTAACACATGATCAAGCTTATTACAGTTTACGACTTGCGAGCAATCCGAAAATTGATTTGACATCCTGTTATGTTCAAGTCAAAGATAAATTTGTTAATATTACGAAACATTTGGAACCACAGCGATGTATTCTTGGACAGGAACAACAGGTAAACATTGAATTGCAATGATAAATCAAATAATTTCTTTCCTTATCAGGTTCAATTCGATTGTGAAACAACTCCAACTGATAAAAAACCCATTTGGTACTTCAATAATCGTCAAATCGACAATTCCGCTAAATACGAATTAATATCTACGGATAATACTCATCATTTGTTATTCATTCATCAACCTGAACTATCCGATCAAGGTCAATACACTGTCGCATTTCCTGAAAGTGATCAATCTTCAACTGCGAATCTTCAAGTTTTACAAACACCATCGACTTTGGAATTCATTCAACCACTCGACGAAGTTTTCCTTTGCGAAGAAGGCGAGAGTTTCGTTCTTGTCACACGCACAAACAAACCGACAAACGTCAGCTGGATGAAAAATGGGTATAAACTATCGTTGAAACCTCGATTGGACTCTCTTCCTACCAGCGAACATCGTTTATCTATTGAAAAAGCACAAAAACTCGATCACGAAGGCATTTACACATGTATCATCGATGCAAATAATGTCGCCACACAATGTCAAGTGAAAATTCTTGAACGAGAACTACAATTAATTCAACCATTACCAAAACAAATACGTTTAAATGAACAAGATACATTAACATTGATCTGCGAAACGAATCGCAAACCGAAAAAAGTCCAATGGTTTAAAGATCAATCGAATATTCCACTTGAAACAACGAATTCTCTGATGATTATCAATGCCGACGAGACATGCACATTGATCATCAACCACGCGAATAAATTCGATTCAGGAACATATACGTGTCGATTAGAAGATCGATTAGTCACTATTTCGGATGTGAAAGTTCAAGAATCATCTGCACAATTTGTTGACGGACCACAATCTTATCTTGTTTGGAAACGAAAAGAAGATGGACCTGTTGCAACAATTAGTTGTACATTGAATAAACCGAATATTTCCGTTAAATGGTTTCGAGAGAATCAAGAAATTCAACCGATTTACAATGATAAATATGAGTTTATCACCGAAGGTTCAATTCAATGTTTATTAATACATGATGTTCAAAAAGAAGATTCTGGTAAATATGTCATTTCATTAGGACCGGTCTACCGTGCTTGTCATCTCGAAGTTATCGATGATACGGGAATGTCGACTGATGACGAAGCGTCCGACCGACTTCTCCAACCGATCTCTTCACTTCAACGTCAAGAAATTCTCGAAGGAGATTCGTTAACCATTGAAGTCTCTCCGGACATTCAAATTCATTCGCCGAATCAAATTCGTTTGCTGAAAAATAATCGACCGGTAACCGATTTTTCCCACGTAAAATTAGAACGCGATAATTCCATCCCGAATTCGAATCGCTGGGTGATTCATTTGTTCGATGTCGATCTCACCGATTCAGGAGTTTATTCGATTGAAATAAACAATCAACCACGACAAGACCTTTTGGATTTATTCGTGAAGAAACGACCGATTCAAAGACAATTGATCACTTTACCAAAAGATGAATTTTATTTACACGAAACGATTACATTGGAATGTAAATTCGAACGACCGATTAAAACGAAAAAATTACAACCAACTTGGTTTAAAAATGGTAGACCACTTCAATCATCCAATCGACATTTGATTAACATTGAAAGTCAAATGAAGGATGGACCAACAAAATATTCTCTAACAGTCAAAAATGTCGATTTCACCGATGAAGGTAAATCTACGTACATTATACGAAAATTTTCTTCAAATCTCTCGATTTCTTTTTCAGGTATCTACGAATTACGTAGTGATTATCTCATTGTTGAAACTCCATTGATTCGTATCATCGAACGACCAGTTCAACCAACTCCTGTTCGCACAGTAACTGCAGGAGATAGTCTTCAAATCGATGTGAATATTGATCAGCCCAACTCTCCAGATAATCTCCTCGATCAAATCACCGTTCTTAAAGATAATCGTCCGATCATCAACAAACCGGAAATTCACAAATGGTTCGATGGAAATCAATTCAAATTAGAACTGCGAAATCTTGCATTGAATGATCGTGGTCTCTACGAAATCGATATTCAAGGACAACGCACACCGATCTGCTTACTCGATGTGAAAGAACGTCAACCCGAAGTATTTCTTCTCGAATTAGATCGAGATACATTCGACGAAGGAGAAACAATTCGTTTGTCATGTACATTTCCTCAACGTCCAGGTCCAACTTCGAATTGGTTTAAGGACAATCAACTAGTTCGCTCAAATGAAAACATTCAATTGATTGATGAGAATAACACGTTAACGATTATTATTCGCAATGCTAAACGTTCTGATTCGGGTGTTTATGAAGTTCGAATCGGATCGATCATTGCACGTGCACCAATGATACATGTTGTGCCCAAACAACAACAACCGGATGTTCCAATTCAAAATGTTCGAGAAGGAGATACAGTGACTCTATCAGTCGAAGGTCTACAAGCGAATATCCGACCACAAGATATTCATTTGTTGAAAAATGGAAGACCAATCATGCCGATGGAAAAGCCCAAAGTAAATTTTTTTGAGCAAGTTTATCAAAATCGCTTTTCTTCTGTTTAGGTTTCGATTAAACGTGAAGATGATAAACTTCGAATTGTCCTACAAACATTGGCTCTCGATGATTCAGCTCTGTATAGTGTACAGATTCAAAATGATGTTCATCCATTGGCACAGATTGAAGTTGAACAGCGTCAACCGGAGATTCAAGAAATGCAATTAGAACAAGATACTTTCTTTATCGGCGATACAGTTACACTGGATTTAGAATTTACGAATGAACCAATTGAACAACCACGTTGGTCAAAGGATAACCGAATTCTAAGAAACAATGATCGAATTTCCATTGAAACTGTCGGAAATCGAGTTACCTTAATCGTCAAAGATTTACGATTAGACGACGCAGGTAAGTCAACGAATATCGATCTATACTGTCGAACTTTCTCGTCTTTTTTTCAGGTATCTATGAAGTCCAAAGCGGACCCTTAATCGTCCGTACTCCATTCATCAATGTTATCGAACGTCCACAAGATGTAACCGAAATTGTTGATGAAACCGTGACCTACACAATCACACCAAATCCACCAGTTGACACCAAAGTATGCACAATCAAAGAAGGCGACAGTGTCACATTGAAAATTGCCTCTCCGACTCCATTGACCGTTCACGATGTTCAATTATTCAAAAATAATCAACCAATTCCAATGGATAGTGAAACACGTAAACATCTCCAAATCGAACAATACGGACCGAAAGACGTTCGTTTGAGCATCACCGATGCACGTTTGAACGATACAGGAGATTACAGTGCATTGATCAATGGTCAATTTCAACCAATAATAGCACTGAATGTTCAACCACGTGAAATGCAAATTCAAATGATCGATCTGCCTCAAGATACTTTCAATGAAAGCGAAACATTGAAAATCGATTGTCAATTTCCTCAAGGAAATCTCAATCAAGATTACAAATGGTACAAGGACAATCAATTATTAACCCCAAACAATCGTGTCGAAATTCGCAAAGATGCTTTCAATGATTCATTAGTTATCCACAACTTAAACTTATCCGACGCTGGTGTCTATGAACTCAAAAATGCGAATACAATTTTACGAACACCACCAATCAAGATTCTTCCATTGCAACACGTTCGACCACAAGTTGGCTCGAAACTTGTACACGAAGGTGATACAGTGACATTTGAATTAACCCCGAACTATGATGTTCCATTGAATAAAATCGAATTGTATCACGAAGAAAATCCAATAACACATGAACCGTTTGTTCATATGAAAAAAGATTATAAGTCTAATGCGATCACAGTTCAACTAGAAGATATTAAACTCACCGATCAAGGTTTATTCACTGCGGTTGTTCAAGGACAGTCTGTTCCATTAGCTGAATTAATCGTCGAACCTCGTCCGGTTGTTATACAGAATATGGATTTACCAAAAGACGTTTTCTATACAAATGAACGTCTCGAACTCGAATGCGAATTTCCACAAATTCCAAAAGGTGAACAACCACAATGGTATCGAAACAATCAATTATTACACTCGACACCCAATCTTCATATTGTTCAAGAAAATAACGGACGAAAACATTTGTTGATCATTGAACATTTACACCCAGATGATACAGGTCAATATGAATTACGTGTGAAGGGTTTAATTGTTCGAACACCATTGATACGAGTTATCGAAAGAGAAGAACAACAAACACCGTATTATGTAACCGAAGTTGACGATCAACTGGACAAATCTCGACAACGACGATCAAGTCAAGTTATTATCGAAGATATCACCGATCAGCAGAATATTTCATGTAAATTTCAAACATTTTTTCTCTTTTTTCTATTTCAATTTTTCACCTTTTTTTTTAGATCAAGCAAATATCTACGAAGATACTCAACATGTGCGCCAAGGTGATTCCGTTCACTTGAAAGTTATCAGTACTCTCGATGTTAAACCCAATCAAGTTCATTTGATTCATAATGGTTTTCCTATTGACACACATAAACGTCCATCAATAACCGTCGATCGTGTTTCACCGGGTACCTACGGAATTTCTCTACTCGACGTTCAAGTTCCTGACTCCGGTCGATATGAATATCATATTGAAGGTGCACCAGTACCTAAGCATTTAGTAACAATGTACGTCGAACCACGACAAGTTAAACAGAAAGTTCTTCATCTTCCTCAGACAACATTCAATGTCGGCGAATCGATCTTATTCAAAGTTGATTTCGATGAACAAGATAATCTGAATGAAACACCGAAATGGTATCGAAATGAAATGTTAATTCCAATTGGTTCAAACCAACGACAAAAACAAACGATAGATTTGTACAATCGCACACATACGTTTGAAATTTACAATTTACAACCAGAAGATAGTGGATCGTATGAAATGCGTACTTCACAATTAGTCGTTAAAACACCGGAGATCAAAGTCATACCGAAAGCAATTGTTGAAGAAGTTGTTCAAGAACCGATCACTCGGCAATCATCGATCACAATCGATATGAACAAACACAAAGAACAACCAGTGTATGTTCGATTTTTTACAGAGAGAATTATCATGGAAACGATTTTGTTTTTTTAGAGAAATGCAACCGATCGAAGAATTTCAACCTGTGGAAGAAAATATTCCTGTTCATGATGTCACTGAAGGCGATATGATGCATTTAACTGTTGAGAAACCAGCAAATGTTCCATTATCAAATATCAAAATCTTCAAAAATTATCAACCACTGCTTCCATCAAAGAATATTCTCATTCAAGCAACATCACCAACAACGATCGATATGAAATTCTCGCCTGTCGAATTAGTTGATCAAGGTCACTATTCCATCAGTATTCAAGATCAAATTCAACCAATTATGCAATTGAATGTTCATGAGAAACCAGTTCAAAGACAAATTATGAATCTTCCACAAGACACTTTCTTAGAAAATGAAACATTGACAATTGAATGTAAATTCGATGTGAAACCGGATATTCCATTTGTTTGGACAAAAGATGGATCGTATTTGATGAATGACTCACGAATTAGTATTAAACAGAAAAACGAAACATTTACATTGATCATTAAAGATTTACAATTAGCTGATCAAGGTGTTTATTCATTAGAAAGTAAATATTTGATCTTGGACACACCGTTTATCACCGTTCTACCAAAACCAGAACAACCAACGATTGAAATTGAACACGAAGAAACGACAATTACGATACAAGTAAGATGAACAGATTGTTAGAGCGAAAGAATTGACGAGTATCACTTTAGCCAAATGTATCTGTGACCAATACGGATGAGCAAATCGAAGAGATTGTGATAACACAGCAACCTGCTGAACCAATTCAAGCGCCTACAGCGAAAGTTCAAACTGATGAGACGATAACGACAACAACCAATGTCGAAGAACAACAACAACCAACATTTCAAGCAAGTTCATCAGCAACGCAACCTGAGGTAAAATATTCAAAGAAAAAGTCTTAGAGTTTTTTTTATACATAAACATTCTTTTCTAGGAGACTATCTCAACAACAACTGAAGTGGAACAACAACCGGCATTACAAGTGACAGCTGATGCATCGTCAACACAACCAAAAGTAGAGGAACAAGTAAGTGATCTTTGTTGTGCTGTTATTGTGTGTTGTGATCTCATATGCGCGATCGAACTACTAAAATGAGCACGAGAAATGATTATTGTTCCTACTTCGTTACAATAATCGATATATTTTGATTGCGTGATTGTGCGAATGAAAATATGAACGTGTTTTTAGTCGTCTAAAACTACCGTGATCGAATCCGTTCGTGAAAAGCCGCAAACGACTACGCAAACTGTAATCGAAGAGGAAACCATTCTTGAGGAAAAGCCACATCAGGCCACGAAACCTCAAGAGACTGTTGTAGAGAAACCAAAAGCACCTACAACTGATACGATAGTTACGACTGTTGAAGAAGTTTTAATTGAGAAGCTGAAACGACCAACTACGACAATTGAAGAAGTTATTGTAAAACAACAAACACCAATTCCAACTAAATCTGAAAGTACCGATACAATCGAAGAAGAAGAAACAATCGTGACACAGAATTTTCCTCAGATGCAATATGACGCTCCTAAAGAATCAACTGTCAAAACAGAGAAAACGATTTCTGCTGAACAACCAAAAGTAGAGTATCACGTTCACGAAGAGATTGTACCGACACCTGAAACTGGTGCCACCGTGACAGAAACTGTCACTACTACCACTACCACTACCATAGATCAAGCTATAAATCATCCAACTAAACCTTCGGAAACAAAGCCCATTATTGAAGAAGTGACGACCACAGAGAAAGTCTCGATCGAAAAACCGAAACCATCCGTTGCTATAATCGAAGAGATGACGACTAATGAAGAATTCATTGAGCAAAAGAAAGCTACTGATCTCAAGCAACCATCCGTAACGACTTCTGTTGAAGAGACACGTGTTATTGAACAGAAGCCAACAGTGACTGTCATGGAAGAAAGTAAAACCGAAACAAAACCACAAACTGTCGAATCAATCATAACAACTAAAGAAATTGCCGTTGGGCAACCAGAACAACCAACTGTTGCCACGAAAGCAACTGTCGAAGATATCACCACTACAATTGAACAAAAACCCGCTATTGAGGAAAAGGCACCCGCACCAAAAACAGTAGAGAGAAGTGAGATAATCCAAGAACAGCTTACTGTCACTGAGCAACCCATCGTTACAACCGGATTGGAAACAAAGCCTGACATTCGTACAGCTATTACAACCGCTGAAGTAGTTCTGGCAGAACAACCTACAGCAACTATAGAAGAAGTCACGACCACAGAAGAGCAGATCATCAACCGTCCTCAAGAAAATAGCACGATTGAAGAGCAGTATACTATAACGCAGCAACAGACCCCCAAACAACAAGTCGAAACTAAACCTGAAACAGCAACAACAACTACTACAACTATCACGGAAGAAGTTACTGTTGAACAGCCAAAACAACCTTCGGCAACTATCGAAGAGGTCACAACTACCGAAGAAGTTATCGAGCGCCGACATGGCGTACCCTCTACTGTCGAGGAAATCGTCACGGCTGAGAAACCTACTGAAAAAGTTACGACTACAGTCGAAGAACAACGTATCACTGAGCAGAACGCTCCGGTAAAGACAATCGAACAAACTGAAACTATAGAAGAAGAGGTTACTACTGCTGAACAACCAAAAGTAGAACAGACTGTCACAAGAGAAATCGAAACTAAACCTGAAACAGCAAAAACAACTACTACTACTGTCACTGAAGAAGTTACTGTTGAACAGCCAAAACAACCTACAGCAACTATCGAAGAGGTCACAACTACCGAAGAAGTTATCGAGCGCCGACATGACGTACCCTCTACTGTTGAGAAAATCGTCACGGCTGAGAAACCTACTGAAAAAGTTACGACTACAGTCGAAGAACAACGTATCACTGAGCAGAACGCTCCGGTAAAGACAATCGAACAAACTGAAACTATAGAAGAAGAGGTTACTACTGGTGAACAACCAAAAGTAGAACAGACTGTCGCAGGAGAAATCGAAACCAAACCTGAAACAGCAAAAACAACTACTACTACTGTCATTGAAGAAATTACTGTTGAACAGCCAAAACGACCTACAGCAACTGTCGAAGAAATCATCAAACGTCCTCAGGAAATACCCTCTACTGTTGAGGAGATCATAACGGTTGAAAAACCTACTGAAAAAGTTACGAGTACAGTAGAAGAACAACGTATCACTGAACAAAGCGCTCCGGTAAAGACAATCGAACAAACTAAAACTGTAGAAGAAGAGGTTACCACTGCTAAGCAACGAAAAGCAGAACAGACTGTTACAGGAGAAATCCAAACTAAACCTGAAACAGCAATGACAACTACTACTACTGTCACTGAAGAAATTACCGTTGAACAACCAAAAGTAACCGGCGAAGAAAGTATTGTGCGTCCTCAGGAAAAACCTTCTCTGGTTCAAGAAGTTACTATGACTGAAGAAGAACGCATAATTGTAGAAGAGCAATTTATGGCTGCTGAACAGGCAAAAGTAGAGCAAGCGAATATCACAAAAGAAATCGAAACCAAACCTGAAATCACTAATACTACTACAACTAGAGAAGAAATGGTACTGGAACAACCGAAACAACCAATCGCAAGCATAGAAGAAGCTACTACCACGGAAGAGATTGTTGAGCGACCACGAGAAATAACTTCTGTTGTGAAAGAAGTCGCAACGAATGAGAAACCTAAAGAAAAACCTGTGGCAATCGTGGAAGCGAATGAACTTGCCGAAGAGCAGGATACTGTTGTTGAGCAACCAAATCTCCAAGAAGTCGAAACGAAACCTCAAGTAAGCACGAGAAGAATCGTAACTGAAGAAATTGTCGAGCATCCACATGAAATACCCTCTACGATTGAGGGAATCGCAAAGTTTGAAAAGCCGACCGAAAAAGTTATGACTACAATAAAAGAAGAGTTAACCGTCGCGCAACAACCAACTGTGAAACAAACTATCACGGACGAATTTGCCGTTGAACAACCGAAGATAGCTACCGAAGAAATTGCGGAGCATCCTCAGGAAAAACCGTCTGTTGTTGAGAAAGTCTTTACAACTGAAGAGGAACATGTTATTGAGCAAAAAATACCCGTGGCCACAATTGAAGCAAGTAAAGCAGTGCAAGAACAATCTATCCCTATCGAGCAACCAGAAATGAAACAAACTGTCACAAAAGAAATCGAAACTCGATCTGAAACAATGACCACAGGCGCAAAAGAAATTTTAGCTGAACAACCAACTGTTACGCAAACTGTCACGGAAGAGGTCGTTGTTGAGAAGCCGAAACAACCTACGGCAACTATCGAAGAGCTCACCACCACAGAAGAAGTTATCGAGCGCCGACATGACGTACCCTCTACTGTTGAGGAGATCATGACGGTTGAGAAACCTACTGAAAAAGTTACGACTACAGTCGAAGAACAACGTATTACTGAGCAGAATGCTCCGGTAAAGACAATCGAACAAATTGAAACTGTAGAAGAAGAGGTTACTACTACTGAACAGCAAAAAGCAGAACAGACTGTCGCAGGAGAAATCGAAACTAAACCCGAAACAACAACAACAACTACGACTACTGTCACTGAAGAAGTTGTTGCTGAGCAACCGAAACAACCTACGGCAACTATCGAAGAGGTCACAACTACCGAAGAAGTTATCGAGCGCCGACATGAGATACACTCTACCGTTGAGAAAATCATCACGGCTGAGAAACCTACAGAAAAAGTTACGACTACAGTCGAAGAACAACGTATCACTGAGCAGAATGCTCCGCTAAAGACAATCGAAGAAACTGAAACTATAGAAGAAGAGGTTACCACTACTGAACAACCAAAAACAGAACAGACTGTTACAGAACAAGTCGAAACTAAACCTGAGACAGCAACAACAACTACTACTGTCACTGAAGAAGTTGTTGCTGAGCAACCGAAACAACCTACAGCAACTATCGAAGAGCTCACCACCACAGAAGAAATTATCGAGCGCCCACATGAAGTACCCTCTACTATTGAGGAGATCATGACGGTTGAGAAACCTACTGAAAAAGTTACGACTACAGTCGAAGAACAACGTATCACTGAGCAGAACGCTCCAGTGAAGGCAATCGAAGAAACTGAAACTATAGAAGAAGAGGTTACCACTGCTGAACAGCCAAAAGTAGAACAGACTCTTACAGGAGAAATCGAAACTAAACCTGAAACAGCAACAAACACTACTACAACTATCACGGAAGAGTTCGTTGTTGAGCAACCAAAACAGCCTACAGCAACTATCGAAGAGCTCACCACCACAGAAGAAATTATCGAGCGCCGACATGAGGTACCTTCTGCTGTTGAGAAAATCGTCACAGCTGAGAAACCTACTGAAAAAGTTACCACTACAGTAGAAGAACAACGTATTACTGAGAAGAATGCTCCGGTAAAGACAATCGAACAAATTGAAACTGTAGAAGAAGAGGTTACCACTGCTGAACAGCCAAAAGTAGAACAGACTGTTACAGGAGAAATCGAAACTAAACCTGAAACAGCAAAAACAACTGCTACAACCATCACGGAAGAGATCGTTGTTGAGCAACCAAAACAGCCTACAGCAACTATTGAAGATATCACAACCACAGAAGAAGAAACCATCAAGCGTCCTCAGGAAAAATCTGTTATAGTAAAAGAAATCGCCACAGTGGAACAAGAGATACCAGTGAGAACGGAAAGCGAAGAAGTTGCGTTTCAAAAGCCAAAGGAAACCAGCACAAAAACAGAAGAGATTTTTGAGCGTATTATTGAACAGAAAACTCCAGTGGCAACTGTCGAAGAAAGTGAAACTGTAGAAAAGCAGTTTCAAGTCGCTGAGAAGCCGACTGTTACAGAAGAAATCGAAAGTAAACCTAGAAAAAGTACAACTATCACGACAAGTGAAGAAGTTACTAAGTTCGAAGAAGAACGTGATACTGAGGAAACAGCACCCGTGACAACAACCGAAGAGAATGTAACTGTGGAACAAATTATCAGAAGAGAAGTTGAAAGTAAACCGGAAACAAGCACAACTACAGAGAAAATCACTGAAGAACAGTCCATTAGTCGGGATGAAATTACCTCGACCACGGAAAAAGTTGAAGAGAGCAAACCTCAAAAAGAAGCAGTCACTACAATTGATGAGGAGAGTATGGTTGAAGAACAAGCGCCAATTATAAGAAAGGAAGAAATCCAATTTCTAGAACAAACACCTGGTCGAAAGGCGATTGTCGAGGAGGCTCAACCATTCCCCGATAGTACTTCTATAGAAGAAGTAACCACTGTTGAGTCGTTCGAAGAACGTCCTAAAGAAGGAACGAAACCTACAAGTACTATTGAAGAAACATTAACTACGGAAGAACTTGTAGAAGAAAAACCGATCCAGGAGATAACAACTAAGATTCCAAAAGCAGAAATCCAACAAACAGCCACTGAACAAAACGTTATAACAAATGAAACAATCCCAATTGTTGCGGAGGATTCAGTGGAAGAAATTCGAGCACCTAGTAAAACAACATCATTGATTGAAGAAGTGACAACAGTTGAAGAAATTCTAGAAGAAAAACCAAAACCATCAACGGTAATTATCGAAGAAGTGACTACAACAGAAGATATCACTGAAGAAGAAACAACGCCACGTATAGAAGAAGTAGTAGAAGAAGAAATAACAGAACCGATTACCGAAGAAACAAGAAAACCGACTGAAAAACTACAATCGAAAGTTGAAGAATCACTCGTTCAAAACGAAACACTCAATTTCGAAGAAGAGAAAGTAAGCGTGCTACATGCCGCCGTCAATAGAACGCGCTGCCGCATTAGAATCGCTTGTAGTTCGAACTAGACGGATTGATATCTCGGCGTGACTACGCTTTCATGCCTGTAGCTACTATGCAGGCTTCATCAAGCTTTTCACTTTTTCTTTCGCATGATAACTGCAATAATATTCGTATACTTTGAAACGTATCATTTTAGCAAACACAACCGAACGTCGCACCTGTCAAACGAGTTGATGAAAACAGTAATATCACATTGAAAGTTGAAACACCAACCAGTAAAAACATCGTTATCCTAAAAGACGGTGTTCACGTAACTGAATCTGATCATATACATATCAAACCTCTTTCATCAACTGTAACGCAAATTGAAATCGTCAAGGCTAAACCGGAAGACGAAGGAGAATATACGATTGTTGTTGATGAACAAGAACAACCTCTCATAAAACTCGAGGTTACACCTAAACCAGTCATTCGACAAGAAATGCAATTACCAAAGACTAAGTTCAATGAAAAAGAGACTTTGACTATTGTCTGTCAATTCGATGCTGCACCTGAAGAACCATTCGTTTTTCTTCATAACGAGCAACTCATTGTTCCCGATTCTCGTGTGACAACTACTATCGAAGATAATAAATATACTATAGTCGTCAAAGATCTTCGTCCCGAAGATGAAGGTGTTTATACACTTAAATCAGATCATTTGGTTCTCGATACACCAACGATAACTGTTGCATCAGAAGAAAAGAAACCAGAGACTGAAATAGCAACAACAACAGTCCAGCAAGAGCAAAAAGTCGTTACAGTCACACCCGAACAACAAGAAAAAACAGAAACTGTAAAAGTCGAGGTAAGTGTTTTTCGATGCGAATCTAGAACATCGTGTGTTTCGTTCAAATTCAACAAAATTCGCTTGTTCGTAGACAGCAAAAGTCGATATTGATATGCCGGTACACGAAGTTGAAGAAACTAGTACAGTCACTCTCACCATTGAAAAACCACAAGATACAACAACAAAGGATGTTGTTCTACTCAAGAATGGAGAAGAACTCAAACCATCCGATCATGTCAAGATCACATCCAAATCACCAACAACCACCGAAGTGCAAATCGTCAAAGTCAAACCAGAAGATGAAGGTGATTATACAGTTGAAGTCAAAGGTGTCGAGCAACCACTTGTTCGACTGAAAGTTCATCCAAAACCAGTGATTCGACAAGAGATGCAATTACCAAAGACACGATTCAACGAAAAAGAAACCTTGACTATCGTTTGTCAATTCGATGCGGTTCCTGAAGAACCCTTTGTGTTTCTTCACAATGATCAACCGATTGTTCCTGATTCACGTGTGACGACATCAGAAGAAGGAAAGCTGTTTACCATAGTTGTAAAAGATCTTCGTCCGGAAGATGAAGGTGTCTATACACTGAAATCAGATCATTTGATTCTTGATACGCCAACCATTACAGTTGCAGCCGAAGAGAAGAAACCGGAAACAGAAACAACAACAGTAGTCGAAGAGGAAGAAACGATCACAGTCGCACCGCAACAAGAACAACCTAAAACGACCATTGACGAAGTGAAAACTACTACCGAAGTAATAGAAAATAAACAGGTAAGTTTTTTCTTGATCGTTCGTTTTTCAAGCTCTCGCTAATATTCCTTGTGGTTATTCAGCTTGAAAAACCGCTCGAATCTCCTGTTCAAGAAGTTGAAGAAACGACGACTGTCACGATGACTGTTGAATTACCCGAAGGCACTTCGCACAAAGAGATCATTCTCTTAAAAGATAATGAAGAGGTCAAACCCTCCGAACACATCAAAATCGGACAAACGACTTCAACTACCACTGAAATTCAAATCGTAAAAGTCACACCCGAAGACGAAGGCACATACACTGTCAGTATCGATAATCAGCAACAACCTTTAGTCGAATTAAAGGTTATTCCAAAACCTATCGTTCGCCAAACGATGGATATCCCACAAACAACGTTTAACGAGGGAGAAACATTGACTATCAAATGTCAATTCGATAGTATACCAGAAGAAACGTTCAAATTCTTGTTAAACGAACGACCACTCGTTTCGAACGATAGAATCACGACTACTGTGAAAGATAATACGTATATCATCGAAGTGAGAAATTTGATACCGGAAGAAGACGAAGGTGTCTATACATTGAAATCCGAACATTTGATTCTTGACACGCCATCGATCACTGTACGTCGAATTGATCGAAAAGAAAACGAAAATGTCGTCGAAGAAATCGAAGAAGAAACGATTACGGTCGAATCCGTGAAAAAGCCCGAAATAACCGAAATCGAAATCGTTGAAAAACAAGAAGAGAAAGTAAGTCGCACGTCAGAAATCTGCACATACATAAATCAATCGTTTTCTCTATTTGAAACATTCGTTCAAATTACTAGTTCGATTCGTATGTCTTTTTGCAGTTACCTGAAACTACCGTAACGAAAACAGAAGAAACATCAACTATCGAAACTTCTGTAAATGTCGAAACACCGGCACCTGTTCAAACAGCAACAGTGACTGAAATTGTTGAAGAACAAGTACGAGTAACGAATATGATATTCGTAGAAAGAAGAAAATGAAATATCGTTCTTTTCTAGCCGATTGAAACCAAAGTTGTCGAAGAAAAAGTAACGACAGAAGAAGTGCAAACAATTCAACCAACGGTTTCAAGTGAACAAGTCGAAGAGATTACTGTAATTATCATTTCTGCACGCTACTTCCTCGTAACTCTTAATGAGAAACTATCTATCTTGTAAATCAAAAGACAGGCAGTATTATGTATAAACATACTTATATCATAGTGACTATATAGTCGGATAATTCTATATATTTTCGCACTAATTTAACGATTACCTTCCAAAAATACTAAAACACACCGCATATCGAGAGGAGATTATTCACCTTATACAACGGAATATAAGTTGAGCATACAGTTACGACGCTCAAAGTATATCCTCTTGCATCGTGTTCATCACACAAAAGCTACTTGAGACGAGATGTAATTAATAAAACTTTCTAATTTAAATACTATACAGATCGATACATCGAAGTTTTACGCAATGGGAAATCGCATTTTCTTTCTAAAATCATCTTTTAGTCATTCGTTCAAGAAGAAACACAGAACGTTGTATCCAAACCTGCTCCCACTATCGAAGAAGAGCAACCAAAACCTGTGGAAGAGAAGCCAGTTCAACCAGAGCAACCGAAACCTATTGAAGAGAAGCCAGCTCAAGAGGAGCAACCGAAACCTGTGGAAGAGAAGCCAGTTCAACCAGAGCAACCGAAACCTATCGAAGAAGAACAACCTAAACCAGTGGAAGAAAAGCCAGTTGAACAACAACAACCAAAACCTGTTGAACAAGAGCAACCGAAACCTGTTAAAGAAGAACAACTAACACCTGTGGAAGAGAAACCAGTTCAACAAGAACAACCGAAACCTGTTGAAGAAGAACAACCAAAACCTGTGGAAGAAAAGCCAGTTGAACAAGAGCAACCAAAACCTGTTAAAGAAGAACAACTAACACCTGTGGAAGAGAAACCAGTTCAACAGGAGCAACCGAAACCTATTGAAGAGAAACCAGTCGAACAAGAACAACCGAAACCTGTTGAAGAAGAACAACCAAAACCTGTGGAAGAAAAGCCAGTTGAACAAGAGCAACCAAAACCTGTTCAAGAAGAACAGCCTAAACCAGTAGAAGAAAAACCAGTTCAACTAGAGCAACCGAAACCTATTGAAGAGAAGCCAGTTCAACAGGAGCAACCGAAACCTGTTGAAGAAGAACAACCAAAACCTGTGGAAGAGAAGCCAGTTCAACAAGAGCAGCCTAAACCAGTAGAAGAAAAACCAGTTGAACAAGAACAACCAAAACCTGTGGAAGAGATGCCAGTTCAACAGGAGCAACCGAAACCTGTTGAAGAAGAACAACCAAAACCTGCGGAAGAGAAGCCAGTTCAACAAGAGCAGCCGAAACTAGTAGAAGAAAAACCAGTTGAACAAGAGCAACCGAAACCTGTTGAAGAAAAACCAGTCGAACAAGAACAACCTAAACCTGTGGGAGAAAAACCAGTCGAACAACAGCAACCGAAACCTGTTGAAGAAGAACAACCAAAACCTGCGGAAGAGAAGCCAGTTCAACAAGAGCAGCCGAAACCAGTAGAAGAAAAACCAGTTGAACAAGAACAACCAAAACCGGTAGAAGAAAAACCAGTCGAACAACAGCAACCGAAACCTGTTGAAGAAAAACAACCAAAACCTGTGGAGGAGAAGCCAGTTGAACAAGAGCAACCAAAACCTGTTCAAGAAGAACAGCCTAAACCAGTAGGAGAAAAACCAGTCGAACAAGAACAACCGAAACCAGTTGAAGAAGAACAACCTAAACCAGTGCAAGAAAAGCCAGTTGAACAAGAACAACCAAAACCTATGGAAGAGAAGCCAGTTGAACAAGAGCAGCCGAAACCAGTAGAAGAAAAGCCTGTTGAAGAAGAGAAACCGACACCGGCTGAACAGATTGAATCGAAAGTTGTGGAAGAAGAAATCATAGAAATAATCGAAGAAGAACAACCGAAAGAAGTCAAACAATCGGAGGAAAAAGTATGAATAATACAAAACGGAACTTCTTTTATCGGGTTCACATGTAATACTTATTTTAGCTGATCGACAAAGAAGATATCGAAGGGGAAAAAGTTCAAGTCAAGCAAGAGGAAGTACTTGTTACGGTTGAAGCTGAGAAACCGATTGAAGAAAAAAAAGAGGTTACTACAAAGGAAGTCGAAGTAAGTTTGACTGACGAAAGATCGGTAATACATTTGCCGAATTGTTTTCAGCTTGAAGAAACTACCGAAATCGAAACTCCAGTTCACGAGGTTGAAGAAAATTCAGCTGTGACTCTTACAATTGATAGACCTTCGCGCGAGATTACTCTTCTCAAAGATAATGAAAAGATCACGCCTTCCGAACACATCAAAATAGTTGAAACGTCACCGACTAGTACCGAAATACAAATCAATAAAGCTAAACCGCAAGACGAAGGAATCTATAGCGTAATTACCGATAATAAACAGCAGCCATTGATGCAACTAAAGGTTATACCTAAACCTGTCGTTCGTCAAACGATGGTCATTCCTCAAACAACGTTCAACGAAGGGGAAACATTGACTATCAAATGTCAGTTCGATACTATACCAGAAGAAACGTTCAAATTCTTGATAAACGAACAACCTTTGGTACCTAATGATCGTATTTCGACTACAATAGAAGATATGACATATACAATTGTGGTCAAAAATTTGAAACCAGAAGATGAAGGTGTATACACACTGAAGTCGGAACATTTGATTCTTGACACACCATCGATTACCGTTGTGTCCAAACCAAAGCAAACAAAACAGACTGAAACAACCGAAATCGTTGAGGTGCAAGAAGAAGCACCTGTTGGGGAAGAGAAAACGGAAATCGTGAGTGGATGATTAAATAATAAACGCTTTTGAATGAATTCGCTCGATCGAGATAAACAAGCTTTTGTGATTCAAAATATTTCTCTTCTTTTAGCCGCAAACAGTTGAGGAGACGGAAGTCGAAGAAACAATTGTTACTGAGGAAATTCCGCGACCTCATGAAGTAACTACTACCGAAATCGTAGAAGAAACAGTTGTGGTTGAACAACCACAAGTAAGAAATATTCAACAATCAGGAAAGCTCACATCTTGAGTGATTAATTGTTTTTTTAAGGAGACCAAAAAGGAAACTCCTGAGTTGCCTGTTCAAGAAGTTGAAGAAACTAGTACAGTCACTCTCACCATTGAAAAACCACAAGGTACAACAATAAAGGATGTTGTTTTACTCAAGAATGGAGAAGAACTCAAACCATCCGATCATGTCAAGATCACATCCAAATCGCCAACTACAACCGAAGTTGAGATTAAGAAGGTGAAACTCGAGGATGAAGGCGATTACACTGTGAAAGTGAAAGGTGCTGAACAGCCACTTGTTCGACTGAAAGTTCATCCAAAACCAGTGATTCGACAAGAGATGCAATTACCAAAGACAAGATTCAACGAGAAAGAAACCTTGACTATCGTTTGTCAATTCGATGCGGTTCCTGAAGAACCTTTTGTGTTTCTTCACAATGATCAACCGATTGTTCCTGATTCACGTATAACAACAAGCGTCGAAGATAATAAATACACAATAGTTGTAAAAGATCTTCGACCTGGAGAGGATGAAGGTGTCTATACATTGAAATCAGAGCATTTGATTCTGGATACACCAACTATTACGGTTGCAGCCGAAGAGAAGAAACCGGAAACAGAAACAACAACAGTAGTCGAAGAGGAAGAAACGATTACTATCGTACCAGAACAACAACAACCCGAAACTATTGTTCAACAAGAAGAAACTGAGGAAATCGTTGTGGAAACGAAAAAGGTTAGGAAATCAATTGACACAACATAATCCTTTATATGATTGTGATATGTCTTCTTTTCACTATTTTCAGCCTGAAGAAGTTCCAGTTCATGAAGTCGAAGAGAACACTACCGTTACATTGACTATCGAAAAACCACAATCGACTCCAACACAAGACGTTCATCTTTTTAAAGATGGTGAAGAAGTTAAACCATCCGAACATGTTAAATTAACAGCTACATCACCAACGACAACTGAGGTACAAATTGTCAAAGCAAAACCAGAAGATGAAGGAGAATACACCGTCATAATTGACAATAAAGAACAACCATTGGTGAAACTGAAAGTTCATCCAAAACCAGTGATTCGACAAGAAATGCAATTACCAAAGACAAGATTCAACGAGAAAGAAACCTTGACTATCGTTTGTCAATTCGATGCAGTTCCTGAAGAACCTTTTGTGTTTCTCCATAACGAACAGCCTATTGTTCCTGATTCACGTATAACAACAACTGTCGAAGATAATAAATACACAATAGTTGTAAAAGATCTTCGACCTGGAGAGGATGAAGGTGTCTATACATTGAAATCAGATCATTTGATTCTGGATACACCAACTATTACGGTTGATGTCGACGAAAAGAAACCTGAAATCGAAACACGAGTAGTGGTAGAAGAAGAAGAAGAAACGATCGCAGTTACTCCACAACAACCCGAAGTTACTGAAGTTGTGGAAGAACAAGTACAGGTAGAACTTTTTTCCGCTGTTGTGACCATCTCGATAGATTTTGCACATTTCTTGTGTATGTACATCAAGACACATTTGCACGCTTTTTCTCTCTATAGGAAATCAAGAAAGCACCAGAAATGCCTGTTCAAGAAGTTGAAGAAACTAGTACAGTCACTCTCACCATTGAAAAACCACAAGGTACAACAACAAAAGATGTTGTTTTACTCAAGAATGGAGAAGAACTCAAACCATCCGATCATGTCAAGATCACATCCAAATCGCCAACTACAACCGAAGTTGAGATTAAGAAGGTGAAACTCGAGGATGAAGGCGATTACACTGTGAAAGTGAAAGGTGCTGAACAGCCACTTGTTCGACTGAAAGTTCATCCAAAACCAGTGATTCGACAAGAGATGCAATTACCAAAGACACGATTCAACGAAAAAGAAACCTTGACTATCGTTTGTCAATTCGATGCAGTTCCTGAAGAACCTTTTGTGTTTCTTCATAACGAACAGCCTATTGTTCCTGATTCACGTATAACAACAAGTGTCGAAGATAATAAATACACAATAGTTGTAAAAGATCTCCGACCTGGAGAGGATGAAGGTGTCTATACACTGAAATCAGATCATTTGATTCTTGATACACCATCGATCACTGTTGATGCTCAACCTAAGAAACCAGAAACAGAAACGACAACAATCGAAGAAGAAACAATAACTATCGAGACACCGCAAGCACCTACTACTACTACGGAACAAGTAGTGGAAGAGGTAACATTTCGTAAACAACATATAAATCTTCTCTTAGATTCATTGCATTTTTTTCAATTCATTCATTTCTGCCTTTTTGTTTCGCCTAGGTTGAAGAAGTAGTTGAAGAAATATCAAAAGTCGAAGAAGTATGTCTTCAGAAGTAGTGTCATTCAATTCTTTCATTCCTTCAAAATTCTAGGCTCCAAAAGAAGATGAAACTCATCACAGTGAAATCGAGATTCCAATTGTAAAAGTCCCCGAAGGTGATACAATAACAATTCGAATTCCCGGTTCTAAAACAACCGAATCCAATGAAATCAATCTGTACATCAACGATCAGCCGATTAAAACATCAATTGAAGAAGACACACGCATCACAATCGAAAAAGATGGTCAAACCGATAACTACGTCGTTGTCTCCGATGCTAAACCAGAAGATATTGGTCGATATACAGTTGAATTCAATGGTAAATTACAACCACTCTGCATGCTTGAGATCACTCCAGGTCGTCCGAAGAAATCAGAAGTGGAAATTCCAATCAAACAAGGAGTTGTCGAAGAAGTCGTCGAAGAAGAAATAGAAGAACAACCCGTCACCGAAATTCCAACTCATGAAGTTATCGAAGGTGATAGTGTGAACTTAACCATCGAACGACCAAAAGACACCGATGTAAAACAAACATTTTTGTTACAAAACGATCAAAGACTCGATCAGAATACTCGATTAACAATTCAATCAGCTTCTCCCACAACAACGGAAATAACTCTTCTCAATGTCAAACCAACTGATGAAGGTGTTTATTCCATTCAATTTGGTAATCAACCAAGTCAAAAACTCATGAATCTGAAAGTTTTGCCCAAACCGATTGTTCACGATTCGCTTCATTTACCAAAGGAAGTTTTCGATCAGGGTGAAACATTAACAATTGTTTGTGAATTCGATAAAAAACCTGATGAAAACTTAACTTGGAAGCTGAATGATCTGCCATTAAATCAATTGAAAGACGATCGAATCACAATTGAGACCAGCGATGATGGAAAATCTTATACATTAACTGTGAAAGACTTACGTCCGAAAGAAGATCAAGGAATTTATAAATTAGAAAATTCGCATTTAGTTTTGGAAACACCTTTTGTTCGTGTTATTGAAAATGTCGAAGAAGAACAAGAAGAAACAACGATTCTTGTGGAAGATGAAGAAACTGAATCATTCGAATTACAAAGGAAACCAAAAGTCGAAGAAATACCAGAAGAAGTACGACTAAAATTTCTCTTTTCTAAAGCAAATTTTCTTCTTTTCTTTTAGCAACCAAAGAACATCACACAAGAAATTGTTCCTGAAGAAGTTGTCGAACAACAAGTTCCAGTTCAAGAAGAGGAAGCACAACCTCAAGTAGAAGAAGCACAACCTGTAACTGAGCCAGTGCCAGAAACACAGGTGGAAGAACAAAAACCACAACCAAAATTTGTCAAACTCCTTAAACCAAATAAAACAATTCTTCTTGAAGGTGAACAACTTGTTATTGAAGGAGAACTTGATTCTATTCCAACCAAAGTTCAATTATATATTAATGGTCAACCCGTACCGGAAGATCGGGTTAAAGCTGATATTAAAGATAAAAAAATCAAATTTACACTTGATAACATCAAACTGGATGAATCGGGTGATTACAATGCGAAGATTAATGACGAAGTTGATAGTCCACCTGTATCAATCACAGTTAATGCTGACCTTCCTACATTTATCAAAAACTTGACGATTAATAAACAACAAGCTGATGCTGGAGATACTCTAAACTTTGAATGTACACTCAATAAACCATTTGATGAAATTGTTTGGCTTAAAGATGGTAAACCGATCGAAACAGATGCTCATATTCAATTCACTAAAGATGGTCCGAAACTAAAAATGACGATTAAAGACATCAAACCTGAGGATCATACTGGTACTTATTCAGTTCGCGTCAAAGATGTGGAAAGTGACAAAGTTACAGCCATGGTGGCAAAGAAACTGCCGAAATTCATCAAAGATCTCAAACCAAATAAAACGACATTAACAGAAGGTGAACAACTCATTCTTGAATGTGAGTTAGACGCTGCTCCAACTACTACTCAATTGCAAATCAATGGTCAACCCGTACCGGAAGATCGAGTAAAGACAGAAGTCAAAGATAAGAAGATTAAATTCACTCTGGATAACATTAAATTGGACGAAGCTGGTGATTTCAATGTTAAAGTCAATGACGAAGTCGACAGCAAACCAGTCGCTATTACTGTCAATGCTGATGTACCCAAATTTGTCAAGAATTTGAATATCAACAAGAAAGAATTTGATATGGGAGAAACACTCAACTTTGAGTGCACATTGAATAAACCATTCGACGAGATTGTTTGGCTTAAAGACGATCAACCAATCGAAGAAAACGCACATATCCAATTCACCAAAGATGGTCCTAAACTAAAAATGACTATCAAAGATGCACAACCAGAAGATCATACAGGTACATACTCTGTTCGAGTGAAAGAACTAGAGAGTGATAAAATACCAGTAACGGTAGCAAAGAAACTACCGAAGTTCGTGAAGGATCTGAAAGCCAATAAAACTACATTAACTGAAGGTGAACAACTCATTCTTGAATGTGAGTTAGACACTGTTCCAACCACTGCTCAACTACAAATCAATGGTCAACCCGTACCGGAAGATCGAGTAAAGACAGAAGTCAAAGATAAGAAGATCAAGTTTACATTGGACAATATCAAGCTTGATGAAGCAGGTGACTACAACCTTAGAGTTAACGATGATGTTGACAGCAAACCAGTATCTATCACTGTTAATGCCGATATCCCTAACTTCGTCAAGAATCTCACCATCAACAAGAAACAATTTGATATGGGAGAAACACTTAATTTCGAATGTACATTAAACAAGCCATTCGATGATGTTGTCTGGTTGAAAGATGGTCAACCAGTTGAAGAAAACGCACATATTCAATTCACCAAAGACGGCCCTAAACTGAAACTGACTATCAAAGATGCACAACCAGAAGATCACACAGCCACATATTCTGTTCGAGTCAAAGAAGTAGAGAGTGACAAAGTTCCTGTAACTGTGACCAAGAAAGTGCCGAAGTTCGTGAAGGATCTGAAAGCAAATAAAACTACATTAACCGAAGGCGAACAATTGACCCTTGAGTGTGAACTTGATATGGCACCGACCGACGTAAAATTACTCATCAATGGTGAAGAAGTACCAGAGGATCGTGTGAAGACTGAAGTGAAAGATAAGAAGATCAAATTCACCCTCGATAATATTAAATTAGATGAAGCTGGTGACTATAACGTCAAAGTAAACAACGAAGTCGACAGCAAACCAATATCAATCACAGTGAATGCTGATATTCCTAAGTTTGTTAAGAATCTCACTATCAACAAGAAACAATTTGATATGGGAGAAACACTCAACTTTGAATGCACATTGAATAAACCATTCGACGAGATTGTTTGGCTTAAAGACGATCAACCAATCGAAGAAAACGCACATATTCAATTCACCAGAGATGGTCCTAAGCTAAAAATGACCATCAAAGATGCACAACCAGAAGATCATACAGGTACTTATTCAGTTCGCGTCAAAGATGTGGAAAGTGACAAAGTTCCTGTAACTGTGACCAAGAAAGTGCTGAAGTTCGTGAAAGAATTAAAGGCAAACAAAACCACATTAACAGAAGGTGAACAATTAATACTTGAATGTGAGTTAGATATGGCTCCAAATGACGTGAAACTATTGATCAATGGTGAAGAAGTACCAGAAGATCGAGTGAAGACTGAAGTGAAAGATAAGAAGATCAAATTCACTCTCGATAATATTAAATTAGACGAAGCTGGTGACTATAACGTCAAAGTAAACAACGAAGTCGACAGCAAACCATTATCAATCACAGTGAATGCTGATATCCCGAAATTTGTGAAAAATCTTACCATCAACAAGAAACAATTTGACTTAGGTGAAACGCTGAACTTTGAATGCACATTGAATAAACCATTCGACCAGATTGTTTGGCTTAAAGACGATCAACCAATCGAAGAAAACGCACATATCCAATTCACCAGAGATGGTCCTAAACTAAAGCTGACTATCAAAGATGCACAACCAGAAGATCATACAGGTACTTATTCAGTTCGCGTCAAAGATGTGGAAAGTGACAAAGTTCCTGTAACTGTAACTAAGAAGATACCGAAATTTACCAAAGAATTGAAAGCTAACAAGACAACATTAACAGAAGGTGAACAATTAGTATTGGAATGCGAACTTGACATGCCACCTACCAATGTCAAACTACTAATCAACGGTGAAGAAGTACCAGAAGATCGAGTGAAGACTGAAGTGAAAGACAAGAAAATCAAATTCACTCTCGATAATATTAAATTAGACGAAGCTGGTGACTATAACGTCAAAGTAAACGACGAAGTCGACAGCAAGCCTGTTTCAATTACAGTGAACGCAGATATTCCTAAATTCGTCAAGAATCTCACCATCAACAAGAAACAATTTGATATGGGAGAAACACTTAATTTCGAATGTACATTAAACAAGCCATTCGATGATGTTGTCTGGTTGAAAGATGGTCAACCAGTTGAAGAAAACGCACATATTCAATTCACCAAAGAAGGTCCTAAACTAAAACTGACTATCAAAGATGCACAACCGGAAGATCATACAGGTACATACTCTGTCCGAGTGAAAGAAGTAGAGAGTGATAAAGTACCAGTAACGGTAACAAAGAAAGTACCAAAATTTGTCAAAGAACTAAAAGCAAACAAGACAACATTAACAGAAGGTGAACAATTGATATTCGAATGTGAAGTTGACATGATACCTGAAAGTGTTGAACTAAAACTTAACGGAGAGAGTCTTCCGAATGATCGTATCAAACCTGAAATGAAAGATAAAAAACTCAAATTCACTTTGGATAACATTGAATTGAATGAAGCAGGCGACTACACAGTTAAAATCAATGATGAAGTCGATAGTAAGCCCGTGTCGATCACAGTCAATGCAGACATACCAAAATTCGTCAAGAACTTAACGATCAATAAGAAACAATTTGAAGTTGGGGAAACACTCAATTTCGAATGTACACTCAACAAACCATTCGATGATGTCGTCTGGCTGAAAGATGGTCAACCAATCGAAGAAGATGCTCATATTCAATTTACACAAGATGGTCCGAAATTGAAACTGACGATTAAAGATGCCCAACCGGAAGATCATACAGGAACATATTCAGTTCGTGTGAAACAAGTCGAAAGTGACAAAGTCCCCGTGGTTGTTCAAGAAAAACCATTGACATTTGTCAAAGATCTTAAAGCAGTGAAAACAACTTTAGATGAAAATGAAACTTTGGAATTCTCATGTCAATTAAGTCGACCATTGAAACCAAATGAAACTGTCCAATGGTATCGGAATGAAGTTCAAATTCCAATTGAACAAGATTATCCCAATCAACAAATCAATTTAGAAATTCCTGACGTTCAGCCGACCATGTCTGGTGAATATCGTTTGGAAATTGCCAGTTCTGGTCAACCAAAACCATTAAAAAGTTCTTCAATCAAGATTACGATCAAACCAGAACAAATCAAATTCGTCAAACCACTTCATGCTTTGAAGAATCCACTAAACGAAGACGAAACTCTCGTTCTCGAATGCGAATTGGACAAACCAACATACAAATCAGTCGTTTTCTTCTTAAACGACAAACCATTAAACGAAAATGAAGATGATCGTGTCAAAATCACTCAGACCGGCAACAAATGGCAAATTCAAATTACCAATGTTAAACAGGACATCGATCAAGGCGAATATACTGTCACCATCAACGAAAAAGTCACTTCTCCAAAAGTCAAAGTGACAATTCTAAAACCATTGACATTCGTTCAAGACTTAACTGTTTCGAATTCGCAACCAATCACTGAAGAAACCATCACATTCGAATGTGAACTATCTCAACCATTACCATCTGGTGATGTGAAAGATCTTTCATTTACTTTAAATGGAAAATCGTTGTCTAACGATCAAGCAAAACGTTTGAAAATCAACATCAGTTCATCGAGTCCGAAAATCAGCATAACACTAACAAATGTGAAACTGACCGTTGATCAAGGTGATTATCAACTAAAAGTTCTTCATCCTCAAGAAATTCAATCACAAACTGTTACTGTTACAATTCGACCGAAACCAATTGAAGTTCTTCAGCCGCTGCAACCTGAAAAAGCTGAGACCTATGAAGATGATACACTTCTTCTTTCAACTAAACTGCAAAACGTTCCTGAAAATCCTACAATCGTCTGGTTAAAAGACGATCAACCATTAACAATCGACAATAAACGTATTCGTACGATTCCTTCACGTGATGGTCAACAATTCAAACTATCAATCGACAATGTTCAATTAGATCAAAGTGGAACATATGCATTACAGATTAATAATGAGAAAATCACTGAATGTGATGTGCAAATCAAATCAGTTCCATTAAAAACTGTCGTACCATTGAAAATCATCGGAACACCAGTTGTGAACGGAAACGTTGACTTAGAAATCGAATTAAATCGAGCGAACGTTCCATTCATATGGATGAAAGACGAAACACCATTGGAGAGTCAACCCACACCAGTGAAAGATCAAACAAAATATCGATTAAAACTGTCGAAGTTAACACTCGATGATTCAGGAGTTTATTCAATTAATTTCAACGACGGAGAATTAGTTGAACAAGTAAAACTATCTGTTGCTTTACCACCATTAGAGTTTGTCGAACAATTGAAATGTCTTCCGTCGGATGATGTCGAAGAAGGTTCCGATATTCTTTTGCAATGTGTTCTGAATCGACCAATTGATGACGAATCCATTCCGATAGTTTTAACGAAGAATAATAAACCATTAACAGCAAGTGATAGTGAACGAGTGAAAATCGAACGAGATGGACCAACGGTGAAAGTTCATTTAACAAATGTTAAACCGGACGATGCTGGTAAGTTTTCCTGAGAATTTTGATTTGATAAATTGTTGATATTTCTTTCAGGAACGTATAAAGTAACAATTGATAAAACAAAAGATACAAGTGCCAGATTGAAAGTTCATGACAAACCATTAGCAATCGTCGAACAACTTCATCTTGTCAATCCTTCCGATGATCAAAATACTGTTGAAGAAAGTAAACCATTCGAATTATTCATTCGATATAACAAACCTGTGAAGAATCTCGTTCTCAATCGAGACAACAAACGTCTTCCAACCGATAAACGCATTCAAATCTTGTACGAAGATGATTCATCTGCTGTTCGCATCCGTTTCGATGCGGCACAAGCTGATGACAAAGGAAAATACGAAACAACAGTAAAAGATTCAACAATTTCGGATAAAGATGGTCTTCGAAGTCAAACGGTGACTATCATTGTTAAACCTTTACCTGTTTTATTCACATCGGATATCGAAGTATCAGTGCCGGATAAGGATAAGATTCCCGAAAAGACTGAAGCAACATTGACTACAACGATAAATCAAGAAAAAGGAAAAGTGAAATGGTTTTTGAATGACAAAGAAATTAAAGAAGATCAAAATCATAAGATAACAATAAAAAATCTTCAAAGACAATTAACAATCAAATCAACTGTCATTGCTGATTCGGGAATTTATACAGTTAAAAGCGAAGATGATCAACGAACGATTGAAATCACCATCAAAGGTACGAATCTCGATTTCACAAATTAATTATTTGTTTTTCTTCTTTAGACGATCTTCGTTTCACCAAGGAATTAACTCCAACGGAAGTGAACGCAACTGAAGGTAAAGACAAAGAAGTCAGTTTCGAATGTGAAACATCGAAATCCACTCCGGTTCAATGGTATCACGATCAACAAAAGTTATCTCCAACCGAACTGAAGAAACATTATCAAATTGAATCAACGAAGAATAACACGATTCATAAATTGAAGATTCTTCAACCAGTAGCAGCGGATTCAGGTGCATATCGATGTGTTTTACCAAACAATCTCGAAACAACCGCACAGTGTACAGTCGAACCAGCAGGAATCGATTTTCAACAGCATTTAACCACACCTATTCATGTCGAACACATGAAAAGTGCTTTATTAGAATGTGAATTAACTCGAAAACCACAGCAAGTAGTTTGGAAAGACAAAAATGGACAAATCATCGAGGATGGAGACAAATACGAAATCATGAACAATGGAAAACTACAAGGTAAACTTATTTTCCTCTCATTTCCAAAAAGATTTTTCCTTTCCTGTAGGTCTCGTTATCAACGATTGCGATGAAAATGACAACGGACAATACACAATCACCATTGACAATACGAAATCTTCAACAGCAGAAGTGATCGTCGAAACGGTAGTGGAAAAAGCTCGATCACCATCACCACAAGCTGCTTTTCGTAAACTCCTTCCGAACGAATTAACGACCAATCAAGATGAAGATTTTCTTCTCGAATGCGAAGTCAATGATGAAAATCAAATCACCAATTGGTACTTAGATGATGATCTCATTGGACCAACCAATCCTCGATTTCAAATTATTAATAAAGGCATCATTCGGCAACTAAAAGGTGAGAAAAAACAAGAATATTCTTCAAAGAATGACTTTTCTTTTGCGTCTTTAGTTCTCAAAGCGGAATTAGATGACACAGGCAAATACACATGTCAAGATCGTGACACTGGTGAAAGTACAAACTGCGATGTGACTGTTAATAAAGCACCTGTTCGAATTATTAAAGGTCTACCCGAAACACTACTTGTTCCACAAGGTAAATGACGTCTTCTTCATTTTGTCATAAACGAGTTCGTTCATATTCATCCATTTGCATTGACGGATGAGTGACGATTATGTAAGGAGCAGGTTTTTGTTCTTGTTGAACATATTTCATTCGAATAGGCTGTTTGACTTTCGTTAAAGCATAAATCAGAATCGGATAAGCGTGTAGAGAGATAAATATATAATTAACCAGAAGAATGTCAATTATCTGATTTTGAACTTTCAAAGGAAGTCGCAGAAATAGATAAAGATTCGTCGGACATAGAGCAAAAACGTAATAGAGAGTGTAAATATTCAAGTGAATGAGAATTCGATGGAATTTTTTCTTTGATCGATGACGGGTAATCGATGATTGAATACGATTGGTGTGAACTTCAATTCGATAGATGAGAAAACTAATCGCCAATAGCATGAAAGCGAATGGAAGGAGAAATTGTAAGGAAAACCAGATAAATTGAAATGTTAACGAACTGAAATAACAAATTATACACAGAGATGCATCTAAAGAACATTTGGCAAGAAGAACGAATAACGTGATAATTATACTGCATGATGAAAAGATAATTAAGAATGGCATAAACTGTCTGAACCAGGATAATCGTATGTTTTGTGAATAGAATATAAAAAAAGTTCTTTCTAAACTCGCATAAGCTAATGAATAACCAATTCCAGCTGATGCGACGAAGAACGCTATTAAATTGAAGTTGCATAACAGTCGACGTTGTTGCTCAGATATCCATAGCGAGTAATATTCGGTTAGTGTATGTAAAGGCGTGCTTATCACGGATAAAAGTATAGAAAATCCCAAGGAGAAATGATAAACATAGGTTAAATGTGTCCGTTGGTATTTGTAACGAAAGTATCGGAATAAACTCAATGTGGAAAAGACAATGTCGATAATGGCACTAAGCCAGATGAGAATATGTTGTTCGAAACGAAATGGATTCGTAGAAATACGTTCAGAAGATGCAAGAGTAACGTTCATGTCGGAAAAAAACGAGAAGAATTAATGAATAATAATATAAAAAAAAGACGAAGAAGAGTCGTTTTTCACCTTTCCTTCCTTGAAAAAAACTTACGGATTTCTAGTTGATGTAAAAAGAATGGCAGATTATGATGAAAGTTAACCGTCGAGATTAAAAAAGGAAAAAAAAAGAGAAACGCAAGAGAAAGAAAAAGATGAGTTCGTCTATCAGAAAGTCATGACAATTAACTTGATGATAAATTCTTAATTAAACCACGACTTTTTTCTTTCTCAGGTGAACAATTAAAACTTGAAGTAGAATTGTCACATCCGAATATTCCAAATTGTCGCTTTGTCAAAGATGATGTCAACAATCCACTCCGAAAGGACAAACGAATTCGTCTTATCTCTGAAGGAACACGTCACACACTTCTCATCGACAATGTTTTGCCCGTCGGCGACTCGGGTGTTTACGAATTTCTCGGTCCGAACGAATCTTTACGTTCAACCTGTCAAGTGACTGTTCAATCTTCGCCAAGTAAAATAACTCAACCATTAAAAGATGTAACATTACAAGAAAATCAAAATTTAACACTCGAAGCACGTGTAGACAATGAACACGCTCCTGTGACTTGGTTTATTAATGGAAAAGAAGTTTCTCCGTCAGTCGATGCACCACATATCACAATCATGTCTAAAGGACGACGACATACATTAGTTGTACAGAAAGTCAATGCTCAACAAGACGCGGGTAAATATGAGATTCGTACTCCGGACGATGCTAGTTCATGTCAAGTGACTGTCGAAGAACCCGGAGCACCTCCGGCGGACTTTACAAAGAAATTGCAAAATGTTGAAACTGAAGAATTTCAAACTGTTGAATTAAAATGTGAAACAAATCGGGAAAATTTACCGGTAGAATGGCTGAAAAACAACGAAGTCATTCAAACAACTGAACATTTTACCATCGAAACCAACGGCAAAATCCATTCGTTAACGATTCTAGACATTTTGGTCAACGATCAAGCAACATACACTTGTCGAATTCCATCGAATGGAAAAACAACAAATGCATCCGTTAAAGTCAAAGAAATGCCCGCAGATTTCGTTCATAAAATTGGTAAGAAAAAACCTTTCTTTACACAACGAACATTGATTTTATCTTACATTTATTTCAGAATCCATTGATGCGATCACAGGTGACACAGTGACATTCGATTGTCAATTAAACAAACCGAATATCAAAGTGAAATGGCTCAAAGATAATAAACCTTTAACATCGAACGATCGAATTCAACCATCGATCGATTCTGAGAATGCCGATATTCATTTATTAACATTGAAAACCGTCGATGCGAAAGACGCGGGAACGTACACATGTGTCATCGATCAACCAGCGGGAAAGAAATGTTCAGCTCCATTAACAGTAAAGTCGATCACATTGAAATTAACAGAACCATTAAAAGATGTTTCATTGATTGAAAACGAAGATTTAATTTTGAAATTTGTCGTTTCACATGATTTGAAACAAACTCCTGTTGTGTGGAATTTCAACAACAAACCAATACAATCTGATGATCAGCGAATACAAATCGATCAAGATGGCAAATCATATTTCTTAACAATCAAACAAGTTCAAATCAGCGAACAAGGCAAATATTCAGCAGAAATTCCATTACATAAACTTACCACATCAGCGAAAGTCACAGTCAAGCCGGAAGACATTCAAATTGTCAAACCTTTGTCACTCGTTCCCGATGAAGCTCATCCTGACAATAGAACTCTTGAAATTCAATTCAGCAAACCTTTATCCACTGATGTTGTTCTTCTGAAAAACGGTGTTAAACCAACACGCAAGATCCCAGTGGAAAATCTCAACAACGGAACATATCGATTTCTCTTAGAAAATGTCAAACCGGAAGACTCTGGTCTATATGAAGTGGTCATTCGTCCGGACCTCAAAAGTTCCATTCAACTCGATATTCAACCAAAAGAAGACTTGGACTTTCTTCTTCCATTAAAAGATCAAATTGAAATCAACGAAAACGAACCAATTCATCTCGAAGCGAAATTAACTCGTCTACCCGATTCACCAAGTGACGTTGTTTGGTTACGCAATGGCAAACCACTTCCAACCTCGGTGAAGACTGCAATCAACGAAGATTTCACCGTGACTTTGGATATTCCTCAAGGAAAGATCGAGACTGATGCAGGAAAATACACACTACGCTTACCAAATAACAAACAAAGTTCATCACAAGTGAATATTCTGAAGAAAGTCACGGCGAAAGACGAAAATCAAATTGTTCAACCATTGCACATCATTCTCGACGAGAACCAAACGAATTTACAATTAAATAGCAAAGTGATATTGAGATGTAAAACAGCTCTACCAGTTAAGAATGTCGAATGGTACAAAGGCGGGAAGAAAGTGTCAACACGTCGAACGAACGCTGTCAGCACCGAAAATTCCACTCAACATGATTTGATTCTTCCAAAATTAGACGTCGAAGATCTCGGAGAATATCGCGTTGTTCTCGATACGAAACTTGACTCTTCGGTTAAACTTGAAATTCCGCAAGAGTTAAGTCCAATACGTTGTGAAGGTCAACCGATCGAAGGTGAAACCATCACATTGATCTGCGAAACAACACTTCCACCAAAACAAATCCAATGGTCACCAATTGTCGATCGAAAGCGTTACGATCAACAAGATCTATCCTTAAAAATCAAGAATCTCAATCTCGATCAAGATTCCAAAGTTTTCACAATCGATGTTGATGGTCAAAAACAATCTTATGAATTAACCATTCAACCATTACCATACAAATTTCAAAGTTCAATCATCGAATTAAATCCAAAATTACCAAAGGAAGATGACAATGTCACTTGTACTGTAACATTGAACAAGCCAATTAAGGATCAAGTTGTTCAATGGTATCTTAACAATGAATTAATTCAACCGAATGAACGTTTTAGCGTTTCAAATGACGGTCCACGGACAATGTTGACCATCAAAAAAGTTCGTCCAGATGATGCCGGACAATTGGAATGTCGAATTCCAACATCCAACGAAAAATTAACAACTGAATTGAAAGTCAAAGAAAAACCATTGACAATCGTTAAGCCATTAACAGCTGATAAGGATAAACCAATGGAAGGAGATGATGTTACTTTATCATGTCAATTCTCACGAAAACCAAAGACTATCGAAGTTTATAAAGATGGAAAACCTGTCGAACTTGATCAAGACTTGAACGAGATCAATGCGACATTCACAATTCGTTTACCGAAGACAAAACCAACAGATAAAGGAAAATACTCCGTCATCGGCGATGGAGTGGAAACATCTTATACATTAAGATTAACACCAAATCCAATTAAATTCACCAAACAATTGAAATGGGATAAAGAATCTCCGTATGAAGAAGAAACTGTTCAAGCAACATTCACATTAAGTCGCTTACCAGATAAACCAATTCAATGGTACAAAGGTAAAATCGCTCTTCCAACTGAATCCACATCAAAATATAAATATGAACAAATGGATTGCACATTTACATTAACAATTCCTTCGACTGAGTTGAAAGATGCAGATACATATTCAGTTAAACTTCCTGATGAAACACAATCATCAGCTCGTTTAAAAGTTCTGGAAACACCTGTGAAAGTGTTAGTTCCATTGACACTCCAACCAGCTGAACCAGTTCTTGGAAGTGAATTTACTCTATCGATAACATTGAGTCGAGATGTGAAGAACAACGCCAAATGGTTGAAGACTGGGAAAGATCTTTCACTGAAACGCGACTCGAGAATTTCATTCAAACAAGAACCGGACGATGAACACCAAGGTTTTCGATATTTAATCACTATTCGAGATGCTAAACCTGAAGATGAAGGCGCCTATCGATTCGAAGTTGAAGCCAATCAAATCAGCGAATCGAAAACTGTCAAATTACTCGAACCGAAGATTCTCATTGTTAAGTGCGACGAAATCCTCACTGGAAAAGTTGGCTCACCCGTCACATTCACATGCGAATTGAATCTTCCACAAGGTCATGTCACTTGGTATCGCGAAGGTATCAAATTAACATCATCGGACTCGACACCATTGAAATCAACAGGATTAACAGTTAAAAACAATGAAAATATTCGAACGTTGACCATCAATTCATTGAAAAAGGATGACTTTGGTTCGTATACAGTGAAGACCAAAGATGACAAACGGGAAATTCAATTGAAACAACAAACGGATGATGATGGATTGAAAGTTCTCGAACATCCGGGAAAACTACTCGATCTAGATCAAAATGATCAATTACAACTTTCAATTGTCACGAACAAAAAATGTCCAATCGAATTTTCAAAAGATGGAAAAGTCTTGAAAACAAGTGAAACATTTGATAAAGATAAATCTCGATATACAGTGACATTTACAATCGACAAAGTCGATTTCAGCGATCAAGGAATTTACAAATCGATCTTACCAGGTACAAAGTATGAATATCAAACTGAAGTTTTAGTTCACGATCCTTATCAACGACAAAAGGTCGATGTTGGTGAAGCGGAAGAACCATTGTTATTTGTGAAGAAATTAGAAGATCAGACAGTAAAGGAAGGTGTAGAAATTATTCTCGATTGTGAACTGAATCGAACGCCAAAATCTGCATCGATTTGGACACGAAATGGAAAAGAATTGACGAGTAATGATCAAATCGAAATTATTCAAGATGACAAACATCTTCAATTGAAAATTCGAAAAGTTGCATCGGACGATCAAGCTGAATACACACTTAATGTTGAAAATCTCCGTGGACATGCTTTCATCGATGTGGTAAGTCACTTTTTCTTCTCAATTTCAGCAAAAACTTGCTTTTCTTTCATAGCTAACCGATCGCGTTCGATTTACTCAAAAACTCAATGACACCATCGTTAAAGTTGGTTCTCCGATCGTTCTTGAGTGTAAACTATCTATTTCTGATACACCAATTACATGGAAACGAGATGGTCAACCTCTTGATAGCAAATATTCGACTGTTGATGGATATTTACATACACTTCGTCTACCATCTGCTGAACTCGATCACAGTGGAAAATATTCTGCACACTACAATGATGAAATTGATACATCTTGCACCGTTTCTGTTCAAACTGAATTGGTCTTTGCCCGAGAATTACCTTCAGAATTAACTCTCAAAGCCGGTCAAAATCTTTTACTCGATGTGGAAACAACACGTCCGAATAAAACTGTTCAATGGTATCGCAACGGTCAACTGATTCCTCGGGTCGGTGATTCTCGTCATCGTCTGGCTGATGATAAATACGATCATTCAATCAAACTTTCCAAAGTCACCGAACAAGATGATCACGACATTCTCTACGAATGCGAATGCGATGGTGTGCGAACTCGATGTCGGGTCTATATTCAAAAAGAACCATTAGTTTTCTTCAAAGATCTGAAGGATACGAAATATGATTTAGACGATCGATTAGTATTTGTCGTCAAAATGAACAAACGCCCATCGAATGACGCGCGTTGGTTACACAACGGACAAGTTATTGAACCGTCGGATCGAATCAAAATCACCTACGACGAAAAAGAACATGAAGCGAAGTTAATTATTGAAAATTCCAATGAAGCTGACCAAGGAAAATATATGTACGATGCAATTGAAGCACGAACAAGTTGCACAGCTGATTTGAAGGTGGTAAAAATGGAATTTGTTCAAGAATTGAGAAATCGATCGGTGAAACAAGATCAACCTGTCCAATTCGAATGCGAAGTGAATAAAATTCCCACAAAGGTTGTTTGGCTGTTAAATGGACAAGTGATTGAACCAGACGGAACAAGATTTGAATGTGTCACATCACCCGGAAAGAAAAAATTTACATTGAAGATCAAACAAACGTTGTTATCCGATGCTGGAGATGTCACCGTAAGAATTGATGATCAGATCGAATCAAATGCAACTTTAGATGTGAAAGGTTTGTGTGAATTTGAACGAAGATGATAAATGAAGTTATGATTATTTAGGAATTCCAATTGAATTTGTGAAAAGTCTGACGGGTGCTCGAGTTAATGAAAACGATACAGTTAATTTCATTTGTGAATTAAATAAACCGAATATTCATGTCAAATGGTTTCACGAAGGAGAACCGATTGCACTTGGTATGGAATGGATGATTCAGTTTCGAAAAAGAACTTTCTTCATCTGATTTTATTTGAATTTAGATGATCATATTGATATTCAAGCGAAAGGAACTGTTCATTCATTGAAGATTTCCAAAGTTGCTTGGAACGAAGGTGGAGAATACAAATGTGTTGCGGACGGTGGAGCGAAAACAAGTGCTACATTGATTGTCAAAAGTAAAAGGAAACTGTTTGCAACAGCATCATCAAATTTTCTCTTTTCTTTTAGCAACTCCAGTAACATTCACAAAACTTCTCGAAGAACGTATGTGCAATTTTGGCGACTCTGTTGAATTTACATGCGAAACATCGAAACCATGTCGTGTCGAATGGTTTGTCAATGACAAACGTCTCACTCCTCAACAAGTTGATATCGAAACCATTGAGAATAAACACACACTTCGTCTTCCGAAAGTTAAATTAACCGACAAAGGTTGGTATAAATGTACCGTTCAAGACGAATTTACTGAAGCGAAATTAACGATCATCGGTAAGGAAAAACATATGGAAAAGTTTCTCGAAAGGAAAGATTTTTTTTGTGCTTTTAGACAAACCCGTCGAATTAGTCGAACCACTGACAGATGTTAATGTTCAAGAGAATGAAAATGCCACATTGATTTGTCAATTATCCAAACCAGATATGGATGTCGTTTGGTATCAAAATGACCGACGAATCTTTTTCACACCTCAATCGCGAATTCGTGCAAAACAAGTCGATACGTTCTATAAATTGTTGTTAGATGATATTGAATACGATGATCAAGGAGTGTATGAAATGAGATGTGAAAATTTGAAAACATCGTGCCATTTGACAGTGAAGAAATTGGAAACTACGTTTCTTGATCATTTGAGAAATTTGAACGTACAAGAAGGAGTAAGAAACGTGAAATTCATTCCGTGAAATGTCACGAATTCGTTTGGTTCGTTTCAGGAAACTGCGCGATTTCAATGTCGATTATCGAAATTGAGTTCCAATGTCCAATGGTTCAAAGATGGTGTTCGAATTTTACCAAGTGATCGAATTGTTTATTCAATCAAAGGTGATCTTTTGTCATTGACTATTCACAATGCACAAATCGAAGACGAAGGAAACTATCGTTGTATGATCGACAATCAACATACCGATGCAACATTAACTGTCGAACGTAAGTTTTACAACGTAGAAAGTTTCTTTCATTGAATTTCGTCTTTATTTAGCATTACCTGCCGTTTTTCTCAAATATTTACCGAAAACTTGGACGGTTTATGGTGATGAACCATTGGAATTGTCATGCCAAATCTCAAAACCGAATGTTCCAGTGATCTGGTCGAGAGATGGAATTCCAATAAGTGAAAAAGAACAAATGAGAAATGAAGGATTGAGATATAGTCTTTCGATTCCACATGGTGTTCGATCGGGTTTATACACAATTCGAATCGATGATGTCAATGGACAAGAAAGTAGTTGTCAAGTGACAGTGGAGGATTTAGCAGAAAATGAACGAAAGAAACCAAAGATTATTCGTGGTCTGGAAGATTTGAATTTATCCGAAGGTGAAACATTGGAATTAAATTGTGAATTCCAAGGTGAAGATGTCGAAGCCACTTGGTTTCTAAATGGAATTATGCTTCGTACGAATGTTTTTACGACGCTCAATTTCAAAGCCAATGAATTGGCACAATTGCTGATGAAAGAAGTTTATCTTGAAGATGCTGGATTGTACAAATTACGTTTGAAAAATAAATTTGGAGAAGTATCGACGTCGTGCACTGTGTATGTTCGTCTACGGGAACTTGGAACAGATCAACGAAAGATGAGCAGCGAAGATCTACCACCGAAGTGAGTCATTTGAGTGTTTGCTTGCGGTTTTATGCAATTTTTTGTAGATTTATTCAACCTATCTCGGATGTTTATGTTCATCACGGTCAAGAAGCGAATTTTCGTGCGATTATTACTGGACAGCCTACACCAAAAGTGACTTGGTATTGCAACTATAAGAAAATCGCCAATAATGAGAAATATCGTGTGACACAAGAGAAAGATGAATATGTATTGGCGATTTTACAAGTCAATGAAAATGATGAATGTGAATACACATGTAAAGCAGAAAATCCTGTGGGAGAAAAGACGTGTTCAGCGAATTTACATTTAATTGGACCATCGAAATCACAATCGTACGTTGAACTGTTGTTTTTCTCAGAAAGAAACGGACTTTTTTCTTTTGTAGAACTGATGATATCGCACCGTCATTCATTCGTAAGCTTCGTAATTGCACAGTCATCGAAGGTCAACGTGCGAAATTCGATTGTTTTATCACTGGTCAACCGAATCCAACGATTCGTTGGCTACATAATGGTTTAGCCTTAGATATCAATGAAAATCCCATGAAATATTCGTCACAAATTCAATCGAATGGAAAAGTTCTATTAACAATTGAAGATTGTTCACAAGAAGATGCTGGTGAAATAACAATCATCGTTGAAAATCGTGCTGGATCAACACAATGTTCCGCAGAATTAACTGTCGAACCTCATCATGAGTCCAGTCGATTAAAACGTCGTGTTAGTTTTGACGTTCCGGAATTGTCATCATCATCCGGCAAACAAGGAGCTTTACCATTACCACCATCAAGATTGTTATTAACGCCAAATTCGAAATCAAGCTTGAATTTGAGTTGGGAACATTCACCTTCGCATAGTCGAACACAGCCTTGTACTTACATTGTGGAATTGAGAGATCCAAGAACGTATTCATGGACAACATATGTTTCAGCATTACCTGGTTTGTTTAAAGAGACTGCGATTTGGTTGATAGTTGTTTGTTCTTTGTAGATACGAGTTTGCAACTACGTGGTTTGAATTTGAATCATATTTATGCAGTTCGAGTGCGAGCAGAGAATGCGTTTGGTGTAAGTGATCCGTCGCAACCAGTTACAAGTCGACTTCTAAGTCGAAGTAAGGATTTTTGAATGAGAAGATTGAGATTTGTGATTGAACTAAATTTAGATGATCGAGGAAAAGAAGATGAAGAACCAATAAGTAAAACACGACGATTACCAACTTCCTCATTGGATGATTATGGTATATTCTTTACAGAAATGACTTGATTAGTATGCATTTCTCTTGATTTAGGAACTCGACCATCATTGCAAGTCGATGGACCTGATATTCAATACTTTCTCGAAGGACAAAATGTTCGAATCACCATGTTACTTGTTGGTTATCCAATTCCTGAGTTAACTTGGTATCATGATGTAAGTTTTCCCCTTCAAAATTCCGATTTCCTAATCATTTCTCATTGATTAAGGGCGAGAAAATCTCTTCATCCGATCCTCGTATCAAATCATTCAATGATCATCGTGGTTATGCTTATCTTTCCATTGATTCTGCCTTAGCATCTGATGAAGGTACTTATGAAATCGTAGCGGAGAACAAATATGGCGTTGCTCGTCATACGGTCTATCTTTATCTTGCCGATCCGCCAATGTTTCTCGAACCATTACAAGACACTCGTTGTCGAACGCATGAAACCTTCCGTTTGGAATGTAAAGTCGATGGAATTCCATATCCTGAAGTACGATTCTATAAAGATTGGCGGTTGTTAACTGATTCATATCGAACGCGCATAAGACATATTGAACCGGATATTTGGCAATTGACAATTTACGGTGCAATCGAAAAAGATACTGGTCTCTACACTTGTACAGCAAAGAATATCGCTGGAGCGACTTTATCATCGGCAAATGTTAGTGTTGAAGACAATTTATTGAATATTCCACGACCGGATCTCGAAAGATCGATTGTAACATTCAAAAAGAAACGATTCGACGAAGATTATGATATTTTAGAAAGAATTGAACAGTAAGTCTAAGACGGGAAATAGATGGAATAGAATTGACAATATGATTTGTTTCAGTGGACCTATTTCGTCAGTTTATCGTGTCATCGAACGACGAACAGCAAAAGAACGTATAGCGAAAGTTGTACATAATCCGAAATATTTCGACTGGCTTCGAAGAGAAATGGAGATCCTTTCGCATCTATATGATTCAAATATTCCCCGATTACATGACGCTTATGAGACGGATAAGATGCTTGCAATCGTTTTCGACAAGTAAGTTCAAATCGTGTGAAAACACCGCGAAAACGCAGATTTTCTTCTGATTTAGTATCCAAGGAGACGATCTACTCGAACATCTTCTCAACCGTCGAACCTACACCGAACATGACGCATCATTAATCATTCGTAATCTCGTTGAAACATTGAAACATTTGCATTCCAGAAATATCGTTCATCTCGATATCAAAGTAAACCTATTTTTCTGCACGAATTTCGTTAAATAATTCTCTCCTTTCTATTTCAGCCTGATAACATCTATATTGATGATCGATATGATCCAATTCGCGTACAATTATTAGGTTTTACTAACGCCCGTCATTTGACAGGAACATCGAATGTGTATTCTGATTACGGCGCACCGGAATATATCGCACCGGAAATCATTCATCGTTATCCAGTATCTCTCACAACGGACATGTGGAACATGTATGTGATTTGTCATTTAGTATTTACTTATGTTGAATTGTCATTTTTAGTGGTATTTTAACGTATTTGTTGTTGGGTGGTCAAACGCCGTTTATTGGTGCAAATGATTTTGATACTTTACAAAATATTCGTCAAGGAAGATGGACATTTGGTGATCGATTTACGAATATCTCACCAGATGCGAAGGACTTTATCACACGTTTGTTGAATCCTGATCAACAGAATCGTTTAACAGCGGAACAAGCATTAAATCATCCATGGTTGAAATATGCACTGCAACAAATTGATAAAGTTCCAATTTCATCTGATCGACTACAAGGATCGTACTCTCGACAACTTTTTGATGTGAGTTTATTTTAAACTTTGTTCTTTTTACAAGATTTGGTGATTTTAGCGTGAATATCGTCGTACTTCTTCGCGACCTTTACCAACAATTAGCGAAATTGCTTCAATGCGAGGTGATTTGGGTGGTTATGGCGATGATAGAGAACGAACTTACGATGATCGTCATATTCGAACACGGGCACGACGTACATCCCGAGGTAAATTGAAAACTTTATCTTACACTAATTCAATTTATTTGATTGTAGATATTTCATTTGATGATCATGATCACGAAATTCATCGTCGTCCATCGATAATCGAAGATGAAAATCTCACACCTGGCTCGTACCTTCTTCCAATCTATGATGTCGATTTTGCCATTCGTATGCGTGGTTATCGTCGATCAAGTTATCAAAATCGTTACACATCGTCCGAATATCTCTACGCACCACCTGTTGCTCCTCCTGAACGTCTTCTCGCACGTGATACAGTCAAAGAACGTCTTCATGTCGATGCGCAAGGACGACGAGTACGGGGTTGTTCAGCCGTACCACATAGTGGCTGTTCAGCATCGCGAGAATTAAGTGTTCAACCAGGCGGTACACGAGGAATTTCAGCAACACCGTCCTTCTATGCGCCGTATGGACGAACAAGTGAATCACCTGCACATGGCTATGGATTGTCGGCGAGATACGGAAGTACATCGCGGTTATCACCATTTCCAGGTGGTACGGCACGTGCGCCAAGTATTCCAAGAGAATTTCAAGCACAGGGCTTTACAGAAGATCAACGGGCATCACGAGGCGAAGGTAAATCTAGTAGAAAAGAAGAAAATTGGTTTAGATGAAAGAGTTGCTTTGTAGGTTTTGCTGCGGTGTTCAAAGAAAAACTAGTTGATACATCATTTTTGGTTGGTGGCACAGTTATTTTACGATGTAAAGCACAAGGCAATCCATTTCCACGTATTTTTTGGTATCGAAATGATGAATTCATCATCGAAGACGATCATATTCAATTTGCTCAAGGCGAAGATGGTCTTTGTACATTAACAATCACCCACTGTAAAGCAAGTGACATCGGTATTTACCGTTGCGTGGCACGAAATCTGTATGGTGATGCATCATGCAAAGCAAGATTATTAATCGGAGGTAAAGAGCAATTTTTTCTTCTAATTCGATCATTGTTAACGAATCGTTTTCATTTTAAAGATGTTCCTGATCGACCACAACGTCCAATTGTAATTGATGTTTCATCTAGTCAAGCTTATCTTGTTTGGAGTTCACCATTGTATGACGGTAATAACGACATCAATGGTTTCCGTGTTGATTACAAAGCACGTGAAGATCTTAAATGGACACAATCAACATTTACCATTGAAGAATCTGCATTGATCCATGGATTGAAACCATCGACGTTTTATCGTTTTCGTGTGTCTTGTATTAATCGTGTGGGTATCTCAGCGTACTCCTGGGCATCGGAAGAAACTCGAACACTGGATGAAAATGCGGAAAATAATCGATTATTAACGAAAATTGATCGACAATCAGCTTATCGTTTACTTGAACATCAACATCGACTGGATGAGAAAACTTCAGTGCCAATTACTCATGTTTTACAAGATTACGATAAACAGAGTCAAATGAAAACTTTGGGAGAAAAAACTGTTCTTAAACGTGATCAAAATCCTTGGGATTTGTACAAATTAATCGATGAATTGAGCAGTTACGGACGTACATGTGTCATTCGTTGTTCCGAACGTGCAACAGACAGTGTTCGTATCGTCAAAATCATCGATAAACAAGACAATGAAACTGATGAATTCAACTTACTAAATCTTATCTCTCACGAACATATCATCACAATGTTAGATGCCTTCTTATGGAAACATTCGTTTATCTTAGTCACAAATGATTATATGGAGTTATGTGATTGGATTTGTTTAAGACATAAGTATAACGAAGAATTAATTATGAAGATTTTAAGACAAATTCTCGATGCAATCCACTATTTACACTTTCATGGAATTGTTCATTTGAATATTAATCCATCGAGTGTTGTCAATGAGAATCGATTAGCTGTTCATATCAAATTAACAGATTTCAGTTGTGCACAACAAATTGCCACTATTGATGGACATAATATCAATAAGAATCAAGTTCAACCAAATAAAGAATATGCCGCACCAGAAGTTCTCAATGGCGAATCGTGTGGAGTGCAAGCAGATGTTTGGAGTATTGGAGTATTAACAGCGACACTGTAAGAAGGACTTTGTTTGAGAGAAATTCTGATAACTCTTGAATTTTGTTTAGTCTAAGTGGATTCTCGCCGTTTGTTGGCGAAAATGTCGAAGATACTATTCAAAATGTGAACTTTGTTCGATGGGATACTTATGAATTCTATGATGATGTGACACAAGAAGCAGTCATTTTTGTTCAACAATGCTTAAAGAAATCACCAAAGTAAGATTTTGCGTTTTTCGTTCGAAAATTTCTATTTTTCGACTTTTGTAGAAATCGTTTGACAATTCCGGCATGTATTGAACACAAATGGCTATCCCTGGCAAGCGTCGCGACAAATCGTCGTGAGAACGCCATATTTTTAACTGAAAAACTTCGAAGATTTGCAAGTGATTTCCGACAACGATGTCGTAGCCAAACCGAAATTCAACGTGAAACTATTGTTGAAATATCTAAACGATAATTGACTTCGAAACCACGAATTTCTTTGTCTCTCGCTCTTTTTTTTTCTCTTTTTTATTACCCATGAACATCTTGACTTATTTCATCTCGATCAAGTCTTAATTCTTCTTTTATTCGTTCCGGACGAAATCGACGATAAACGAAGAAAAAAAAAGAAGAAGGGAAAACATGAAGATTGACGAACCACGGATGGATTTTCTTCTCTTTTTTTGCCGAACGAACTTCGACGATTCGCTTTTGGACGAAATTTACAAAAGGCGAACGAACTTGTCGAGATGATTAAGAAAGAAATATTTATCTAGGATCATTTCTTTACTCCAAGAGTCTTTTTTCTTGTCAATGAAGAATGCTTTGGCTTTGTGTTGTGTCCTTTCTTTATTTTATTCATTTTTTTTTTGTTTTCTCATGTGCTTGGCGTTTTCGTTTCATTGAAATATAAGAAATTCGAGCGATGGCATAGCTTCTTACTGAAACTTTTCACTTCGTCTACACATCGAAAGAACCAATGAATACGATCGAACGAGAGAAATCATCAGTGACGCACTCTATCGAAAAGAAAAGAAAGAAGAAAAAAAACACAAGAGAACGAGTAATAGGAGTGCATTGATGAGAGAAATTTTGTCGTTCTGTTCTTTGCATTGCTCTGGTAGAACTCAAGAAAAAAAGAAGCTTGACAGTAGTGGGATTCGAACCCACGCCACAAGTGACCAGTACCTGAAACTGGCGCCTTAGACCGCTCGGCCATACTGTCTCTGTAGCTCAATCGAAAGATATTTCTAGAAGACAATTACCAATTTCACACAATGATACTCTTTAGATTCGATCTACTATTTTCTTCATCAATTTTGCATGGAAAATGTTGAAAACGATTGACAACAGTGTTAGAAATACTTGAATGTTGATCGAATCGAATTTGAAGAGTATTCACATCTGATTCTTAGAAATCGATTCGAACGTCAGTCGACAGATGTGAATGATGATCGTTTTCGAACTGGAAATTGGGAGTAAAAAAATAAATAATTCATTCGTGTTGACAAAAATATCCAATTCATTCAAATCAATTCAACGTTTTTTCTCATCTCACTCAAAAACAGATGTTTTTTTCACTGTAGAATGCAAAATCCACTAGGTTATTCTTATCATTGAAAACAAATCTTTTTGAAGATAACTCAAGTGGTTAAATAACAAAGGGGGATGTACTCTGACATGTCATCGGAGATGCTTACGTCAGCGAGTATATGAAGGAGTAACACAAAATCACATTTGACAAATGAAGTCGAAAAACTAAACAAAGTTGAATCACGTTCGATCGATTTGTATTATCATCGTTCGTGTTCATGAGTTAACAAGATACGAAATGAGTTAGTTATTTATAGGAACGAAACAAGGTTCGTCATTTCGTCCTTTCTTTCTTTCTTTCTATTCTTGAGCATTGTACTTGTCAAGATTCTTTTCTTTTCATGTAACTTTATCACGCATTGACGATATGGTGAATAAAAGATGTGTTTTATTCTCAACCTTTTCGAATTTTCTTACGTTTATAAGCAGAGAAAAACGTTTGTGACTCGATATATAAATGCGCTGATACCCTTGGATATTCATTTTCGTTCTAATTTGATCATTTGATATGCAGTTTGACGAATTTTATGAAACTATCGGTGTTTTTGGTCCTTATCAAAAGATAAAGTACTTTCTCATATGTTTTACAAATATGCTTCCACCAGTGATGGTTTATGCGTGGACATTTATAGCAGCAACACCATCGTTTCATTGCCATACACCATTAGATGATCTATCTGCATTGAATCTTCCCAATCGATTATCGAGTCAATATATTCCAACGGTTGAACAATGTTTACAGTATCAAAAAGGTGTTTCTTTAAAAGAATGTCAACGATGTTTTCAAGTTGTACAGAATAGGACTAGTTATGACTTGATTCCATGTCGAAAATTTGTCTTCGATCGTACATTTTATCAATCAACACTTGTTGAAGACGTAAATGACTCATTGAATGAATCGACTTGCCACTTTATTCTTCTATTTCAGTGGTTAATGGTGTGTGATCGTGTATCATTGAGAAGTACAGTTCAAATTGTGTTCTTTCTCGGTTATATGGTGGGTTCGTTGTTATTCGGAATACTTTCAGATAAGTAAGTTTCGTTCTGTTTTTATTGTGATAACACCTGTATTGTGATTGGTTGAAGGTATGGAAGACGACCGATTATGGGTGTGTCATTTTTAGTTATGTTTCTTGCTGGACTTATATGTGCATTAGCTCCGGAAGAGTTTATTGGACAAAATACAAGTTATCCTTTCTTTGCTATCGGACGATTCTTTCTTGCTTGTGCTACGCGTGGTATTTCACTAACTGGTTTTGTTATGGGTAAACTGTTTCATAGGATGATTTGTTTTCTTACCTTTGTTTGATTGCTTTAGGTTCGGAACTTGGTACGTTGATTGTCAAATAGGTATTTCGAAAGACAAATGTTTTGATTCATAGGTGGACCTAAACAACGTTTATTTTCCGGTATTGTTATTAAATATTTCTTCGTATTTGGTCAATTGTTACTTTTGACTTTGGCATTAACGATTCGAACATGGCGAACACTGAATGCTGTGTTAGCTGTTGTTCCTGTACCATTTATTTTCTTTTATTTGTTCGTTTATTTGTGAGAAAAGTGATGATGTTAGAAGAATCTTTGCTTCTGTTTAGTATTTTACCTGAAAGTCCACGTTGGTTGATTTCAAACCAACGTTATGACGAAGCCGAAGTTCTTCTTCATCGAATAGCAGAAAAGAATCGAACTCATTTCGATCCAATCGTTTATAAACAATTTGTCAATGAGGACAAAAAAGTAAATCAATAGAAGAGAAAAGTTCTTGAATGTCTTTTTCTGATTTAGAGAGTCTCAGCAGCGAAAAATCAAAACCATGGATTCAAAGCAATACTTCGTTCGAAAGTAATGACAATTATCGCAATTAATATGTCATATCAATGGTAAGACAAATGAGCATTTGCCTTCGGGTAGAAAATTCATTCGTTTCAGGTTTGTACAAAATCTTGTTTTCTATGGAATTTCACAAAACACAGGTATATCGGCGGAGAACGCGGCAGCACAATATTGACTTTTAGGAGTTTCATAGGTGCATGGTTGAAGAATCCATACATTTCATTCGGCATCAGTGCTTTGGTTGAATTCGCTGCCTATTTTGTTGTTCAGCTCGTTCTCGATCGATTGGGTCGTAAATTACCTTACTGTTTATTTGTAATCGCTCTCGCACTCGTCACTTTACTAGTCTTACCAATTCAAATCTTTTTACCTAAAGATAGTCAAGGTATTGAAAAGCATTCTTTGAAAATAAATACTATTTATTGAATATTTCTTTTCAAGTTCAATATATTTCGATGTTTATAGTCAATATTGCATTAAAATTTTTCGCGTCCGGTTCTTATGTTATTATTTATATCTACGCTAATGAAACATTTCCAACACAAGGTCGAAATACTGGTATGGGTGTCTGTTCGATGATAGCACGTATTGGTGCAATTATAGGAACATATTCGAATGATCATTTAGTACGTCAATCAAACGATTTTAGTGTTTTGAATTAAACGATCGTTTTAGACACGAGCATGGCAACATTCACCGATGGTTGTGTATGGAATTACATCGGTATTTGCGATGCTTTTGGCAACGATATTTCCTGAAACATTAGATAAACCATTACCTCAATCAATTGGCGATGTTGAACAAATGGGATTGGCTTGGTAAAGATTTTGTTTGATGAGATATTGAAGATGAAGAAAGTGAATTTTGTTGTAGTTCAATTGGCCGAACGAGAAAACATCGACATCGACTGACGAATGGTGTTAAGGAAGTTCATGAAGATATTTCGTCGGGAAAATATTTGAAAGACGATACTGACTTTTAAAGAAATTTCTCCGAACGATTTTTTCTGAAAAATATGAATAGAATTCAATAAATTAGTCGATGTATATGTCGTAGTACAGATCAAAATTCTTTCAACTGCATGAAATTCTCTTTTGATGAATATAAAATATTCTGCTCATCAATTTCCATTAAATTAAAATATTGAACTTATGACTAATGTTCTAATGTAAAATACTTTCTTCATTATGTCAAAATAGATTTAAACATTTTCTTGTTCAAGTTACTATTTAAACGGCCGAAATAAAGATCGATATACTTGGAATTTAATCTTCTAGTTTTATCATGCATAGACATTTTACCTTAAAAAATTTTAGTCTATCCTAGTTCGATTTCAAACTGAACTGGATTTTGATCTGTACTACGATACATGTGTATTGATTTGATACAAAAAAATCGAAGACTTGTGAAAATAAAGATTCATGAATGAAATAGTTTTCGTCAATAACAACTTGCAAAATGCATTGGTTTTCGACGAAAACAACAAAAATCTATTTTTTCCTCTCGACAGCGAGTACTTTTTTTAATCACCTCGATATCAATCTTTCTCCGCATAACCGCCGTTCTGTCTCAAACGAAAACCTATACAACGTAAAGAACATTGGTATATCCCAAGCTATTAAAAACATTAAAAATAACATGGATTGTCGGCGACAAACTTTGCTAAAGCTGGTAACAGAGATGAAGCTTACACAGGCCTTTAGAAGTATTTGTTGGAGATAGGGACGTTGTAATTGGAAAGAAAAATAATTGACTCAGTTGGAAATTTTTGTCTGCAAGCAAAGCTAGTTGGAATGACTTGCTTTTTATCATTCCCCGAAAACAATCAGTCTATTACTATAAATACAAGCGGATTGCTTGATATACTTATCACAAATCTCATCCAGAGGTTTCAATTACACTGATAGTGTCTTACACGATCAAGGAATTGATCATATCGTCTTTCTACGACCTGCAACCAGAGAAAAAGGTACGATAGATGATCTGATCTGATATCTAAAATTGATTTGATGTATTTTAGAATATTTGATTCAATATGAGCGTAAGTTTAGCAGATTTTGTTTTGGATAATAATCTGTTCGATTTGTTTTATATAGAATAACGGTAGCGATTGGCCTACTGGTCAAATGGAAACACCGGTTGACAAAAAGGTAGATCCACCATCAAAGCGTTCGGTGAGTTTTGAACTTCTTTCATCGTCTTATTCGTTTTCATACGATTTTTTCAGTTCAATTTTTGTCATAATCATTCAACATCCAGTTTCAATCGGAATCCATTGACAAAATCATTCATATACGACTTAATGAACAACGATTTCAGCCATCGATTCATCTGAATGAACATTACTGAAGAGTTTCTTCACTACATTCTTTCATACAAACTATCTTTTGTGAATAATTGTACATTATTTCACTTGTATTATACACAAGAAATGCTTTTCTTCTCGCTTATTGATCTCGACACTTTATTCAATAAATCGAATTCTCTACTCACGAAAGAAATTCAACTAAAAACCGATCTATAAACCACTCCGACAGAATTCATACAAAGTCTAGACTCCATTTATATACATTTACACTCGACATTAATACGGATAATACTTGATTGGCTTCTCTAACTTGATTCATTGTGAAAACATTTGTATTGTACGATGAAGTCGTACGTGAATGATTATTTTATATTGAGAGGAATGTTGGAAATGTGCTGAATAAATTGCGAAAAGAATTTCATCAGTTTTGTTTTGTGAAAAGACCTTCGATGAAAACAAATGACGCACAACTGATACAAATAATGAAAATTAACGATTCAGTGAGTTGATTAACATATAAGAAATATTTCAATCTGTCACACATTTTTTCCCTTCACTTTTGTTTCGATCGTTACAAGAGAAACGAACTGAAACATGATGATTCTTTTCCGTGTATTTGTCTACATTCTTCTAATTAACTATTTGTCATCAATTCAAATTGAACAAACCTTAACACGATTCAAAGTACTTTGTTTCCATACAATCTATTCGATATTTCTTCATTTTCATCCAAGGTTCGTGAAAATTCTCCGAACGATACTGTCGTTGGGGTCATTCCGACATATTTCTGTACTGATCGAATAATTTTACTCGATAATGCAAATGGTCGATTTCGTATAAATGCAAATGGCGAAATTCTTGTAAGTAAATTTATTTTGTTAAACTAGAGAGTCTAAAGATATAATAAGAAGAACGTAAGAATAATAATAAGAAGAATTTGGACGGAATTCGTTTTATGTATATATCTTTTCTCTTCATTTCTAAGTATCAAAACAAAAGAAAACAAAAAAAAACATGAAATCGTCAATATCTATTGCGCATTTGAACATTTCACCGTATTGATCGAAAGCCACATCCGCATATCTCGTCCAATTGTATCCATCCACCGGATATTAGCTTTGATTTTTTCAATAGATGAAAGAAAAGCACGTTCAGCTATTGAGAAATCTTTGGTATCTTTCATAAATTTTTCAATAATCTTCAATTCATGTTCGGTATTTACATTTTGAAGTACACTTTCAACGATATTTGACAGAGTAAAACTCATTCCTCCTAGTTTTGCTACTAATTCCGACCAACGTTGACTGACGAATTGCCAAGTTAAATTTTGTCCACCTGGTTGAGCACTAATACGTCCGATGAATGTCGACGAGTCTTGTAAACGTATATAATCGTTTTTCAGTGTTTCATATAGTAAATGTTCGAGAAGAGTAAAATCTCTTGTACAAGCCAATGCTGAACCAAATCGATTCTTTTCGACTTGGTCGTTTGTTTGTTTGTATCGATTTTCGATGAATTTGTAATCTTCAACTGTCCCGTTTTTGATTCCTTGACAATAAACAATCGTTCGGAAATCTGGATTTATCGAATAACCTGTCGGATTCGCGCGCCATCTACGATATTGTAAAATCGCTTCGTCTATACACGGTTGATAATCATTTGCACACAAATCGTTGATAACAATCGATCGTAATTGACGAGATAAATAATCCGATGTGTTTTCTCCGATTGTCCAACCGAGAATTTGATAAACAGGCTCTTCGACAGTACGAATATATTGTTGTAATTGTTTGTATTCCAAACTATTTTCATCTTGTCCGAACATCGTTATTGGATATTGAATACTTGTTGAAAACGCTGAAAATGGGATGAAATTCAATTCCTGACAAAGATATGTCGATAATTCTAATGGAATTGTTACATTGATATCTCGTGAACGTGCTAAACTAAATGCATCATCGATTAATTGTGCACGAGAAACAACAGGAAATTGTTCGTGATTTCGTTTTAAACCAGTAATAATCAAATTCCAATTGTGATTGTCATAATTAACACGATAGAAGCCGAATTCGTTGATGTTGAATATAATCCATTGATCTGCTGGACCGATATCTGTCAATTGATCAGTCCGATTCGGTGGTAACCATTGAATTGATGATAATTTTGAATTGATCAAATAATCATAGGGAATATACCATTGATATTCCAATGGTTTGAATGGATTGACATAATTCGAGATTTGATTTTCACCATTCGGATCCAGAACAAATCGTTTTTGTGTTAAAATTAACGAATTCGTCTCATAGTTTCGTTTGACCATAAGAACAGGATAACCTTCTTGCAAAGTCCATGTATCCATGATTTGTTTAATTGTATAACCCGAGAGTTTCGATGGATTTGTCACATTTGTTAAGAATGACCATAATTCATCTTGAACTGCATTGCTGTACTTGAAATTGTCTAAATAGTTACTGATCCCGTGGAAAAATGTTGTTTCGTTTAGGACTGTGTAGATCATGCGAAGAATTGAACCACCTTTATCGTCTATATGAGAAGAAAAAACAAGTTATAAGGAAGAGAAAAGTTGAGAGATCAGTTACAAGAGATCGTATCAAAGATGGAATTGATTTCATCTGGATGAGTGACGTCAATACTAATCGGATGACTTGTAAAAAGGCTGTCCATAACAAGTACACGTTGAACCGTTGCTATTTAGAAAATCAATAAGAGGTTTACAAGAGTTTTTCGTCATGTTTTTACCTGTAACAACAACACTCAACGCTTGAAATTCAGGATTTGCATTATTAAGACCGAGAATTTCCACCCATGATGCAAAGCCCTCGTTTAACCTAAAGAAAATAGTCTCAAGGGTGAATTTTCTTGAAAAGGTGTTCATTTACCAAATGTCATTCCACCATTTCGGTGTAACAATATTTCCAAACCATTGATGTGCAACTTCATGTGACACAACTTGTCCCACTCGAAGTTTATTCGCTAAATTTCCTGTTTCATTATTGTAAAGCAACGCTGTTTCACGATAAGTGATCATTCCCCAATTTTCCATTGCACCTAAACATTCTCTCAAACATTTTTTTTTATCTTTTTCATCTTCAAAACTTACCCGCTGAAAAATCCGGTATGGCAAAATGATCGCATTTACTCAATGGATACGGGACATTGTACGATTGTTCGAAATAAGTGATCACGTGTGTCCCGACCTCCAAAGCAAAATCTCCTTCGCCTTTGTTCATTGCTTCTGGCCGTCCGCAGACACTGACCCGAATGTTATTGGCAGAGAAATTTGAGATACATTCAAAATCAGTGAGGACAAATGCGACGAGATACGTGGACATCGGCGGAGTTTGTTCAAAACGTGCAATTAATCGACCATTAGGAAGAACGTCCGGTTGATTCTTGTTCAACATTTGACCGTTTGATCGAACGACAGTAAAACTTGCATCGTAAGTTATCGAAATAGTGAAATTTGCTTTGAATAAAGGCTCGTCAAAGCATGGAAATACACGACGAGCGATTGTTGGCTGAAAAGAAAAGTTTTTTGTTAAGTTCATTTGATTGTTTCGATGATCTTTATTTACCTGCATATGTGTTGCTCCGATATTATGAGTAACTATTTCTCCTGTTGTTGGATTCGTTACATTGTATCGACTTAGATAAAATCCAGCCATTTCTTTATCTAATTCCGCTGTATGTTCTGATTGAAATTCATATTCTTGATCTTTGATACATCGTTCTCGTAATCGACATAAGATAATTTCCGATGGTGCAATGTGTGTCCAATCACTAATGAGATTGTTTCCTGTTCCTAAACGTCTTAATGTGACATACGATAAACGCAATCGATTCGTATGAATACGAAGTTCGTTTGTCGAACGTGCACAACGGATTCTGATCCGTGTGTAACCAGAAAATCTCGTATCGGGTTCGGCGTTGTTTGGATAAGTTGAACGAAGTTGAACATCGAAATCTAATTGATATGTTAAAGGAAACCAATCTAATGGAAGACGAATGGCAATTGTTCGATTTAATAACCATTCTTCTAAGTTTGGTTTGGATTTACTAACCCATTGAATATTCGCACGAATACGTTCGATTGACGCGCGAAATTCTGCTTCAGCCGCACCCTACAAAGCGAATAAGATGTGTTCGGTTAGAAATTGAATCGTTCATTTCATTTACTTTATCATTGATCTGTTCAGCAAATCGTTCAAATTCTTCTAATTGTGTCAAAGTATTGAATCTTCCTGTGACATCTTTAATTAATTCCGCAAAATTCAACGAATTTCCATAATCGCGAAATAATTGTGTCCATCGTGCACGAACAAACGTCCAACATTCGATTTCCGCAATTAAATTTCGACAAATCGATCGAATACCATTGAGAACATCTTGTCGTCGAATGATATTTCTTTCCGAATGAATATGAATATCCAATAAATGTTTAATCAATTCAATATCTCGTGTACACGCCAATGCTGTTTGTATTCGCGCTTTTTCCTGTGGATCATTGGATGATTGATATTCTCTTAGAAGAAATTGAAATCTTGCTCGATCGCCTAAGCGAATACTTGTACAATAAACCACATGTCGTTGATTCGCAGGAATAGTATTATTCGCCGGTGAATTGAACCATTCTTCGAATAGATCTTCTGCACGTTGCGTACAATGATCCAGATCGTATCGACATGCTGTAGAGATAATCATATCACGATGAAGAGTATCGAGCCATTTATCAGTAAGAGGATTATCATGCCAACCGAGTCTGTTGTATATTGGTAAGACAAGATCGACCATATAGGAACGAAAGCGTTCGTAGAGATAAAATCCGGGACTACTTGGTGCGATCATTTGTTCCATATAGTTCAAACCGGAGAGAATACGTTCCCAAACAATGTAGGACTCTTCAAAATCACTGTATTCGAGGAGATCAAATACAAGTGATGCAGGGAGAATATCTGAAAGAAGAGAAAGTTTTATATTTTGGATAGATGGTAGAATGAAGGAAGAAATTTACTTGCACGTGCTAAATTGAGGACATCGTCGACAAGACCCGCACGTTCGACGATAGAAAATTTGTGATGGTCATTTTTTAATTGTTGGATGAGCTTCATCCAATTTTCTCGATCATAATTCGTTCGAAAGAATCCCAGCAAATCCGGATTCATCAAAATCCATTCATTCGATTGAATATCCATTGAAATTGTTATTTGTTTTTCTGAAAACCAAATGATATTCTGTAATGAGGTTTTCAACGATCTCATTTTCAACGGAATTGACCATAAATAATTATGCGGCGATTTCAAAGGTTGAGCTTCCGAGTCGAACAGAAACTGCTTTTGTGTAATTTTCAAAAGTTTCCGTTCGTAATCTCGAATAATTTCCACATAAGGATAACCCATTTGATCAGTCCAAGTACTCATTATCTTCGCTAGACTTGTATTCTTCGGTAGTTCAATCCGATCTTGTGACATTTGTTCACCTAATGCTTCCCAGAGATCTTTTTGTCTTGCAGTTGAATATAAATGTTTCGAGAGATATTTCGATATTCCCCGATTGAAAGTTTCATTGCCCATGAAATTTCTCATCATGCGTAAGATTGATGAACCTTTGGAGTAGGTGATTGCATCGAATATTCCAGTTAATTGATTATTGTGATGAATTCGCATATTGACAGGATGTGAAAATGAAATGGCGTCGTTTTGCATCACTGCTAACCAACGTTGTGCGATATACTGTTCGTGTAAATTCCATTCTGGATAGATTTTATCGGTATAAACAAATTCCATCCATTTGGCAAAACCTTCGTTCAACCATAAATCATCCCACCAAGCTGGTGAAACCAAATCACCAAACCATTGATGTGCCAACTAAAACAACACAATAAATTTTGATAAAAAATGAACTAATTTAATCGTTATACTTCATGCGCGATGACCAAAGCGACTTGTTGTTTATTCAATGAAGTTGACGTACGATTATTATAATATAAACGCGTCTCTCGATAGATTATACAACCGAAATTTTCCATAGCGCCTAAGTATAAACTTAGAAATGAATCAGAGTGAGTGAGAGAGAGAAATAGCATACCTGCATCGAAATCCGGTACGGCGATGTGATCAACCTTTGCTAAAGGATAGTTGACTCGATATTGTTCTTCGAAATCGTTGATATTTTTCGTGGCCACTTCCAATGCATGATATAAATCATTTTTCTTTTCGGGTTGTGCACAAACATTCGTTGTGATATTTCGATATCGACCTGTGTTTCTCTCGGTTAAACAATCAAAATCCGCCACAACAAGTGCTAACAGATACGAACTCATCGGAACCGATCTCTGAAATGTTGTTTTCATCCATCCGTTGAACAAATTTTCCGTGGATTGAATGGGCATATTACTCCAAACGCGGTACTGTTGTTCATGTTCAACAACGATAGTAAACGTCGCTTTCAGAGCGGGTTCATCGAAACATGGTAACGCTCGTCGGGCGGATATGGGTTCCATTTGAGACGCGACTAAATACCGTCGAACTTTGTCCTTTGATCGGACGTAGGAACTCAAATAAAATCCAGCAGTATCGTTTCGTAATTCGCCTAGATAATTGATGATTAGAGAGAATTCGGTGTTAGTTGTTAGAGTTCGATTGAAAATAATCGTGAAGAAGTCTCGTTCTTCTTCAAATGTTGTTTGAGTGATAGAAATCGACGGATCATCGATATAAAGTGGAAGATAAATAGTGATGTAGCGTTTGTGGAGAAGAATATGATCTGTTGGTTGAACAATTCGTATTCGAATTCTAACTGAACCGTCGAAGATTGAGTAACGTTGCGTATCATCAGAAACATTTAAATAAGGTTTGACATAAAGATCATAATGAATGGGAATCGCAACCGATGGTAAACGATGAGTTTTAATATCAGTTTCGATGTTCTCCGGACGAAGAAATCCGGTGATGGCATGAAGATTCGCTCGATTCCATTCGATTGCTGCATCGATTTTCTCAAGAGATAATTGAAATTGTCGATAAGCCGTGCCTAATAAGAAATTCAAGTACATAGAAATTCTTTTTTTCTTCATTTTGTTTTACCTTTATCAGCAATTGAGTTCGAAAAGGCGATAAATTCGTCTTTCTGTCGACTGTTCACAAATCGACTTGAGACAGCTTCCACAATTCCCGATAAACTCGAAATGGACTTTCCCCATTTCGTAAATATTTGCTCCCAATTATCTCGAATCCAATTCCAAGCAATTTGATTTCCATGTGAAGATCGCGCGATACGTTGAATCGACGCCGCTAAATCTTGATCACGTATAATTGGATTTGTTTTCAAATGTTGATTGAGAAACCAGAGAATCAACGAAGGATCTTGAGTACAAGCTAAACCATTGAGCAAATTCAATGTTTCACTCGCCACAGATTCTTGTATCAAACGTTCCCAAAGAAAATTGAACTCTACTCGTGAACCTTCTCGAACAATCGTACAATAAACAGTCGATCGAAGTGTGGCGGGAATTTGATTCAATGCTGGATTCGATAACCAACGTCGATAAGATTTTCTCGCTTCTTCAACACATTCTCGATGGCCATATCGACACGCAGATGATAGAACACTCGGTTGGAGTAAAGCCCGTAACCATTCAGTAGTTTGATTAATCGGCGCCCAACCAATTTTGTTATACAACGGTAAAACAAGTTCGAGAAAGTAATGCTGAACATCAAGAAGAATTTCCTGTCCGGTTAACAGATCTTCCTGCAGTCTCATTGCAGTAAACGCTGCTGTCCATGGAACAAATTCATCTTCTTCTCTTAAATAACGAATTAATTCGTATGCATCACTTGTGTTAACAATTGATGTTCGCGACAGAGCGAAGATATCGTCGATTAAAGCACCACGTGTTATTGTCGGGATACGTGTATGATCGGTGAGCAGTTGACTGATGATTAAACGAAAATTTCGTGGGTCATACTTTGTCCGGTAAATGCCGAGATAATCAGGATTTGCTAAAAGCCAATCAGAATCGGAGGTTGTGACCGATAAACGTGTGAGAGTGTCATTAAGCCAAATCACCGGACTTTGATTGACTTTCTAAAAAGAATTAAATCATCTAATTGAAATGTCAAATAATTGTCGAGTTGTTTGACTTGATAATGTCAGAAGAAAAAAAACGAGACATTTGCCCTTTGAAAGTTTTCGAAAGGTCATTAGAATATGTTGCTCCTTGTGTCAATAGGACTTACATCGAGGTAATTCTCATTCTACTTACTCGTGTTGATGCTCGATCGAAATATTTGAAAGGAATCCACCATTTCTCTTGTTTCGTCACTGACGAAAATAAATTGAATGGTTTCTGTTGAATTGTAATGTAACCTCTTTCATTCGATCGTTGTTGTCGGTGTAAAGGTGAAGTATATTCACGATTGATTTCAACAATGGGATAACCAGCTTGTTGGGTCCATCCATTCATGATTTGCTCGACGTCGATTTGATTGTTGGCGGCGTGACTTAAATATCTCCAAAGATCTTCTTGTGTTGCGGATGCGTAACTTAAATTTCTCAGATAATTTTGAATTCCTTTTTGGAAAACATCTTCGCCGAGAAACATTGACATCATTCGAATCAATGTCGCACCTTTCTCATATGTTATCGAGTCGAATAATTGAAAGATATCAGCCGGATTCGTTGAACTGATACTAATCGGTCGAGAGGTCGGCAACGAATCCGCTTCCATGAATGGAAAGATTTTTTCCACAACAATTCGTTCGTCTTGCATCCAGGTTGGTTCGAGAATGTCCGAGGCTAATGTTTCCATATAACTGGCAAAGCCTTCTTTTAACCATCTAAATCGAGGAGACGTTTCAATGAGGAGAATAGTTTTCTTTTTCTGTTGGAGAAATCACTTACAATTCTCCCCACCATGCTGGTGAAACGAGATTTCCGAACCATTGATGTGCGATCTCATGTGCCACAACTGTTGTGATGTATTGTTTACGCGATGCAGAGACAGTTTTTTCGTCGAAAAACAAACCAACTTCGCGGTAAATGACCAAACCTACAAACAAATTCAATCATTCGCATCGAAAATATCCGTTTCCCTCACCGTAGTTTTCCATTGCTCCCGCTCCGAAATCTGGAACTGCGAAATGTTCGATTTTGGGTAAAGGATAAGTGATGTTAAAATACTGATTGAACAATTCCAATGATTTCGATGCGATTTCATCGGCATATGTTAATTGCGGTAAAATATCAATTCGTCCACAAATTCTCGATTTGATTTTCGTTGGTCCAATCAGTCGATCCGGTCGACAATCAAAATCCGCTTTCGGTGCGACGATTAACGCTAATAAAAACGTCGACATATTCAATGTCGGAGTAAAATGCGACACAATCCTTCCATCTTTCGATTTCGTCATCGATTCAATCTCTCCGTTCGACCAAACTCGTTCCGAAACATCATGAATAACACTGATATAAAAAATGGCCTTTCGGGCCGGTTCATCGATACATGGAAACATGGCTCGAGCATGAGTTGGTTCCATTTGAGATGTCATAAATGTTTTATTCATTCCATTGATGTCCACATATTTACTTATGTAAAGACCGTGTAATTCACGTGAAATATTCGCTGAATAAGTTAAATATAACGTGTAGGTATGAGGTGGAATGAATGAAGATGTGAATTTGAGTTTAATAATTTCACTATAATCATCGTAAGTCCAAGTTTGAATGAGAGGTAATGGAGATGTTGTTGAATTAATGATTCGTATTGTTGAATTATCTAAGAATAAATCTTTTAGATGAAGAACGACTTCATTTGTTGATTCAAGACATGTAAATGTATATAAAAGTGTACCTAAATGAGAAAATTGTTTGAAGATTTCGAAGAAGGAAAGGTTCAATACAAACCACTAAATGTTTCTGCGGTGATATTCGGTGCGATTGTTAATCGATAAACTTCTTGTTTCAAATTTGTTGGAATTCGTTCGACAGGTAAAGCCATTGACGTTGTTAAGTCAAACGGTTGTTTTGTTGTTGTTGTTGACAAATCCGTTGAATGCAAATTGTTCATCGATCGATTTTGTTTGACACCGAAGTAAATCGTTAAAACTAAGAGAACAATAAATACGACGAGAATGAGAGACAAAAGTATCCAGAAAAGATTCTTTTTCATTTGATAGGTGTTTTTCGATGAACGAGCCATTGTTGGATCTACTATTGCTAAATCAAATGATTCCGAAACCATGATGAGAGTAATGAATCAAGAAGAATGATGTTCGGATCACATAAAGTACAACGGTTTACTTGTTGTTTGCAAAGAAACGTCTACAGCAGAAGATCAATTCGCGTTCGAGGTACTTTGTTGTTGATCTTCTAAAATAGAGAAAAGAATAGTCAAGAGTTTTCAACATTGATTTGGAAAGACAATTGAATTAGAAGAAAGAAATCAGATAATGCAGCTGATCCTTTCTCTTCTCTCTTCTCAAAAATGAGATGTGCACTGGCATTAGTCTTTAATGGATTGTTGACGTTGTTGTTTTTTGTGAAATACAAAGAAGAAGAAGACAAATGAATATCGAATTGGACGTGTGCGTCCTTTTCTTACTTCGAGTAATCTTTTGAAAAAGGCAAAAAGAAGAAGAAATTGATTAACTTCACTGTCCTTCGTACTCTTTTGTCTTTCTTTAATCTTTCGAAGACAATGACTTGACATTCAAATAGATATCCGAGTCAAATGAAAAAGAATCCAACAGGATATACATCATCGAGAAGTTTTTCCCAACTTGTCACTTCTGACATTCGCATTCAAATGAAGATTCAAAGAATAAAACTCATTCGTATCAACATACTTGAAATAGATTAAGATTTGCTAGTCGTTAGAATCGATAGGATATGTATATTATCAGCATTGAAGAAGAATGACGATCTATGATATGGACGCATATATTTCATTGAATAAGTATATAGAAAAAAAAAGTACGATGACACAATAATGTGTAACTCAACAAGAGATAACACTGAATTCATATAGAACGAGTCAATCTATCATCACAATAAGCAAAAGTAGTTGACAGCATTGATAGACAGGAGAAGAACAAGGCAAAACACATATCTCTCGTCAGAATATATTCTCTTGAAAACTTCGCGTTTTTTTTTTCTTCTTCTCATCGAACAAGAAATACAAACGCAAAAAAGAAAACAGTTATGGCAAATCTTTTGTTTATTTTTCTGTTTTAAAGACTACTGAACAATCTCGATTGAACTACGAAGAACAAAATCAATATAAAATTCGTGTTCAATTCATCAATAAAACTCAATTTATCGAAGAATCATATTTAATTGAAATCGAAGATATCAACGAACCACCTTATAATCTTCACTATTCTCGTATGAACTCGAATCATTATAGATTGAAAAAAAACAAACAAACTCATTTCCGATCTGTTGTTTAGATCAAACAGGTTTTTGCACAGTACTCGATGAGGATTTCCATCAAACACTCAAATTTCATGTGAAAACGATTGAAAAACATCAGAATGGAACAGATTTTGAGATTATCTGTACTGACGATGGTCATCCACCTTTATCAGTAAACAAAAACAAAAATTCAATTCTCATTGATCAACACGTTTTCTTGTTTTAGATTTCGACAAGAATCAATGTTATATCGGATGAAATATCCCTAATGTTCGTTCCTGTTGCTTTGTTAATAATCCCAATTATTGATGAGAATATAACGATGGCAAAATCAATGCGAGATGTAAGTAGATTGATTCGACATCACATTCATCAGTAAATTCTTCTTCTTCTTCCCTTTTGTTTTTATCTTTAACCTTTTCCTCTTTCCTTCTGCCTCGAAAATGGAATGCGAATCTGATTAGAATCTTTTTGTTTGATCATGACAGAATGATAAAACTATCCGTTAATGAAATTAACCAAATATTGTTTAGAATATTGTCATATCAAATTTCAATGATGGAGATAAAACAGAACGACAACGTCGACAAATTAATTCTCCTCCTCAAGTAAACAAAACTCGAAAGATAAATTCATTGTTGATGACTTTCTTAGGACATTGTTTTGAATATGTTTCATCCAATTGTTCCAGAAAATGTACGAAATTTTGATATTGCCAGTGTAAATGTACTGGATGATGAAAGAGATGAATATACGTGTTCGGTTAGCACACACAATACTTCGGATGATCGACAACCATTTGAAATTGATAATAAAATCTTGCGAACTTCATTAGATATACAGAATAATCGTGAGTAAGAAAAGAGAAAAGAATTTAAGGATTGAGATTTTACTTTTTCTTCAGTTTGTGATCTTGATTATGAAACTGTAGGAATTTACAATATTACAATAACTTGCATTGATTTAATTCATCATTTCACAATTATAAAAAACTTCAGTATTGAAGTTAGTGATGTAAACGAAGCGCCGGTTCAATTAACACTCACACCAAACATTGTAAGAGGAAATTTTATAGGAAAAATTCACTTTTTATCTGATATTTTCAGCTTCCGGAAAATTCTCCAGTTGGTTACGTTATCGGTCAATTTCGACCAATCGATCCCGATCTACCTTCACTCAACCAAACATTCAAATATTCGCTTACCAGCGATTCGAAACATACCTTCAGCATAAAAGATGACCAACTAATTGTAAGTGCTTCGTTTCCATATTCCTTCTCCCATATTTCTTCTTAGTTACTCCGAGAAAACGATGTTCAAACATGTATAAGTCAACCGGATACATGTCCACATGATTACGAACAAATCAATTCGGTGTTAGTTCGTGTTCATGTCGAAGATACTGGAACACCACCAGCATCTCAACGCTTTTGGATTCAAGTTAAAGTTACCGATGAAAATGATCCACCAGTTGATTTACAATTGAATCAAAATACTGTGAAGGAAAATTCACCGATTGGTACATTAATTGGAACATTTTCAGTTGAAGATCAAGATTTGTATCAAAATCATTCGTTTACTTTGGTTCATCAAAGTTCATCCTTCAAAAATCAATCGATATTTGAAATCGAAAACAATGAACTACGTCTGCTTCAATCACCTGATTACGAACAAGATCAATTTTATCTCATTACTGTACGAGCAACTGACAATGCAACTTTTCCGTTGAGTGTAAGTCAATCAAATCAAAATTCAGAAGTTCTTTCCAAGAAGATCGATGTTTTCCACACTAAATATTCTCCTTCTTTTCAATAGAATATGAAATATTGAACAGATTGAATTTGTTTAGGTAATTGGAGAATTTATTATTGAAATTCTCGATGTTAATGAATTTCCCCGAACATATGCATTCATTGCCGATATCGATACTCCGGTGACCAATGAAACAAAGCATAATTTGATTAATGGTGTTCAACCTGTTCGAACAGTTTATTTACCTCAAAATGCGTATTTTCAAGCGAAATTAGGTCGAATTGTCTTCATTGTCCAAGATCAAGATCAAGATTTGTTTCTCAAAGGAACGTCGGATTTCACTGAATTCGGATTTTCTACACCAACATGTGAGATTTTATCACAAAATCCATACCGTTCGTTGTGCACATCAATTGTTTCGGTAGAAAATCGTTATGATTACGCAGAGGATGAGACTTTTACAGATCATCTTGTTATTACTCCGTTAATTTTAACAAGTAATCTCGAAACAATGACATTTCCTCGAATATTAAGAGTTAAATTCGAAAATATCGTAAGGAGAGTTTGTTTGTAAGCAAAATTTCGATCTTCTCGTGATTTAGACGTTGACAATGGACGATGAACGAAAGGATTCCATCGATATTCTCGGAATTCATTTAACAAAAATGACAATCGGCAAACTCGGTGCGATTGACTTAGCATCGAATAACAATCCAATTGAAAAGATTTCGCTCAATCCAGGCAATTCTTCATTATTTCCATTTGAATTGACCGATGATAATATTCTCCAGGTCAGTTTCACCGAAAACCCTTCTATTTTCAAGGTTTTCTTTTGTGAAAAACTAGATCCGAAATGATGTAAACATAACTTCACCAAATTATCCATCGAAATTCAATATTAGTGTATTGGTAACAACAAACAACGAAGGAGAAAATCGAACAATTGAAAAGTTTTTCAACATAAACATCAAAGAAAGAGATGAATTCGCTTTAAACCTGTCGAATAACAAAGTAATGTCAAAAAGAAAATATCGTCTTTCGTATCTAAGTCGAACTTTAGATTCTCGAAAATGCACGTGAAGATAATTTCATCGGTTCGTTCACTTTCGAGAACGAAACCGGATATTATACTCTCGAACTGATCGATAATGCAGATGGAAGATTTAAACTCAACGGCACCAGTTTATATGTAAACTTTCTCATAATTAGAAGACTCTGTCACGGTTTTGTTTTCGTTTTAGACTGATAAAACTTCGGTGAAATATTGTCATCTTAATCACACATGTCCATTAGACTATGAAGATCAACCGATGATCAATATCACCGTTGCTGTTTTAGATCCTTCGACAGATGAAATACTTCGTCAAATTGTTTTTCGCATTGAAATTCAGGATGAAAACGAAGCACCGTATAATTTAACTTTATCAAGTAAAAACTCGCTTTTTCAAAACAATTTCCCTGAAAAATCTTCTTCTTTTAGCGACATCACTATATGAAAATGCTACCGCCGGTTCATTAATCGCGACGATCAGTGCCTTTGATGATGATGTGAACCAAACATTGACATATTCAACATCAAATCCGCTTTTTACAATAAGAAACAATGAATTAATTTTAAATAAAGCATTAGAGTATAATCTACGACAAACAATACCGGTTTATATTCGAGCGACTGATGATGGGCAACCCCCAACATTCGTAAAAAAGACAATTTTCGAGAAAATTACAAAAGAATTTCTTTGATATTTAGACAGAGAAACTATTTTTGGTCAATGTTGTTCCGATAAATCGACCATTGGTGAATGTCACATCAACTCCAATGATTTATTATATATCGAATAATACAAATCTAACACAGACGATTCTTGGACAAATACTTGTTGTTGATCCAGATGAAAATGAATCCTTTGATATAACATTCGATAAAGCGAATTTTCAAGCAGCAACATCAGCAACAAATCCTTATTCATTGATTCTAGACGATGGATCTCTTGTCTATGTGAGATAAATTCAATCACACTCTCAGGAAAATTTTGTTTTTCTAGGCACAATTGTATAACATCACTGTTATGGATATGGAACCACCAAATGGTCAAGTAAATTCAACATTATCCACGGATGTTACTGCAACAATTCGCGATTCTGCAAATCATATGGTAACATACGCATTCACCGTACAATACGTACTTAAAGCAACTCAAGATTTAACAACAACAACCCCCTTACCTCCAATAACTACAACTGTAAGTCAAAATGAAAAACAAATTGATCTCTCCTACCTTCTGAATTCTTCTTAAGGTTCCATCATTATCTCAAATAATGCATGTTCGTATCTACGAAACCACTCTATCAGGTACACCAATCGTTCGCAGTATCCTAAATTCTACAACTACAAATCACACACCAATCTGCACAGTAACTGATGAGAATAACATTCAATTTCCTATAAATGCAAGTCAAACATCAATTATCATATATCTTCCGGAGAATTACACACTCAATTCGACCAACAAGTCGAATATATTTCTTGATGTTCAATGTGTTTTATCGAATGGTGCAGATATTGATGAAGTAAGTTTTGTTTGATGTCAATCATTGTTTGAATTATCGAGGATTAGGGTATTGTTATCGATGTTTTACCGGCTCCACCCACTGTACAAATCAAGTTTAATCAAACACATACGTTTTATGCAACCAACAACATCAACAATCAAACGATTCTTGGACAATTTTATCCGACTGAATTAACTACGACACCAACAAATCGAACATTTAATCTTTCATTGACCAATTATCAAGATATTTTCCAAGTAAATTACACAAAAACAATTCATTCTCAAGCAATTTCTTCTCTTCTAGCTTTTACCTAACGATAGTCTCATTCAAATCGGTCCATATCCAACAAATATCGTCGAATCGTCTTCTCCAACTATCAACTTAACAATTCAAGCCACGGAAACAACTCCCAACGAGCCTATTCGTATCATTCAAAACACATTCACCATTCCAATTATTCTCAATTTAACAATACCAGTAATCACCTTCAATCGAACAACAATACCATTTAATATTAATCCAAATACAACAATTGGATTATTCACCATTTACAACATTTCAACAGCGTATCGTTTGCATTTACTCGATTCTTATAACGATAGTTTGGAATTAGATTCTGACACCAAATTATTAACCATAAAACAAACATTAGATCATTTTCCATTGGAAAATAATCGTACTCAACTATTCATTAAAGTGGCGTTAGTTGATTCCACAAATGAAACGATTCTCTCATCCACATTTTCTTTAACAATAACAAATTCATCTGGAATTGATTCATGTGAAAACAAAGATTGTGGTTATGGAACATGTATTACTATAAATCAAACGTAAGTTTAAATCAAAGAAATAAATTTAATTCACCCTTTTCGTTTAGTTTGTCGTATTGTTTATGTACAAGTGGTTACACAGGTCTTGATTGTCGAACAGTTGATTCGTGTGCTTATAATCCTTGTTTAAACAATGGCATTTGTCATCAACTATCGACACAAGGTGATTTTTCATGCACATGTTTACCGAATCATTCAGGTTCACTTTGTGAAATCAATATAAATGTTTGTGAATTGAACTCAAGTCTTTGTTTATCAACAGAAATCTGCATACCAATTAACAATAATCTCACAAAGTAGAACAAATATGAATGTTCGATTGATGAAGACGAATATTTGTTGATTTTTTAGTTTTTATCGATGTGTACCTCGGGATGAATTATTATATTTTGTGTTTGATTATTTGAATAATCCCGATGCATTCGATGCGATCAATGTAGACAATTTAACAACGAAGATTAAAGAATTTTTTCAATTACGTGCTACCGGAATCGAAAATATTATGATCCTGGAAAGACAAATACTTGGACCATTAAAATACAATCGAGCAGAATTGATTTCTATTTTATTGAAAAATTCTAATGAGAATTATACAATATTAAGCGAAGTTTTGGATGAACTATGTGCAAATCTATCAGTAAATCGTAAGGCGAAAGTTTTCCATTGATTAAATAATTCATTTCATTGATTTTCAGTTCATGTCTTCGAGCGTGAATTGTGTATTGGTTATCAACAAGCGAGTCGTCTGATGAGTCGCTTCAAATCTTTACCCGATTTGTGTCCGAATTGCACTTTTACTGATGCAGCAAATGAATACTATTGGTTTGACAAAACACTTCCGTTTTTACCTTTGTGGATTACGTTGATCGGTAAAGATGAAACTTGTCAAGGATATTTTTCCGTTCAAATGATTTTCAATTTCAGTTGGATCGATTTTAATGGGAATGCTTTCGTTGATTCCGTTGGATTTGGATGCTCCGAGTAAAGTTGCATTACCATTAATGAAAGCGCGAGTTTATCCTGAACAAGAAGAAAATGTTGATGAAGAAAATTCAGTGTAAGTTTGTTCGTATGGAATGTGTTTGTTTCGATTTTGCTTTGCTTTCGAACTCGACATTCGATAAAAAAAACACTATTACGGAGAATTCGATCTGTTTATGCGTGCTGTTTTTTATCTCTAGATCGAAAGACTCCGTTCGGTTAGCAGGAAAATTTAGTCGCGAAAGAAATGATTCTGGTTATGAGAGTAATGAGGAGAATGAAACTTATCTCGATGAAATCATTACCAATCATCAACGCAATTCCACTTTTCACGTTTATCCGGTCATACACGGACCTCGTTCACCAGCTCTTACTCGTCGTGGAACAACGATTGATGATTTACTTTCCTCCCAAGTAACTTCTCGCTCACGATCAATAAGTTCGGGAAGTCTTCCTCGTCAACAAATTCAACGTTCAATTTCCATGTCTTCACATCCCATCGATCGTCCATCATCCACACGAAGCAGTCAAACATTAAAGCCAATCATTCAACGTCGCTCACTAATAGATGATTCAAGCATTGGAACGTTAATCGGCTTACTTGGAACACCAAGACTAAATCCAACAGATGAAACATATGTTTCAACAACATTTCGAAATGAAAACACTTCGAAATTTGTCATCGGAACATTGTGGAATACATTTGCATTAGTTAATAATCTTTTCCTACAACGGCCACGTAAACGACGAAATGCTTTATCTGGAAATTTCAACATCCATGCTGACGAATTAGCACGTTTAGAAGCTTTATATTCACTTGCTGAACGTGAACAAGCCAATCAGTTTTCCATAACACATCTTCAGTCAATAATCGGTGACGCTTTACAAACATCGGATACCCAACGCACCAGACATTTACAAGCGATTCTTTTCGATATATTATCATCAAAAAAGGAAAATCCTTGTAACTGTTATGGAAATCATCACGTTCCTTCGTGTGTTTATTATGATCATTCATTACCTTATCTTCGAAATTCTCAGGAACAAACTTCATCTTTGGAAAATATTCTCCGTGATATTCACAAATCCAACAAACCACGTCGGCAGGATGCAGCAACGCAATCGCTTCTCGACAAACCACGTCAATCTTTTACACAATTAAAAACAACCACGAATGTTTCAACACAATCGAGTCCAATGGTAACAATGAAACAAATTCATTATCATGTTTCAACTCAATATAGTCCAAACAAACACCAAAACAATTTCAATGCTTCGACTCAAACTAAAAACAATGATTTTCTGGATGTTTCGACACAATTTAGTCCAAGAGAATCGGATCAGATCGAACCGATTTATGTCAATGTTTCAAAATCTCTTCATCCAACAGAAACGAAGAAAACACGGCCTAATCCGATTCCTAATCACCAAAATGATCTTCTCAGTGAATTGAAAGAAGTTTTTTCCTCGCCAACGAATCCCGAACTGAATTCCAATCATTCCGTTCGAAGTCTTGTTTCGATCTTCGAAGCAAATAGATCTCAAAAACCTTTTCCATCAAAATCCATCTCAACAACGAATGTGAAAATCGAACAATACGCAAATGAAGTGGCTTCGAATATTGTAGAAAATGCGGTTGAGGCAGCAACAATCACTCTCACGAATATCAATGATCATCAATCCCAACGACGCTTTTCAGTCTATAAAAATGCGGGTGAACACGGAAAAAGTTTACTATTTCAATCGAATACATTCGTTCCACCAATCGAGAATCCAAAAGAAAAGTTCGATGAAACTTCTCGGGGTATTTTCGATGAAAAACTTATTCGTCAGCTCCTTTTTTTTCTCCCCCCTCTGAATTTTTCTTTAGCTTCAATTCAACCGCCGAGTGTTTTTATAACTCCTCCTCAATCTCAACATACATTAATCGTCGGTCAACATATCAATGGCGATGATTCGAAAGCTCATTTCGATATGCACTATGATTCAAGTTCATTGTCATCTTTAGATGATGAACAAGTCAATCCGCAACAGTTCCTTTCTAATAGTCAACTTTTTTCCGCTCAAGAACTATACATTCGCCCATGGCTGGTTCGACGGGCAACCGCACCGCATATTCACTGTCTCGATAACGATATTAACGATACACATATCGAAACAAATCATTCGTCTTTGAATGAAACGAATTTTAATGTTTTTCCCAAACATTCTAATATGGATTTGTATACGCGATATTCATGTTTAATTACGATTTTACTTTATCTTCGTGATGTTTATGATCAATATTCAAATGAAATTTTATACAATGATCTCAATCAAATCGAACAACAGTTTCAAAGTCCAACATTTCTATGTCCAACAATACAATCGAATACATTCGAAACGATTAATCCTGATGGAAGTAAACGATATCGAACAGGATTTGTTGTAGACGTCAATTCAATTGACTCGCCAATGATACGACCGAAAATTCTTTCGAATCAAGTCGATTGGAGACGCGTAAAAGTCGTTACACGACGTTTCAGAAAGAAATATCAACATTATAAACAATTAATAAAAAATGATCAACTCAATAAGTCGAACAATCCCTCGACTATTGATCATTATCTAAAAGCATTCGATTCTACTTCGAGACGTCGCATGAAAAAATACGCTAAACATTATGCTGAAAAATTATAAAACTTTCGTTCATTTTACTTTTAGAAATTAATCAACAATATGAACATTTCAATGAATCTGTCACCAAACTAAAAAAGAGAAAGAAACAAACGATCGGTTTTTTTTGTCAATTCATCTATTCAAATAAAATCATATTTATCATTTACTCTTTTGTGCATCAAAGATGAGAATTTGATTAGGAAATTTCGTACGAGAAAAACCAGTCTTTCATTTAACAATTAAGACAAGAAAATTGATGTAGATCTTTTTCGTTTGTTCAACGTGATAAAAATCTGTTATTATCTGATTGGCTGAAAAAAAAATGCGAGTTTTATGTACTGGTTTGACCGTCTATATTAATAGTCAAGTTTGAAGAGAAAAGATGATTTTCTTTGTAAGAGAATAGTAAGATCATCTTTGTCACATGGTAGATAGTTCGTCTATCCAGGGTAAATGACGATAGAAGAAAAGAAAGAAACGAGACGAAGAGAGAAAACTCGCCATTCATTTCGTCTTTCGTTCGATCGTTTGTTCGGTGTTGATGGTCATCTGGATTTCACAATGGAACGACAAGCATCTCGGGATATGATTGATGAACACGAAGAACATACAGTTGGAAGTTTAGATACTTCTATGGATAGATATTTAGAAAGTCATGGATTATGGAGAAAACGAATTCCTCAAGGTAAATAAATCGAACTGATGATGATCTTCCTATTCGTTTCTTTGGTTTAGATGGATCAAGTTTGTTTCGTGCTGTATGTGAAGCTGTAAGTATCGATTATTTCAAGTATCGGAAGAATCAATTTCATCTTTGGGATTTTCAGTTATTTTCGACACAAGTTCATCATTATGATGTGCGATTGAAATGTATCGAACATATGTTATTGTATTCTAATGAATATAGTCCAGTAAGACGCGACTTGAGAATACATTGGAAAGAAGTTTTCTCTGATTTTAGTTGATAGCAATGAACTTAAATGAATATGTCACTCGTTTAAAAGATCCAACAGTATGGAAATGATTATCTTCATAGACGAAAAATCACTTTCTATTTGATGTTTTTAGACCCCGGGTGGGATGTTGGAAGTCGAAGCACTTGCACGGTGTTATCGGTATGAAATCGAATGTTTTCTTCGATCTAAATATCAAATTTTCTTTTCAGTGTACGCATTGTTGTTTACTCCGGTAAAGATCATTCACCTGTTGAATGTCAATATGGTCCGAAGAAGATCATGTTATCGTTAATCGGTTACCAGTTCGATCGTGTTGTTACAGAAGAACGTCGACGACATTTGGGTATCGTTCAAGGTAAAGATTTTCTTGGAAATTATCGAAAATTGAACGAACATTTCGTTTCAGCTTTTATCTACAAACTTATCTATAGTGAAGTTTTCAACCAAGCAAAAGTCTATGAGCAAGGGATAGCGATTCTACGAAAATCGGATACACTTTATTATGGAGTTAAAGGTGCTGGCATGCAAAAGTAAATAAAACAATACTTTAAAAGAAACCTTCAAATGCTTTTTTGGTAGAAAATCCGAGCGAATTGATAAGAAAACTGGTCATGAATCGATCCCTGTGCCTTATCGTACAGCGAAAGCATTTGATCCAGCTATTTATCGGAATGTTGCTTACGATGTTTACATGAATGATCATTTTAAAAAATATTCGGATCGAAATCTTGTTAAAACACATCCACAAGCTCCATTTATGACCCACAATCGCTTAATTGAACGATTTGGTTCGAAGAAAACCAGAAAATGTCCCGAATGTCTCTTTGCTTTTCTTTTCTTCCAGGTGTGAAAATGCATTTGCCTGTTTCGTATATAAATCTCCCCGGCTGTCAACGAGTTATCGTCATTCTCTCGAATTCCGATGAACTATTTGCTTATTACGTTGGCGAAGATCCCGATATCAACATGCACAATGTTTATGTCGTGAAATATGGTTCAATGTAACATTTCTCATTTTGTTTCCAACGAGTTTTGTTCACATATAGGAACGTTTAGGATGAAAACTACAAAAGAGAAGATGGTAGAATTTCCATCCACACCAGGCCGTCGACCTGTGACATTCGCAGTTTTAAAACGAAATACCAACGTTTACCGAAAACTGAAACCTTGTTGTAAGTTCCCTCTTAAATGTTCTTTTTTATTATCAATAATCTCTTTCAGTGGATGCAAGTTCCCAATTCTTCGAAGAACGTTCATCACGACGACAAAGACAACCAGCTCTTGATTATGCCAACAATCAACCAGTTCAACTGTAAATTTTCTTCATTCAAATGATAATTTTCTAATGAATCCTTTTGTTTCAGTTTTCGTCCATATCAACCGTTGATGTCACCAATGAATCCATCTGCTCTTTGTTCACCACCGCTTGATAATTATGGTCCAAATTCGAATTGGATTCCGCCAAATCGTCAACCAGTACCGATGCTCATGCCAATGAATAATTCTGATCAAATGCAACTACATCATCGTCTAAGTGTTAATGTTACTGATCATTATGAATGGACAGCAAATCCAACAAATTATTTTTCGGCTTATCCACCACCGGTAACAACAACGAATTCCTCGAATATAGATGCCATGTCATTGAATGGAAGTTTAAGTAGTAATACAAGTACAAATGATAGTTCATCTTATCCAATCTTAGCAGCACCATTACCAACAGTTTTTTTAAATCCATATCCTCAACAATCACCAACGGAACAACAATCGTCACCGTTTGTCCAACCAACAGTATATTTTCCACAACAAATCTCACCGAGAGTAATGCACGAACAAAACGATGGTGCAACAAATAAGTTTGTTTCGATCCTTTCTGAAATTGTTCATCAATGACGAAAAAATTCTGTTTAGATTTCATCCAAATCAAACTCCATTTGTTGTTATGGTAACATATTTTCCCGAACATATCAACTAATATATTCTACCTCATTTACTTTAGTCTCCATCTCACCCCTTAATGGCACCTGGACCACCTGCTTCTGGTAAATATTTTCCATCTAATTACACTCTTTTCATTTATTTACTCTAGGATTTCATCATCCTATTCCAATGGTACCACATATTTATATGGATCCAATGACTTGTTCTCCTAATGGTACGAATGGTTATGCTCCGCCAAGTCAACCAATGGTATCTCCTCAACAACAGCAGCAGCAGCAGCAATCATCTGCAACATTTCCATATTTTTATCCTTCATCACCTTCTACTCCATGGATTCCTCCGGGTCCTACCGCGACCCCTTATTTCATGATATCCAGTCCTCATTTTTCATGTCAACAGTTAATTTGAACTGCGTATGTTTTGTTTTTCCATTTCTTTTTGTGTTTCAGTTGTAAAAATTTTACTCTTGTACATTGATTAGATCTATCTATTGTTTGTTTGTGAACTAGAGACTTCTACTTTTCATTCCTAATGGAATCTATTTGTATATATATATATTTGTCTCTAAACGTGTGTGTGTAGTTTGTTCAACGTGAGCTTTTTATAAGCGTATACACAATGTGTATTGGAAAACATATGAAACAAAACCAAGAATTAATATATATAGACAGATATGCACATGTTGTTTTCAATTTATTTTCCATGAACGTGGTTGAATCCATCGTAGTTGAGATTTACTAAAGAAACGAGACATCCCACGTGACAGATGTGATGTTTCTCGATGAAGAATTAATTGTTTTGAGGAATCCTACACAGCTATGTACCTCCGATAAGCCCGAGCGCTCACTTCGTCTTTATATTGAAATAATCATGATAAAGTAAGTTAAGCATTCCATTTTCTTCTTCTCAAGATGAAAGGTTCATCTAGAAGTCTGATATAATAACATCTTTTTTCAATAGAAAACTCGATGATTATCTCCAGATGATAGCGTAGACTCGTACTGTTAGATGAATCCATCGAGGGTTTTAGATCTGATCAACATGGACGAACATTGCCAACAAAAACAAGAAAAGTATTGATCGAAGGAATATTTACTCGCTGAACGGAAATGTTATTAACGTATAAAATCAGCATTCCGAGATCCTAAGGAGGTTTTTGTGCCAAGTTCACTATAGTGCGAATCATTTATTTATTCATTTGTGAAATCGATCTCCGTACTTTCTTTTTTCATGGGCTTTAATCGTAAATTTGGTTAAAAGAGCGCATCAAGCGAAAGACAAGACGGGAAAATTAAACGTTAGACTTTTCTTTCATTCAGTCATGTTTCACAGACTCCTTTTCATTAACAGTGAACTGTGTGAGAGGAACTTTTTTTAGAGAAATTCTACTCCGACAAACTCAGATAGTAGAAGAAGGAAAATCTCTTCCTTTTTTTATATGAAACATATATTATCAGTTCATTTTCTTTCTTGTCACTGCGCGGCTTTATTTACGCAAGAAAAGATGTTCACTTGAGGAGTATTTCTTAGAAAACGACATTCCTGTCAACGCTTTCTCATTCAACTCTAACAACGATTTCCTCAATGCATAGAACTTTCTCATTTATTCATCAGATTTTTCATTAAAATAGAGCTAAAACTTGAAAATCATGCTAATGTTCTAAAAGACGAGATACGTGTCGTCTTTCTTCTCTTCGAAAAAAAACTCTTAACTTCTCTCGTTTTTCTTTCCAGATTTCACACATAATCTTCATCAATTGCTGTCAATGTCACACATTGCTCATAAAGTGTCTCACATGCGATGTGAAGATGCCAATAAATCGCATCCAGCACGACATTCGTCGTTGCCGCCAAGTACAAATACCGACAATGAACTAATCATTAGTACTCTAACCGGTTTCGAATGTGATCTGGGTGACAAATTAGCCCAAATCGACCGCAAAACTGAAATGCAAGTACAAGAACTCGAATTAAGTGAATGTCTTCTATTTGTTGCTCAACTGGTTGAGTTATTTAAACACACGGTTGTCACAACTACACTTCAGAATCAAAATGAATGGTCCAATGACACCAGCCATCATCTCCGAAAACAAAACGGTGCAACGGGAAATACTTTACTCGATCATAAAGTCGAACAAATCGTTATGGACAAAGGTTTAACTAGAGAACAATGGAATTGCCTTCTTTATATTTCGCTTAGCAATGGTGATACGAGTGAAATTACCAAAGTTAGTAAAAAACAACTACAAAAAATTCATGAAAAGGCATCACGTCTTCTGGAAATAGACGAACGAGATGCTGTTTTTGCTCTTATTCATGCTATTGAAACTTACATGTCGAAAGAGCATTTCCTTCAAAAATAATGGATTGTTCGTCGAAGAAAAACATTCTACTTTCATGTTGTACCTGTCATATCAGTTTTCTTTCGATATGCACTCATTATATTTCATAAGTGTTTTAATTATAAACCAATTTTCTGCGCAGATATGCACAATCGTCGGCTAATCTGTTCGAGGGCATTAAGAATTATGGTAATGCGTAAGATATCTACGATAATACAGAAATTTTGTCCGTGTGGGAAGAATATCATTAAAAAAATACTAGCAAAATCTTTTCACAACCGCCTAGAATGGAAAAAAATTTGGCATTGTTTCTACTAGAAAACATCCAATAATCTCTCGTCGTTTAATTTCTGTCCCGGTTTTATCTGGTACAGAAATATCCTGTCCTGCTTGCAACCTCGAGAATAGATGTCTCTATGATAAATTGTCTAACGAACAACTGTTTGCTTGATGCGACAACTGATATGAAATTCTTTTGCAAACATTGAATTATTTCACTGACATCGACAAATTTAGCCTTTATGTACATTCCGAACTCCATAATTAATATCGCGTTACATTTAATTGTAAAAATGGACTGAGAAATGATGATTTCAGTAGTGTTGATTTATTTTGTATTGTACTAAGAGAACATATTTTTGTAATTTTGTCAAAGAATGATCCCGACGAGTAGTCTTGTCATTAGATTTGATGATAATAATTAGCATCATAGATTGCTGCTTCTTTTCACCGAATAAATTGCGACTTCTTTTCTTACACTTGAATAAATAACGTATGAACACTGTTTCTGTCTATTGAAATGTAAGAATAAAATAAAGCTCAAGAATCTTCTCTCAGAGAAAATAAAAGAAATATCTCAAATGTTAAAAAGTTCAAAAGCTTTTTTTTTACATCGACGTCGAATAGTTCTATTTTCAAGAGTAAAATAGTAACAGACCATCAAATATTTATGTTCTCTGATAAAAACTCGCTTTTGAGTTAACCTATTTCACAAGAAGAACTTCTCATAAAAATGGTGAATTACACGTCGTATTCGATAACATTGACGACTATATATAACATTCATATGCCTGTTTCAATTCGTTTTTGGCTTTATCTCATTCCGAATATTTGTTCAATCCTTTGTTCAATTTTTGCACTATTTCATTTTCTATTCGATCGTCAGTTACGCCAAGCAATGAACAATCATATCATCATCATTTTGTTGTTTATCGGCTTGGTTTACGAGCTAACGAGTGTACCTTTAATGCTTCATTACTTTCGGTTTAGTGCAACTTGGAAATTGTCGAAAACTTTTACTCATCTCTGGACTTTCATCGATTATCTATGTTATTCAACACAATTGATCGGTTTTGCTTGGGCTTCAATTGAACGACATATTCTCATATTTCATTTTCGATGGTTATCAACCAAAACACGTTGTTTTTTTCTTCATTATTTCCCTTTAATAGTTCTATTTACTTATTGTTTTGTTTATTATTTTATTGTCACGATTTTTCCATTATGTGAAGATTTATTGATCCCATCACCGTTCAATGGAGTTCCCGTTTCCTGTATTCTATTTATTCCGATTTTATTGACATACGACACCATTGCTCATCAAATTTTACCAACGTTGATCATCATTATGTTGAGCACAGCGTTGTTTATCCGTATTCTATGGCAAAAATCTCGTTTAAACCGCTCGATTCGATGGAGAAAACAGATGAAAATGACGATACAGTTGTTGTCGATATCCGTTCTCTATTTAGTCTTCATGGGCCCACGAACAATTCTTCAATTTTGTTTATTTCTTGGTTTAATTCAAGAAAATGTCTTTATCGGATTTCTACACAGTTGTTTTTTCGCAAATTATATCATTTTTCTCTTTCCAGTATTCGCCTGTGGATCAATGCTGGAATTTCGTCAACGAATCAATCGAATTTTTCTTTGGCACAAACAACGACGATCCATTCGACCAGATAATCGACCCTCTCATCAAAAAATACCAATTAACATTCGTTTGGGTCCTTAGAATTTTTTCTTGAGAAATAATCAACACTTCCGTACTTCAATTTTCAAGTCTTTTCTCAGTAACTTCGTGTCAAGTTGCCTCTGTCTGACAAAGAAATAATGCAGTTCTAGTCGTTGTTCGACTTTTATTCTAAAACTAAACAAAAATCTTCTCGATTAACAGAACTGAAGAGGTTTGTTCGCTGAAATGAAATTTGCGATAATTTCATATCGAATATTCTCAATGATTTCGTTTTGTAATCTAGAAGATTCTTCAGTTTGAACAAAGCAACACATTTTATCAAGAAAAGTCTTTGTCATCTTGGCGAAACGTAACACAGCATCATGTAAACCATACCGATATAACATATACTTAAAGAGAATGTCGACATAAACATTTTGAATCGTTATCAAATCTTCCACGAGCACTAAGGGATCATTTTCTAAAGAAGAATTCTTACAATTCATCGACTCAGAACGACATTTACCATTCGACGATACTTGAACAACGTCCGTACATGTGGAAAAGACGAGAGTAACAAGAAATAACTTGAGAATAGTCTCATCGACGTCGTATTGATGTGTGATACGAAGATTTTCTTCATAAAGATCTGAAGTGTAATGCAATGGACTCGTGTAGAGATTTGTTTTACGCAGGAGAAACATTCCGCTGAATCGACCAATGTTCCGGAGATGTCGACGGAGAAGTTCAACTTTCTCTTGGAGTTTTAACGTGCAAAATTCAGGTAATCGTTCGAGAAATGATCCCAATGAACGAAAGATCGATTGAAAAACATGAGAAAACTTTTCCGAGAAGAGTTTCATTCGAATTTTAGGCGGATAAGTCGACTGTCGGTGAAAGAACTCTCGAATCTGCGTCGTCGGTGATGTTTGATCATAATCATGAATCACATTTAACAACACATTCCACTGATTCGAAGTCAATAACAACCGATCATGTTGAAATAAATCCGATTGAGATACATTTAACGACTGTTGTACTTGTTGCGTTTTCGTCTGGAAGCGTGACGCTCGGAGTAACTCTTTCTCCATTCCAATCGCTAAACATTTCTTAAATCGACATATCCGACATGTATGTCGCGTATTTTTCGTTATATCACACAAATCACCGAATTGACATCGATTATTCTCCTGGAACAAAAAACAAAAATGCATCGCAAATCACTTTCCTGTGCACAAACCAGCTTGTATTGCACATTTCGACGAAAAAACATCTTACATGGAGCACAACATATCCCGCCGAAATGTCTCTGTGCACCAGATTTGCCACAAACATGGCAGACTTTATCCATATCGCGGATTTTTGAGAGCATTCTAAATAAATGTGTGACGTTGGGTATCCCGTTCTTTTTACATAAGACAGGCGTAAACACTCGTTGCACTGATGGTTATTACTGGCTTTTTTCTTTCTTACAATAGAAAATTTTTCGACTAATGTATACTCAAAATAGTCTTGACGAAGAATAACTCAGATGATTAAATCATAAAAATTGCTTTCTTGAAAGATTTCCTCTCGAAAAGGAAAATTCATTTGTTAAATTTGTCACTCGAAGCACAATATGGCCTGCGCATTGTTTTAGATCCGTGAAACGGCTTTCAGTTACATCAATATTTGATAATTCTATCTTAATGAATAGCTTTTCGAGCTAAAAACAACTCACATGAAGAAAAGTTGAATATATTCACGTGTAATTTATTGAAAAGGAACTTCTCCAGTATTGTTTTCTTTAAATGAAATGTTCTGAATAATTCACTCTGAGAATGAATTTCTACGTACTTTAAGGAATAAAGTTCAAATATTTGGAATTCGATTGGTCTGTATAGAACAAGAGGTCGCGTGGTACCTGAAAATATAAAAGAAGATTTAGTAAAAGAAACGAAATACAAAAGCGAATTCTTCCGATTTACTTTGATTACTAACAAACGAACTGCGAAGACGAAATTGGGTAAATGTTATATAAGTCTAACCTAAAAAAATATCCTCGATTGTCCTGATCAGACAAGCATCGCCATTTCTCCTCTTTTTTCTTCTTTCGTTCTGCTAGTTTAGCACCGAACACAATAACATGCGTAATCTCTCTTCTATTTTCGTTCTTTTCACCTCGTTTTTCTTAACACGAAAAATAATCGAGATTAATTCTCGAAATGTTCACGTACAAAATCTTTTGTCAAGATTTCGCCATCAGAACTAATCCTTTGTCATAAATTCAGTAACTAAGATAATGCGAAGTTATTTTAAGTGTTAGACTTATCTTGTTATTGTTTACACGTCATCGAAGATCGGATACGAGTGTCAATCAGTACGACCGTAATCGCTATTTCATGGCGTAATAATGAATATCATAGGCATTGCTGGATTATATGTGCCTCTAAGTAGATATCCATAGTTTTTCTGTGGATTCTTTAGTAAGAACAAAGAATAAATGAATAGATCATGAAGAAAATACATCGAATAATCAGTAAGTTCTCGGAATTTCAAATATTTATTTGTAAGAAAAACATTTGACCAATCTTTTTACAATAAATATTCGAGTTGGTCGTCACAGTATTCTATAGAAAGTTTCCTCGTTTAAATATATTTCTACAAAACTTTTTGGCATCCTTGGATCAGTACCGAATTCCCAGGTCGGACAATCCGGCACGGAAACGGTCGGTTCCGAGGTATTCCGGAGATTTCATGGAAGCAGTATTTCCGATGAGTGGATCCGCTGATCAGATCTATCTGGTTTGGGCCAGAACCGGCAGGAACCAGCGTCCTGGGTTGAGCTCTGTGGTTATTAAAGTAGCTAAAGTTATACCATGGGAATTTCTACCGTTCGTAAATATGAGACAACTAAATAAGTAGAAGATCAAAAGAACTCATTGGCAGGCCAGGGGGGGGGGGGGTGTGAGGGGGCAATTGGCTCCCTGAAAAAATTTGTTTAGCTAGGAATTTGGGAAAAAAACGTCTTAAAACAGGCATTTTTCTGCGAAAAAATGCTTATTTCCTCCCTCCCTCCTGAGAATTGTGATCCGCCCCGCCAATGTTTAAAAGAACAATATAAAGTCTGTCTTGCAAAATAGTCATAAGTTTGCATTTTCTTTGTGAGGATAATCACGATCTGAAATAATTCTCTTTTCAGAAAGAAAGGGTTATAGCCGCGTTAAAAGTTTGCTCAAGTCAATCAGAAATGAGGATTTCTTAAATCATCGAAATTTACCCTTATCAACTAGAGATGGACTACTAGATAGATAATCGAGGTCGGGGAACTCGAATCCGGTATTAGTTTTTAAGATTACAAGTAGTCAATTAGCTAACTACTAATTAAGGAATGGAAAGTTTTTTGGTGGTCGAGTAAGGGTCGACCGAAGGGTAATCGGGGTCGAAGATATTAAATTCGGTGTTAGTTTTTCAGTAGAAAATTCTGTTGCGTTTTTTCATACAATGGACGATTTTTTGCAAGGAATTTTTCTTAGGCGATAGTGTTTGAAGCAGCAATATGTAGAACAAAACGAAATAGCTGATTAACGTCGGATTGTTGGATATTCATACTCATCAGCGTATTGATAAAATCACAATTATATAAACAGTTATATCACGGAAACATCGTCTGATGCTAAGCACTCAAAATAATGCTTTCCCTGACAAATGTTGTTTTCGACAGTCACAGAGGCGCAAAGATGGTGATTTTTCAACAGGGAATAGAACGAAATGGTTTGATTCAGTTTGATGGGAATTTTAAGCTAAATAAAAGAATGAAAGCTGGACATGTAACGGCTAGCCGCGAGTGACCGACCGAAGGGAGGCAGACGAACAACTAGGCGTTTGTTTGAGTGCCTTGGAAGAGATCAAATAAGTGTAGGTAAATTGATTTTTGATTGTAAATAGTAGGAAGAGAGTCGATTACTAAATGCTTAGAAACTGTGTTCCTCTTTGTTACATCTTTGGGCAAATGAATTAAAAATAGTTTGACATGAATAAAATAGAACAGGTTTAAACGAAAAGAGTATGCATAAAAGTGGCTTTAATTCAAAGGGAATTAGAGTGAGATATATGTTGGAGTTTTTATCTAAAAGTCTTCTAATTATTTCAGAAAAGGTTCAGTGAATCCAACAAATGAGCGCTTCTTGTATCTTTAACGCGCTCGTCTATATTTTAACGATACCTATTTTATACCATATTTTTCAACAATGATATTTTCTATTTCGTTTTTTGACTAAACGCTTTCCAGATCAATGGTGGTTTTATATCTGATATATTGGGTATGAGGTGAAGATATGATAGTATAGCATTACTAAATGTATGGACTATCTATCACTAAGTCAGTAACAAGAACAATGATTTGTGGAATGATGGCGATTATTCGATGATCAATGCAGAGATTTTTTAACATCTGTCGTTTGCTTTAAAATCGATGGATCCAATGAGTTACTGTACTATATGAAGCAACATCTTATACACAACTAATAACTAATTCGTCATAAATTTCTGTCGTACTTGTACTCAACAATGGACAAGTTTTTATATATGACTGATACACAGTTTATTCATGCGAAAAATAGAGGCATTAGACGTGCTCATTAACAGTTTGCACTATTTGGGGCTTTCAGAACGTCGCCTTGGTGTTTTAATACATAACACATATCCCCTCTAGAGCAGATTGGCAGAACAGGTAAAACTAAGCAGGGTGAGAATTTAAGTCACTATTACGAGAACTTATTGACTACCCTATGTATGATTAAATTTTATGATTTGATTCCTTGTCAAGCTTCCAAATGTTTTTTTCTTCAGACACGTGGAAAACTCGCCCAGGTCTCCTTCGCAAAAGTGTTCATTTCGAAACCATTCCTGTTACTCTTCTAAATGTTTGTCATGATTTAGCCATTCGTTCAAATAACCCCAACACCTCTCTTCCAGCTATTGAATTACCCAATGGTCAATTTATTTCGGATTCATTTCGCATTGCCGAATGGTTGGATGAGACGTATAGTGAGCAACCATCACTACTCACTGGTGATAATCGACCGATTGCCGAGACGCATCCGGAACAGATCCAGATGAGTAAAAACTATGCTCGGATGATTGATTTATGCCTTGGCATATCGAAGCTCGGATGAGCTATCTGGTTCGATTTATTTTTTCCTGAACTCGATCAGTTGATGGTTGAAGGTAAGGTACAAGTCACGTTTATTTTCCATCGGATATTCGACTTGGTCTTCAAGGTTATCAAAAATTAATAGCATTGGACCGAAAAGAACTACTCCATCATGTTCAGATGAATATCTAACCGTTGGTTCAAATCTTACGTGAACAACCGAATGAATATTTCCGAGGAAAATACCTCGGACAAGTCGATTATATTCTCTTCGGTCGTTATGTGTATTGCTAAATGCTGAATCCAGAATAACAAAGCAAATTTGGAAATGAACAAGGAGAAGAATTATCAAAATTATTCGATGCACACGCATTGGAAATATTTCAAAACGCAAAATAAACGAGAATCATTGAGAGTTTTCAGTTGGATGAATGCTCATTGACTTCTTCTGTGTTCGATGATGAACAAAAATGAAATCTCTTCTCGACTGCTTAGCATATCAATCACGAATATAATCATCTCAAAAAGAAACGACACTTTCATATTCAAATGAAGAGAAACGATACTTGACGAGGAAATGCGAATTTCATTTGCGAACCTTCTTGTAAAACAATCAATATTTGTGATGAATATCAACAAAAACGGATTTTATAACAAAGTCTATTGATAATTGATTGCAAGAGAATCACACAAACGAGAATTGCTTCGTTAAAATGCTACAAATCATTGCGAAAGATCGGATTGCTTTCATGAAATACAAAACGTCTGCTTCAAGGTAAAGTCTTTCGCAATCGAATTCCTTCAGACAGTCTACACACGTCAAACGTTCTTTTCTCACGACAATCGACTGAAATATCCTTTCTGCGGTTTTTGCTTCACGTCAGAAAGATTCTTGGCAACATATTGTCGTGTTTGAGTACACATCTGACGCATGTTTGACGATAAGCATATTGTCTAATTTGAATAACTAGTTGAGTCTAATTGACTTTATGTTATTGCGAAAACTTTCTTCGTCAATATTTATTTAACATAGGTATGCGAAGAATGAAGAAACAAACCTTTGAAAAACGAAAAAAAACAGGCAATTTTCATAACTGAATATTTATTCTTAATCCAGTTGGATTGGAGAAATTGAATATTCAAAAATAAAAACAACAAGACATTTACTGGATTTTTCTCAAAAGAAAAGAAGATTTGTTCTTCTTCGAAATGCTCTATTTTTTCTATAACAAATAGTTCGGTTCTTCGAACGTCAGAAGACGTGATAGAGTTCGTATTTCTTTTCATCATTATCCTCCAAAAAGAGAAGAGAAAGAAAAGAAACGATATCTTTGTACAATCAAAACGCAAATAGAAAAAAAAAGAGCAAAAGCACAAATCAGAAAAAGAAGCAGTACCACCATGAAACATATTTCTATTTATTCTTTCTTATTTATATATTTCCCGCATCATGAATAAAACAACGCGCATACAGTGATACATTGAAGCAAGCCATTCATTATACATTTTTAAAAAAACGAAAAATAGATATATTTATATGTATATATATAGAGAGAGAGAGAGGGTATAGAGATACGCATGAATTGATAATTTCACCGAGAATGTTGGAAGGTAAGCGGGTTGTGTCTCAGATCTGTCCCTATGCCCATACGGAAATCCAAAATCAATCTGACCGACAGTCCATAAGTGAAATAAAACAAAATGAAAAAAAAAGAGCCAAGCAGATGAATTTGAAAGGAAATAAGCTTCGAAGAAAAAGATTTCAGCACTACGGAAAGAAAGAAAATCAAGCAAGGAGAAAGAGACGTCGATTTTTGGCTGCATGCGTATATGAGTATAGGTAGAAAGAGAGGATTTTTAAAAAAATAGAAATCGAGATTTTTCTTTTCACTTAACGACTTCCATATTCATTATCATAGGATGGCATTAACAGTTCACGCGCAAAGCCATCATTAATAAATCGCTTGAATTCTAAAAAAAGAACGAATCGAGTGGTTTCTTTAGTGTTTTGTTTACACTGTATGGTTTTACCTTCAAAATTCAGCTTTCCTCGTGATGATAATTGCGAAATCATATCATAAACTTTGTAATTCGACTCAGCTCGACCGACAACAAGAAGAAGATTTTCGATTTCTTGTTGATTTAAGTAACCATCGCTATCCGAATCCAATTTTTCGAACGTTTTTCGTAGTTGATAATCATTGTATTGACCTGTGATTATCGGAGCTAACAATTCACAGAATTGTTCAAATGTTAAACGACGAACATCTATTTCACACAGAAAAATCTTGAAAAAATCGAACGAAAAGAGGATTCATCATACGTGGTAATCGATCATTGTATCGATCAAATGTATCTTTGTTAATTTCGAGACGAAAATGTTTGTCTCTTTGAGAACCGTACGAGGATTGTTGACGACTTCGACGATCGCCACGTTCGAACCATTCGTACATAACTAAACACGATGACTTAGAAGGAGAAAACGAAGGTTTTTGTTGTTATGTTTTACCTTTAATCATTTCCCCATTAACACGTTTTGTGTACTGAGCGTATTTTTTCACGATATCGTCGCGAATTTTGTTGTTGATGACTTGCATGATCTTCCAATCTTGTGCTTGATGGGCTACGAGAGATAATAGACATTGAGATAGATGAAAGGAGAGAAAAATGCCTTTTGTTCTATTTATTACGTGATAAGGGCAGTTCGATAAGAGAAATCAGAAAGGAGAAGTGATTTTTCAGATAAGGGAACAAGTTTTTCTTCTTTCGTTTCTACTCTTCCGCAGATTTTTATTATTTTTTGGCTAATAAAACTATGAAGAGAAATATGTGAGATCCTCTTTTAAAAGACGCCTCTGTCTATTATAAAACCATTTTTCTTTTATGACTATAACACAATCCATCTAGCGCGCGTTTGACGATGGTTTAAAATGAAGGCCGTTTATGGCAGCTTAGAAGACAAGTTCATAATCTTGTTGGTGAACCTTGACGTTCGGTTAGGGAGACTTAGGTACATATATAAACTACACACCGAGGACATTATTGGGTGTCGTTGGAATAATCACAGGTGGATGGTGATACTCCATTTAATATTGTGTGTTCCGTTATACCCAAATGCTTGTTGTTACGACCAAACTATCGTCGATTGTGTCGATGATGAAGGAGAAGAAGAAGAGGAGAAGAAAGAAGAAGAAGAAGAAGAAAAAAACAGACTGTAGTCGTTGCTGCAACTCATGGCATCAGCTACACGCAGGCAGAACGGCAGCGACACGCAAGAAAAAAGAGAAAGGTAGGATGAATGTAATTGAAGACACAACGAGAAGGAGAAAGGAAAAAAGGTAAAAAATATGAATGGAATTCGATGCGTGTATCGATGGAAGCGATTCGAGTACGACGAATTTTCAATTCTTCCTTTTTTGCTCTTGTTTCTTTCCCTTTCCCTTGAATTACGATTGCATCACACAATATACACGAAGAGAGGATAAAAAATTCGAAGAGAACGAGAGAGAAGAAAATGCTTATTCAATATTTAGAATTTTTAAACAGGTAAACGTACTCTTTTCTCTCAAGTATGTTTGTATATTCATCATCGTGTCAGTGAATTGGATAATTTGTGTTATTCATGATTTTCTTTTTTTTCTCCGTTCTCTCGTTTTGTTTCACGAGAAGTTCGATGGGAAAAGATCCATTCAAGGAGAAAAGACGAAAAACCTTAAACATGCTCGTTTTATCGGACATAAATACACATTGACAGAAAGAAGAGAAGAGAAAAGAATCCAGACAGATCTAAAGAGAAAAAAAACGAGGTGAGATGGAATGACATGAAACCTTCAGCGTATTACTAGTCTGATTGCTTTTTCTCTCTTCACTCCATTACTTTTATGATGATTATTATCATTATCAAGAAAAAGAAAGCCAAGAGAGAGAGAGAGAGAGAAAATCGAATTCAATAACATAAGTATCTCTGCGCAAAGGTCAGTTTCATAAATGTAGGAATTCATAAAAAAAACCGAATGTGCCCTTTGATTGTTGAGCAAAGATTTATGTATAAAATCAAAGATTATTTTTATATCATTAATATCCAACTTACCACTCCTTTTTTATTAGCTGTAGTAAATCACCTCTAGTTTAGTTGTCGTCTTCGGGTTACTACTATTGACCACTACTACCAATAATATATACGACATTGTCTACACATACTTCAACTTATACGTATATAGAAGAGAAAAAAAGAAATCCTCTCTCTCTCTGCCCTTCTCCCTTCGCTCTCCTGTTATGCGCTGTCCAGTCAGTTCATATATGCATTTATATTCTCTTGTTCTTTTGTCTCGAGTTTGACTCGAGTCTGTTACGCCATCGGAAATGATTTCTGTAAACATGTCAATCGACATGAACCTGTTGTCGGACGGATCATAAAACCCGCTGGCAATTCGAAAAAGGCCAGGAGAAACTAAACATTTCAAAGTTTAATTAGTTGACAAAACAATAAAAAGAATTCAGTGCGACAAAGTATAAAAACACACAAACGATCAATGAACACAAATATCCCTCCATATCGAGAGACACTGTTTGCACCTCTCTTTCTCTCAATGAACTTTTCAACGTGATACCGAGGTGGAGAAAGAGAAGCCTTTATTTCGCGTTTTTTTACATATGCTAATAGGCACATAATTATCGATAAAGAACAGAAGAGAGTTGCCTATGATGCTAATTGATATGGTCAGACCACCTCCACATACCCCTATCAAGCCGAGACGAGTCTAATGTATTAACCTTTTTCTTGATGTATCATTTTGTATTCTTTATTTGAGTCTTTCTCTGTCTATGTTAAAAAACAGCGAATCTTTTCGTATTACCATATTGTTCATTCGAACGTTTACGCACTTGTAGGCGTCTCAATTCTGTCTCAACAACGGAATATGAAGGAGTAGTAATGCATATTTACTCTTCATTTTTTCTTCGTTATTCGATTCGAAAGACTAATGATCATGTGTAATGGCAAAATAAACAAGCATCACTCCCTTCAGACAAATCTCATCGCTAACCGCAAGACAATGATCTCCGGCTAATTGTTCTGTTCTTTTCGAAAGACAAAACACAATGTCTCCTTTAGATACTTGAATATCTATGAAAACATTCACATCAAGAGGAGTGTTGTCATAACTATGACGAGCTTTATATCCTGCAGATAAATATCGGCGAGACAAGAAAATAGGTCTAATCAAAGTTTTGTGAATATGGACAATTTTGAACATTTGACAGATCTTATTCATCTTATACAAAAGAAACCTTTTCTTTTTGTCTTGATCTATTTTTCAACGCAAAATTTTACTTAAATCAACGGTTAAATTGATTCATGACTGTTAGTCAACAGATCAATTTTTGTTTTCTTCCGATTATTTGCGCTGTAACTGATCGCCTCAAAGTAAAAGGCCTCAACTGATGAAAAACAAGTTTTTTCTACGCTTAAAACAATAACATCGTTAAAATGTTCTTCTTTTAACTCTCTTCTCCAATATTTTTCACGTTATAATTATTATTCTAACTATTCTTTCGCCTGTTTGCACAGTTGCTTGACTGCAACAAGTGCCTTGACATATCAATCACACTTCGCTACAACACGCCGAGATATACAGAGCGTTAATCATTAACATATACACACTCTGTTGCTTTTTTTCCACTATATCAACGGAAATAATTGATCAGAAACAAAGTTGACACACAAACACGATGATAGACGACACGATTTTCACTATTAATTATCATTGACTAGTTCGTCAACAATACGACGCTTAGTTTAAGACAGATTTCTTTCATATTAAAGAAAACAACGACAGATTATCAATAGAATAACGATGATTGTTATTGATGTGGTTGTCCTTGACTAAATATACATATCCACCTTACATAGAAGATCGATTAGCATTAATATCGATGTAAAATAGAAAAATGATTGATAAAAGAAACCGAAGAAAACCTTGACTAGCGATTAAATTTCATCATTATTGATCAAAGTTAGACAATAAAACAACTCGATATAGTTATTCATAGTCGAGCAAATGAACAACACCGTACGTTGAAGGTAATCAAAAAGTCATTGTGGATATGACGCGTCCATCATTGAAGCAATTCAATCTACATTCACATGATCTTAAACGACAACACAAAAACACCTCATCGGATGTTTTTTTGTTGTTGTACATAATCAAATTTAAGACGAAGACATGCAAAGAACAGAATATGCTTATGTTCTCTCGTACGAGAATGTTATTTATTCATGATAATTCTTTCTGTTTTTCTTCTACTTTGTCTTGTTATTTTTCTAATACTAACAGGTAAAATAATAAATGAGACGAAGAAAAGTTAAAATCGAAGACATAAGCGTCAGCTGTCAATTAAAATACGCCAAAAGAAAAGAAGAAGAAGAAGAGCGAATCCTTGAAATCGATACGAATATATCGACTGTTTAAAAGGTATTGATAATGATAATGATGGGTAGCAGATGCATGATCAAACCCGACTCGATCAATTTTCAAGGACAACTATTTTTACCTACGCATTCTTCTTCATTACTCAACAATTAAACACGTTCAATAGAAACAAATCACTACTGAAGGTTAAATTCGACGGGAATTAAGTTCTAAGAAAGAGAACGCGTGCTTATTATTCGTATTATTTCGTACACGATCTTAAACAAATAGTAACGATAAAATGATACTAATTTCTCTTGTTAAGACTCAGTTAGACGAAAGACTTACGTAGTTTTTCATAAGCTTCATTTCCATATAATGCGTGAAATAACATTTTTTCACCGCCGACGACAAATTCGGGAACTTGATACACTGAAACAGATGAATCATGTGCCCGGTAGGGATTCATCGTTGTTGTAGTGGCCATAAGATTTGTTTTTTTTCTTAGAAGTGCGTACGAATGAAATAGATAATCAAATGATTACTCTTCCTTTTTCTTTCTTTTTTGCCAGTAGGTGACTATATTCGTATGTCGATATATATATACACGAGAACGAGCGATGTTGTTGATGATTTCAGAATAAGAAGAGGAAAAAACAATGCATAATAATTTTTCTCTTTTCTCTCTAGTCGATGATGATGAGAACGTGAGGAAGAGAGCTTACACATATTTATACAGAGAAAAAGAGAGAGAGAGAGAGAGAAACGACTGCTGTTGCTTCTGCTGTTGTTCGTCCTATCATCATCGTCATATGTATGTTTTTTGGATGTAATCGATTTCTTCTCCTATTATTTTTCTTCGTCTTTGTATTATCGATTTTGAAAAAAACAAGAAAATAAGGTTTTTTCCTTTTTAACTCGGTCACAAATGGTTTTCACATTTGCTGACTAAAATATCAGCATTGGCTGTCATTAAAAATAGGAAGAAGAGAAAAAAACATGAAAAGCAAAGAAATTGAATAGAAAAGAAGAAGAAAAACAGCAAGAATGCTTTTCTTTTTTCGACACAAATTTTCTTTCATTCAGGTGACAATTACAAATGAAAAGAATGTCTCTGCACCACACATATTACATTTTCTCATCCGAACCAAGATAATTATCTTTTGACAATTCGCAGAATCCCAAACAACATCCTATCATCAAGTTGTTCTTTCGAACGTGTAAACATGACGAATAGTGCGAAATCGTTAAAGACGATTGACCGTGTCTAAAGCACGTTTTTCTTACCTAATGGCGTCGTCGGACTGATGTCTTGTGTAAGATCGTTTGTCGTCTTATCTTTGTCTAGCAAGAAAGAAAGAAGTTCGTGCAAACTACACACCTATGTATTAGAATTCTTGATTCACATAACTAATCCCGTTTGGTAAGGGTGACGATTGCTAAGACAATTGTAAATATGAAATCGAATCGAAATGAACAAGTCTTGTTGACCGAACGATCTGAATTGATCATTATCTTAATGAATGGCAAAGCTTTGTTGAAATGTATTTTCATATGAAACAAGGTTAAAACATTCTATTCGAAGATATGAATCGTTTTTGGAAAATTTCATTTCAAATGTCAAGTTGAATATTTCATTGAATGTGCCTGACGAAACTTTTGATAAAAGAAATCTAATTGCAATTGACAATGGACTCATTGATTGAATAATATCGAGAAAGAACACGCACAACGATAATTTTGACATATCAAAGAAATATTCTCATGATTAATAGGAATAATCAATATCATTTATCACAAAATCGAACGAATTTATTCAATTTAATGATTGGATATATGTGAGGGTAATATTAATGACTGAGCAATTCTTTTCGATTTCAATTTGAGATCAAAGTATGTATGGAGTCGAAGAGGTTTTGCATCAATGTGTTATTAAACATTGTCTATTCGTTGTTTCATACAAGCAGAAGTTTTCTCCCGAGAAAAAATAATTATCCATATGCGTGCCGACTTCGTTAGTTCGTAGTTAGACGAGTTTTATCAATAAAGATTAGAGAATAAATGTGTCACATCAAATGAATTCTTCAAGGTTTAATCGGATGTGATACGAGTTAGGAAAATGATAAGGATTATTCTGTTAATGAGTCTGCTGATATGGAAGAGTCTTATGGAAAGTTTGGTTCGATTAACTTTTGACTCGGGGGGATCGAGAGCGAAGGAAAGAAAAGTTAGGTATTACTAATGTTTTGCAGCTGAAATAATACGCAATCAATATCAGTTTCATACAGATAGAATTTCATATACAAATCGAACTTGGAGAACATTTTTCTTTTCATGTATTTTCCTTGTGCTGTATGAGATATAAAAGTTTAGAAATTATAATGATGAATGTCAAATAATCTGTGTGAATTTTCCAGAATGATATTTACAAAAAAGAACTTCGATCTGTTGAAAAATATTCTATTCACAAATGTTCATGAGAATATCAATAATTCCATATTCATTATTAATTCCGTTAATCTCAATTGAATGATTCTTATTAATATCACTAATTGAAAGCATATTTTCATCTATAAAAGGTTTTTATATCATTTGTAATCTACAATACATTTTTGTTTGTTAAAACCAGAAACAATCGCTTTACACAAATGAGAATCTTTTCTTATTTCTAATTCTTATTAGAATGAACATTACTGAGACCAAAAACGATTGACGAAATACTTGTTCATATAAGATTTATCAATGGACAAAAAAACTTATCGCTAAATTTTACTATTCGAGTTTGAATCGATTTGTCACTTGATGATCTCTCTTTCAAATAAATTCATTTAAATCAAAAAGATTAAAGATCGTTATGATTGTAACAGTTGATTTGGTTTTTCAAAATATCTTTCTCGATAAGTTCGAATTTCAATATCCGGCAGTCGATCATTTGTATAGAAATTGATTCATCATTTTTTCTTCTTCAACATCAAATGAACAAAATGGTTTCGATTTAAAGTATTCTTTATTTATGAAGATTCGTTTCTTATTGAAACCAAATGACACAATGTTTATGCTTAATATAGTTCTTCTTCCTAAAAACTCGATTTTTTTCTGTAAAATATTTGAAAAATAAGATTGATGTAAACAAAAAGTGGATCTGCGGATATGAAAAGAAATCCTTTAATTATTCTTATTGAAATAATCAATTGCATCTTTGATTGCTTTTTCACTCTGTTCACATACATGTGGAGAACCATCTGGTCGAATTATAAATCCATGAATTGTACCTGGATATTGAAGAAACGTACCAAGACTATTTGTTGTTAATTCTTTTCGAAAATGTTCTTCAACATCCGATGGAAATTTTTCATCTCTCTCTGCACATAGAAATAGAATTGGCCGTTTGATTTGTGTCGCTTCTTCTTTGACTAAAAATGTTGGATGTCCAACAATTGCTGCTTTAATTGTCGATGATAATTCCGGATGAGTAATCAAATAAACCACCACTTTCGCTCCATAACAAAATCCTATGATCTAAAAAGCAAAACAATCACGAAAGAAATACTTGATGACCTTACCTGAATAGACTGATAATGTCCTTTGATAGTTGAAATGAATTTATCTGCCAGGGCACATGCATCAATTGGCGGATGTCTTTTTAACCACTCAGGTAATCCAACTCGAAAATTAGGAACAGTTGGATCAACTGGATCTCCATTGAAATAATCGGGAATAAGGACCGTCATTCCAGTTTCCTCGGCAAAACGATCTGCTATTTTTCGTGTATTAGCAAATGCAAAACCGAAGATATCGGTAAATATAATAATTGCTGATTTACCATTTCCAGTTTTATACGTATTTATTTCGGCTATTTGTTCGACATGTCCTTCAGATATATGATTTTGTTTCGCACCTGGTTCAGAACAACACGAGCTGATCATTATAGTATGCGAAATCAAATGTTTTGATGACGAATTTCACAGGATTGAGAAGAGAAAAAAAGTGTGTTGATGTCTTATCATATTTCTTTTACTCACCAATAGATGTGAAATTGATCTAGATATCGCTTCATGTCAACAGACATTACAGTGCTTTTATCGGATTTAATCGTCTTAACTATATTTTCTTTAATGAAAAATTATCAATTAAAATCTCAATATACGTCAAAGTATGATAATCTCTATCAGTCCATGTGACATTCGTAGTCTTATTGGATTGCGTCACTCGCTGCAAGAATTTTTGTCGATATTCTCCAATATTAATCTGAATATTATCATCATTTGATTCCATTGTTAAATGACCTTTGATATTAATACGAATGTAAGGAATCTGTTCGATAATTGGCCACCATGAAGAGAGAAAAATGTCAATGAATGATTGGGATAAAATATGTTTGGAATAATCGAATTGAAAATATCTTAGACAAGGCATTATGGAATGCAATTCTGTAAAACAATCTTTATTGAAATTTCCATTGGAGAATTTCACTTTCAAATAACGAAGATTCGAAAGAGTAAACAATCGTTCATTAAAAACTGTTTGAATACCAAAACTATAATTTGAACCAAAGATTTTCACTTGTCGTACCTCTGGCATATGTCTCAAAAGGCAATAAATCAGTTGATTATCGAGACTACCAAGAAACAAAACATGAAGTTTTCTAATACTATGATTAATAGTAAATAATTGATCAGGTAATGATCTGGAGACTTGTAAGACAAGATGACACGTTTTTAATGTTGGAATCGTAAGAATTGATTCGAAAGATGTTTTGTCTAGTGCACAAAACAAAGACAAATGTTCTAAATGAGGAATTTGTTTGAGAAGTTGACAAATTGTGGACGTGTAACATTCACCTGCACGACATATATGAATTGATAGTTTTCGTAGTTGAAGTAATTGATGAGAATATGACTGAAGAAATTGAAGAGTAACAAGAATTCGAAGTCGAATAGAACATTCGAGATATCGTGTACGATGAAATATTGATTTAACGAATAAAGGGTCAGTTAAATCTGCTTGTTTCAATCGAAGATAGAATGAAAGATGATTTGACGAGAGAATTTTGTTGAAATAGGAATTGAGTGAGTGAAAAGCTTGGACTATGTAATGAACTTCGAAATAACGAAAAATCATCAACCAGATTTCAGTTGGAAGTTGCTCAGCACATGTTGTCATTATTTTTATTCTTACAAAATGAAATCATTGCGCAAGATATTCATACTCAATGACGGTTTTTATCGAAATCAATAGAGGGAGCTGCACGAAATTGCAACGTTTGGATGAGAAAGAGAAAAAAGAAGATTTTGTTTCTAATCGTTTGCGAAGATTTTCGAAATGAAGATCTTCGATTGAACTAAATTTCGTTTTATTTTCTTCTCAATGCCACACTGGCTGCCAGGAATATAACAAAAAACAAACGAGAACAACAATGGAGAAATGAAACAAACAACAGAATGTTCTTTGGTCTAATCGGAATCTTCTTTCGTTTTTTTCTTATGTTTTTTATGCTTTTTTTCACCTGTTGTCGAGTCGCCTGGTGTCTAAATTTGACAACAAAACACCAACGTCAAAATTTCGCGTTCGAATATGTAAACTTACTGAAATATCGGCAGCGGATGTTGTTTGCATTTGATCATCGTCATCTTCTTCGACTTTTTGTTTCTTTTCTTTCTTTTTCTTTTCCGATTTTGAGTCGTCCAAGACACTTGTCGAAGCAACTGATTCATCATGTGGACGCTGAAAAATGAGAAAAATTCATTGAGAAAAAGAAAACAGTTGAAAATGAATTTACTTTTGCACTTGCTGGAGTTGCACTAACATCATAGAGCATATCACGCCAATTCTTCGGTGTTTGTTCAGTCGGTTTACCGAATTTACCGAGAATACCTTCTTTAATCATTAATTTCTTTTTCGAAGCCTAAAACGAATTTTTTCTTCTCGAATTCTATTCGGCCAAATGTCACTTACAACTGGTCCATAACCCCATTTTTTCGGATAAGTATCCCGTTCCATAACAACACGTTTAATTTTCGCAGCAATACCATGATCACACGTTGCCATCGTTGCCGTTGTCATTAGAGCAATACCCAAAGCAACAGCTTCACCTTTGGTTGTCACAATCACAATCTGCTCATTCAATTCAATGCCATCTTCATATCGAAGGATACCTGGTAATAAGATTTTCGCACCATAACAAACAGCATTCACCTACAAAAAAGCTCATCATGACGAACATAGAAAACAGTATTTCAAAATTCTTACAGCACTGTCTTTGATAATAATACGTTTATGCGATACGAGTAAGGCTTCTAACGGTTTAACAACACGACGAAGATAGTTTTCATCTTTATTATGCATATAAGCATATGTTGCATCAATCACATCATGCATTGTCACCATGCCTTCCTAAAAATGATCAATCCTAGATCGATTTGTCTTAACTTGTGTTTGATTTCTTACCGCTTCAGATTGAATACCTGATCGAACACGACGAAGTTCTTGCATAATACCTCCGACACCGATTAAGAGACCCATATGAACACATAATGTTCGAATATACGTTCCTGCCTCACAACTAACCCAAAAGATACCTAAAGAAATTTGCTGTAAAATTTCAAAGTATTCAAAAATTGTTCTCACCAATATTTCGTCGTTGATCGAATTCTAATAATTTACTTTCGTAAATTGTACGAATACGTAATTGTCGTTTAACTGCGGCAATTACAGGTGGTTTTTGAAATACAGCACCAGTTAAAGATTCAAGTGTCTGAAAAGCAATGAATTTTAAAAGAAAAACCTTTATTGATCGTCTCTTTACTTACACGTTCGACTTTTTTCACATCATCGATGGGTGAATGAAAACGAACAACACCGATATATTCTTTACCAGCAGATTGTTGAGATTTAACAAGACGTGTAGCACGTTCAATACAAACAATTAAACAACCCGATACTTTCGGATCTAATGTGCCTGAATGACCCGTCTTCGAGACTGGCAAAGCTTTGCAAAAAATACGCTTTATCCACGCAACGACTTCGTGAGACGACGGATTCACTGGTTTATCCAAATTGATAAATCCTGATCTACAAAAAAAAGGAAAGACACATGAATGGCGAAGTTGAGGGTGAGAAACAAAGATTTCTCGTACTTAACATATTCATCGATTGGTCGTTGTAACGGCGAACAACCAGCAGCAATAGCTGAAAAAGAAGAGCATGTGATTAGTGAATAAGTGAAGAGAAAAAAAACATTCGTACGTGTGTAATGGTTCGAACGAATATTCAAACGATCGAAATTCTAAATAGAAAACATTTTCAACAAAACTTTGTTTGTTTTCTGATGCGAAATACTTTGAGAAGAAGTGGCCAATCGGATGTGTTTAATTTCCCTGCTGCTGCCGATGATGGTTCCAGAAAGAATTTACCTTGATGCTGAATATCCTAATAACAATAATCAACGAGAAATTCGATAAGAGCTGTTAATCGAGAAGACTTACAGCAATAGATTTGCTTGCCATGAACAAAGCGGTAGAATGATTTAACTAAAGCGAAAGAAAAAAAAAGAATTCTGGTTAAGTTTACTGTACAGTTCTTGCGAAAATGAACTTATTGGATGTGAAGAACGAACAATGGGAATCTTATCAGTATGGTTAAGTATTGACGAATGAAGTTTAGAAATGAAATATTTGGAGGAAGAATTTAAAATTGGTTTGCAAACGAGAATTTTCTTTTTAAATATGAAAAAAGTGAAAAAATCAAGTCAAACTCTTAATTTCATCTGTAAAACATATTTTCATGAATGAAGACACGTTTTCGAACGACATCTATGTTGACAATATATTATTTTTCATATAACAATTTCCTTCCGACTTTTTTTCGATCCACACATGATATGATAAGACCGATGTCCCAACAAATATATACTTTCTTTTCTGAATCTCGTCTAAATTAACAGTTAAACTATAGATAAACAGAAGATTTCTGTGTACACATAACTTTTCCATCGCACTTCTGATATTTCCGGAAGTCACATTTCCGTATCAATGTCAATGTAATCCGAACAAATCTACTAATCTTCCCATCAAACAGTTTAATTTCGGTGTATCAAATCCTTTCATGTAAGTTTACTCGGAATATTTTTTTCTCAGATTGGAATCACCGAACCGGGAATTTCTCTAATTCGAACGTTTTCTTTGTTTTTTTTAATCCGTGACCCGTCATTAAAAACTTCCCTTTCAACAAGCTCGTGTTCGCACTTTAAAAGAGAAACAAAAATAAACTCAGGTTAATCTATATTTATCAATCAATTGAGAAATTTCATTGAATCGCAGTTGTATTTTCTTTCATATTTCAATCTTGAATTCGAATTGACGTAAATAGATTTGATCTATTTTTTGAACATTTTGCTTTCAGTTGTTGATACTAATTGGTCAATGAGATCTTTTTCAATGGAATTAATATGAGAGATTTTGTTCGAGAAGAAAAAGGATTCCTAATGAATTAAATAAACAGTGTTGAAGAATAAAAATGAGACTTTCGCTCTTCTGTTCTCTTCATCCGACTTGATTAAAGTCTTTTTATCATCACCATAGCATCGTTCTGCGTCAAAATGAGAAATTTTTTTCTTATCTTTCGTGATATTAAAGAAAAGCAGCTTAACAACACGTTCATTTCTATGATAGATAATTAATAGGTAGACCGAGAGAAAGAGAGAGAGAGAAGTTAGCTTAAAAAAAGGTAACTGTGTAAGATGAAACCTCTTCGCCTTCTTGTCTTAATAGAAAATATCACGAACAGAAGAGTGAAGAGAGAGAAAAATGTTTTTAATGATTAAGTAGGAAAAATTAAAATCTGTTAAGACTTTATCCAAGGTCAGTAGTGACGTTCGTTTGTGATGGTAACCGGCGGAAAAAAAGTTTATATCACGTTAATGCTAAATTACACACAAATGGTTGTGTGGTTGAAACTCATTTTTATTAATAAAAACAGCAATGCAGATTAAAAAAGAAAACAAAAATAGAAGATTGTATCACGACAATGATTTTTTTGTTGCTGTTGATGGCGTTGCGGATAAGAACTGACCTGTTGTTAATGTAAATAACTTTGTCCAAGCTAATTCGTGTTTGATCGTCCATTCTTTGCTGTTTTGATACATTAGACTTTTCAAACTTTCGAGAAATGATTCACAAATAACCTGAAAGAAAATACAACACAAACTTATATACGTCATTTCCGAGAAAATCCTATTTTCAGCTTACGTCAACATGATTTTGAGTTATTTTATACTCAGCATGTGATTCAGCGACACGACGAAACGATTCATTCATCAGATTATTATTATTGTTATTTGTGGGAGTTGTTCGCGTTACCATTGTCATAATTACTTGATCAACTTTCTCTAAAACTTTATACCCATGTTGACAATAAACTTGTTTAGCCAATGCATCTCGATTAATACTTGAATCATTTTCACTAAATGTTAAATTATTACTTTGATCAAGATAAGCATTGTACCAATAATTGATCAATGTCGAACTTTTCTTCAATGCTCTACGAAACAAACAAAGAATTGCAAATATTTCCGAACAATGAATATTCTTCACCTTTCCATAATATCATCGCCAAGTTTTTTCATATTATTCTGTTTAACAATAACCCAAACTTCTTTCAATTTGATTTTCTCATCGGCATTAAATATCGATTCATTATTTACTTCTCCATCTTCGGCTGGATTGATCGCAGTTGGTGGTCCAATGGATGGTGCACATCCCATAGTTTTTGTTTGGTCGATATCAAACAGCTATGTTATATAAAAACTTCTCAACAGTTAACATTTAGACAAGAAAGAAAAAACAGAGTAGAATCTTCTCCAACTCTCTCTCTCTCTCGTTGTCTCTCTTTCTTTTCCTTCTCTTTGCATTATATTTTTTTCCTTAACAATATCTAATTGAGAAACGAATGCATAATGATGTTCTTCATCTTTCTTTTTTTCCCCCTGTTACAGAAGTCATCCTTTACTATTCTCTTTTCCTCTCTTCAACTTTTTTTTTCTCGAGATGTTTCTTGTCTTTATTTAACAAATGAAAGAGACCTTAGAAATAATCTTCTATAATATTCTCATGACAAAACTGATTCAATAATCTTTTTGTTTTGGAAAAAAAACGTCAAAGAATCTTCGATACGAAATGAATATATCTGTAAAATCGTGTATATCCAGCAACAATGTAAGCTATTTATTTTCATCTTGTCTTCAACTTTCAAGTTTGACACTACTGATTTACAAAAACGAGCGCCATACTTTTGAAAAGAAAATGTTAGTTTATATTCGAACTAGTACTACAGAATAAAAAGTCAATGGCACCAATGAAAAAATCCCAAAAGAAGAAGAAGAAGAAAAATGTTAATGCAAAGTTAACGACAAGTCCATCAGTGATTACAGAAGATCAAAAAGAATATTATACAGAGAAAATTAATCTTTTAGAATCACGTTTAACCAAGTATGTTTAACATTTAATTTCCTTCGCCGAGATTTGTATAACCAGCTTGTATTAATTCTTTGCGTAAATCATCATATACAGTAGCATCCTCAATAGTGCTTGGAATTCGAAATGATTTGCCGTTGAGTAGAGAATTTAATGTATTTCGTGCGATTTTTCCTGAGCGAGTTTTTGGCAAACGTTTCACTGCAACAAACTTTTTGAATGCAGCCACAGGACCAATTTCTTGTCGAACAGCAGCTACGATTGCTTTTTCAAGTTGCGTTGGACTTGAAAATGGAAATTATTCATTAAACAATAGATGAAATTCGATTTTCGACTTACTCAGTTTTCTCTTCCGCTTTGTTTAAAACAACAAAAGCAAATGGTTGTTGACCTTTGACTTCATCTTTTAATCCAATAACTGCACATTCAGAAACTTTTCCACTTTCGACAATAGCTTGTTCAATATGTCCACCTGATAGACGATGACCTGCCACATTTAAAACATCATCAGCACGAGATGATGTTTCAATAAACCCATCGGGTGTTCTTATTCCAACATCCATTGTATCATAATAGCCCGGATAACGGCTGAAATAAGTGTCATGAAAGAGATCATCGTTTTTCCATAACGTTGTGAAACAACCGGGAGGTAATGGAAGTTTAATGACAATGCGACCTAATTCGTCATTTGAACATTCATCTTCTTCGACAGACGCTGCATCCGAAGAAAATAAATGAAGATTGTAGCCAGGACATGGACGCCCAGCACAACCTGGTGGACCAAGATCCTAAAGCAAGAAGCAATTAAAAAAAGAATTTGCTTGAATTTGTCCTACTGGATGTTTATCGAGGCCAAGACAAACTGCTGTAACAGGTGCACCTGTTTCTGTTTGCCAATAATGATCAACGACTGGTCTATGACCAAAAACCTCGCGTGCCCATAATAAAGTATCACGATCACAATGTTCACCTGCGACAAACAAACTTCGAAGATGTCTCATCGGATATTTAGTTGAAAGCGTATTGTCTGGATCATTTTGACGAATGATTCGTAATGCTGTTGGCGACCAAAATGAGCCGACAGCTTTATGTTCATCAATGACACGAAAGAATGCTGAAGCATCCGGTGTACCGACTGGTTTGCCTTCATATATGACCGTTGTTGATCCGTTTAATAACGGACCATAACATCCGTAGGAATGACCCACAACCTTTATCATGTCACAGGGATTAAATCAGTTTTTCTCAAAAACTAATTTCATACCCATCCAAGATCAGCAGCTGACCACCAAACTTCTCCGGGATGAACATTGTATAGATATTTCATTGTCCATTGTAACATAACAGCATAACCACCCGTCGGACGAACAATTGCTTTGGGAGTACCAGTTGTACCTGGAGAGAGATAGGAAAAAAAGCGTTGTTTTATCTATGAAACGATTGACAAATATCTATACCTGATGTATAGAGTAAATAAAGTGGGTGGTTTGCTTCTACGGGTTGACAATCTTGAATATCACGTGCACTCGCTATTGCATCATTCCAATCCTGATCTCGTCCCGAAATTAAATTTGCGTTCTTCTCTTCTGGTCGATTATATATGATACACTTGATTGAATCATTATTGAGATCACATTTTTTGATTGCATCATCAACAATCTGTTTATAGTTAAGCACACGTTGAGGTTCGAAACCCGCATTGACTAAACGAATAAACATCAAACAATTCTTCCTTCGTGAATTTTCTTTCAGTTTTACCTGAAATTAAAACCTTCGGTTGAGAATGTTTGATTCGAACAGCTAATTCGCTTGAACTGAATCCTCCGAAGACCACTGTATGTATAGCACCAATACGAGCACAAGCTAACATCGCAGTAATTGCTTGTGGAATCATTGGCATGTAGATTAATACCACATCGCCTTTCTTCACTCCATATTTTTTACTCAAAACATTTGCCAATGTTTTCACTTCTTGTAAAAGTTGTTTATATGTTACCCGAGTTACTTTCTTTGTCATTGCCGAGTCATGTATAATAGCAGCTTGATCGCCATGCTTTGGAATTTGTCGATCCAGACAATTGTAAGTCATGTTTAACTGTCCACCATCGAACCAGTGTGGTCGAATTAAGTTATCTTTATTATAAACAGATTTCCATTTTTTAAACCAGAAAACTTTATGTGCATGTTCGCTCCAAAATCTTTCAGGATGTTCAATACTTGACCTATAGACACTCGCGTAGGTTGAACTACGACGAACCAATGTTCGATACATGTGATAATCTTGAAAGGAAAAAAGAAAAGTTTGTTTTTTGTTTAGATATGAAAAACGAGGTGATGAATTGGAATTGATGTGCCGATCGTATGGTGATCAATTCGAAATTTTATTAAAAGATAAACGTGATATATCATCGTATTTAAAAAAGCAATTAGAATTACGAAATGGACAAGTTTTTGATCTCAACGATCGATTGGTTGGTTTACAAAAGGCAAAAGATCAAGAAAAAGAATTGTACGAAAAGAATTTTCAAGACTTAAAGGAAAAATCTCAAAAAGAAATCGACAAACTCGAAAACGAAAATTTTCTACTCAGTAATACTCAATCACATATTCATCTTCCGATCATTTCAAGTAATTTCATCAATTTAGAAACACGTCTAATTTCCGTAGAAGAATTCAAAACTCAACGTCAAACAATGGAAACGACAATCGAAGAATTAAAAAGACAAATTCAACAAAAAGAAGATGCATATCGATCTGCTCTCGATCAAATGGAAATCGCTTTAATAACTTTCAAAAATAGGTTCGTTCATCTCGATTCTTCTTTCTTCCAAATTCTTTTTCTTCAGATTAAAAAAAGAAGCGATTCAATATCTAAATGATTTAGCGATTGAATTTCGTCGAACAACGAAAAATCAAATCTCTCAAACGATTCAACGAGCAATTCGCGAGAATTTCTATTTAAATAATCAAATCACTCACCTCACAACTCAACTTGAAAAATCCATTGAAATGAATAAAAAATCTACGGAAAAGAACCAACATTTAACACGAACCGTCTCTATTCTACAAGACGTAGAACTACAAACAACGAATAAAATTTTCGCGACGGAAAATGTAAATCAAAATCATATGACACGCGTTTAGAAATATGAATTAAGAATTTGTAGATTATTCGAATGTTATGTCAACAATTAAAGGAGCGTAAAGAACGGAAAATGTCAGCAGACAAAGTTATTGTGGCAAAAGAAGACAAATCGTATTGAATGAAAGACGACAGGTTCTTATCAGATGTGTTACTTTATCTAAATTTAGAACAGAAATCGTGTCAGAAGAAGAAACCTCGATGGAAAAACAAGAAGATTCGACAGAATTGAAGAATTTAAAAGAAGAAAACAATTTACTCAGAAATATTATCGATCGAGCTGCAAAAATCATCTCGGACGTTGTTCAGGTAGAGATGAAAAGAAGTTGCCCGTTTATAAGTCGAGCCTCTTTAACAAAAATGCGTAATAAACAGTCTGTCGTACTTATAAAGTACATGCCTTAGTTTTTGGTACACGAGAAAGGTTATCGAAAAGATAAAAACTGACCAATGGGCGAAAAGAAGAAAGAAAACACGAAAACAGTGATAGACACCTTGACTGACTAAATAGGACATATCGTCGGTTCTCTTTAATGATCGAATCATAAGATATTCGTTTTTTATATAAAGCGACACACGAAATATTTCTATTGGATATCGAAAAACGAACAGTTTTTTCAATTCTTTACTTACTTATCGATCAGAATTATGAAGAGAAATGTTTCTCCTTTTATACGATCGTATCAATGGAGCATAACGACATTTAAATCTATATTTAGTCTGATGAAACTTCAGACTTGTTACTCAAAACTACGAAACGATCTGAAATGCTTGAAGAACTTCTATCAATTCTTCTAACTTCACATCATTTGGGTCGAACGGAATTATTATTTGAAGAGAAATCCAAAGGAATCTACCCGGCAACCCGTTTGAATCTTCATCGAATGTAAAGATTTTCCAAAATCTTCTTAATTTTCATCAATTTTCCTTTTAGTCGTCCGAACATTCATTATCATCTCGGCGATTTAGGACTCGTTCCTTCTCACTAACTATTGTCATTTTTCCTTTGAATAAAAACTAAAACGCGCACTTTGTTCATCACTATGTCATTCCTAATCAAACGACATTCTTGGTCTACTAATACAAATATTCACACAGAAACGAGCGTTTTCAGTGATTCAACAAGTTTATCCGAATACAGTCCATCGGAGCTCAGCACGAATTATTCGAAACCAATTCGCCATTTGTTTCTTGTTCGTCATGGACAATATCAACGCTATCGAACAGAAGTCGATGGTCATTTAACAGACAAAGGACAGGAACAAGCGTGGTATGCAGCGAATTTTCTCGTCTCTCAATTACCGGAAAATGTTCTTTTTGATTCGTTAACACATTCAGATAGTAAAATGTGTTGAATTCAATTGAGATCAAATGAAAGAATTCGTTGTATTCTAGTGATACGAACACGAGAAACTGCGACAATCATTTATAAACAATTGAAATTAATGAATAAAATCGATATCGAATACTTTTCCATTGATACTGATTTTCGCGAACATAATTTACTTCTTGGATTTCTTATTGAAGGTATTTTACTTCTGATTTTCTCGAAATATGATGAAAATTTCTTGTAGGAAACTGGCGTGCACTAAAACGTGATTATTTTCATTTAAAAAACAGTCAAACAACATTTGAAATCGTCGTTGCACATCGAAACATCATTGGTCATTGTATTGAACTATTAACAATGATTCAACCTGATAAATCTATTTCATTCAACGCATCAGTTACAGTTAAAATTACTTAATCGTATTTTTCTCTTGTTCATTCGACTTTTTTAGCATATCATCGTTGATGAAAAGGGTCCAACTGTTGATTATGCGTACAAACATGATTTTATTCCTGAAGAATTCTTAACTATGTGGGAAATTTACCTTCCAATCACCAAATCTCATCATCGAGAACGGCAATACGTCCATTCGAACGTCGATGCCGTTCAAGGTCGAGAGAGAAGAGGTTGTTGTATACGTTTAGTTATCTCATGTCTTCGTTAAGTTTTATTGAAATTATAAACGAAAGATTTGTTTAACATTATCAAAAACATCGTTTAAGGAATCTTTATTATGCATAAAATATCCTTGTAATTGCGCTGCACTTATTGGTTGTGAATAATTTGCAGTTAAATCTTCGATTTGTTTTGCAAATCGATTGATTTCTTCGCTGGTGGATTGAGGATAGAAACGAATTAGCATCTGTTCGACTTGATAGGGTGTTAATGGGCCGATATATTGTTTGAAATCAACTCGACCGGGACGTATCAATGCAGGATCGAGACTAAATTCATTCTTTCAGATAATTTCATGAAAAAATCAATCGAAAATGTGTTACCGTTCGATGTAGTTTGTTGTCATGAAGATAATTCGACCTTCAGTTGATATAACACCATCGAGAGCATTTAATAATCCACTTAGAGTTAATGGTTTCATACCTTGATATCGAATCGCATCTGTTCAACGAAAAGAAATCAAATGACAAAATGAAAAAAATCAAAGAAATGTTAACCTTCTTTTTCGTAATGTCTTCCAACTGTTGCAGCATCGATATCTTCTAGTAAAATAATACTTTCTTCAGGAACATTACTTAACAATTGTTGAAGTCGATCATCGGTCATTGTGCCTTGACTCAAATTAAGTGTGCTGATACTTAAATCAAAATGTCCTGAAGAAAACAAAATGAAAAAGTTCGATGAAGAACAATTTAACCTGCGAGTGCCATGATAGCGGAAGTTTTTCCTGAGCCTGGTGGTCCGTAGAGAAGATAACCACGTCGATAAGGAATTCCTCGATCGATATACCAATATGGATTGGAAAGGAAGTGTTCAACATCGTTTATTAAACTTTGAAGGATTCCCTTGTCAAGAATAACAGAATTCAATGGTCTTTTTCGTCTTGGATGACCAAATAAACGCCATTCATTAACTAAATTGATCTTGGTCAATAGGAAAACAAACTAAAAGTCAAGTTGACTCACTTGTTGGACTATAAACAAGCGTTTTGCCTTCGTTTGCTAACAGAGCAGCATCACGTGCTTTTTCTAACATATCGATATAAATTTGTCGATCTTGACCAAATGCAGTTAACTGTACGGACTCAAATGGTACACCAGAATTGATCATTTGTTCGCGTGTACGTTCAACTTTAATAAATTTTCCTTTATAACGAAAGTAATGCGTACCAACCGACGGAACAAATGAATACGACGCTTGAATACGTGATGATGGATCATCGTTTTTAATTAATGTCGTTCGAGCACTCAAATGACGACTAGAATCACGTAATTGATGAGATATCCATTGTAATAACCATGAATAACTGATATCATTGTTCGGTACTTCGAGTGTGATCATATATTGACGACGAAAAAAGATTAATCCATATTGGGATGAACGACGAAGAACAGCCAGAGCAGTACCAATACCAATTAGACCAGCACCAGCACCAAAATATGGATTTGAGGAAAGAGATGATAGTAAATCTGACAACATCACTGTTTTGGAACAATTTCATCAGCCGGATTACATAAAATGAATGAAGACATTTTATTGGATGAAAAATTGACCAATCGAATAGAAGAGAAAATCAAAAGCAAACCTCGTTTTATTATTTTTATAAACTCGAATATAAAATATACAACATATGAGAAGAATTTCTGTTATTTCTTTTTGAATGGATTGAAGCGTGAGAAAAAACTATGCAACCGTGATCTGGAAAAGAAATTTGAAGAGTATTAATGTTGAAGCAGTTTTATCTCTTATTTACTTGAGAGTCTTTTTCTCTGGGACATTTCTCGATTGATTTCGGTTCCTGGTGTTCGCGGATTGTATTGAGGTATTTGGAGCTGAAAAATATAACAAATAATTGCAAAAAAAATGCAAAATGATGTTACTTCTTCGTTCCTGTTCGACATGATTTGGTTTCGGAATAGCTGAAAAGAAAAGATTGTGAAAGTTTATCAAAGAACTTCACTTTTGATAAATACCGGGAGTTGAAACTGAACGCGTTAACGTTAAAGGAGGTTGACTTTCAAACATATTGAATGGATTGCATAAACAAGTAGCCTTAAACAGACATGACCCTCCAAAAATGAGTAAATGAGAGAAAGAGAAATCGTACCTCGTGGTCATTGAGATTATTAATTAAACAATTTCGTTGACAATATTGACAAATAACTGTTGTAACATCTCTTTCATTTTGAATTTGTCTAGAAATTGGAATGAAATAAACAATGTAAAGCCAAATTCGATACATACAGTCTGATACTTTCAATTCGATTTTGATCACGTCGAACACATTCAGCCTAAAGGATAGGGTGAATCATTTTATGAGATAATTCTTAATTAGTACTTGATGCTGTGAATATTCCGATGCGGGAAATAGTTTGTTACATATTTCACAGGGAAGTTCTTCCGTCCTACGAAGATTTTGATACCAACTAGAATTTGAATTACGGAAAAAGATTATACCGAAGATTTTCGATTGGATGAATCGGAACTACACGTGCAGATTTCATTCTCTTGTCAAATGTATCTAAAGAATAATATTTGGTAATTTTTCATAAAGTTAATATTGACTTACTGATCGAAATTTCACTCGTATATCGTAATGGTGGGCGATCATCAGGTCGATCGAATGACGACAAACGAGAACTATCGTATCCATAATGTTTATACATTCCTACAAACGAAATCCAATAGGTTTTAATATTCGAAATGAACTCTCACTTGAGTTTGAACGTGACTTGTTAGATGAATATCTATTTGTTCGTTGATTTTTGGGATTTTGCAAACAATTGTTCTAAATAGACGCAAAAGTACAACTGAATTGTTAAAATTCATATGAGACACAATACTTCATGAATATTTATTTGACCGGTCGAAAACTGTTGATGACAGAAATTGCAAAGATCGAATTCGTTATCGTCTGATTCATATCTACATGAACAAAAGAGATGCATTTATTTTTTATGGTAGAAACTAACTCGGACGACGACAAAGAGTATCGATGAGAATTTGCTTCCACTGAGTTACCTCGTCCAAAGTCACCCTGTAATTCATAATTGGATCTGTATAAACTTGTCTGACGTCCATCGAAGCTTAAATTCCTTTCAAAATAGAGCAAAACTCAACCAATCCGAAGATTTTTTAGTTGTTTCGACTTACATCATACTTGATGATCTTTCAGTCTGTTGAATCTCTAATAATTGTGTGTGTATAGATTTGAAATCTGGTCGATCGTCTGCTCTCTCCTTCCAACATTCGAGCATTAACGCCCAAATATCCGCATCACATTTTGGTGGTTTCGGTAATAATTCTCCTTGTCGTTTTCGTTGAGCAACTTCATTATCATCAAATATTGAGTCGTACGGATAATTTTTTTCCGATGAATACGCTTCCCACATTAAAACAGCGAATGAATAAACATCCGATGCTTGTGAATATCCAAACAGTCCACCACTGGCAATGATTTCTGGTGCTGCATAACGTATCGGATAGATAATTTCAGTCATTGACGAGTTTGACAGATCTTGTGTTAATCCAAAGTCGATTAATTTAACTAAATTTCCTTTCGGATCTGTCGGATGAGATCTAACGACTAAAACATTTCGACAAGCTAAATCACCATGAATGATCTGATGATCGGAAAGATAAATCATTGCACAACATATTTGAATAAATATTTCCAGTAGTACGCGCGAACTTGGAATAAAAACTCGTCCATTCAAAAGTCGCCAAAGATCTCCATCTTCAGCATATTCTTGTAAAAGTAGAACAGATTCTCTAAATCGTTCTCGTTCAGGATTTGGTGTAATTGTTCCATGAGTTTTGATAATATTTGGATGATCAAGTGAAATATAACGAATAATTTCCACCGCTGCACCCTCACCTGTCATTTCCAAGACAACGATCGGTGAATTTCGACCATTTAACCATCGCGCTCGATAAAAAATTTTCCCGGATGCTCCCATTAATTTCTCTCCTATTTCGATATCAACATCTTCTTTGTATTGACTTTGACTTCGTAATGTGTTTAGCGATATTCGATATAAATCCATGTTCGAATTCTAATGCAAAACAGTTCCTATTCACTCGTACTCATTTGTCACTTAATTCGTTTCTTCCGTACGAAAAGTGTTGTCGAACTGACACGGGACACGTTTTAATTATTGTTGACTATAAAACTTTCATAGTTTTACTCACTTTGTGGATGTTCGTCAAAAGAAAAAAAAGACTTTTTTCCAACAAAAAATCACCATAATAAACAAAAACGTCATGTAAAATGTGTATATTTACTTTTCTCTTCCTGATTCTTTCTTTTACTGTTTCTTATCAACTTCGAATCTCAGGTTAAATGCTTACGGCCATACCACGTTGAATACACCAGTTCTCGTCCGATCACTGAAGTTAAGCAACGTCGGGCTCGGTTAGTACTTGGATGGGTGACCGCCTGGGAATACCGAGTGTCGTAAGCTTTTTTTTCTCTCTCCCTCTCTCTCTTCAATCATTCGAACACTTTAAATTTCACTACAAATAATTCGTGTTTTATTTCATCCTTTAATTTGTCTTCTTCTTTTTTCTTGCCAAAAACAAATGCAATAGACACAAATAAACAAACATATACACACTTATATATGTATATATATATATATGCATATACTGTTCAAAACAAACGAAAACAAAAAAAAATGAACGCGGGTGGTCTTGTGTTTTTTCCTTCAAATAATAGATCATAATTAAGTTACGAACGGTAACAATAGAGCGCACATCACACACGCACACCACAGCAAGAATAAGTCAAACAAACATGTGTCGGCTTAGGGATTTGCCTAACATCGTTTGCGTGATATTGAAACAAATAACAGAAAAGAAAAGAAAAGAAAAGAGAAAATCTTTCAAGCCCATACGTATAGATACAATGCTGATAAACAAATGTCAAAACAAAAGAAAAACCTTGTAATAGAAGAAGAAGACCAAGACGAAGAAACATACAAAGTTTGATGTTACTGTTCAACATAAAATGACAAGAACAACGAAAAATACCTGAGCAAATCGTATATATATATGTGTGTGTATGGATTTTCTTTCGTACAAGATAGAAACAAAAATAAAATGGCACACATCATTTCCACTTAGTGGTGATCATCAATGGTCAATTTGACATCATCAATGTCAATATCTTCATCTTCATCAATATCTTCTCGCTCCGTTGATGTTGATGGTGGAGTGGAAGTTAGAGGATTCGTTTCTGTATTCATTTCTTCCTCATCAATCACTTCCTGTTTGATCCGATATTCATCAGTGATCTCGTCTTCTTGTTCATCATCATCTTCATCTTGTTCAGCTTGTGCTTTTTGATTTAATGTATCGACAATATCATCTAAGCAAGCCTTTTTATGTGGACTGGACTTTTTCGGTAATGATCCGTCGACGTCCGACGTGCAGATTTGCTGTTCAGCTGCTAATAAACGGCGTTTTCGATCGAAATACTTCGGCTGTTCAATTGTTGTTTCATGTGCGATAAGTGATGATGTACTCTGAGATGAGACATTCGAATCCATATCATCTGAATCTCCGACGAGACATTCATGTGGAGCATTTGGATCATTGGATAAAAATTTACTTCGATTACTACTTGTACTGGCATTTGATGATATTTGATTACTTTCGAGTTTAGATAAACGTTCGCGAAGCGATTCGTTTTCACGCTTGAAGAAAAAGAATAACATTAAGATGAAATCTCAAATTCTATTCAAATATTTACTCGTAGAAGATTTAGTTCATTGTCACCGCTAGTTGATATTGATCGTGATGATTGAGTATATGTATGTAATTGTAATTGAGAGATATAAGTGATTAATTGTTGACGAGCGCGAGGAGATGACACCGTTGATTCAACTATTTGTCGAATACCATCAGTTGAAAAATCTATTTATAGATAACAATAATCAAGAAAAGATACAGAAGAAGTCTAATTTTTTTACCATTGAAGTTTGTAATCGATGGATTAGCGAGTTCATTTGGTGGAGGAGAATTTGACTGAACTACACGTAATGGTGAAGGCCGTGGGCAACTAAATAAAACAAAAAAACAACATCAGGAAAATAAATATTAGAAAAATTAACAAACCTGTTCGACGTCTCAACAGGTAATGCTAATGGCAACGGTGGGGGAACTAATGATGGGCGTGGTAAACCTGTTCCAAATGAATAATCTCCGTAGGGATTATCTCGTTTTATTTGATTGTATGGGTGTGGCCATGCAGTATCAGCTGAGGATGATGGAACTAGTTTAGCTCGTTTCTCATTGGATATTAAACAATCCTAAGAAGAAAAATGAAAATGCTGCCAATATTAAAAGATTATTCGACTTACTGATGGTTGAATGAGACGTTTCTTCTGTTGTGGATGATTATTATTTGTATGAAGAAATCTTTCTTTAAATAATTCAAATTCTTCTCTCGCTTTCATGTCTTCAGTCGAACGTATTTTCAAATAAGATCGCCAATTATCCGAATTGAATCCCCAATGACAAATACGATTTTCTTCCGATTTATGTCCATGTGAAACGAAGGTTTTAGGAGAAAATAATGCTTGACATGTGTCACATTGAATACATTCTGCTTGTGTTGCTATATATAAAGTCGGATACAATGTTCCGGAGCATTTACCGAAACATTTATGTTGAACTTTGATTGAATATAATCGTTCATATGGATTTGTCGTTGATGAATTGATTGTATGCAATTGTCCTTTGTAATGTAGTTGTAAAAGACTTGCACATAATCGTTCGGCATCTGTTTGAGTGATTAAACCGCATGATGGAGCAGTCAGTGGCAAAACTTGAGTCTTTTTAAGAATATCTAATTGTTCATTTGTACATCGCGAACAGTAAATATGTAAACGTTCACATGCAGCATTGATTTCTTGTAAGGAGAAATCTTTCAAAACGGTATTTAGAATCTCCGGTAAGCATAAACGTTTCTCTCCGCCAACGACGAAGCATGTGATTCGCTCGCCTAAAGAAAAAAAAAACTCATCATCATCAGTTCTAATAAACACAAGAGAACGTTCTTTTAGATTTAAGAGACTATTTTTACTTACAAGAATAGATCGATGTTTTTCTCATTCGTATCTCGAATTATTTTCATGAATATACAAAAAACGGTTTTTGCATACATGTCACGCTCGAATGCGTCTACATATTTTCTCGATTTCGAAATTCTACTTGACTTTGTCTTTTATTTGTTCGTAGTTCAAGTTGCAAGGTAATGAAGTATATTTCGTTTCTCGATAAGAGAGATCGAGTCTCTCAATATAATTCTCTTTCTTCTTTCTCTTTTGATGATAATAAAAAGACATGACCTTAGAAAAAAGCATTTCAAGTAGCAAAAAAACAACAGAAAATTTCAACGTTTGCAGTTGCTATACGCAATCCAGACTATTTTTATCTTTGACGAACAAAGAGAGATAAAGAAAGAGACTTATAATAAACAAATCGAATAACTTGATGACGTCTATGATTGATAGATAGACAGACAAAAGAAATATAATATTTTTTGATTCACGCATGGATAAAATGAATCGATGTGTGCAGACAGATATGTTCTTTTGTATCTTATCTTTTTACATAGTCTTCATATTTTTTAGTCGAAAAACATGCAGACCAAGTGCACGGAGTGTCTATAACAAATGTTCCTTTCATAACATCGATTGTTACCGGCTGTTTTTTCTTTTTACGAATGGTAAATGTTAAAGTAATTTGAGATTTACACCAATCAAGCGATTGAAATCAAATAACCGTACGAATAGAATCGTTTACTTAGCGTTATTCGATGTCCTTCGTTCGAGATACAAATGTTTAATCTTCGATCCTGTCGTAGAGAATCAATATTTACAAATAATTGTTATTCGGAAAGAATCCTTCGACGTATATTCAACAATGTCCACGTTTCATCTTCTTTGTGTGAGGAGAAGAAAAAGAGATAAGATTGTATCTTACCTGATGATAATGTTGTCTCACATTTTGAACCCGCTGTTGCTGATGATGATGACGTCGTTGATGCAGCATCAGCTTGAATGCAGGGTGGACCCTGTATAACTGAACCCAGGGGCGGTTGAAGCCATTGATCGAACGGAGGTGTTTCTTTGCTTTGTTGTTGATTAATCGCTTTTTTTAAAGGAGTATTAGTTGGTGATATTGTTTGTTGTTGATCAAGTTTGCCATTATTAGTCGATAATTTTAGACTGGGTGTTGAGTTTTCCGTATTCAATTTCGATAAACCATTGCTAAGATGATGTCGTGGCGAGAGGGTAGCGACGGTGTTTGGTGGAGCATGGTTGAAATAAAACGCATGTTGAAGAAATTCTTTTGCACCGGATTGTTGATTGAAATGATGATGATGTCGTGCAAGAAGTTTGAGTAATTGAGGATCAAATGAGGATATCGGAGGTACTACTGAACTTGTTGGGGTCGACGTTGTTGTCGTCATTCGGTTCAAGAAAAAGAAAAATTGCAGTTGTAAAGAGAGATGGTCTACAATAAACGAATGTATGGGAAGGAGGGAAGGAGAGAAAAAAAACCCGAAGAAATGAAGACTATGAGCAAATATGTCTCTTTCGGAGCGACGACGACGACTGCCCCCTGAGTTGTATAAGAGAGGGGGAGAGAGAGCGAGATGGAGAGTGACGGTCCGGGCAGCACACGTAATCCTCTATTCTCTCTTTTTCTTTTCTCTTCTTTTTCTCCGTCGGTCGGTCGCTTTCGGATGGTTGAACTTATGTATGTGTATGTATGTTCAATAAGGGAGGCGACGACTGGCGAGGCGAAGAAAGGGCCAAATACAATACTAGTAACATTCGCCAACACAGAAAAATAGACGAGGAGGGAAAGAAGCAACGAGCGCGAGAGGTGAAGGTTGAACAAGCGAGAGCGGGCAAATAGTAGCGAAAGAGGGTGGTCGTTTCATAACAACATATACATTCATATATATATACGTATATGTGCATCATACTGGACAAACAGAAAGAGAAAGAAAGAAACACGTCGTGCCAAACTACGTAATTCTTTTGCGTAAAAGTGTCCATAATAGTTAACAGAAAGTGTGGGCATCGTCGAGCTCAGTGAAGTAATTCTGTTGATTTTGTTATCAATGCAATATCAGAAAAAAACAAGAAAACAAACTTTCTTCATCAGCTTCTTGTCCAAAGAAAGAAATAACAAATCGAGGACCTGATGATCGTCGATAAGTACATAAAGAAGAAAATTTGTCCTCATCAGGAAAATCTCTCTACGTTCTAACCCCAGACAGTTCTATCTAGTGAATGGCGAGACACATCGATGTCTAAGAATCGTCTAATGACGATATGTTTTGTCTCATATTTTTTTCTTTTCGTCAGGCACAGAACCGGAGGAACATACTTTGTTCTTTTCTTATGTCACGCAAAACTCAAAGTAGATGAGAGACAGAGAAAAAACGAGAAGCCAAGGATTGGCGATAGGGGAGGACAAAAAGAAAAGTAAAAAGCGAAAAAAAAAGAAGAAAAACGAGAGGCAAAAAAAATGCGTGTTATTTGCTGTCGCACTGCCTACATTTATGGTTTTACGGACTAAGATATGATGAAAACATCGCTGATGAGAAAAAAATACAAGCTGTCTCGATTCTTCTTCTTCTATATTATGCGTTTTACTAGGGAATCCGAAAAGAAGAAAACGAGAAGGAGAAAAAAACAAGATTAAATGTGTTTTACTGTCTGCTGCGTTTTTTGCGTGTGCTGCAATGACGATGTCGATCGTCTAGTCAACGAAAACGTCATTATCGAGTGCTTGTTGTTTTTCTGTTTGCGCCCAGTTATATATATTATCTTGCATAGAAAAGACATTTTTGCTCTTTATGGGTCCATACACACTGATCTAATAGATGACGATATCATTGATTTTATTAACCCATTCAACTAAGAAGAGAAGTTTTCTCTCGAAAAGAAAATCAAACTTTCATCTTGTTTTCTACATTTGTGAAAACAATGTTTGCTCAGTTCCAATTGGTTCAAATGAATAATCCAATGAGAAAAAGATCGACTTCTTTTTCCTACTAGAATGATTCAAATGTACTTTTAGACTTTAGATTAAATTTCAAACGTGTTTTGGCTTAGGCAAATCAGGTTATTATGTCCCTTCAGTTGATAAGGCGATCACAGGAAGAGAATTTCTCATAGTGAAAAACAGTTTGATTAACAGTATATGATGACGTAAATTCAAAGGCAAACATCAAGGACAATCTGATAAAATCATATTAGTGTACTTACCTGTCAGAGTCCAAAAAACAACGGTAAGTGTGTTATTATTTAACAAGTTGAGAAGAGAGAGAGAAAAAAAATCCACACAATTCTGCGTGTCTCCTAGAGACATGTATCACCAGGTTTTTCTTTCGTCTATACAGACGTTATTAGAAGAGACGGCGACGACGACGGCGACGATGACGGCGTGTTGTAGTCTTCGTTAACGTTGTTTTTTTACCTACATTTTTTCTTGATGAAAAAAAATGCACCGGGAAAAAGCAAATGCAAATAATATTAATTATCTTTTTCTTTTTCTCTCTCTATGAATATTTACTTAGGTAAAAAATGTCCTAGATGAAACAATGAGGGCGAACAGGAATTACTTCTAATCTCGTGTTCAGAAAATCGAAATGAAAATATTGTTGTGGTATTTTTTTTTCTTGATTGTTGAGAACGGATTACACTTTTCGGATCAATTATTGGAAATTGGTATAAGATTTTTACTGGCAAAGTAGAATAACAAAAAGTGTTTTTCTTGATTGCCACTGACATTCACTAATTTCTCAACTAAGGTCACAAGGACACGAGTAGGGTGAAAATTGAAGAGGATAAAAACTTTTTGAAACAACGTCGCAATTTTTTTAATGGAAATATATGAATAATTCACGATTAAAACAGTCCTTATGGATTCCGCAATAGTATGAATAGTCATGTCTCGTTTTGCATTTTGTTGTGATGATTAACAAAATCAAACTGCCTTTGTTATTGTGAAATCTAGCAAAGAAGAGTTAGACGAGCGTAAAGTAGAAATAATATCCGTGAAGTGTTTGTTCACAGAGAATTTTGTTCTGACAAGAAAATTTTTGTTTTGATCGAATAGGAGAGTCATACGACTGATTTTGTTGTGTAACGTCGTGATAAATATCGATGAAATTCACCATAACAAAATATTAGCTTAGGGTTTGTTGTTTTTAGAAGATTTGCTGTCGACGAGTAGGAACGCAAAGGTGATGATTTGAAAATGAGAAACGAATGCAATCATATTTCATATTTTTTGATTCGTAAGGTTTCACAGCTTGAGAATGATTGTATGACAAGAAAAAAAAACATGTATTTGGAAAGAAATATGAAGGTGTTTTCGACAAAATCGCGAAAAAATCAATGTTCTTGGGTGTTGGTCGAAGTGAATTTCTAGAGAAACAAAATGTTGTTTTTTTTGGAAATAGAAAATATTTCATATTTACATTTTCTTTATGATGAATACGTTTGAAATTGAGTCGTTTTGATCGGAGAATGAAGGAGTTCCGATTGGTAGAGGTCTTGTCGATTTTCAAAGGTTTTGATGTGACTGATTCGATGGGATAGAGTTCATCATAATTGTCGTCATCAGAAGAAGAAGGATTTGTTTTACATTGAGGAACGTGTGGCATTGGAATATTCTTCGTTTCGGAATCTTTTGAACTTTTTTTCGCATGTTGATTTGACAAAACATCGGTCTGGGGTTCAGTTGATGATATTTCTGTGTTAGACAAGGAAATTAGAGTGTTCTTCGGTTTGTGAAGGATAATTACTTGAAGTGGAATGATTTTGAAGTTTTTCGTGTAATTGTGACGACGTGTTTTCTTTTAGATTAGGTTTGGAACCTGTTGGAATGATGGAAACTAATGGACTTTTACCGATACCATGTTGACCAGGCGAAGTTAATTCGTCGGCTGGATTATGACCTTTAAAACAATGATGAAGAGACTGTCAGTCCTTTTTTTCGATAAATTACCTATTGATGTTGGATTCGTGACGTCCTGTTTCGCTTTGCTTGATTTGAAATATTTGTCCACATTTGGTTGGTTCTGATCTGCGATAGTTGAGGTTTTCGAAGATGCGGTAGTGTTGGGTGATAAAGGTATTAGATTTTTTGAATGACTCAATCCTATTTCACGAGAAAAATGAAGAGATTTTCGATTGGAATATTCGCAGTGTCTCGTTTCGGGATAAACTTTGATCAAATATAAAGTCATACCTTTTTTGGCAGATAATGCTGAGATTGTTTTCTTCTGTGCGTTTGGGAATCCGTTTGATTTTATGTCTTTCAAGGATATATTTCCATCACGATTTTCTTCACTATTCTTATCCTTATTCTCCGAATCATTTTGTTTCTTTTTCAAATAAGCAAGAGCACCAACAGTCATGACTGCAAGGACAGCTAATAATGGACCAATAATCCACCAAGGTGAAAAACCGCTTCCGTTAGAACTTAAAGGAGCTGCTACGGGAACGTTGTCTATCATTGGAGATGGAGCCATTGCTATACGAGCTGGTGGTGAGTGAGAAACTGGTAATGGACGATTTTGTGGTCGATATATGGAATCAGGATGAGCTGGAATCGGTTCATTTACTGGACCACTGGAGAAAGATGTGCAGGAACTGTGAAGACAATATGAAAAGTACAAACCTATTTCGTTTAAATCGATACTGAATGGACATGAATGAAGAACTTCACGTACATTGGTCTAACGATTGTTTTAATCCACGAAAATCAAATATAAGTTAAACGAAATCGAGATTAAACTAGAGATAATGATAGACGAAGTTTGAACATATTTCAACTGATTTATTTTTCACAAATTATAATAAAAGAAAAAATATTCGATTTTCTCGTTTGAGATTTACCAAACGAATACATAAAAGGCGCGAATGGGATTCACATACGGCTAAAGTAATTGTTCATCAAAATAAAAAAAAACAATATTTAATTACCAAATCATAGACATAAAATTAATCATACTTTACAAATGAAAAATTATTGTTGTATCCCATACATTTTTCAAATAACTTAGAGAGAAAATTGAGCATAAATGAAGCATTGTTTACCACTGACAAGGTTTCTGAGCTTTTTAGTCTTTAACACCAGTTTTTGCAACTCCAAAGAACTTTTCCAGTCTGAAACATAACAAACCAATTCAACCAATTACATCCTAAAAACTATGCTGCATATTCACCTCGATAACTTTTTATTCTTCTTAGTTGAAGGCGTATGCTCATCATTGTTAATCCTTTCATAACTCTAAACAGATAATAAATAATCTCGTTCTCAGTGTCAAATGAAAATACATACCCCACTTTTCTTTCCAATTTTGTGTGCACCTTTTTGGTTCTTCTGGCTTGAAGATCCATTGTCTCTAACAGGCGCTCGCCGATCGTCGCTTGATCCAAAGTTTCTTAATTTTTCCATTGAATATCTTTGATCAGACTTCTGATTTTCTATGACAAAATATCTTCACAAATACATATGAGAAACAAGAGAAATCTTACTTGGCAATACACGTCCTTCGGCTTTGATAGGCGTTTTCTCTGAACGATCCTGACTTCTTGATCGTCTCTGATCATTTTCGTCTGGTGCAGAATCAGTACTGCATGAACGACGTAGCAACGGAGCTTTGCCATGTGCTCTTTGATTAACTTGTCCATCGTTAGATAGACCATTTGCTATACGTGTCTGCTTGTGATCGATCTTTTCATAAGAAGCTTCGCCATATGGTGACCGAGGACCTAAAGGTAAAATAAAGATTTTCATATCGATTGAACCATAGATTTGTCTATCCGTGCAATTCACTTCGTCGTGCTCTCTGATCGTTATTCGGAGTGCATTGGGCTTGCAAAACAATATCTCGGCGCGAAAATCCGTTCTGTGCTTGTTCTTTCATATTATTTGGATTTCGTTGACAAGCTCGCTTTAAAATGAAAACAGGAAAGTGAAGAGAACTACGATAATGGACATCAAGTTACTTGATGTAGTTGAAGTTGTCTAGCAGAAAATGATTGGTCACAATATTCACATGGAAGTCCTTCGTTGATCGGTTCAGCATTCATCGATCTACAAATAAACATAACATTACGATTAGTTCCTATCATTGACGAAAAGCATACCGAGCGCGGTTCTTGATTCGTTCGTTGTCTCGTTCTCGGCAGCTTCGCTTCAATAGATAGATCATTAGCACGAACGAAAAAAAAGAATGAAATAATCTTACCACATGATTCGACCAATTCGGTAGATCGATAGATGCATTGCATATTTCACACGGAATACGAGCAATGCTATCCGAAGGAGTACGATTCTGATTTGCTGGTCTCCGAAGACAATTATTCTATCAAAAATATTCTTCACAATAGATCAAAACTGTTGTTCGAAATACAATTTAACCTTATGTCGTTCATAGTCATTTTGTGGACATGATTGCTGACAATATTCACATCTTATGATCGGCTGACTGCGTCCTACAAGAGAAATATCATTTAAGACTATAGAAGGAAATGAAAAAGGTACCTTTGTTCGATCTTACTGATCGAACGCTTGGTTCTGGATTAACAGGTGAACGTTGTGCTATTTGAAGTCGACGTTGATTTGGAGGTGTTTCGATACTACTCACAAGAGCACAGTTGTTTTGATAATGATAAGCGGAATGTGAACGTCGTATGAATTGTCGACACTTTGGACACTCGTCAGTTTTATTTCCACATAAGATGAGATGTTCTCGCAATGCATTGGATGTTGGAAAAGTTTCTTCACAAAAAGAACATTCGACGGATCGATTTCGACAATTGGTTTGCTAAAGAGTAAAAAAAAATGAATGAAGAATGAGTAGGTAGAAGAAAGATGTACTTGATGTTGTTGGAGATCTCTGTCATTGGTACATTGATGTCCACAATCACAAGCATAGATCGATTGTTGTCTTGAGAGTGTAGTCGTCAGAGTGGGTTGATGAAAACTGTCATAAGTGGTTGAAATACTGCGAGCTTTTAGAGTTCTTGAAGATGAAGCCAAATTATTCAACCTGTCAGTGCTAAAATGAGAAGAAAAAGCGTAGGATGAAATCTTATGTTCCTTTGACGCAGAATCGGTTACAATCCCGCCGAATTTTTGTGCTTGAGCAGCCGGATCGAACGAGTTATTTTGAAGGCTGATGAATCCTTTCATTTATCTAATTCTGAAGACCCTTGAGAGAACTCATGATAAGCTGAAGCATATTGACATACTACAGTCAAATAATTATATAATGACCATACTGGAGAACAATGAAAGATATAATAATGAATCACCGAAAATTTACGGATGGGTATTATATCCCACAAAAATTAGCTATGTATCGAATAGACATATAATGGCTTCGGATATTCGCGATGTATATTTAATAGTAGGCTAAATGACTTAGATTATAGTATTATTGTTATAAATCCACGTAGGAATATATCTTCGAAATGCAAATGAGAAATGTTAGAGCACTTACTTGACTTGTTTAGCAACATCCAAGCTTGATAAAGACCGTTTTAATCTTTGAAAGTTTGGTCGATCTTCTGGACTTTGCTGCCAGCAGTCGTTCATAAGAGTCCACAGTTGATCGTTGCATCTCGATGGTCGTGATAATTTTGTACCACTTAACTTTATTCTTCGAACTTCATTTTCATCATCTATCGATGAATATGGTATTTCACCATATGAACAAGCTTCCCACATGAAAATACCCATCGAATAAACATCAGACTGCACGGATAAAGTTGGTTGTGTTACATTTTGTAGCACTTCTGGAGCTGTATATCGTATCGGAACCATCGATATGACGGAACTAGTTGGTGCGCCAACCATCGAATATAATGAACTACCTCTTGTCAAACCAAAGTCGGTTAGTTTAACTAAGTTTTCATCTGGTTTAGAGTGGTTATACTCAAAAACGAGAACATTTCGACACGCTAAATCACCGTGTACAATACCATTATCAGCAAGACATACCATCGCATCACAAATCTGTTCGAATATTCTCCATAAAACTCTTTCTGTAGGTTTAAATCCATTTTCACGTAGCAATTCGCAGAGGTCACCATGTGGCGCACATTCTTGAAGTAACATAACTGAATTGGGATTACTTTGAACAAAACCAAATGTTCGAACAACATGCGGATGACAACTCAATTTAACATAAAAAGAAGCCTCTCGCTTCGCTTTTGCTCCATCTATTTTGAGAAGAATAATCGGTGGTCCTTTTCTATTGACCCATTCGACCTCATAAATAAATTTCCCAAAACCTTGGAATAATGGTCTTGCTTTTGTCCTTCTTATATCTATATCAAGACGATATTCGCATTGAGGTTGTGATCCTTGTGAAGCAATTTTCAATTCCTCCATCATTTTCTTGACTGTGTAATTTGTTCGCAGAGAATTTATGTTCATTGGCTGTTGAGTCATTGGACTTGTTCCACTCCTTTCTAACCATTCAGTGATCGCTTTGCGTTCATATGTATGACCATCATCGCCTGTCACCGGATCCTCAAATATTTCCCCTGTGATCGGGCACACGCATGAATCCATCTCAAAGTTGGAAATTATACTTCCTACCACACAAGACACAAGAGTAAAAATGAAGAAAACTTTGCGATAAAGTCTGAGTGTTTTTGTCCTATTCTTTACTTATTTTCGACAGAATTTTCTTACCTTTTGAAAGATATCTCTACTTACAGAAGAGAACCATTAAAGATGTTTATAAGTCACTGCATTATATCGTTCTGCAGCGACAAATGACTAATACTCTTCTATAATATATACATCAGTATTCGATAAAACCGGAGTAAACATGAACATTCCAACGATAGAATATCTTTTCTCCTTATTATATCACTAAATACAAATTTATTTTCACACCTAAATAAACAACTAGTCAACACTTTGCTTCTCAGGCAATTCTTTGTCAATTACAAAAACATCGAATATCTTTCTTTGTACTTTTTACAAGGAAATCTACGATGTACAATAATCTCGAGTGATGATTAGCAAGGATACAACTTGTTCATCACGTACACACACATCGAACACATTCAGAAGTAATCACTCATATGATTCGCGTAGGTACTTTTTTTCTCTTGAATTTATTATGAAATTAATTGTTTACAAAATGGGAAAAGTGTTACATATTTATCATATATATGAAATTCAATTGATGGAAAAAATAAACATTGTACAATGCGAAAAAATAAACAAAAAAAGACAATTCGATCACAGTCTTTATTTTTATCAGCGATACAAAAAATATCAATGCATAATATGTTTATTTCGGACAAGTCGTAACAGAAATCAAATATAATGGAAGTATTCTTCCATTTAAACCACTTTTCAAACTGTTTTAGTCTTCAACACCAGTTGTGGCACATCCAAAGAATTCTTTTATTCTGAAACATAGCAAATCAATTCAAACAGTTGCATCCTAAAAACCATGCGTAATATTCACCTCGATGGCTTTTTATTCTTCTTAGTGAAACGCGTATGCTCATCATTGTTAATCACCTGATAACTCTAAACAGATAACAAATAATCTCGTTCTCAGTGTCAAATGAAAATACATACCCCACTTTTCTTTCCAATTTTGTGTGCACCTTTTTGGTTCTTCTGGCTTGAAGATCGATTGTCTATAACAGGCACTCGTCGATCGTCGTTTGGTCCAAATTTTCTTAAATTTTCCATTGAAGATCTTCGATCAGACTTCTGATTTTCTATGACAAAATATCTTCACAAAGATATGAGAAACAAGAGAAATCTTACTTGGCAATACACATCCTTCTGCTTTTATAGGCGTTTTCTCTGAACGATCCTGACTTCTTGATCGTCTCTGATCATTTTTGTCTGGGACAGAATCAGTACTGCGTGAACGATGTAGCAACGGAGTTTTATCATGTATTTTTTGATTAACTTGTTCACCGTTAGATAGACCATTCGCTACTCGTGTTTGCTCGTGATCGATCTTTTCATAAGGACCTTCATGACATGGTGACCGAGGACCTAAAGGTGAAATAAAGATTTTCATACCGATCGAACCATAGATGTGTCTATCCGTGCAACTCACTTGGTCGTGCTCTCCAATCATTACTCGGAGTGTTTTTGACTGGCAGAAGAAAACCTTGACGTGGACGTTCTTTCTGTACTTGTCTTTTCATATTATTTGGATTTCGTTGACAAGCTCGCTATGAAATGAAAACAGGGAAGTGAAGAAAACTATGATAATGGACATCAAGTTACTTGATGTAGTTGAAGTTGTCTAGAAGAAAATAATTGCTCACAATATTCACATGGAAGTCCTTCGTTGATCGGTTCAGCACTCATCGATCTACAAATAAACATAACATTACGATTAGTTCCTATCATTGACGAAAAGCATACCGAGCGCGGTTCTTGATTCGTTCGTTCTCTCGTTCTCGACAACTTTGCTTGAATAGATAGATCATTAGTACAAATAATCAAAATAACCAAAATATCTTACTACATGATTCGACCAATTCGGTAGATCAATCGGTGCATGGCATATTTCACACGGAATATGAACAATACCATTCGAAGGACTACGATTTTGATTTGCTGGTCTGCGAAGACAATTATTCTATCGAAAATATTCTTCATAATAGATCAAAACTGTTGTTCGAAATGCAATTTAACCTTATGTCGTTCATAGTCATTTTGTGCACATGGCTGTTGACAATACTCACATCTTATGATCAGCTGAATGCGTTCTGCTAGAAAAAGTATCGTTTCAAAATCGTAGGAAAAGTCGAAAGGAGGATACTTCTATTCGAATCTGCCGACTGAGCTCTGTTTTTTTGTCGTGGAGCTTGGTCATCACTGGGAACATCTATCCGTGCAACTGGTAGATTTGGGTTAACAGGTGAACGTTGTGCTATTTGAAGTCGACGTTGATTTGGAGGTGTTTCGATACTACTCACAAGAGCACAGTTGTTTTGATAATGATAAGCGAAATGTGAACGTCGTATGAATTGTCGACACTTTGGACACTCGTCAGTTTTATTTCCACATAAGATGAGATGTTCTCGCAATGCATTGGATGTTGGAAAAGTTTCTTCACAAAAAGAACACTCGACGGATCGATTTCGACAATTGGTTTGCTAAAGAGTAAACAAAAAAAGAATGGAGAATGAGTAGGTAGAAGAAAGATGTACTTGATGTTGTTGGAGATCTCTGTCATTGGCACATTCATGTCCACAGTCACAAGCATAGATCGATTGTTGTCTTGAGAGTGTAGTCGACATATTCGACCGTTGGCAGAAGAATGACAATTATTTAATCGAAATCTAAAGAAGGAACGAGGAAAACGAGTAAGATTCTTGTTCATTGAGTGAGTGTTAAGCCCTTATTTGACCTTTATCTTTATGATTGAATCACACCTGTGTTCGGAGTCGTATTTGACATTTTGCTACAATTTATTCAGATGAAGATATTCAAAATATATTGTCGAATTCTGGAAATAAAAGGAACTGTTCCTCTAAACTACAGAAAACATGACTTTTAGTTGTGGAAGGTTTAGATAAAGTAAGAGAAAGAAAAACAAGTTGAAATTATGTCTGGAAAGAGAACGGAAGAAACGAGATTTTACTGTGCATCTGTATGTCTGCAATACACCTTCGAACTTCTATGGGCCAGTAGTGGCGTAATAAAATCCAATTGAAAGAATTTTTGTCGTGAGTAAATATAACTCAAAAAAGAGGTCACTCCTTGTCAAAAATCTTTCATATTGATTATAATCAAATCAATACATGGATAAAACGTTTCTTTCCTTCATTCACGAAGAACGTCGTGATCGGAAATGATGTTCATAAGTATTTTAGGTACATTAAACGACATGAGTGATGGTCCTGATGTGTTTTAAATTTTGTTAATGTAAACATTATGTGTGACATCTCGATCAATATGGTTTAATACTCAATTAAATTCGTCCAGTTCGGTCTATACAGAGAAGGTAAACGAATGCTAATGACGAGCGAGAAGAAGGTTGGTGTGACTTACGAAGTTATTTCAAGTAATTAGAAGACTTGTTTTTAAGAGAAAGTTCTATTGAGTTAATAGAAACGAACATATATTTCGAAATAGCAGAAGAACATTGTGTACAACAAATGCAACTTATTGATCTGATATGATAAAACTGTATTTAAAGCAAGGAAGTAACACTCGCTTGAGAATTCATTCGATTCTTTCTCAAAGAAATCTTGTTTTGAAATTATCAGCAAAATTGTTCTCTACAAAAAAACGAGTGTTAGAAATGATCTTGGCAAGAACATTGTCAGTTGTTTTGAAAATGATGAATTCGATTTGCGTCACGTACTATGATTTCACATTGATGGATTTGAGCGATAAACTTCATTGCACAATCTAGAGAAGTGAAATATCAATGAAATCATTCTATTGATTTGATCACTTACGACAATCTCCACATATACGAAGATTTTTCGTGATCTAGATTAGAGTTGAGCGCGGCTGTTGGATGAAATTTCAGGCGATCGTTAATTTTTCGCTATGTCCACATTAAAACCGATTCAATGATTTCACTGTTTTTCAATGAAAGAGTTATCCAACTCGAATCGTAACTATGATCATGTTGAAATATTTCGTTCGAAATTCGATTGAGGATGAGAACGATCATGAGCTTTGAATTGCTGAAAGGAATGTTTACTAAGATTTGTCTGTTGGCTTCTGTCCATGATAAAGCAAGTTTGACTCGATTTCTATAACATTTTATTCGACTAGATCTGACTTCACTCGCTTGTTTCTCTTTCCTAATAGATAAATATGTATTTCCATGCAGAATTGATGCAGTGGCAAGATAATTTTCTCGATCAGAAAACAAAGATTGCATTCGATTATATGTTTCTGCCGATAAAGTAGTATTTCAACAATTTCGTGCCCCAGACAAAATAGCCACTATAAACTTATTCTTATTAAAGATAAAACAAGTTCAAAAAGACTTCCTATGCATTGGTATATGTGATGGATGAGATTTCTCATAGATGTCAATCACTTGTTACACTTCATCGAATAGAAATAGTCGATTCAAACAATCGACCTGAAAGATTTCGTATATCATAGTTCAAAAACTTCAATTAGACAAAACAAACCACTGCTGTTGTAATCTTTTTTTATTTTGATTGGAATTTCATAAAAAGAATCTTCCGAGCTTGGTGAAGAAGATCAGAATATGAACACGCCTTCAATACAAGAACATGTGAAATATCATTACGAAGATCTGCAGGCATTCGTTCATGTAAATGAATCGCTTCCAAACCCATACCGTTGATTTCATAGGCATGAACTTAAAAATAAATCGAAATTTGTTACTCATCACGGTCGTCGTTATCACATCATGTTTTCGGACTAATTGAAAAATCTTTTTCGCATTGTCTATTGACCCAACCTTACTCTAAAAAAACGAAAAATACTCCGAAAGGAATGTATATCATTCAACACTTATCCACATATCAACCAATGCACAATGTACATACGATTTTGTAAATAAATTCTCTGGAATTTGATTAAAGATGAATTGACATTTAGAAATCATAACAATTTGTGCACATGTGTTGATGATTATGGTAAATAATGTTTCATCAGGAATTATTTGGTTTTGTTTTATTTCATAGAAAATCTGTAAATCTTTCAATGGTTCATCTTTCAAATTGTAATTGTTGATCATAATACTGTAAGTCATGACATCTTTATTCTTGTTTTGCTTGAATAAACGTTCAACATATTCAATATCGTTGAGAAGTTTCAATGAAAATTTCTCGTCCAATTTGTATTGCTCGTTTATCAACAAGTTGTCCACATGCACTCAAAATCATTGTATGCATTACATCATTTGACGGAAATGGAAGTTCTTCAAATAGATTTAAGGCTTTTTCAGACATATTATTTTGCACATAAACTAAATGATATTTCAAAATTCGAATTACTTATTATAAATAACAATTCGATGTTATTAATTATCTTTAATCATTGAACCATACATGAAAATATCCTTCTTTTGCATCCGTTCAACTTGTTGAACATGAGAAAATGTCATTAACATATCGATTGCATTATTTAGTAAGTATTTTTACTCTTAACCAAATTTGTACATCGTGATCGTCGTTTGATTGCCTAGATGCCTTCAATACCAACGTTAAATTAATTGGATCTAGTTCAATTTCCATTTGATTGAACAACTCAAAAACTTTCTCGGCTTGATCATTGAACAGAAAACGTAATCACTAATCGAGAGAATTTTATTTCTAAAAACGACGATTCAATGTACCTTTGAACATTGTTCAGTTTCTTATGAATTCCTATTTCAGATTGATAATCAGATGATCTTCACAATCGATAAACTTTTCTGTTGTATACTTCGATACAGTCAACAATCAAAAGTGATTCATCAAATACATACGATTATTTCGTCGAAACAAATTCGGATAAGATCGACTGATCCACCAATTCATTCTCAATAATATTTTCAATCAGAAAAATACTAAAAATAAAAAACAAATTTTGAACATCAGCTTCCTTTCGTTTTCTTGATACTTTATTTCGAATCATTTGTATACATCTCAATTGCATTCTATGTAAATGAACTTATCAGAAGAAAAATTTCTCACAATGATCAACAGATATGTGAAAAATCTATACTCTTCGATGACTCCGTTCTAAAAGAACTTCTTAACTTGAATCTCCAATTATTCTTCCAGAGAAATCAAAATTGGTGAATCAAACATTCGCAAGCCACTGATGTGCTTTATTACAAAAGTTTTAGTATTACAATAAACACTGACATCAGTAAAAAAAAAAGAGAGAAAACAAATACACACACGCGCACACAGATTATTTGTGTTATTTAACAATGATATGACAATGTGAGTTTATTGAACAACAACGAATAGGGGCTTTTTTGTAAGAAGAAGAAGAAAGAGAGAAAAAAAGAGATTAACTTAGAAGAAATGAGAACGTGAAAGAAAAAGATTTGAGAATTGATTTATGTTATCTCATGTTCTAGATGTGAAAGTATAGATAAATGATCAATCTCTCCGTCTGCAGAGACCGATGGTTTACTATACAAAAAAATAAAATTGTTTTCACCATGATCATCAAGGCAAAAATTCTTTTCAATCGGTTGACAATCATCATCATCATCATCATCGAAATAATCAATTCGATTCAAATCATGAAGGTTTGTTGGCAAATTCTTTTCATTGATTAAATAAATTAAATGACGATATTCTTCGATTTGTTCATTCGATCGATTTAATTCATCACGAAGTCTAAAGACAAAGCGATTAACGTTGAGAAACAAAAATGTTAAAAAAGAACAAAACATGCAAATTAACGAAAAACACAACATTAATGAAAAACATGCAATTGAAAGTGTAAACCCACCTGATTGTTAAACAACTGTCTCATGTGAGCAGAGCCTGAGAGGAGAAAGAGGAAAATCATGCGAAATTATTCAAGATTAGAATAAAGAAACTAAAGTTTTATTTTTTTCCCCAATGAACCAAATTCATCTAAGTTCGTTTTAACTTACCGTTCAGCTTGTTTCTCACATTCCATTCGACGACATTTCTCTTCTTGATATAAATTCAACATTGGTGAACGTTGAGGAAGCATTAAATCCTAAAAATCAACAAAGCCCACAATGTGTGTCGTGTTCTTTAAATGAAAATTACTTTATTTGATGAACTATGACTCAATGCTTTGATTCCCATTTTCGGTGGTGGTGGTGGTTGGGATGAGAAATGTGTCGGTCGTTTTGTTATACCATTGAGTTCATCATTGGTTTTCACACAATAATAAGTTGGTGAATTTTTGCTCGTCATCGGTGTTGATATGTTTGATGAGGCTAAACTTTGTGTACTTCGTGTCATGTAACTATTATTTAAAACAAACAATGGTTGTTGTTGTTGTTGTAGAGATTGTCGACTAGTTGAATGAGCTAAAGGTTGATGATGAGAAGAGTTGGGCTCTGGAAGAGATTCAATGCAAAGATTGTTGACGAAATAAAGTGCTTTTGTTGGATCTGGTTGAGATTGATTGAGATGTTTTGAATGAGGAGTTCGTTCGTCATCATCATCATCATCATCGGATAGATCACTTGGAAGATGTTCATCTCGTTTTGATAATTGATGATTGAAAAGAGGATTTTTGAAAGACAATGGTGTACGAAGATTTTCTTTATTGAGATTTTCAACAGTTGTTATCGTTGGAGATGTTGATATCGAATGATAACCTTGAGATGAACCATTTGTCGTACCTGTACCTGTTAATGATAAAGAGATTTGACTACCATATGGAGATGAACGATGATCGAGAAATTGTTTATCTGAACGAGTGGAATATTGATCGGAAGAAGTTGAATGATGGTAAATATGATGATGATGATGATGTAAATGAATTTGTGTACCATTGTTTGTTGTTGATGATGATGATGAATAGAAGAGTTTGATATTTGTTAATTCGTGAAGAACGTATTCTAATTCGTTTAATGTTCGACGAGTAGATAAATCGATTTGTTCGAATAGATCAGCAAGTGTTGAGTGAAGAATTGAGTATTCTCGACCTAAATCGATATCACATTTATCGTCGTGAGAAATATTATTCAGATGAGATGAACGTGGTTCGTCATAATCGTGATCGATTGTCTAAAGACTGAAAATAAGTTTAAGGACAATACGAAGAAATCGAAACTTACGGAGATATTCGCTAAAAATCGTCGCATGTTGTCTGATTCTTTTCCAACAAAATCATTCATGAATTTCATATACGATTCTTTCGGACCAAATCTTTCAAACGAAACAAATGACAAAGAATTTTGAATGAAAAGAAACTTACTTGGAGAAATTGGCTAAAGTTTGCAATGTTTTCGCGATTAACGTTAATTTTCTCGAAGATTTTTCATTTGGATATTCTATTTCAAAGAAATTGATTTCTTTTTCATTCGAAAACACTTTCACTTACCTTGAGTTAAACCAAATAGATTTGGTGATAAGATTGCTGGACAAAGAAAACGAAGAAAAACCGAACCACTAATCAAATTAAACATCGTTTCATCCGACGATGACAATTGACGAAGTTTCCAAAAGATTCGTTTTAATTCCCTAAAATATTCTCTATTCAATATCCATTATTTGTCAAAGTAACACGAACTTACTGAGGAAAAAGCAAATGTGATTGTTGAATTTCCAGCCAAATTTTTTCACATAATAATCTCAAGGTGATTTGATTACGTTCCAAATTTTGTACATTTGATACTCGACCTGGATCAACTTCTAAATCGATATCATTGGACGTTTTCGACGACACGATATCAGTGACGAATCGTGTTAAAGTTTCACGTAGATAAGTATCACCAATTAATTTCATATAAGCTTCCATAGATTTTGTCGCGATTGAATTACCGCGAAAGGTTAAAGTGTTATCAGGTGTCGAGAGGATTTCTGCTTGAACGATATCAACAAGAAATGAAGTGGAAAATGACAATGATTGAGCAATACGAGTTAATGATGTTGCTAAAATAAATAAACATTCAATCAGAAGAGATGATTATCTTGAAATAACACTCGTCGCGTGACCCTCGACTCAATAATTAATGTTTTGGCAAAAGGATTACCAGTAGTGTCGAATGGGTTTATTTTCTTTAGTAACAAAGGTTAAATATGTATTCCTGGATAGAACAATCTTTTATTCGGATTCGTTAGATGCGATAATTGACTTAGCACTCATCAGATTTGTCAAGTTATTGAAACTTGTAAAAGTAAAAGAATTCGAAATCGACTTACCTATTTCGTCTTTATCTCGTAGACTAATATGTGGTTCCAAAATGCGAATTAATCGAAGATAATCTCGTCGAATATACTAAACAAATGCAAAGTTTTCTAAGAAAAAAACTTTTCCTCCAAAGTTTACTTCTTGTAGATGTGAATAGGATTCAATAGGCAAAATTTCAATGGCTTGATATTTTGCTTTGATTCGAATACTAAATGAACCATCTTGTAATCTTTGTGATTTGTCTTTTCCAGTTACAGTTGAACCCGAAGGAATTTGTAATGGATACCATTGTTCAATGAATTGATTTCCTGTGATTGTTGATAAAGGAATATCAACATAACCGATTAAATCAATGTCGTGTCCATTGATTTGCTTTTGCTTTCGTCGTTCCGTTTCTCGATAAATTTTACAACGAAGTTTCGAACAACCTGAAATTTTGTTTTTCAAAACATAGAAACGAGAGCAATTCGTTGGATTTACCTTCTGGAATATCTTTGAAGGTAAAATTTTCTCCCCAGAAAAGAATCTCTCGTCGTTCTTTACTCGTCGTTTTGCCATAAATATCATCATCGAGAAAGATTTTTACATAATATCTACGAAGAAGTGCGAAAAGACAGATAAATAAAAAAGAAATAGTTCTTATTCAACAAACTTTTTCTTCATGGGTAAACCTTTTGCTTCTAAAATCCAAATATCTAATGAATTGTCGGTTCTTAAGCCACGTAATTTTGTCATTGTATCCAGCGATGTTTGTCGCAGATTATTAACCACTAAGGAACATTCCGGTGAATATTGTTTTGAACGTAAATAATAATTTCTCTTTTCATTTTTATTTCGAATTTCAATACATTGATAAGATGGAAAATGTTCATCATTATGTTCATATGAACTTGGTAAAATACTCGTATGTAAACGACGAATATGACAATTATCTAACATGATTTGATTAGGAATTGTTGTTGACACAGATCCTAAGGAATTATTAGCAGATGAACCATTGAGAACAAAAAGAGATTCATGGGAACGAGATCGATTTGTTGGAATGTTACTAAAAGAAAGAGAAATGAAACGACAAAGAAATGTTAAAATGATTATTTACTGAAGAGATGGAGATGTCTGTGGATTAATTGGGGTTATTAATGGTTGTTGAAGACGTTTTTGTCGTTCGAGTTTCGTGACACTTTTTGTACGTTTTAATGAGTCAAGATTGATATTTGGTGATGGTAATGATGTTTGATTTTGACTGGATTTATTATGAGTTGACGAACGACCGAAAAAATACGAAAATTTCGTTTTCGATTGTCGAGTCGAAGCCGTGGTTATGTTTGTTGTAGATAAACGATCAGACAAAGAATCTAAACATATTCGAATATCAAATCGAAATTTTCGACGAGATAAACAAAAAAAAAAAGAGAGCGACCCTGGCAGGAGTTGAACCTGCAATCTTCCGATCCGAAGTCGGACGCCTTAGCCATTAGGCCACAAGGCCGACATGAATGATAGAAAAAGAAATCAACTTATGAATAAACAGTGAACATATTCAAAGGAAAGAAAAATATATAGGGCAAAAAAAAAAGAAACGCGACCCTGGCAGGATTCGAACCTGCAATCTTCTGATCCGAAGTCAGACGCCTTAGCCATTAGGCCACAAGGCCGGTGTTATACATAAGAATAAATGTAGAAATCATCTCGAAAAATTCTCTCCAAATGATTTAAAAATAAAAATTGTCTTTTGTTATTTAAATGCGTTGATACTTTTCTCAATGAAATGCAGTATCAAATGACTGATTAACATAGGTCATTTGATGAACTTCTCAACTAACGCTAATCTTTTCCTCGAAAAAGAAATCGGATTAATGCGAAGAGAAAACGAAACAAGTGAGTCTTTACTACCTTGATTGACGAAATCAAATAAGAATAAGGTGAAAAATGAATGTAGATTTACCTTGAACGAGCATTTGTTCACCTTCTTTAGTCATTTGTTAAAGAGTTAAAAAGACACGAATGTGACAAATAGTCTTTGTTAAAGGTGTGTCATTTCTTATCAAGAGCGGAAGTTCAAATGTACAGAAGAAAACGCCTTCGATCTATCCTTTCGATATTGAAATCAAACGAACCTTGATCATCATCAATATTAAGATCAAATTCTTCTTCTTCTATAATTGACACTCGTTGGTGATAAATCGATGTTGAAAAAGAGAGTTTCTCATTAGGATTTGTCGATGATATCATCAATTGATGATTCGATGACCATTTCTTAAATAAATGTCGCATTTTATCGAATTTTTTATTGTTGGACAACAATAGCGCATTGAACAATCGATCGTATCTCGATGTTTTTTCTTCTTCTTTAATACAAATCGAGACAATACGAGGGAGAGTGCGAATAAATATTCTTTTTTTCTGTTCTTCTCTCGATATGGTGGCTGTACAGTAATTGAAATGTAATCGGAACCGATCTGTAACATCGAACAATTATTATTACACATATAGGCACGCGTATGTGCATACACACACACGCCGATGGGCTCCTAGTGGTTATCATTCGACGCATATTGCGAGTCGGTCGTCGTTTTTCTTCTTCTTCTCTCATTTTTTTTCTTTTTCTAGACGACCATATATTTAGATATGTATGTTTGGATAGACAAGTGGGATGAAATGCGGAACGATGTTGTCTCTATCGAGAAAGAAGAAAGAGAAAGGATAATTTCTATTTAGATAACAGATGTTGAGATAGAAAAATATTGTTGAAATTGGTCGAATTGATTTAGTTATTAATCAAATCAAAGGTTTCCAGTTCGAAACTCATATTCAGATTGCAATGATTCAAATATTCGAGTTCATGTCTGAGCTTGTATTTCACGACGGAGTATGTCCTATATGACATATAAAACCCACCGTTCGTGGTACAAAGCGAAGGATCGATGACATGCCGAGAACGGTTTTATGAGCAATCTTTTCTTTTATGTCGTAAATCTTATCTAAGCAATGAACATCTTCGTGTGATATTTCTCATGTGTAAATTCTCTCACTTGTTATTTTCTCGTTCGCCTTGATCGGATTATCAAATCTTTCGTTCGATATGAACAAGAAGGCTGATATCTTCAAAGGTCAGACTGATCATTAGATGGGATCTATTTTTATTAAAGTTTGCCTCATTAGTATCTTACCCGTGAATGATGCATTACGAATGGGATTCGATTGAATTGGATTATTATTCAATGGAGTTAACGTCGCTGTTTTATCCTCATTAGTTGTTGATGAGGAAAAAATTGCCTTAGATAATGATGGTGACATATATTCTGATAATGATTGTAACATATAACTTGGCCGAAGAACGTTAACTGATGAGCGACCAACAGGATTATTTGTTAATACTGATGAAGCACAAAGTGATGATGATGAGGAAGATGATGTTGCTGATGATGATAACGAGATCATCTCGCTGTTTAAATCAACGATCGGTGCTTGTTTTATTGATCGAACACACTAAAAAGTATTATTTGATAATTTAGAGGGAAAAAAAGTAGAAAGAAAAGGTCAACTCGTTCATCTGTTTTTAAAAGAATTCTCTCGCTCTCCCCTTTTTTTTCGATTTCGTAATCATCAAACAAATAAAAAAGAAAATGAACGGAAGTTCAGATCGATTTAGTTTCTGTCCATTATTTTTCTTTCTCTCCCCTGTTCTTTTATTGAGCAGTTCAATTTACCATTTGGTACTCATTCCAATCGTGCGCAGATATACAAATGAATAGAAGAAGAAGAAGAACAAGAAGAAATAGAAGAAAAGAAACGGTTCCATCATAGAACACATACGAGCAAACATTCTATTTGTGTGTGCCTATGTCTCCCACGCACTTACGCATGTGCAAACTGCTTGATGCGATGATATGTAGCATAGCACACGGATGAAATATCGACATCAGTTGATGGACATACATAACAGAGGAAAAAAGAATTTCGGGAAGGTCAATTTACTCGTACTAGTTAGTTGATGAGCTCAGTCAGTCATTCAATGCTTATCCAAATAACCAGGGAAGAAAATTATTCTTACGTCATTGGAATAAAATGTCAATGTACGTTTACTGCGGTCGAATTCCACGTATTTTCGAATCCAATTGCGTTCATCATCGAGATTATCTAAGAAAAGTGCGAGAAAAAGATCATGAATGGTTTTTCTCCAGGAATCGACTTACTGGAAACATCGAACCAGGCATAAATGTGTTGAGATGAATCATTCTTCATTGTTTGCTTTATCAATCGAGATCGATTAGAACGAATAAAACATATCTGACGTGATTTGGATGGAAGAAGGGAATTTGAAGATCCCAAAAAACCGAAAATGAAGACAAACAACGAATGAAAAGAGATTACATATCTACAAAAGTGTCGTGAAACGAAAAAGTTATCGATTTATGCGAAGTATGTGTCAATATGTAATCGATATGCCTGTCACTTGAATCAAATGATTCTCTTTCTCTTCATTCTGATTTCCACATAATAAACAAAGAGAAAAAAAAACGTCATAGTTAAGAAATGAAAAGCAAACATTTAATGAAAAAACGCAATTTTATGTTAATAAAAGTTTTTTTCAAACTTCAAATATTGGTAAAGTTACGTGTTTTCTTTTTTCTTAACTAAATAGAAAGGAAATATTTGGACAATATTAATGCTTGGTTGATCAGAGGCAAGAAAAACCTAAATACACATCGAACTAATTTGATTCATTGGGCATAGAAGAGAAAGAAATGCAGACAGTCATCAACGTTCTGTGTTCTGTTTTTTCTTTTCTTTTTTTGTATATGTACAAGCCTGTTTATTTATTCTGTTTTTTATTTGTCTTGAACAGACCAATTGAAAACGAGATGAAAACCTTCGAAAGATAAATTCATTTTCCAAATCGAAATCAATTCGATAAAAAAACGAACTTTGCGGACATTTTCTTAGAAAAGAAATTCGAATTGTGTCACATGATGTCGCTAGTAGTTATGTGAGAAAGGATCGGATACGTAATGCTGGTTTTTACCGAAAGATTTCGTTTGGATGAAAGAGAATTCATTTAGTAGAAAAACGTCTTTCGATAGAAATGGATATTGATTGTGAACATCATCGAATTTTACTTTCAATTATTCAGCAGATTCCTGATTTGAATGAAGATATACAACCATTTCTTCAAACGGTAAAACATCACGCTAATGTTCATTGAGAAATCTTTGAGCTTTTTAGGAGAAATGGTCTCGCGATAAACGACATTTGTTGATTAATCTTCTTGTTCAACGATTGTTGCAAAGTGATTCGTTAACATCGACGTTTTGTGAACATGTTCAAAGATTATTTCCGAAATATTTCGTTGCATTTATTCATCGACTTTATACTGCGGTGAATTTTTCCAATAAAGTCACAAATCACGTCTCAATCAAACAGAGATTTCTGGTTTTACTTTCTCAAATTCTCCAAACGTATCCTTCACTACACACGTAAGGCATTCATTTCTCCTCTTCTTCATTGAATGTCTATCGAATAGAATAACGGAAAACCATCTTCTCTCCGTTGACACCTCGTTAATCGATTGGAAACAAGAAAGTCCAAAGAAAAAGTCGAAATACGTAAGTTTCACTCGAAATTCTTCACTTCATCCATTTACCTTTTGCCATTAGAGAATTGATCATATAAACGATGATGTTTACTTACTTCTTGCTACACTTCGTTTGTTGTTATTACCGAATTCTAAAGTTCAGTTCATGCATTCATGGAAATGGAATTCACTCATTTATTTGTTAACAAATCACGAGGATGAAAACATCAAATGGTTTGTTGAATGAACTTCAAATGAAGATTTTTTTGTGAAGAGAAATCTGTTTAGGTTGGCATTTCTTTGCTTATCAATTGTGTTTAATATATCAATGAATCAACAAGATACCTATCGACCTGCTGTTTCCAATCAAACGATATTTAGGTGATTGTCCGTGTGCTTTTCTTCACAATTAACGAGAGATTAAAAGATTTTGTTGGCTAATTGTATGGAATAACGAAATCGAAACTGACTATTTTGTTTTATTTAGAATCAATGATTTACTGAATTCGAAATATTCGCATTCATTTTCAACATTTTCATGTGATAGATTATTTTTGGATGATGATTTCAAAAAGCGCACCGTATTCATCGGTGGTATTCCTCTCGCCAAATCTAATCCGAATAAAAATTCAAACGAAATTGTCGCAACTCCAACATCAATTCAATTGTCTCATACTTCAACTATCGATAAATGCTTACGTGAAATTGCCTTGAGTATCTCACTTGCCTGGACGACGTTGATCTACAGTTCGATTAGTAATGGGAAAACATTAATTGTCGAGTATATTGCCGAACAAGTTGGAAAACGATTAATCAAAATTCAATGTTCAGATCATATGGATAGTAAAGTAAGGAATCTATTGGAAGATAATCGATCGATCGTTTGGTTTGAATAGGTTTTGTTAGGGACGTATCAATGTACGGATAAACCGGGGGAATTTTTGTGGACATCTGGTTTACTCGTTGAGGTAAGGAATGACCTGAAGAGAAAAGGAAGACATTTGGGTTTGTGAGGAATGTTTAGGCAACATCAGAAGGTCATTGGTTGTTAATGGAAGATATTGATGCGGCGAGTTCAGATGTGTTATCGACAATAAAGAGCTTGATTGAAATGAAAACTATTGGACACGGAGCGATTTCACCTGAATTTCGATTGTTTTTGACACAACGGTTTGGAGAGTAGTTGAAGATCTTTCGATGATTGATTTTGTGACTTTTTAGTGATACGGGTATCCCTGTGCAATCGAATGAACTAATTCATTTGTTGAAAAGTGTGTTTTGTGTTGTGATTCCGTCGTATCCTGATTCGGAAATCATTCAGGTAGAATTTCTTGAGAGAGAATCTCAGGAAAAACTTGTTTTGATTTAGATTATGGAAAATCTTCCAATATGGAATAATGATTTACAATTATTTCAATTAAAAATCTTTCAGCTGTACCAATCGTTCCAAAACATCAAAGGATCGATTCATACACGTTTAGTTACTTTACGGTAAATATCGACAATGTGAAAAACGATGGATCGTCCAGATTTATTTCTAGAGATTTACTGAAATGTTGTCGACGACTATCGAGTTTATCATTATCATTGTCTGTTCATCGACAAATGGCTTTTTATGATGTATTAGATTGTTTTGCATCGTTTTTGACCAAAGCAAATCGTTTAGGACACATTCAATCCATAGGAGCTTTATTCAATATGAATAATCAGGAGGTAAAACAAATGAAAACGAAGATTTGCTCTTAAGATAATTTTTCAGGCGGAATTTTATGCATTAAAATCAATTGCAGAACTCGATGATCGTGATCCGCAGTTTTTCTTAGTTGGAAACGTCAAATTAGAAGTTCAAAAGAAGTGAGAAAATGGCAATTAAAGTGAATTTCACTTTTCAAAACGATTTTCTATTAGAAACACGTCCGTCCAACAACAACAACCACATTATTGTTTTGCCAAAACGCGAACTGCAATGTTTACTCTCGAACGCATTGCCCGTTGCGTTCAAATGAACGAACCTGTGTTACTCTGTGGTGAAACCGGTAAGACATTTCTTTCGAATATTCTCTTTTAAATCATTGATTTTTGTCATCCAGGTTGTGGAAAAACAACATTAGTTCAATATTTAGCTCAAAAAACTGGAAATCGTCTTCATGTGATCAATCTTAGTCAACAAAGTGATGCCGTAGATTTACTCGGTGGTTATAAACCATTCGATTCATTGTTGTTATTGAAGCAAATCTATCGAGATTTTACCATCGAACAAACAACGAATGATTATATTGAAGAAATTCAAGTAAAACGAAAATTTCCAACTTCTTTTTTTAAAGAAAACTTCTGTTTGTGAAACGTAGAAATCAATTCAATCGAAACGGTACAAAGAAGCGATCAAATCCATGATGAAATATACGGATAAAGCATCGCCATTGAGAACACAATTGATCAAATTAAGAGATTCGTTTAAAGTCAAGTCGAAATCTTCGTTGATCTTTCGATTTGTCGAAGTAAAGTTCAAATAAAGAAAGAAATTTTCATTTCTTGTTGGTTTAGGGTTCTTTGGTTCAAGCGTTACGAAATGGAGACTGGATTTTACTAGATGAAATCAATTTAGCTTCGTCGGAAACACTTCAATTACTCAGTGGAATCTTAGAAAGTGAACATGGAACCATATGGCTTGCAGAACGAGGGTAAGAAGAACCGAACGGGCATTGTTTTCTTTTGTATTAAAAATCATCGGACTTTTAGTGATAAACAACCAATTGTTCGTCATCCGAATTTTCGTTTATTTGGTTGTATGAATCCCGCATCTGATGTTGGTAAACGAGACATTCCCATTGGTATTCGAAATCGGTAAGTTTGCATTTGATATGTGAACATTAATTGAAATAACTTTCTTGTGTTAGTTTTACTGAATTATTTGTTGACGAATGTGAAGATCGATCGGAATATACGATTATTGTTGATAAATATCTCAATCAAACCAATATTCCTAAGGAATATATCGATCGGATTGTCACGTTTTATATTGATATTCAAATGAAAGTCAAGAATTTCTTCTTAACTTCATCATCAACATCAAACAATCGAATCGCAGTGACTTATAGGTTAGACAAAACAGGATTTTATTTTTGAAAAATTTTCTATTTCTTCCGCGATTTTAGTTTAAGAACATTGTGTCGAGCATTGAGATATATCGCCACGACAAACTGGTCGGGAAAATCCTACACTCGAGCTTTATATGAAGTAAAAATATTCCTCGTGAATATCCTGAATAAATTTTGATTATCTTAGGGATTTTGTCTAAGTTTCTTTAGTCAATTAGACCGATCGTATTACCATGAAGTACAAAAACTGATTCATCAGATTATTTTAAGTACGTTGATGGATTCAACTCTTCAATCGAATGTTTCGTTGTGATGTTTAGAAGATAAATCATCGATTGAAAGTTTACTAAAAACCACTCAAATGGTTCTTTCTCATGACAATTCGAAAAAATACATCGAAATTGAAAAGTACTTCGTTCTCAAAGGTGATCAAACATCTTATCGTAACGAAAACTACATCTTCACTCGTACCGTCACCGAAAATCTCATCAACATTATTCGCGTCCTTTCCGCGAAATCTTATCCAATTCTTCTCCAAGGTGAAACCTCCGTTGGTAAAACCTCTCTGATCCATTGGTTGGCCGCCGCAACCGGAAATAAATGTCTCCGAATCAACAATCACGAACACACTGATCTCTCCGAATATCTCGGCACCTACACATGTTCGTCAACAACGGGTCAATTGGTATTTCAAGATGGTCCATTAATCAAAGCGATGCGTTTTGGATGGTGGATCATTCTTGATGAACTCAATTTAGCATCGAGTGATATCTTAGAAGCATTGAATCGTCTATTGGATGACAATCGACAATTATATCTAAGCGAAACGAATGAATTAATCAATGCGCACGAACGTTTTCAATTGTTTGCAACGCAAAATCCTGCTGGTGAACAATACGCGGGACGAAAACGTCTCTCCCGAGCATTTCGAAATCGATTTATCGAATTACATTTCGATAATTTGCCTCAAAATGAATTGGAAATTATCATCGAAAAGAAATGTAAATTGCCGAAATCTTATTCGAAATTGTTGATTCAAACGATGATTGATCTACAGAAATATCGTTCGCAAAAAGGTGTTTTTTCCGGTAAATCGAGTTTAATCACTTTACGAGATTTATTCCGTTGGGCACAACGATATACAAAATATGAGAATCAATGTGAGAATTACAAACAATTCCTGGCGGAACATGGATATCTGCTATTGGCGGGACGATCGAGAAATGTCGAAGATCGAAATTTCATTAAAAATGTCATTGAAAAGCATTTCTGTGAAAAGAAAACGACAGTTGATGAGAATGTTCTCTTCGGTGAAGAAGGAAGTCCGTTTTCCACCGGTGAAATATGGAAACGAATTCGAAATAATAACCATTTGAAACACATCGTCTGGACACAACCATTGAGACGGTTCGCAATTCTTTGTGCTCTGTGCGTCCAATTCGATGAACCGGCTTTGTTAGTCGGAGAAACTGGGTAAATGAAAAACTCATCTCGCATAACTAATCATCACGGATTTCATTTGATAGATGCGGTAAAACGACAGTTTGTGAGATCTTAGCAGAAATTAATGGACAAAAACTGTCGACGGTCAATTGTCACACAACTACAGAAAGTGCGGACTTTCTCGGAAGTATTCGACCAGTTCGGCGACATGATCAAAATTCAAATTCGGATGAAAATCAAGGCTTATTCGAATGGCAGGACGGAGCTTTGGTTTGTTCGATGAAAGATGGAGGTCTTTTTCTCATCGATGAAATCTCTTTGGCTGATGACAGTGTTCTCGAACGATTGAATAGTGTTCTGGAACCGGAGAAGGAATTAGTCTTGGCAGAAAAAGGTTATAATAACGATGATCAACATATTGATATCATCAAAGCACATGAAAAGTTTCGTTTGGTCGCAACGATGAATCCTGGTGGAGATTTTGGCAAAAAAGAAGTGAGATTTTGTTTGCGAGTGAAAGAAAGTTATGTTTTTTTGTGCGTTTAGCTTTCACCAGCATTGAGAAATCGTTTTACGGAAATTTGGTGTACACCCAGTGAAACGATTGAAGATTTATATTCGATTATCATTCATAATTTAACATTCAATGATGAAAATCAACGTGAACAATGCACAAAATTGATGTGCGATTTCATTCAATACCTTCGAACAATTCAAACAACAAAACGGTATAGGAAATCCTATGAAAAATAAAACTTCAATTATTTGAATATTTTAGTATTTTAATAACTGTTCGAGATGTTCTTAGTTGGACATCATTTATCAATCTAAGTTCAAACCATTGGCAGTTCTCTTACAAACACGGTGCGTATTTAGTTTTCATTGACGCAATGGATTCTTCATCAATCTTAAAACAACAAACCATTGAATTTCTCACTAATCAACAAAAAGATCAAACGAATCCTTCGGACATGATTCAACTCAACGAGACTTCTTTAACAATTGGTTCATATTCCATTCCTCGTGGTACAATGGTTTATAATGATAAAGAAGATTACAGTTTCAAAGCGCCAACAACATTAACGAATGTCCAACGACTTTTACGTGCGATGCAATTGGTGAATAAACCGATCTTAATCGAAGGAAGTCCAGGAGTTGGAAAAACGAGTTTGGTCATTGCATTAGCGAGATTAGCTGGTTATTCTTATATAAGAATCAATTTATCTGAACAAACAGATATCAGTGATCTTTTTGGATCGGATTTACCAGATGTTGAGAGTGGACAAGCCGGAAAATTCAAATGGCACGATGGACCTTTATTAACAGCGATTAAAAACAACCAATGGATCATTCTCGATGAGGTAAATATACAATTCATCTCATGATCAATTGACCCTTAAGAAAGTCATAGTTCCAAGTTGTAAATACTCCTAAGTCTTTTTTTATTCAGATATGAATATGAATAATTTGATCAAAATAATTCTATTCGGATTTTCATAGTAGAGAACGGATTCGAATGAAATTGTGTTTAGTTCGCGGCTATGACAAATAGTTGAATCTTCATTTTGTTAACGATGATCAGGTTCACTATTAACTCTGTTTCTCTGTTTAGCTTAATTTAGCGAATCAATCAGTATTGGAAGGATTGAATGCGTGTTTAGACCATCGTGGTGAAATTTACATTCCGGAATTGAATCGAACGTTTCATATTCATGATAAACAATCATCTGTGCAATTGCGTATCTTCGCATGTCAGAATCCATATGGACAAGTCAGTGGACGAAAGGGTTTACCGAAATCGTTTCTTAATCGATTTACGACGATTTATTTTTCGGTTTTGGAGAGACTCGATTTGAAAATCATCTGTCAACAATTGCACGAAGAAATTCCTGAAGAGAATTTAGATAAAATGTTGAATTTTAACGAGAAAATTCAAGAAGAATTCAATAAAAATCAATGGGATTTCAACCTTCGTGATTTGTTAAAATGGTGTCAAATGTTTAATAAGAATAATTCGAAAGCATTTGATTTGATTTATACTAAACGAATGAGAACAACAAAAGATCGAGAACGAATTCAACAAATCTACGAACAAACAACCGGATGGAATGTAAAACCAATCGAAATCGATTTCAAAATCACTTCAAAAACCTTACAGGTAAATCTTCTCATACATTCACTTCATTTGTCACTCTAACATTCGAATTCATTTTAGATCGGTTCAACTACTTGGTCACGCGAATCCATTCGTCTTCCAACTTTATCGTTAACTCATCCGCTTTTATTATTACGTCATCAATTATCAAATCTTTCATCGATATTTGAATGTTTGACATTATCATGGCCAATTCTTCTCGTTGGTTCATCATCTCGTTCGTCAAAATCAAGTTTAATTCATCTTTTATCATGTCTATGTGGACATCAATGTCAAACATTCGAGCTGAACTCTTCGATTGATACAAATGAACTTTTGGGAAATTATGAACAATTCAATTTTCAACAATATGCCAAATATCATTTGAATTTATTAAAACACGAGTATTTCCAAACAAATGAGAGAAATCTTTCTAATCAATTCAATTTTGACAATCAAATCATCACGATTGAATATCTCAATGACTTGAAAAAATATTTTCCATCGAACGAAATCGACAAATTAATTTCGAAATGTTCCCAAGAACAACATTTCGTTTGGATCGAATCGATTCTCATTCGTTCAATGAAACAAGGCCATTGGTTGATCTTAGAAAACGTCAACCAATGTTCACTAAGTGTTTTAGACCGATTAAATTCTCTATTAGAACCAAATGGAGAATTAATCTTAAACGAAGGCGGTGGACAAGGATCGATTATCAAACCACATAAAGATTTTCGATTGATTTTGACAATGGATCCCAAACAAGGCAACGGAGAAATTTCTCGAGCAATGAGAAATCGATGTTGTGAAATATTTATTGATGATCAACAGAATGAAAACATTTTCGATATGAAAGAGTTAATTTACGCATGTCAAATTGATCAACACAAATTACAAGAAGATTTTCTACAAATTCATCAGAAACTTTCGCAAAAAGGTTTGATTTTTCGTTAAACTACACTGATCAATACATATCTCAGAAGTATAGAATCATGAAAAAGAGTAAAAATTATTTGCGATGTTTTTACTATTTTCATCACCTTGAAATTTCGAAATGAATTTTGAATATTTGATTTTAGTGTCGACATTTGCATATCATAATCTGATTCGTGCTTGTTTGTTATTCAATGAATTATCTCGTTCAATTACCGATCCATTTCGTTTGGCGATTAAAACTGCATATCGAACATTAAATTCTCGCTTGAATGATGAACTCGATTTGATCATTGATGAGTTTCTCTCGATAGATATGTCATCGGATTTTCAAAATTCACCAACTCAAATCGCAAATCTTTGTTTACAACCGGAATTAACACTTTCATTCAAACGAAATCTTCCCCTATGGAATTCTTCGATTGAAACTGATCAACGAAAATTTCAAATATTATTCTATCGTTTTCTCGAACATCTTTCGACGTCAACGACTGAATTCGATTTGTTTTGTTCGAAACATCCTCAACATACGCATTTGATCAATCTTGCAAATGAAGTTTCTTCTCGGGAAAAGAATTTCTTAATACGAATTTTGATTGAACATGATTCGGTGATGAAACAAACGAGAAAAAGTGTGAAAACGAAATTTATTGACGAACAATTGTTCTTTGACGTTCATCAAGGACAATTTTGGATGGCGATGAAAGAATATTTCATCAAAACGTTCAATTCGTGAGCATTTCTTAGCGAAATGTGTAATTAAAACTTATATTTTCCATTTAGATCCGATGTGTTTTTGAATGATGAATTATCCTTTTCATATTATCGTTCATGGCGATGGTTTTTATCGGTCATAGATGATTCTCCATCGGATTTGATTAATCGTCGTCTTCATTTGATCATTGCTTGGCCTTATATACGTTCATTGTTCTTAATTTCCACGGAAAATTCCTTGTTCATTCAACAAATTCAGCAGATCGATGAACAATACATGACAATTCAAAATGAATTTCTTCGTTTTTATCATTGGTATCAAAATCAACAACATGATTTGATCAAAACGAAGATCGAATACGAATTCGTCTGCCGGAAACGAGAAGTCTTTCAACAAATCGATTTATTTTCTGATAACAAATCAGAAAAAAATCTCGAAAGATATTTACAATATTGGTTTCACTATGAAAAACAACTAATCGACTCGTTTCGACGTCTTAGTCATTCTCAAGTAAGTTTACAGATGTCCAAACGATAGATTTCAACACTTTACTCAGTTTTTTAATGAAATCTGAAATGATTAAACATTCCGAGGGACTAACAAAAGTGCACGTTTTTACTTTGATAAATCAGTTGAACCTCGTGGAAACACGAAGTAAAGTCTCGCACAGTAGAACACTGTGAATGAATACGTTAAAACGAACTTTTCTTCGTTTAGACAAACGATTTGGATGTTTTCAATGAAATCGAAACCAGTTGGAATGAATTGAAATATTCCACGACGATATTCGATCATGAAATTCTGTTTTACAATACATTTGATTCGATTGTTTATTATCAATATCAATGGATCGATTGTTTTCTTCACGGAACTTCTTGTTCACAACCCTTCATCGCTTCATCAATTCCATTTCATCCAACATCAAATTCCGATGAATATTTTTGTCAATTGATATCTTATTCCAACTCTCCCTCGATAATTAAACTCTATATCGAGAAATGGCTTGTTCAATCTCCTTCTACATCGTTATTTCATTATTACAACATTCGCACATCGAATGTTCCATTCGGTTTATATGACAAAATTCATCAACAGATTCATTTTTGGTCGAAATTTCTTTGGTTTAACGGTTCATTTCTTCAATGTGATCGATCAACACTCGAAACATTTGTTCGAAATTGTTTGCAAGATCGTTCGGTCGAGCGAACAAATCTTTGTTTTGCACTGATCGAACAAAGTTTCAATGAAATCGAATTGATTCAACCGCGTGGCGAAATCGATCCGATTATTTACGAACAGATTCTTCGTGATTATCACGGAAAATTTCAATCGGAGATTTCCTTTGAATATCAACTACGAGCAGAATGTCAGGAGAAATATGAATATTCAATGAATTGTTCAATTCACCGATGGGAAAATCAAATGAAAATAATTTTGAATGAAATTCAAAGTGAACAAAAGGAATTTTATCGTTTAAACAATGATCAATATCAAATGTTAATTGTTTATCTGACAAAACAATTGATTGGAGAGTTGTTAAATAAGAAATTCCTTGTCGAGGAGATTTACGAGAAAAAACAAAGGAAAGTTTATGAACAATGGAGAAAAAATCTCGTTGAATTTCATCGAAATGTGATTTTATCCGAGAAATTTTATCTTTATCGAGATATCACAATGCCTTTGATGAAACAAGTCTTTCAAATCGTTTTGGCATTTGATTATCATTTTCAATTGAAGAACGAAGAAAAGAAAAAACTCTTTCCACATTGTCTTCTACCAGTTGATACAAATCATCTCAATTTATTCGATATCGCCAAAGATTTATTCGAAAAAAGAACTTTTGTGCAACAAACAATGCCAACAGAACAATTCAGACAGTAAGATTTTTCAATCATAACAGAAACACTTCTAAAATCCTCAGATCAGTTGCATCACAGTGGAAATTTCGAGTTCGATGCGATCGTGATCATAAATTAATGTGAATTGAGTAGAGAGAAATCGAAATGCGAACTTTCGATTAGTTAATATTGAGTATTGAAATTTGATTCTTTTTGTTTTAGGTTCTTTGTATTGATTCTTGAATATTTGGTTGTTTATTCGCATACAGTTGACAAACATTCGAAAGAATTTCGAGAATTATTGCAAAAATATTTGGAAACCGTACATTATCTATGGTCAGAAGAACAACGACAAATCGATGAAGAAAAACGATTATCATCGAGTATTTATCGTCATGAAACAAGTGAAGTTGAAAGTGAACAAGATTATCACGAATATCATCGTTTATTTCCATCATTCGATTTACACTTTCAAGAATTTCTTCCTCCACAAGATACAATTCCAAATGAAGAAACAAAATCTGTTGAAGAAAAACCTTCGAAATCCTCCATTCTTCCACATTATCTTCTCTTCGAATACTTATCTTCTATCATCATTCATCAAAATCTCTCCTTATCAGATCTTATTCTTCCATTTTTCAATACCATTTATGAATTCGGTGAAGATAATCGTTTGATCACTCATATGATTCGTCTTTCCATTAAATCCAAAGAATCTTTGTCAACATATTTCTTAAATCAAAACAAACCATTTGATATTTATCAAGATTCGAAATCTTCAATGGTTATCGAATGTTTTCCAACGATTGAATCAATCGAACAACGCACAACTTTCCTCCTTCTCTCTCATGAAAATCATCCAACTCTCACCGAAATTCTTCTTGTCATCCAACGCTTAAAATCATTTTCCATCTCCCATTCTCTAATCAAATTTCTCTATGGTTTCGACATTCTCTTCACTAAATTAACTTATTGGCAACAAACTTATGCATCGAAAACCCTTCAAACTACCTTCGATATTCAATTGGAACAATTAACTGCTTTAATCATTCGATTTCGCAAATACGAATTCAATTGTTATGAACAATCATTATCAATGATTGATTATAATCATCGTCAATCGACAATTACCAATTGGTGGTTACATTTCTTTCATTTAATCAACTCCAAACATGAAAATCTCGATGAATTGGAAAAAACTCTTCATGACTTTTTCCGCCAATCAACTTTGGGTGATTTTTCGACTCGTTTGGAAATCTGTCAATTATTCTTTAAATATTTTCATAATGAAAATCGATTCATTCTCAATTCGATTATTCAATATTATCAACAATTCGTTGAACATATCGAACAACAGCGAATGTCACTTCGAAAACCGATCGAAACCGAAATGAAGAAATTTCTCAGCATTCAACAATGGAAAGACACGAATTATTATTCACTTAAACAATCCATTGACAAATGTCATCAATTCTTATTCAAATCAATGAAAAAATACCGACAAATTCTTCATCAACCGATTGAAAAATCTCTTTCTTCGTATCAAATCTCGTTTCAATTGACCAACGATGATTTCTTTCGTTTAATCAAACTGAAATTTAACAAGAAAATCTTTCATTTACATAATTTCTCTCTCACCAACGAAGTGAAATTCGATGCTCAAACGATCGTTCAACTTTCCTCGGCAATTTTCTCAATGAAAATTGAAACAACCGATCGTAAAGAACTAAAACAGTTGTACACCGAAAAACGACAACTCATTACTCAATTATTTCAGAAATTAACATCAATTGGTTTGTCCTTTCGAAAAGGTTTGATGAATCTTCATTCTCAAACGTTATTCGCCGTTCCACCAGTCGATTTCTCATTTCATCCGATCGATTTCGAACGAAATTACGGTTTAATCGAAACGAAGAAGAAAAAATTGGTTTTGAAAGATCGAAGAGAAGTTTTCGAGCGATTCTCGAAGATTTTTCACGAAACCGATTGGAATTATTATCGAATTTTGTATCAACATAAGCAAATTGATGTTCTTTCGAAAGTGAACAAACTCGATCCGATTATTTATCAACGAATTCAAGGTTTTCAAGAACATTTAATGAAAATCATTTATCAACAGAAATTGCTCCTTCATTCGTTCATTCAACAATACGAAGATTTCACAAAAACATTTTCTCTTTATTCTAAACGAGATTTTCAATATGAATTGAATGAAATTGATCAATTGTACCATGCGACAATTCGATTAATCGAAAGAATTTACTCGTTTTTGTTGATTATTCGATCAATTCCGATGAATTCAATTGAATCAATTCCGATTTTGGATATTCGACCGAATTATGTTCAGTTGTTGAGTTCAAATGATCTAACGAGTTTATTGGAGAAATTTTCCGAACGATTGAAGATTTTATTAACGAAATTAAATGAGTTCTATGAGAATGTTATCGATTATCATCCATTATTGAAGGAAATTTATGATTTACAACAAGAAATCTGTTTATCAAAAGAACAAATTGAAAATGTTATGGAGAAATTATTCATCGATGAACATCTCTTTCCAAATGATCATTTTGTCGGAGATTTAACAAAGAATTTCATGGAAATTTACACGGAATTCTCTCGCATAAACGTTCTCAAACAAAACAATGGTTTGTCTTTTCGAATTTCTTTAAAATCTTCATTTTTCTTTCTTTAGATTCAATTCCAACAGTAAATTCTAAATCATTAAGACGTTATACCAAACGATTGATCTCTTCTCTGGACGAATTTTCTTCTCAATCGAATCCAACATCGATGTGGCTTGTTCATTTTTATAATTATTTCAACGGACATTTCACACGTTTCGATCTTTCATCTCTCACAAAATTAATTTCTAAATCGATCACGCCGAAATCCATTCCATTTTTTCATCAAATTCATCTCCTCATCGAACAATTATTGTACCGATTCATCTATTATCATCATTATACGTCGCAGATTTATCTGGCGCTGAGTAATACGTTCTCGGCGTTGTTACGAGATGGATTTCAAATGCCACCGGAAGAGAGCGAAGAGAACGAAGAACAGAAAACGGAAGGTGGAATGTCAGGAATGGGCGAAGGACAAGTTGGTAAAGATGCCAAAGATGTTTCTGATCAAATCGAAACTGAAGATCAGTTGGATGAAGCGAAAGCACCCGGACAAGAACAAGAAGAGACGAAAGAACAGGAAAGTGTTTCCGAAGAAAAGAACGGAATGGAAGTTTCATTCGATTTCGAAGGAGATCTGGAAGATCCATCGAAAGGTGAAGATGAAAATGAAGATGAAAATGAAAAGGAAAGTGACGCAGATGATGACAATATGGAAGATCAAATGGGTGATGTCGATGAAGATGATCAAGGTGAAGTTTTCGATGAGAAAAAATGGGGTGACGAAGATAAAGAAGAAGAGAAGGAGGAAAAAGATGAACCAAATGAAAGTGACAAAACTACTGGAAAAGATAAAAAACAACGGGATGGTCTTTCGGCAAAGAATGAACAATTGGAATTAGATGACGAAACAATAGATGAGCAACAACAATATGAAGATCAACCACCAGAAACGACAGACAATGAAGAAATCAATCCAGAGGACAAACCTTTAGAACTTCCAGACAACATGGATTTAGATGGAAATGATGAAAAAGACGAAACTAATCAAGAAAATCCTGATGAATTGAATCCTCAAGGTGAAGACGATAGAGATTCATGTGCTGAGCAAGAAGACGAAAATAAAGAAGAAGAAGAAACAACTAAAGACGACGAAGAGAACATTGAATCCACCCGAAATCATATTCCCGATGATCTTCCCAATCAAGAAGACGAACAACTTGAACAATCAGCATTAACTCAAGATAAAACGTCGAATGCTGATTCGAAAGATCAACCAAACGATCTTCAACAAAGTATCGCCAATGCAGAAACATTTGAAGACGAAAAGAAAACGAAAGATCAACAACAAGAACAACTTGGCGAATCTTCATCAACAAAAACTTCTCAAACACAGCAAATGTCGTCGAATCAACAAAATCAATTAACTCAACAATTAAATCAAGACCAACAAAAAGCAGAAAACAATCCGAATAAAACTTCCAACGAACAGCGAACATTAAGTGAAATCGCTTCTCTAATTGATCAAAATATCAAAGCGGCATTCGATCTCGAACAAAATGAACAAGTCGATGAAACTCCTATGGATGATCTTCCAACCATCGATCAATCCAATCAATCTACTCAAATCTACGCACACGCCAAAAACATTCCAAAAGATCTCGAACAACAAAAACAAATTCTCGATTCTGCGACTGATCAACAAGCGAAACAACATCAGGATGATGTCGATCAACCACCAACTGAACCTGAACCGATGATCATCGATAATCAACAACAAGAAAACGAAGAAGATAAACAACAAGCCAAACCTTCAACATTAAAAAAGGATCCAATAACAAAAAATCAATCATCATCGCATCACGATCAACAATCATCAGCAAATCCATCCGAAGAGCCGAATGAAATGATCTCCATTGACAAACCATTCATTCCAACAACAACTGTCGAACATCAATTCGATTATTCAGCACATGTCAAACCAACAAATCTAGCTGAACAAATCGAATATCAATTAGAAGAATGGTACACGAATTCCAATGAGAATTTAGCAGATGAACAACAAAATGCCGAACAACTTTGGACACAATTGGAATATTTAACTCAACCGTACGTATTCGAATTATGTGAACAACTTCGTCTTCTTCTCGAACCTACACAACGTACGAAATATTCCGGAGATTATCGAACAGGAAAACGTTTGAATATGAAACGAATTATTTCCTACATTGCATCCGATTTTCGTAAAGATCGAATTTGGCTTCGACGATTAAAACCCTCGAAAAGACAATATCAATTAATTCTAGCAATTGATGACAGTCAATCGATGGGAAATTTACAAGTAAAACGCTTAGCTTTAGAATCTCTGATTCTTCTTGGTCAAACTTTAAATCTATTGGATATTGGACAATTCGGAATTGTATCATTCGGACAATACATTCGAATGTTACAACCATTAAATCAAACATTTAATCATGAGAATGGAATTGAAATATTAAAACAATTAAAATTTGATCAAACAAAAACACTTTTAGCTGAAGTACGATGATATTCTTCTTGGAATGTTTGCTTGTCATATATTCATTTTTCTATTTAGTTAATGGAATCAGTTACACACACGTTTAGTAAAGAAAAAATTCAAATATCCAATCCATTATCTCAATTATTAATCATTTTATCTGATGGACGTGGATTAACTGTTTCAGGAAAAGAACGTTTATTAAAAAGTGTTCGTCATGCGATCTCTCAGAACATTTTTGTTGTTTTTGTGATACTTGATAATATCAATCAAGAAAAATCCACGTCGATCTTTCAAATAAACGAAGCAATTTTCAATGGTGATAAGGTAAATCATTCACAATGATAAACAACAAGTTTTGTTTTTTTTTTGTTCATTGATTTAATTTTGTATTTCAGGTGGAATTTCGTTCATATTTGGATAGTTTTCCATTTCCTTATTATTTAGTCATACAAAATTTGGAAATGTTACCTCGTGCTTTAATTGATGTGCTAAGACAATTTCTTGAATTGACTACAACAAACAACAACAACAGTAATCAGTGATTGTTGTTGATGAGTATTTTGTTATTTGTTTTTCTTGTTTTGTTTTTGTTATTAAACAAACAAAATAATTCGATTTTCCCTCGTTTTCCTTTTACCACTGCGTCGATGTTGTTTTTAGTTAACCATTTCCCAAAGGAAACTCTTCATAGTAATACTCGGAATAATTACACATTCAAGACAAATAGCGAACGATACAGAGAGAGAGAAATAATCGAGTCACCTAACAATCATGTCCTATCAAGAAGAGGAAATCATTCATTAATTCTATTCATCATCAAGACAACATTTGAGATACGTTCTTATAACTTATCAAAATACCAATTCCGTTCCTTTGTTTTCAAGATACTCTTAGGCTTGAAAATACATCAGAATAGAAAAGAAAAACATCGAGGTTTTTACGTTTCGGGGCTCTTCTATTTGTAGATAGCATTACCATTCATTTCATCTTCTCAGCATGGTCATTATATTCTGCTTTCGTCAACGAGTCCAATGATAACATGAGGACTCACTCGCACTTTTTTCTTTCTTTCTTTCTTTCTTTGTCCCTTATCTTTTCAATAAGAGACACTTGCATGTCAATATAATCAAGACTTTCGATGTACTGAGCGTATTGTGTAGTAGAAGAAGAAAATTTCCATAATACACGGGTTTTGTCCTCTGAGGCTTAACGGCGAATAATTTCTTATTGAAATAAATAAGTTTATTTCTTTCTTAGATGAAAAACCATTGATCTTGATTTACTATTCTATGAAAAGTCGGTTGCTTGAGCATCATTTCACTTTCAATTGGAAATAACATTTCATCCAATTCACAAAGAAACGTTTCGTTCATCGAAGACAGGCAAATCTCCTCGCGAGATTTAATCCGAATAGGTTGAAGTGTTTTGTGACAAAAGAGGAAGATTCTTTCTTTTTAATTATCTTTATCCTATTCAACGACTGTCTCTGACAGACGTATTCTTTGGATCTTTCCACGCCCGTGAAAGAAAAATAAATTTCTGAAAAAAGTTTCTAGCTTGTCACCTCTGTCTGTATGAATAGACGCGACTAACAGTGCTAAGTAAAGGATTCTTTTTCTCTTCTGTCTTCCGGAATAAAGGGGGGTAGAAGAAAAACCACATAGAAAGATTTTCTGCGTTTTTTCCTTTATCTCTACCAAAATTCCCGTAGTTTTGTCAGTGTTCGTCTTTTGAGAAACAAACAGAACTAATAGCAATAGCAGACCGATGAATGACGAAGAAAATATTTTTCTGTAAAGCTTAGAAAGAGAAGAAAAAGCAAAGAAGAAGAAAAAAACTTACGGAATAGAAAGAACGCGCAAATGAATGTAATGTCTAACTGATAGTTACTTGTGATGGTCGACGCGTTTTTTTCTTTTTGCTTATATTTGTTAATTAATAAACTCAGATTTCGGTTCAGCACTGTTATTTCTAAGTAGAACGTTTCATGCTCGTCTTTCTTTCTTATATTTGAATGAATCCGTTATTATTATCTCGTTTGATTCAATATATTTTTAGATAATATAACCACGCGTGATCGATCTTAGTGTGTGTGTGTTTTTCGGTAAGAAGATTTCTTTTTTTTTTCTTTTTCTCAGACATCATTATCTTCTTCAAAGAGGAGGAAGGTTTCCTTGAATGATTTTAAAGGAAAATTTTTAACGAGGACATCGAACTATTGTTATACACTGTTTACAATTAAGACGATAGATGAAGGAGAAGAAAAAAAACTAGCAAATGAGAAGTGTTGTATTAGACCAAGTTAAAGGAAACCGAATATGCTTTGTCATGCGAACAGTTGGAAGAGAATGTAATAAATAATGAAGATAATAATATAGCAGAAAATGCTTATTGAATTGAAATGAAATTAGAGAGATTCAGTGGACCTTGATCTCTGAACGAAATTGTTTTCAATTTGTTCAGAATGCTTCGTAATTAAGAGACATATGAGTTCTACAAATGTCGTTTCGTTCGTCGTGTTGTTGTTGTCGTCGTCGTCGTCTTATAGATTATTTCTGATTGTTGATAAGATATCTGAATGGAGAAATAGTTATGCCGGAAAGAAAGATTATCAATGTTTTCGACATTTTTCGTCGTCGTTGAAAGTCTTTATTCATTTGCTAATCATTTTATTTTCATCTCAATTGACTCACAAGTATTTAAACGAGCAAACGATTAAATAAAAAAAGAAGACGACGAAGAAGAAGAACGAGATCGTTAGAAAAATGAGAATGTATAACGACCAAAAAAAAAAGAAGGAAAGAATCGTTAGGAGTCATTCATGCTGCTTTCTATCAAGGGACTCTCTCACTGTAATAATATTCTTCTTCTTTTTTTTTCTCGTTTTTTTTCTCTCGGCTCTTCTTCATTATATGTATGACGTGAGTGATTTTTCTTTTTTTTTGCATACACGACACAGATATAGAGATATAAGACGACAGCAATTGAAGTTTCTTTTCGACTTATTCAATTGACGATTCTTCCAATTCGAAATCATTGTTATTTATATTATGTTGTAAGTATTCGATGTAACGAGAAAAGGAAGAAAAGGCTCAAGACGTTATTGACAATGTGTTGATTAAATTTGTATATTCCGACCTTTGGTAATAAACTCAAAACCGGAAGCATTCAGCATCTCCTGTCAGTTCGATCATGTAAATACACGTTGGATTGGATTAGGAAAGAAAAAACGAATAAAAATACCGATAATATTACGAGTGACACAGTAAATCAGGCGTAAGAGACAACTGTACAGGTAGAAAGTAGTAAAAAGAAAAAAAAACCATAAAGATTATACACTTGCTTAAGCCAGTCATGCCTCGATAGGTATTCGACGTATGTAAAGTACACATAGATAATAAAAAGCGCATTTATATCTTTTTCATCTGAGCTTTAAATAATTCAATCAACATTCTTTTTCTCGTATTTTTGCTTCTCTCTCTCTCATTTATTTCAAATAAAAGGTAAGATATTCATTCTAGTTTCTTTTCTCAACAGCTGTTATAAAAGAATGTTAAATGAGATAACAAGAATTTGTTACTTTTCTTTCTCTCGCTGACCGTATTTATTTTTCTTGTTGACATTTGCGAAAAAAGTTCGTTGAAGATGCTTATCAACTATCTATGAGTTGTGTTTTTTTTTGACGAGCAGTGAGGTTTTTTCTTGAAACATTGACATGTATGATAATTGATTTTGAGTTGAGTGCAACAAAAATATCTTTGATTTCGTTTGCAAATGTTTCTTTCGATATACTCGATTGAATTATTTTGCGTTGTAGAAATGTCATTTGGAAAGTTTTGTTTTATAGTAACGAAATTTAAAAGGAGAAAAGAAAAAAAAAAGAATCAACTAATGGATGTGAAGAGGTGCGTTTAGTGAAAGTAAGAGAAAATGACACTTATGCCAATGACAAGAGAAAAATGAGTTTGCCTTGCTTTTGAATTAGAAGATTTCCAAAATGACGTCTACTTCGTTTTTCTTCTTTCTTTCATCTTTCGACTAAATTTATTAGTTTTTTGTCACTTTGTGTCGATAAAAGTCATTTATTTTCTCCGCTCTTTCTCCTCTTATTCATTTTCGTCACGCTCTCATGAAAAGTTCGTCAATATCTCTTAAACTCGTGCCGATGAGAACAACAAAAGTATTCGCATCATCATCATCAACAACAACAACAACGAAACGAGACGAAGAACACATCTAACCCGTTCCTCTCCTATCTTCTCTGTATTCCCTATACACTCTTGTGTCTTTTATTACTGGAATACATCGCTCGAAGCACCAGCAGTAGTTGTAGATGCAGTAGTAGCGGATATGACTGGTTTTTTTTCTGCGCTCTTTTTCTCTTGTTCGGCCTTGGTTGATTCTGTCTTTCTCACACACACGCGCGCACTATCGAGAGAAGAACATTTTTTTTTTATTGTGTTCTGTTCTATGCCGACGGTTGCCACTATCGTTCGACATACTACAATTCAATTGCGTTTTCTCCGTTTTTTTTTTTACTGTTAGTTTTTTTTTCTTCTTTTCATTAGTAAGATGTGTGTATATATATTTTAGGCTTCCATCGATCATCACATCTAAAGAAATAACTAATCATGGTCGACAACACCGCGTCGTCCGAACAGACAGTCCGCGATTGTGAAGCTTATATTGCTAAACATGATATTCAAAACTTATTACGTGATTGTATTGTTCAATTATGTTTAAAAAAGCCAGCTAATCCAATACAATTTCTGTCTAATTATTTCGATAAACTTGATAGTCAAACATCGGCAGCGTCAACAAGCAAAAAGCCCAATATGCGTCAACAACAAAGTGCATCACCAATCGAATCAACAACTAAACAACAATCAACAAATGGTAGCACAGTCGGTGAAAACGATGATTTAGGCGATTTAAATGAACCCACAGGAGGAAATGCAAGTAGTCATCCCAACCAATCAACAAGCAATGTCAGTGTTAAAACACGTGAACGTCGCGGTGCAGTTTCTGCTGAACCTTACAAGGAAGAAGATGCAACATCGTATGTGAAAACCGTCATCCCAAAAGATTATGCAACCATGCAAGCATTGAGCAAAGCAATTCAATCGAATTTATTATTTTCACACTTGGATGATAGTGAAAAATCGGATATATTCGACGCCATGCAACCTTTTAATTATAAAGCAGAGGAAACGATCATTCAGCAAGGTGAAGAAGGAGACTTTTTTTATATTATTGATCAAGGCGAAGTCGAAGTTTATGTTAATAATAAATGTGTCACAGCGATCTCAGATGGAGGAAGTTTTGGTGAATTAGCTTTGATCTACGGAACACCACGTGCAGCAACAATTAAAGCAAAAACTGATTGTAAACTATGGGCGATCGATCGAAAAGTAAATGAAGAACATTTTCGGCAGATGACAAATAAAATTCATCTCATTTTTAGACTTACCGACGTATTTTAATGGGTTCAACAATTAAGAAACGCAAAATGTACGAAGAATTCTTATCCAAAGTTAAAATCCTTCAAGAACTCGATCAATGGGAACGTTTAACTGTCGCTGATGCTCTTGAACCTGTACAATTCAATGATGGTGATAATATCGTTGTACAAGGTGAAAAAGGCAATGATTTCTTTATCATCGCCGAAGGTAAAAACACGAAAATATTCTCGATTGACTCAAATTGCTTTAATGTAGGAACGGCCGTTGTTTATCAAAAACCATCGGATGATGAACCAGCTGTTGAAGTATCGAAATTAGGTCCATCTGATTACTTTGGTGAAATCGCTCTACTATTTGATCGTCCACGTGCTGCCACTGTCAAAGCCAAAGGTCCATTGAAATGTGTGAAGATGGACCGTGGCCGATTCGAACGTGTCCTTGGACCGATTTCCGATATTCTTAAACGAAATGTTGCTCAATACAATTCGTTTATCAATTTGGCTGTCTAAAGACACAACTGAAACAACGAACAATACTGAAATATAAATAAATTTGTCTCTTTAGAGTGGAGCGAAAAGTAAAAAAAAAAGGCAAACATAGAAGAGTCTCTTTCTTTCCGTGGTTCACTTTTCTTCTTTTCTTTTCATTTTCATTTCGTTGTCAATCGTTCGTTTATATTTCATTTCTCGAAAACCAAACATTACAAAACTTAACAAGAACATTTGCATGTCCTTTGTCTCTTTCACGTGCCGTTTTATTTCTCTCTCTCTCTCTTTCGTTTTTTTTGTCATTTTCAAAAGAAAAAAATTTCTTCAAATATATTTGCGTATTACTCGATGTTTGCTTCTTCGTTTTTTCTTCTTCTTCTTTCATTTCTCAATCTGTTTAGATGATTCTTCGAGTGATTTTTCTCCTAGTCATGATTATATTCATTGATATGACAAATTCGACAATGAATAATAAAAAATCTTCGTCTTTATCTTTCACACGTCGACGGCAATTAGATGAAAACTTTCGTCGGATAAATCGGCAATGTGAACAAAAAGTAATATGTCAAAAACATCTTCCAAGCACTTCGGCACTTACAGATTCTTCAGTTCAACAACATCAAAAAGAATTAGCTGAAATTGACATGATTAATTGTGTACGTCAATGTATATCTTATTCATGTTATCGACAAATTTATGAAAAAGATCCATTGGAACGTGGAGAAATTGATGTACGAGCGAATCATTTCAAAACATGTTGGACGAAACAACAAAAAATCTAAAGAAAAATTCATTTGTTTATATTTCCAATGCATTATCAAATCAAAGAGAATCTCCGCATCAATGATATTTGTTGTATTATATTTGTAAATTGTTTTTCAGGCAAATAAATTTGTTATTCTTGTTCATCCTTTTGTGAACTCATTCACAAATGTAACACAAGGAGTAAAACGTATTTTTCAAGGGTTTATTCATTTCCTACTCGTACCAAGAGATTTCCTATTTAAACAGATTGCATTGTTGTTTATATGTAGAATGTCGATGAAAATAATATCTTGGAATTGTCATTAAAGTGATTTTATTGATTAATAGTGACAAGAAGACAACAGTTGTGAATCAAAACCGTTTGTTTTCGATCAATAGAAAGCTTATTCACTATATCGAGTTAGATTTTTTTTCTACTTGTATTTTGTGTGTGTAACATTTACGAAAGAAATGAATGAGAATGTCAAAAGGTAAGTGAATATAAATAACAATTAAATCGATCAGGTATCTTTGATAAAATGATCATGTACTTTGTGATTCATTTCGTTGCAAATTTCCTTCTAAACTAGCGAAGAATTCAATTTTTTCGTCAGTTTGTTTTAACCCTCGAGCATATTTCGTCTGCAATGACATGATTCGAACAATTTCCTCATATATTTCATTTCTCCACATCATCAATACTTTCGATTTGATATCTTTACTTGTAAAAGTTTATTTATGACATGAAACAGGATTTCTCAATAATTGACAGTAATTGAAATAACGATTATCATTGCATTGGTTAACTGATTTGTAGATAAAGATAAACATAAGAAAGACTTTTGATAAAATAAAGAGATGAAGAGTCGTTTGCTCTTAAAGTCATTTTCAAGTCGAATTTTGCCTCTATTTACAATTGAAACACTACCAACTATTGGGCAAATAATCAACTTTTTCTTCTGGAAATTGATCCATCCCGTTAATTCAGTATTCAAAATCTGGATTCATCTATGTACACATAACCATGTGCATAGTAAAAGCCACATTGTATATTCGATATATGAATGTTGACAGTTGTTCTTTTAATAATAAAGACAAATTATCTGATTGATTAAGATCAATAAAATGATTGAATGTTTCTACTAATCGTATCACAAAAGAATAAATCCATATCTTCACAAAGACTGATGATATCTACAATTAATGTTGTACCAGTCAGAATATCGAATCCTTTGTTCATTATTTTACTTAACTATTAAAATATTTAGATAAATTAAATAGAATAATGATTTATGTCGAATTCGCTGGTTGTATCGATAACAAATGTTACGTTATGATTTTTCAATCCTTTTTGCTAATTTAAATATTGGAATGACATGATAAGCAAATATTGAAGACACAAATATGAGAATTCAGATCGATGTTCTTATAAACAACCATCTTTGTAATCAACAGAAGTCAAAATACAGAAAAAGTCTCAATGTTTATAACTAGGTGAATTTTATCATTGTTTCATTTTGAGGAGATTTGTAACTTTCATGAAATTTTAAACACGAAATTGATGAGTTTCTAATGATAACCTTTATTTTAATTGAAATGGAAAAGTTTTACAACAAAAGTACTGTAAGAACAAGAGATTTTTAAAATTAATATGAATGATTTCACTATGGAAATGTAAATAATATATTTATCTATGGTACAAACCAAACAACTGATGATCTTGAAAAGATTCGACTGTTCGATTCGTTAATTTTTTCGATCTTCTTATTTCTCAGTCAAAGATTTCTCTCAATCACATAATTTTCAAGTATTTCAAATTGTCATTATAATAAATAAAATCAACCATTTTTCTCTTCAATATTATCCGAATCCATTCAATTCGATTATTACCGTACTTTATCGATGTTAACAATCGACTGTAATTCAGACAAGATCCTTTTCATACATATCTTAATCAAAAATCGATATTTTATCACAAAATTCTTCAATTAACATGCAATTATAACTTTCAATAAAGAACCTCAAAGCCATTCAAATCTAAGCTCAATCATTCCCCTTTTTTTCAGACATACAAAATGAGCTTTTATTTCTTGTAAGGTATGTCAAATAAGTCATTTATATCACGACCTTGACATGATGTTATTTGTATTCTAAAAGTCTTTGTTTGACATTTTCCTTCAGACCGTATCATAACACGTCTAATGATATATTTTCCTAGTAAATTAATCATTATTGCAAAGACCAGATCTATTTTTTGTATGAAACTGAATTTGTTCTGACGTTGACCTAACTCTGACTCTCTTGAAAATAATCTTTCCGGTCGTAACTACGCAGCTGGAATCGAATAAAAGATAATTATTATCTTTGAAAGCTCATCCATTGTGCCCGAGTAAGTCGCGACTTTGTCGACAGTCGTTTCCGGATTATCCATAAAACTTAATTTTATTCAGTAAACACACGTAGAAGAAAGTTATAAACAATTCATTGATTAATCATCGAAAGTCGCTTGATAACGTCGTTCAATTGCCCGGTAACGACGAGAAAAGATCTGATATGGCAATTTCTGAACAAGTATGTATACTTTATTTCATCTCTTGTTGCAATGACCGTTCGATTGATCTAAATATAGTTAATGTTTGTGAGGAGAAAGAAGGAAAATGTTCATGTTGTCTATATATTAGTAGATGGCATTCGGTACGAAGAATGTTAGTGTGTTGGCAATTCTGAAACGACTCTTGAAGATGAAATTTGGAAGCTTTTTTGAATGGAAGAGTTCCAATCATATTTCTTTTGATTCTTGGTTTAATAAGATTAAAACAATGGAGAAAAATTGAAAGAAGACATCATTGAGGAATCAGTACTGATAAACAATGATCACAAAGTCTTTTCTTAATTTGAGTGATTACGAGAAAATCTTTGGTACTGCGGAAGTTTCGCCTTCATTAAACACAAGTTGATCAAGACATGCGTTCGTTTTGATTTGATCATATCGATGTTTTCTCAGTCCAATTGTTTAAAACAAAACGAATATGCTTATTTTAATCTCAAACTTTCTCGAAATATTGATAAACGTTTCGATCAAATGCCAACGCCCGAGTAGATCTGAATCAGACTAACATATGGTACCTGAAAAGCCTCAAGATATCTAATCAACATTACCTTGGATAATCCTTAGCTACCATATGAAATTATCACTAAATATTGTTTCAAAGGTCGTCAAGTTTCGGCAAATCATTTTCAGATACTCGAATAATTAAAAGAAGTCAATCAATTAATGGATGTGCATTCTATACCATAAAACGTCAGTCGAAAGATGTAACAAAACTAAATATACAAAATTCCTTTATTCGAAGCAAGAGTCGTGCAGCATCTAGGCTGTCTTGTAGACAATATTTATCAACTAATTGAATATAGAATTGTTCTAATGTATATGTCGTAGGCCAATGTAAGATTCAGGCCAATCCAGGATTGGCCTAGGCTATTCTCAGATCCTGGTTTGGCCTAGTCTAAATTAGGATTAACTCAAAATCTTGGATTAAAGTTCGTTTTTGAACCCTATGATATTTTCCGATTTTCTTTTCACTATTCGAATGCTGTAGCTAAGTAGATATATTTTCGATGTATACTATCGATTCCGACACAAAATTGTTTAGTTAAAAAGTTATCGGCAGTTTTCTGCAGAACTTGTACGTTCAGAAGTCAACGCTTATAACATCTTCCGTGCACCTCACAGTGATAAGAAACTCGCTGATATAGATAATGGTAGTATATCATGAAACCTTAAAACTATTTGATGTGTAATCTGCCATTGACTTCAGGCAAAAAAATGAGTTTTGATCCAAAATTTTAAGTTCATCCTATTTTAAACCAGGCCAAACCAGGATCTGAGAATAGCCTAGGCCAATCCTGGATTGGCCTGAATCTTACATTGGCCTACGACATATACGCTCCAACACTGCAGACAGCATGATGTCTAGTAGAATATCTGCGATATCTAGTATAATAGTCAAATAAAATGAAGTGTTTACATTGTTTGAAAGGATGAATAATCTCAGAAAAATGAGGATCGTACTCTCAAGTCAAATCAACAAAGATCAGGCAGATGATTCAGAGTTTATTCATGGACTCCCCTGACTGTCATGATAGACAGAACAGTTTTCGATCTATTATATGCTTGACGAAACCAAAAGTTCTGAATTTTTTTCCTTATCGAAGGCTATACTTAAAGAGAATGATCATCTCTCCGAAAAAAACATTCATATAAACGGAGATGTTTTAAATAACAAGTAACACTCATCCTTTGGATTCGCTGACCCTTTTCTGAAAGACTTTTCCGAATGCTGAATACATTCAGAGACTTCGAAAGAGAAAAAAACGCACTGCGATTGCTACTAGTGCTCAACTCAATCATGGCAGTATGTCACACACTAGAGTGAATAGGATGCAAAAGTCTTTTTAGGAATCAGACCGATTAGCCATTTGTCAGTGAATAATTCTCCAGCACTAACTATGTTGACTGAAAAATTCATCGCTCATCGGCTAGTCAGACGGCCACTCACGGCCAACCATTGACCTTTGTCATCTGTTTTTCTAATTTCACATCACGCGCATGGAAATTTTCACAAATGCTTTACTAAGTCACTCATAGATGGACGATATACAGTAAACTACTTGAAAAGTTTGAACATTCGCCTGTGTCTTCCAGTGGTAACCGATTCTTTTCTCTCTTGTCAACAAAATGGTACCTTGTCGAATATTTTCATTGAGGAATATTCATTCGACAAAATTCGTTTCAAAATTTTCGGAAGCCTGGGAATAGCATTTAAACGCCTAGTCGTTCGTCGACCTCCCTCCGGTCGGTCACTAACGGCTAGCCGTTGCCATGCTGTCTTTGTTATTCCTTTCGCCTTTGATTAACTTTCAAACTGAATGATTGAACTTTCTTTTACTGTCGTTTCGACAGTCACGATCTTCTATTCATTCGACTACCAAAAGAAACTAGATAAGAAAGTCTTATTGTATGATTTGCTTCGAAACG